CGATATGCTGGTCTTACGCCTGCCCTGACCGAATTCCGATCCGCGTTTGCGCCCCCATGGCGATTGTAGAGGGTGGCGGGAGCTGCGAGGCCTGCGTGCGGCGCACCTCCGTGGGGGACTTGCGCTGTGAGACATGCGACATACGGGCACATCGCCGCTGCCTGGGACTGCCGCCGGGCTCGTACCCCGGCGGCTGGTTCCGCTGCATCCACTGCATCCTGGCGGCGGCGGGTTTTCCGGCAGGGGCTGCGGGCGGTCGGCAGGAGGCACTCGCGGCGAGGCTGGTGGCGCTAGCAGGAAGCGCCGTGTCGGCGGGTTCAGCAGGGACGTACGAATCCCATCGCCGCCGCTACGCGGCCTTCTGCGCTGCTCTGGGCTTACCCATGAGGGCGGCTTTCCCACCTGCGCGGGGCGCGGACCTCAGCCCCGAGCTGGTGAGCCTGTTCATCGCCCATGAGGCCGACCGTGTGGCCCCCTCAACGTTGTCAGGCACCATTAGCGCCCTTGCGGACTGGCAGCGCGCGAAGGGTTTTCCGGCGGAGGCCTCCATCCGCCGGAACCCATTGGTGCAACGCACGCTGAGGCAGGCGTGGCGTGCCCGGGCGCCGGCGGCAGCCGCCACAGCTGGCGGCGATGCAGGGGCCGAGCCGCTGCCGCAACGTACGAAGGAGGCGTTCCCGGTGCCGCTTCTGCGGCTCCTATTGGGCTGGCTGGCAGCGACGGCGGACGGGGCGCCAGCGCGCCGAGCGGAGCTCGAGCAGGATGCGTGTTGGCTGGTGGTGGGTTTCTTTGGGATGCTGCGGAGAAGCGAGCTGGCGGGGCTGCGGCTAGGTGACGTGCATTCGCTGACTGGTGGGGTTCACGTGGTGCGGATAACGAGGAGCAAGACCGATCAGGTTGGGGCAGGGGTGGATGTGCACCTGGGGGCATCGTCTGGCAGCGGAGTACGCATCGGGCGCATTATGGGGCGCCACCTAGAGCGGGCCCGCTCAGGGGGGGCGGAGCCCAGCGCGCCGCTCTTCACGCGGGGCCCCCAGTGGGGACCGGGGTCGGAGGCTTGGCGGAAGGAGGGGTTTACGCGTAGGCTTAGGGCGCTCTTAGGAGAGATGCAGCGCGCCCTGCCACAAATAGCCGGGCGGGTACCAGATTACGCGTCCCACAGCCTGAGAAGGGGGGGAGCCACGGCTGCAGCGGAAGGGGGGGCCTCTGGAGAGCAGATCAAGGCGCACGGGAGGTGGCGGTCGGAGGCGGTGAGCGCGTATATCCTCCCCTCCGCGGCGGCTAAGGCCCGCATTGTGGGGTGCATGTGAGGTGACGAGGCGTGCGGTGGGTGACAGGGTAAGGGGGGTCCTCTCTAGGCGTGCATGCATGCGGAAGCGCGCCTAGAGCCTAATACGCCGGGGCGGGTTTTGGGGGCTAGAGCCCATCCGCGCCCGGCTGTTGGTTTTTCCCCCTCTCCTGTTGTTCCCCGGAGAGGGTAGGGTGAGGTATCGGCTAGGTAGCAAACTTGGTTAGTTACAGAGTTGGGTCTCTTAGACGCTGTTCGGAGTCTGGGCCCGCAGGCCAGGTCCCAGGCGGTGTAAGTTGATGAGGGGTGCGACTCCTCTGGCACTGGAGTGTGTGCGACAAAAGTATCATTTTGAGTGTCAACTAAAAATGGGGTTTTGGAGCGCATGTACGACAGGGAGCAGAGCAGTCGCCACCAGGCTTGCGAGTGGACGGTGCTAGACGTTTTGACCTTGGTTAAACAGTTTGCCCTCAGCTGGCCTTTCAGGTCTTTGCCGCTGAGTTTCCGTGCGCAGTTAGGAAGGCGCTGACTTTTGCGTAGTTGCAGACAGTTCTTAAGTATGGCTGCAGCTGTAGGTAGGCGAGCCTTTTGTTCATAGCCCGGGCATGCCGCTGGGGTTTCACGTTCATGCAGGGCCTCTACGACAGCCTCTTCTGCCCCACCCGCCCGCCGGCCACTGTCGGCCTGGCGGCGGACGCAGTAGAAGACCTGGCTTTCTGGTGGCAGGTGCTACGGGCGGATTCCTCTGTCTGGGACGGGGTAAAGCGCTCAGCGGGCATCGGTTTGGACCTAGTGAGGGGGGAGTTTATCGGCCAGGATGGGGCCGTCCTCTTCACGGACGCTAGTGGGCGTGGGTTTGGCGCAGTCTGGGGGGAGGCGGAGGTGCAAGGGGCATGGTCAGAGGAGGAGCGTCAGCTGCACATCTCGTGGCTGGAGCTCAAGGCGGTCCTCAGAGCGCTGCAGTCATGGGCCGCCAGCCTTGCCGGGCGCCGGGTGCTGGTGCGTTGTGACAACACCCAAGCCGTAGCAGCCATCAACCACGGCTCCACCCGCATCCCAGAGGGCCGCAGCCTTAGCCGCCAAATTGCAGAGCTTGCGATTAGCTCAGGGTTCGAGGTCCGGGCTGAGCACATTCCCGGCGTGGACAACGGCCAGGCCGACCGCCTCAGCCGCCGCCTTGACAGCGCCCAGGATCAGAACCTGCGGCTGAAGGCCAGCATCTTCAGGGAGCTATGCCGGAAGTTCTCTCTCCGGCCCACCGTCGACTGCTGCTGCGACGCCCATGGCTCCAACAGGCAGCCCGGCTGTGAGGTGTTCTACAGCGCGGGGCGGTCGGTGCTTGGCCAGGAGGCCGAGCTGGCGGGCAAGGCGCTGTGGGCCTTCCCACCCCAGGCCCTGGTGGGGGAGGTGCTAGCGACCCTCGTGGCAGCGGCACGGCGTGACTCGCGGACGCGGGCGGTTGTGGTGGTGCCTTTCTGGCCGGAGCGGGGGTGGTTCCGGGCCTTCGTCCGTAGCCGATCCGCACCATTCCGGGTCGCCCAGGTGCTGCCCAGGGGCGGCCGCCTCTGCGTTTGGCCCGGGGGCGACGAGGCGGGTCCTTCTCCTTACGATATGCTGGTCTTACGCCTGCCCTGACCGAATTCCGATCCGCGTTTGCGCCCCCATGGCGATTGTAGAGGGTGGCGGGAGCTGCGAGGCCTGCGTGCGGCGCACCTCCGTGGGGGACTTGCGCTGTGAGACATGCGACATACGGGCACATCGCCGCTGCCTGGGACTGCCGCCGGGCTCGTACCCCGGCGGCTGGTTCCGCTGCATCCACTGCATCCTGGCGGCGGCGGGTTTTCCGGCAGGGGCTGCGGGCGGTCGGCAGGAGGCACTCGCGGCGAGGCTGGTGGCGCTAGCAGGAAGCGCCGTGTCGGCGGGTTCAGCAGGGACGTACGAATCCCATCGCCGCCGCTACGCGGCCTTCTGCGCTGCTCTGGGCTTACCCATGAGGGCGGCTTTCCCACCTGCGCGGGGCGCGGACCTCAGCCCCGAGCTGGTGAGCCTGTTCATCGCCCATGAGGCCGACCGTGTGGCCCCCTCAACGTTGTCAGGCACCATTAGCGCCCTTGCGGACTGGCAGCGCGCGAAGGGTTTTCCGGCGGAGGCCTCCATCCGCCGGAACCCATTGGTGCAACGCACGCTGAGGCAGGCGTGGCGTGCCCGGGCGCCGGCGGCAGCCGCCACAGCTGGCGGCGATGCAGGGGCCGAGCCGCTGCCGCAACGTACGAAGGAGGCGTTCCCGGTGCCGCTTCTGCGGCTCCTATTGGGCTGGCTGGCAGCGACGGCGGACGGGGCGCCAGCGCGCCGAGCGGAGCTCGAGCAGGATGCGTGTTGGCTGGTGGTGGGTTTCTTTGGGATGCTGCGGAGAAGCGAGCTGGCGGGGCTGCGGCTAGGTGACGTGCATTCGCTGACTGGTGGGGTTCACGTGGTGCGGATAACGAGGAGCAAGACCGATCAGGTTGGGGCAGGGGTGGATGTGCACCTGGGGGCATCGTCTGGCAGCGGAGTACGCATCGGGCGCATTATGGGGCGCCACCTAGAGCGGGCCCGCTCAGGGGGGGCGGAGCCCAGCGCGCCGCTCTTCACGCGGGGCCCCCAGTGGGGACCGGGGTCGGAGGCTTGGCGGAAGGAGGGGTTTACGCGTAGGCTTAGGGCGCTCTTAGGAGAGATGCAGCGCGCCCTGCCACAAATAGCCGGGCGGGTACCAGATTACGCGTCCCACAGCCTGAGAAGGGGGGGAGCCACGGCTGCAGCGGAAGGGGGGGCCTCTGGAGAGCAGATCAAGGCGCACGGGAGGTGGCGGTCGGAGGCGGTGAGCGCGTATATCCTCCCCTCCGCGGCGGCTAAGGCCCGCATTGTGGGGTGCATGTGAGGTGACGAGGCGTGCGGTGGGTGACAGGGTAAGGGGGGTCCTCTCTAGGCGTGCATGCATGCGGAAGCGCGCCTAGAGCCTAATACGCCGGGGCGGGTTTTGGGGGCTAGAGCCCATCCGCGCCCGGCTGTTGGTTTTTCCCCCTCTCCTGTTGTTCCCCGGAGAGGGTAGGGTGAGGTATCGGCTAGGTAGCAAACTTGGTTAGTTACAGAGTTGGGTCTCTTAGACGCTGTTCGGAGTCTGGGCCCGCAGGCCAGGTCCCAGGCGGTGTAAGTTGATGAGGGGTGCGACTCCTCTGGCACTGGAGTGTGTGCGACAAAAGTATCATTTTGAGTGTCAACTAAAAATGGGGTTTTGGAGCGCATGTACGACAGGGAGCAGAGCAGTCGCCACCAGGCTTGCGAGTGGACGGTGCTAGACGTTTTGACCTTGGTTAAACAGTTTGCCCTCAGCTGGCCTTTCAGGTCTTTGCCGCTGAGTTTCCGTGCGCAGTTAGGAAGGCGCTGACTTTTGCGTAGTTGCAGACAGTTCTTAAGTATGGCTGCAGCTGTAGGTAGGCGAGCCTTTTGTTTCCCACCCTCCCACCCCTACTCTCTCCGGGGTCCTCTCTAGGCGTGCATGCATGCGGAAGCGCGCCTAGAGCCTAATACGCCGGGGCGGGTTTTGGGGGCTAGAGCCCATCCGCGCCCGGCTGTTGGTTTTTCCCCCTCTCCTGTTGTTCCCCGGAGAGGGTAGGGTGAGGTATCGGCTAGGTAGCAAACTTGGTTAGTTACAGAGTTGGGTCTCTTAGACGCTGTTCGGAGTCTGGGCCCGCAGGCCAGGTCCCAGGCGGTGTAAGTTGATGAGGGGTGCGACTCCTCTGGCACTGGAGTGTGTGCGACAAAACAACCTGCTGAGAACGCGATCTCCGCCTCCTCCAAGCTGAATCCTGCTCGACTGCTAGCCAACATCGCACCTCCAAACCCCAATCATTCCTCCTTTAACCACGACAACGGATCTAGCGCCTGCAAGGAAACCTGCCTAAAAACCTGTCTGGCTACGTACTACGACCTGCAAAACTAACCTCACCTCCTTCTCAACATTTCACAACCTGCTCTTCCCGAAACGCTTATGTTGTGACAGCATACCAGCTGCGCATCATTTGCTAAAAGAAAACGAAGTACACTTCCGACAAGACCAAACCTTATCCTATTGCAGCAGGCTGCGACAAACCACGCAGCTACCCAAAGCAAACAACCCAAACAGCTCCCCCCCAGATCCTTAACCGACTGCTCAAAACTAGTGGCCACTCATTGTTCAGGTGTCTCCCCCCCAGATCCCAGCGCTCTCGTGCAATCCTACTAACCTTAACTAAACCCTAAAAATCCCTAATCCCGGGATCCCCTCAGGTGAAAGCTCCGGAGCTCGCCAGTATGAAACTAGCGGGTTGCCATGGCGCCGGCTATGAGCCAGCAGGACGGTGACGTCACGTCCTGGGAGGTGGTGGAGAGAGAGGCCATATGGAGGAGGCCTGGAATGCGCGTAGAGGGGCGGCGCTAGCGTAGTAGCAGCGCGGGCCCGATGGTCGAGGTTGTAGACGCCGTGTAACAACCAAATGTGTCGACCAAATATGCCGATGGTACCAGAAGGCGATGATAGAATAGCCAAGGGAGTAGATGGAGGTATGGGGCAAGCCGACGGCGACGGCGGTGCTCGAGCGAAAGTGAGAGGAAGAATGCAGGCAAGACCGCCCACAATCTCCCCCCCAACAGCCAAGACGCCGGAGGTGGCGTGGCTGTTCCCACGTGGGCGGAGATGGCCATATGAACCCATGTAACTGTTGCTGTAAACCCATGATGAAGCTGTGCTGCGCTGATAACGAAGTGATGATGCTGTAATCGAAGCGCTGCTGCTGACTAACGGCTGTAGCTGGCCTGATGTCTCACGCTGCTGCTGTAAAAGCTGGAAAACAAAGGCACAACGGCAACAGCCGTATTCAGGACGTAACACGCTGGCACTCCCCCCCTGCGAAAACCAACCCTCAACCAAAAGAATCCCTCAGATAGCTATAAAACCGCCTGACTCCAATCTCACCAAAGAAACCAAAGCCGACTTAAGAAATCCCATCTAAACAGCGAAGCAAACGGCTGGACCCCTCCTCCAAAATCACACAAGCGGGACCCAGTACGACGGCACGACGTTACCCATCATAAGGCGACTTTTAATAACCGGCGACTGAAACAGAAACACCCACAACGCACCGGACGGCGCCAAACGAACGTAAAGCCGACCAGCATCATGCATCCGTGACAGCCACGCGACTCGACCTTCATGTGCATGCAACATCCGCCTGCAAACCTGCTCTCGGAAGGGAAGGGCAAGGGTCATCACGCCTGGATAGACATGTGACGTGAAAGGACGCATGAGAGAGACGCGTTATGTTAATGATGTGAACCGCAGCTTGCGTCAGAGCTGGCGGTGGCCGCAAGGGAGGCGACCGGCGGGGAAAATGGGGCGGCGCCGATGACGACGGCGGTTGAAAAGGCGCAGGAACTTGCTGGTGCAGAGGCGGCGGCCGCGAGCACGCGGCACAGAGCCGTCGTAGGGCGGCTGGGAGGGAAGCCTGACAGGGCGGCGGCCACTGTGGGCCTTGTGGGTAGGCTTGGCGGTGCCACCACCGTCAGAGGAGGTGCTCGCAGAGGAAGCGGGCCTGGCTGAGCTGCCGAACAGCGCGTCAGGGCCGCGGATGGAGCTAGACGAGGAAGGGAAGCCGTCCATGCTGGCCGCAGGATCGGGGGCCGCAGCGACGCCTGGTATGTCCACCAGGGGGTACGGCTCAGGAGGGCTTTCACACATTACGGGCGCAGATGACAGCGATGATGCGGCAGGTAATGTAACATTCGCATTGGGAGCAACCGGCTCAGCAACGGTACGTGGACCATCGGCAGAGGCAACGGGCGTGCTAAAGACGTGAGCGGTTGCAACGGACGAATCTAGAGGCACTTGCGCATGCACGCTCCTGGGCTCAGCAGCAACGGGCTGCTTGGATGACGGACGTACAGGCAGATTCTGCTCGGAATACCTGTCTTGAGACCCATGCGATGGGGTGGGAGCAACGCTATCCACGACAGCCCCCTGCGAGGGCCCAGCACTCTTAGATACGCTTAGCATGCTGGGAGCAAGCGGCGCCTCTGGAAAGCCGTCAAGGTTCGCAGGTGGTGGTACGGATTGTCCGGCTGAACAGCCACTTGGCGTAGTAGACTGGCCCGACGCTAGTTGGCACTGCGGCTGCTGCATGGACATCTCAGCGGGTAACGGAATAGGCTCAGGTGGGGGCAGCAAAAGCTGGCGCAGCGCTTGCTTGCACGTGGCAAAGGTGACGGTTGACCCAGGGACAATCCTACGGATTTCTGCCCGAAACTGGATTGCGGCATAGTGCATACAGTCTTGGAAGATAGGGTAATCAGACATGCTAGCAAAATGGCGCAGCGACTCGTGAACATACGTCGCGGGATTGCAAGCAAACGAGTCTAACTTAGCCCTGAACTTGGCTTCCTTAGCGACGAGCCCGACCGCAGTATCGTAGCCGAAATCTTCATCATTGCACAACGCACTTTCAAGGATCGAAAGGAGCTTGGGTAACTGCTCCGGTGCCCACGACATTGCGACCCGACTTACTAGCCCTGGCTAGCCCAGCGCGCCATACAAGCTAAGGTGGCAACATAGTGGAGTATCTGCACAAGGAGAGGGTAACAATCTCCGGCCGAAGGCGTCTCGGCGCCTCGGCCGGGTGAAAGCGTACAATATTGAGGCGACCTAAGCGCGCAAAACGTATGAAAAGGGATCTAATATTGACAAGCTACACTACAAACTAGACTGGGTTAAAACCGGATGACCTTTTGGCAAACGTCCGGGGGAAGTTCGGGATGTATGTCCCTAATGCTATCTCAGGCAAAGCAAGGCAATTGCCCTAGTGTGGCCCAGACCACACAGTGTTGTAGCGCAACTGTATCAGATCAACTAGCCATATGTGTTACAACTCGGATCATACCTCAAAGCGCGGGCATGTCATCTCTTGGATCGGGCACAGATTGCCACGAACTCACTCCCAGCAGAATAGGGATGCAGATACTCAATAAAGATATCAACCTGTTCACGAAACTGTTAGACTGCGCAGGCCACGTTAGGGGCAGCTGGACGCAAGTATACTCGATGGATGCGCAGGCCACTTCTGGGCGTCTTCACGCAATACCTGATATTGGAATCCTGTTAGTATTGTTGATGATCTATCATGAGCCTCTACACAACCGCAACCGCACGGTAGTGCCAAAAGGTGCGCTGCGCCGCACCTCCTCAGCATAAGAGCAAGGCGGGAAGCGTAATACAGGGCCCACATGGCACCCGATGACACCAGATACGCGCCAAGATACCAACTGACTGCGTTCACTCAGGTACATCCAACCAGATAACCAATATTATAGCAGCTAACCGCAACATAACCAAGCCATAACGATAGCTAGAGATCTGACGAAGCCCTAACCGCTAACGAACCGACGGCAAATCCACCTAGACGGCATCCAGACCTGACACCGCAACAGCCGCCCCGAGCTGCGCATCCCCCTAGGCGGTAGGGCGGAGGTGGACAGCGCGCGTGCGGCCATCCGCTTCGCCTACACGGAGGAGGTGCAGGCGGGCAGCGTGCAGGAGGTGCTGGAGATGCGGCGGCAGGCGGCATACATGCAGATCGAGGGCTGCACTGAGGCGTGCGATGAAGTCCTCCGGGGCATCGTTGATTATCGCCGAAGTGCAGGGGCTCAACGGCAGATGCGCTGGGGTACGCCGCCGGCTGCTTTGCAGCTGTATGCTCATGTGGAGCTGTGGCCTGATCCCGCTGTGGTGAAAGACCCCAGCTTTGAGGCCGTCGTCGCGGTCGCCAAGAAGCGGCTTGTGTTGTACTTTAGCAACACGCTAAATGTGCTCAACACACCCTCGCTCCGTCAGCAGCTGCTGGATCTGCCGGCGTTGGCGGTGGAGGCGCTGCTCGAGTCGGACAGCTTCGGCACCGACAGCGAGTCCAGCGTGCTGCTGCTGCTGGCGGTGTGGATGGAGGCTAACTACGGCAAGACGGACGCAGCGGTGCGCGAGCGGCTGTGCCGGCTGGTGCGGCTGGTACAGCTGAGCAAACCCTACCTGAGCTTTGTGCTGCTAGCGCTCGCTGCGGATTACGAGATATCGCCAAAGACGCCAGCCGGCTGGTTCCCTGTAACCCTGGCCGAAGCCGGCTTCATAGCCCGTTGTGTCGGCGCCTCTGACACGGAGCGGAAGGAGCTGCTTGAAGAAGCAGAGGAGTGGAAGCGGATGCTAAAGGAGGCAGAGGCAGCCGCTGCATACAATTTCCACTCGGCGACCTACAACACCACACCCCGCGCGCAGTGCGTGCCCGAGGGCGGCCTCAGCTTTGCTGGGCACATCTCCCAGACGGAGCTAGAGGAGGAGCTGGCGACCCTGCAGCCGGGGCAGGTTGCACTGTTCTACTGGACCATGGAGCAGCAGCAGTCAGTCGTGCGTGCGCAGGGCTTCGGGTGGCTGGTCTTCATGGAGTGGCGCCACGGTGCACCGTCCGCCGGGCTGTACATGTACTGCTGCAAGCCCGTTGCTTACAAGACCCTAAACCCCCGGCGCTTCAATGCCCCTGTGCCGATGCTGGTCGGCATGTGCCACCGTCTGGCCGTCGACTGTTGGCACAACGGCGCCAGGGCGGGCTCAGCACAGTGCGATTTCGCAGAGGAATTGCTGGTGGACAGGAGACGTCGGGCCAAATCATTGGCGCTGCCCCTTAAGCAGCCGGAGCGGGGTGCGGAAGCAGGTGGCGGCGGTGGTGCTGCTGCAGGAGGGGGTGGTGGTCCGGAGGCGGGTGGCAACCAGGTGCTGGCAGCCTGGGGGGAGTACCTGCACGAGGGGAGGATTACCGGCAGCCTGACGCTGCTGCCGGCAGCGGCTGGGGTGCAGTGAGGAGGAGTGGTGTAGGAGCGTAGAGCGCAGGTCTCATGCAGGGGATGACAGGCACGCTTTCTTCACATGTTGCAAGATGTTGCTGTTAAAATCTTAACAGGGCAGAAACCTGAATTCAAGGTAGGGAGTGTAGGATTACTTGCGTATCTGCTGCGACCGTGCATTGCCCCGCTCCATCCCTGGTAGGCACGGGCTGTTACTATCGGTACATGCAATCAGCCCACACTTACTACGGGTACGCTCACCCGGAGAAGCTTATCCGTACTAGTAGAGTGCCTGGGCTGCAGCCGTTGTTTTGCGGAGGCAGGCTACAGGCGACTGTTCCCAAACTGAATGTTATCGGTCACCTTGTCGGGCGGTGCGGCGCCAGGTTGGCGCCTATCGAATTGTGGACTCCATGTAGCAAGGCTGGTGTAAAACCGAGGTTTGGGCAACGGGGAGCATGTTACAGTGGGGTGACTGAAGATGCCGTACCGGTAAACACCGCCTGTGCACACCAGACCGCACCCACCGATAGGCGGCATGCATGTACAGCTTCAGCCATGCAGCGCCGCTAGCCTACCTAAACTGCGACACACGCTGTGGACCCCATGGTGAGGCACACACTCACCCGCATGTTCGCAGCAATGGCTGCTCCTCAAAGCTGACACATACACATCGGTGCGGAACTTACGATGCCCTGTGCCAAAACTAGCCCCCCTCCTTCCTCTTCCCTAACTGCCTACCTACCGTGCTATCTGGCCCGTAAACTGCTTGCATGCATGTGCCCCGACGGACATGAGAGCTGCACAGCTGCAGAGCCCCAGACAGCCAGGCCAGATAGCCACATGCGCACACGCCCAAGGTGGGTTTCTTCCGGCAATCACAATACGTCCCGACTCGCGGCCAGCTTCCTTAAACCACACGCAACCAGCAACACGATTCCCCAACCACTCCAGCAGCATTATCAGCTGCAGCATGGGGTGATTGCTTCCCATTTGGAGCCGCTGTGGCTTGCCGCGCCCAGTGTTGGCTACCTATGCAGGCAGGCTATGCCGCATAACGACCCCCTGCTGCCAGCATTCCGGCCGCCCAACCCAACCAGCCGTACTACCAACCATTTCAGATTCTCAGCCGACCGCCGGCGCCCTGCTGCAACCGTACGACGACCTCGCCTTCTAGGGCCTCACCCCTCCTTACCACCCATGTGACCACACCACCTCAATCGCTGCTTCGCCGACTTCTTCACCCCTCCCTGCATCTTTTCTTTTACCCTCGACCCCCCGCTTTCCCTTGGTCGAAAACGCTCGACCTGGTCTGCTCCCCCAGTGAACCTTATCAGCCGTACACTTTCACCCTCTCTCGCTGCAGCAAAGGAGGCCAATCCCATTCGCGTCGCTATTACGGTCTATAGAACTAGACATAGTTAGCCATCGCTGCTGTTCTGAACTTCTGATGTTGTTCCTAACTCGTACCGTCACGCCTTGCGCTGCTACTTCATCCGCCAACGTTGGCCTCAGTTCGCAGCAACCAGCAGCACCCCAGCACACGCATGGGCTCACTTCATGCCGCGTTGGCGCCACCTCCTCCGCCGCCGCCAGCCCCTGTCCCTGCCCCCCACCCAGCAGCTCTCAGGGTATGCGGCCGGCAAAGCGGAGGGACAGCAGGTGGACTGAAGATTGCTAAGCTGGACAGCACCTTTATGCAGAGGACACCAAGTCTCTAAGGGCTGCTGATTGTGCGCCATAATGGCTTATCCTAGTAATAACGCATGTGCGACCCGAGCGAGAAGGCGACCGACACTGTACCCAACCTTGCACGGTATCGGGGTTTTGGGGGACAAGAACTTCGCGGCCAACGCTGTTTCACTCGCGGTGGGTGCTCCGTCCAGAAGGGCTTGTGTAGGGTAGCAAGCACAGCGACCTTTGCATCGACGGCGTTGAGGACCGTACAGTCCTTGGATGGGTCTTCGCCGTAGGGTTGCTTTAGCCCTGACAGCAGCAGCATCGCTTGCCATTAATCTTGTTCAATCCACCACTGGATTGTGCATTAGCAGGCCGAAGACGACAGCTAGGTCTTCCATCTGCTCATACTGCTGCTAGGCCTCACACGCTCAGCCAACACTGACCCGTGGGTCGCCATCCGCCACTTGCAGCGCACTCAAACTCAGCACCCACAATGCCACCTGGAAAAAAGCCCTTTCTCAAGGCCATCGCCAAGCTGTTTGGCAGCGGGAAGGACTCCGACTGCGTGATCCGCTTCTACCAAGAGGCAGACGTCCTCGGACGTCCGAACAAGAAGCAGAAGACCTCTGAGGCAGTCGCCTCAGCAGCTGGGTCTGCTGGCGGCATATTGGAGGGTGGAGCTTTCCTTGGAAGCCCGCTTCCCGCACACCGCTTTGTGTTGTGCCGCAGCTCCGAGCGTTTCTCCGCCTAGGTCAGGCTGGGCTCCCGCTGTAGCTGCGCCCTACCTGCTTTCATTAATGCACGGTTCCCGAAATGCCGTTGATATGCTGCGAGCATTCTGAGCAAGCACTTCACGTCCTGCACTGCTTAGGCTAGAACCAAGGCTTAATCTACACCAGAAATGCTGCTAACATACTACCTGCCGGCCTCCCATGCAGTTTGAACGCTGGGAAAGTGGCGAGCAGGCACCACCAGCATCCTCCACCACCCCCAGCAGCAGGCGTTCCGAGCTGCGCATCCCCCTAGGCGGTAAGGCGGAGGTGGACAGCGCGCGTGCCGCCATCCGCTTCGCCTACACGGGGCAGGTGCAGGTGGGCAACGTGCGGGAGGTGCTGGAGGTGCGGCGCCAGGCAACATACCTGCAATTCAAGGGCTGCGCTGAGGCATGCGATGAAGTCCTCCGGGGCATGTTGAACGCATCAGCGGTCCTGGGCTCCAATGGCAGTGCGCAAACCGCCCAGGGCACGCGACCGGCAGGTTTGGAGTTGTACGATCATGGCGAGCTCTGGCCTGATCCCGCTGTGGTGAAAGACCCCAGCTTTGAGGCGGTCGTTGCGGTCGCCAAGAAGCGGCTTGTGTCGTACTTTGGCAACACGCTACGAGTGCTCAACACACCCTCGCTCCGTCAGCAGCTGCTGGATCTGCCGGCGGTGGCGATGGAGGCACTGCTCAAGTCGAACAGCTTCGGCACCGACAGCGAGTCCAGCGTGCTGCTGCTGCTGGCGGTGTGGATGGCTGCCAACTACACCAAGACGGACGCAGCGGTGCGCGAGCGGCTGTGCCGGCATGTGCGGCTGCCGCAGCTCAGCAGACCCTACCTCAGCTTCGTGCTGCTAGCGCTTGCTGCGGATCATGAGATATCGCCGGATACACCAGCCGGCTGGTTCCCCGTAACCGTGGCCGAAGCCGGATTCATAGCTCATTTTGCTGGCGCCTCTGACAAGGAGAGGAAGCGGATGCTCAAGGAGGCAGCCGCTGCATACAGCACCAAGTCGGCGACCTACAACACTACACCCCGCGCGCAGTGCGTGCCGGACGGCGGCCTCAGCTTCACTGGGCACATCACCCAGACGGAGCTAGAAGAGAAGCTGGCGACCCTGCAGCCCGGCGAGACTGCCAAGTTCTACTGGACCATGGAGCAGCAGCAGCAGGTCGTGTATGCGCAGGGCTTCGAGTGGCGGGCTTTCATAAAGTGGCGCCACGGTGCCCCGTCCGCCGGGCTGTACATGTACTGCTCGAGGCCCCGTGCCCGCCAACCCTAAACCCCCGCCAACAGCGCTGTGCCGATGGTGGTCAGCATGTGCCGCCGATTGGCAGTTGACCGTTGGCGCAACGGCACTCGGGCGGGCTCAGTCCTCTGTAGTTATGGCATGGAGTCATTCGTGGGCACGAGGAGCGGTTGGAGCAAAACAGAGCTACCCCTTAAGCAGCCGGAGCGGGCTGCAGGAGCAGGTCGCGGCAGCGGTGCTGCTGCTGCAGCAGGGGGTGGTGGTCCGGAGGCGGGTGGCAACCAGGTGCTGGCAGCCTGGGGGAAGTACCTGCACGAGGGGAGGATTACCGTCAGCCTGACGCTGCTGCCGGCAGCGGCTGAGGTGCAGTGAGGAGGAGTGGAGTGGGAGGGTAGAGCGCAGGTCCCATGCGGGGGATGACCGTTCCTTTACCGGTACTACGGCATGCCGGTTTGCAGTTTTGATAGGGCGCCCCTTTGCATCGTGCCTTCAAGGTAGGGAACAAACAGTGCCAACCCTGCTACCCATGGCTCTGGCCGTCTGGTGCGGCCTGTGCTGGGGACGTTGCAGATCCCCGCCTCAGGGATGCACGGTTGGTTCGTTGGGCTGTATGTCGCTGCGTTGGACTGACCTGCAGTTGTTGATTGGGACAATACAGACGCTCACCTGGTGTGAAGCACGTCCGTACCGTACTAGTGGGTTGTAGCAAGTCCCGGGGCTGTGGCCGTTGGTGTTGCTGTTGCGGGGCTAGCGGAGGCATGCTATGAGCGAGTGTTTGCAGACGGGTGTTGCTCCAAGGTAACCCGGTTGGACGGTGCTGCGCAACTCGGTTGGTAGCTAGGCGGTAAGCTTGTAGCTAGGCGGTTGTAAAGTATAGCGTGTTAGTTGGGCAGCAGCAGGGACGTATGTTGCAGCGCGATGTATGGAGTTACTGGTAAGTGTTCGCACGGCACGATTGTTGCAAAACCAGCAACGCATGAGAATGCAGCTACCGGTGTGTAAGGTAACATGAGGTCATGAGCACGCTGCTACGTGTTACGTCGTACAAGACTAAAGAGCCGTACACATGTAGATAGCCAACATACGCCTTTACCATCACTTTACACCATTGTGACCAGTTAACATCTTCTCAGCAGTTCCCCAGGAGCCCAGCACCTCCCAGCACTCGCACAACATCCGAATGTAATTGAAAGAATTAAAACCTAGTATACGGTGGGCAGTACCGCATATTGTCACACACATGCAAACACCACCTGACGCAAGATGCCCAGACTGGCATGGCAAAATCCCTCAACACATGGCCAAACACTGTCATCTAGACTATTGCTGCTGGCTATCACTGACAACCTCCGTGCACTGTTACGTATGTCGGGTACGAGTCGCAGTGGCCCGTAGCCCTTGCTAGGCCTAAAACAGGTCAAGGACGTGGGCACAACACCGCACACAACCCCATCCATCCCATAGACGCAGAGGCATACATACCCAACTTCAGTCGTACAAGCAACTCTGCTTGCCGATGCACGTTGAAGACCCTACTGGAGTATCCCGAATGTTCACAGCAGTGGCTGCTTTTGACAGCAATGACCGGCAACCCATCACTGGCACAACTACGGCACCGTTGACATACTACACAGACGACAGTCTGTGTTATAACTAGCCCCCCTCCTTCCTCTTTCCTAACTGTCTTCCTCCCTCGCTATCTGCCCCGTAAACTGCTTGCATGAATGTGCCCGACCGATGAATGTGCCCCGAAAGCTGCACAGCAACAAAGCCCCAGACAGCCAGGCCTGACAGCCACATACCCTCCCCGTAGCAACAGCCTTAAACCTCTTAGATGCCCAACGAACTGAACTCGTCGCCCTGCACATTTTACCCCTAGGACATCTCACCCCTCCCACACTCCCCTTCACGCATCAGCTACCATCCTCCCTCTTTACGCCCTCCACTCCCTGCGTGGCCGTATTACCCCCACTCCCCGCACCGCACCCCGGTGCGGCCGCTACCAGCAGCCGCACACCTCACCCTCGCTCCTCTTCGCTCCCCTTCCTCAGCAGCAAACTCACCGTAATCAGTCGCACGCGCATCGCTTCCACGTCTTCATGAACGAACTGGTTTCCACCCTAAAGGGCACTCGTCTGTTAACATCCTTGGACTTCCATCCTGCACTACCCGCGCTACATCCGCAACCGCAACCCCAGCAAACACGGTGCACTCAGCAACAACAACGAACACCGGAAGAACAGCAGCACCAGCAGCAGCAGCAAGAGCCAGCAAAGCAACTGCAGAAGGTGATACCACATTAGACATAACCGTGGGACCACACTCCTCTCCGCCCCGCTCCCCGTCTCTGCTCTGCAGCTGCTCAAACAGCAGCCCCCGCCACACCTCCCCCTTCCCCTTCGACTACCCCTTCTGAACCGCCGTCCCCCTTCCTCAACCCCTCCCTAGCTATCGCACGCAGCCTGCAACCCCTTCCCCTTCCCGCTTTCCTACTTTCCCCTGCTCTTTGGCCTCATACCGAGCCCCCCCTCCCAATCTCACGCCTGCTGAGCGTGCTGCTGCTGCCCCACCAGCTGCACCCGCAGCTGCCCCCTGCGAGGACAGCTCCCCTCCAGCTGGTCGCAGTGCGCCGCGGTGAGGGACGGCAGGTCGCGAAGCACCAGCAGCCGCAGCTGGCGCAGACAGCGGGCGGCGGGGGTGAAGCCGGCGACCGTGAGCTGGAGAGGCGGGGGGGGGGCGGGAGGGGCAGCAGAGGTGAGGGGGAGTGAGGAGCGAGGGTAGGGCAAGAGAAGAGGTAAGAGTGGCGGCCAGGCGTGTGGCGTTAGGGGGACACAGAAGTGGAGCAGGCACACAATGGAAGCAACTCCCCGCTCCGCCACCGCTCCGAAACTCCTCCAGTAAACCGCCCTCCTCAGCCCCCTCCCCTCCCCGCACCCCCCTCACCTGCTGCGCCCCCGCCACCGTGAGCTGTGTGAGGGCGGACAGGGCGGTGAGGGCGGCCAGACCCGCGTCGGTGAGGGACCGGGGGCGAACCAACTCTAGCTGCGGGGAGGGGCGGGGAGGGAGAAGGGAGGTGGAGGCGGAGCGGATCAGGATGCATAGAAAGTGAGGAACTGACGGAGTGCACGTATCGTTTAATCCGGAGCTTAAGCTGGGGCGCAGGCGGCATCACAAGGCCCCAACCCGATACCGCCACCCTTCTCCTTCCTTCCTCCGCCCACCTAACCCCACTCCACCCCACCCCTCCCCTGCCCCTCCCCCTCACCTCCCTCAGCCCCGGCACCGCCGCCACCAGCGCCGCCAGCTCCCCGTCCTCCAGCCGCTCGCACTGCCGCCAGCGCAGCCCCCGCAGCCCGCCCCCCCACCGCCCCACCGCCGCCACCACCGCCGCCACGTCCGTCTGGCTGTAGTCCAGCTGCAGGTGCGCCACGTGCGGCAGCGCGGCGGGCAGCAGGCGGCACAGCAGCGCGTCGTACAGGCGCAGGTGGCTGCAGGGAGAGGGAGGGGAGGAGGAGGAGGTGAGGAGGAGGGGAGGAGGAGGAGGGGAGGAGGAGGAGGGGAGGAGGAGGAGGTTAAGGGTAAGGAAACGGGTTGCGAAGCTAGTGGTTGTGAACTCCGGCATGGTCCTATTCGTAACGCTTTGCTCCTGGCGCTCCGTACCCTCCCTCCGTGTGTCTCTCCCTTCCTTCCGTCCCCCCGCTTTCCTGAATCCCCTTCCCCCTCCCCCCTCCATCCTCACGTGACGGGCAGCTGCTGCCTGGCCGCCACCTCCTCAACCGCACCCGCACCCTGCTGCTGCTCCTGCTGCTGCCCGCCCCCTCCGCCCCCTGCGGCCCCCAGCAGCAGCTCCCCGGGGATGCGGCCGGCGGAGTGCAGTGTCAGCAGGTAGTGGGTGCGCAGTGAGAGCTCGGACAGGCGCGGGAACACGGAGGACAGCGGCACGGAGGTGCGCTGCAGGGGGGGGAGGGGGGGGAGGGGAGAGGGAGGGGAGGGAGGTCATGAGCAGAAAGGCAAGAAACGGATGAGGGGTAGCGGACACCAGGCGCAGCTCTGTGGCAGTGTTCCTGCACTTGCTAGACCCCACGTGACCTCGCTAACTCCCCTTAACCCGCACCCGCAACCACATCCCACCTCCCGCCCTGGCGGCCCACCCCCACTCGCTAGCTCCCCTCCCTGTCAGTCAACACAGGGGGTACTCTTCTACCCCCACCCCCTCGCCCCCTCTCACCCCACCCTGCTATCTCCCCCCCTCTCCTTCCCCTCCCTCTCCCCTCCCCCGTCATGACCCACCTGGAAGTCGTCCACGTAACCCAGATGCAGCACCCGCACCTGGGGGGGGAGGGGGGGGAGAGGGAGGGGGGAGGAGGGGGAAGGAAGGAGGGGTTCGGGTAGCGGGCATGGAAGAGGGGAAGCAGAGAGCAGGGATGAGGCGCCCCTCCACCCGGACTTCGACCGTCTCCCTTTCCTTAGTCTTGGCCCCTCGCTACCACTGCCCCCCCCCTCCCCGGCCTCCGGTTTCCTGTGGTTTGCCCGCCCCCCGCGAGGCCCCCCCCTCCCTGCCCCACCTGCTGCATGGCTTCCCCGCACGGCGCCCGCAGGTTGATGCGGCCCATCTGCAGCGAGCTGAGGTGCACGCAGGGGCGCAGCTGCGGGAGGTGGGGGGGAGGGGGGGTGGGGGAGGGAAGGGGAGACGGGAGGGGAGGGAACAGAGAGGATCGGATCTTTCGCAGCTGAGAGTGCTCTCCTTGTTCATGTTTGGGTAAGAGCGCATGCGGCACGCTAGGCGGCAGCACGTGGGCAGCTCCGGGCCCACCAGGGCACACCTAATACACACCCCGACAAGACATTCTCCCCCATGCCCCCCCGCCAGCTCCATCACCCCCACCCCTCCACCCCTCCACACACCCCCCCCGCCCTCACCGCCTCCAGCATGGCGTTTGTGATGTCGAAGTTGGACAGGTGCAGCGACCGCAGCTGCGTCAGGCGGGGCAGCAGCGCGGAGAAGCAGGGCAGCAGGTGCTCGTCGTAGTGCTGAGTGATCTAAAGGGGGGGCAGGGAGGTGGGGAGGGAGGTGGCAGGCAGGGGGGAGGATGATAAGGAGGGGGGGAGGAAAGGATGCTCAGGCCATTGGCGAGCAGCAGATGCCCCTGTAGCGCCGCCGTTAACCGCACCTAACCGCCCGGGTGCCTTCACACCCCTCCCTCCCTCCCTCGCTCCCCAGGACTGTCCCCTCCTTCACCACACTGTGTATCCTTCCTCCCCCCCCTCACCTCCAGCTGAGTGAGGCCGCTCAGCTCCCCCCACGCCCGCACCTCCGCCGGCAGCGGCCCCACCACCCGGAAGCTCAGGGCCCGCAGCCCCGTCAGCCGACTGAGGCCGCAGAACTCGTCGTGGATGGCGCCGCCCTGGGAGGGAGGGGGGAAATGGAGGGGGACAGGAGGGGCTGGAGCATGGAAGGAAGGGGAGGGTACCAGTATGCATGGGAAACACTTTCAAACAGCGCAGTGAAGACGTGGCATAGAAGGTGCGTTACACCCACCGAGTCGCTTAAATGCATAGAGGGGTGTTGAGGGATGCAAGAAAGCCCAAACTGCCTTCGGTAAGACGGAAGAGCGCACTGCTGCCCCCGCTGCTGCCCCCCCCGCTGCTGCCCCCGCTGCTGCCCCCCCCGCCCCGCTGTCGTACCGAGTACTGCAGGTTCTCGATGACCAGCCGCGTGAGGGAGGTGAGGGCGGACAGGCAGGCCAGACCCGGCTGCGTGTTCACAACGTGGTTCACCTGGGGGGGGGGGGGGCGGAAGGGGGAGAGAGGGACAGGCGGGAGTTAAGGAAGCAAACGAGGCGCACGGGCAATCACCCATAGGACTCTGCATTGCGACTACCTCTCCTACATCATGCACGCTTGCCCGGTCATCCTAGTCCCCACTACCCTCCCACAACAGGTAAGACACCATGCAGCCATCAACCCCTCCCACCTCCCCCCCACCTCCAGCTGCTGCAGCCCGCTGCAGGCCTCCAGCCCCGCCCTGTCCGCCGCCCGCAGCTCCCCACCCCGCAGCACCAGCGACCGCAGACCCGCCAGCGAGGCCACATGTGACCAGAACACACCCTCGCAACTTTCTTCCGAGGCAGCAGCCGGGGAAGCCGACGGATCGCCGCCGCCGCCACCGTCTCCACCGCCGCCGCCGCCGCCGTGGCGGCCAGGGGTGTTAGCGAGGGGGCTGTACGCGTCCTCCGCGACTTCCGCAGAAGCACCCGCCGGCGCCCCTTCAGAGGGCCTTGCCGCAGCAGCGACAGCTGCCATTGCCACATCGTCCCCGGCGGCGGTCCCGGCAGCCGCATCCTCGTCATCAGCATCCTCATAATCAGCATCATCCTCGCCGCCGCGGTCGCGGCTGCTGGCAGCCGAGCGCATGCTGACGTCATCGCCCTCCTCGTCAGCGCCGTGGGAGCCGCCAGCAGCGTACTCGTATGGGTCAGTTGCTGCCGCTGCCGCCGACCCCTCCTCCACACCCTCCATGAGGTGAGCCGCGCTGCCGTGTGCAGCAGCACCCCCCTGCATGCCCCCTCCTTGCTCCAGCTCCTGCTCCACACCCTCTTCCGCCTCCTCCTCTCCCATACCCTCCTCCACCTCCGCTTCCTCCTCTTCCGCCTCCTCCTCTCCCATACCTTCCTCCACCTCCGCTTCCTCCTCTTCCGCCTCCTCCTCTCCCATACCTTCCTCCACCTCCGCTTCCTCCTCTTCCGCCTCCTCCTCTCCCATACCTTCCTCCACCTCCGCTTCCTCCTCTTCCGACCCCTCCTCTCCCATACCTTCCTCCGCCTCCGCCTCCTCCTCATCCTCTTCTTCCAACCTCGCCTCCGCTGCCGCTTGCCCCCCGGCTTCCGCACCCGCGCCTCCCTCGTCCCCCAGCCAAGGCTCCCCCAGCAAGTTCTCCTCCAGCTCCTCCGCCATCATCATCAGCTGCAAGTCATCCGCGCCGTGCTGCTGGTGCTGCTGCAGGTGCTGCAACACGTGGTGCAGGTGGTGGTGGTGGTGGTGCAGCAGGTGAGCTAGCGGCCATGGAGGGTGCAGGTGAGGCTGGGGAGCCGGAGGCGGCTGCGGCGGCGGCGCAGCCGCCGCCGCCGCCTGCCCGGCGGCAGGCGGCGTCGCCACCTCCGGCGGCTCCTCCCTCTCCACCCTCAGCTCCGTCAGCGCTGTCGCCGCCGCCGCCAGGCCGCCCGCCGCCGCCATGCAGCTCCGCGGCACCTCCAGCAGCGCCAGGCTGCACAGGCGGGGCAGGTGCGGCACCAGGTTGGCGGACAGCGCCGACAGCTGAGCGGACAGACCAGCCTCGGACAGCGCCTGGGAGGCAGGCGACGGCGGGTCGGCGGTATCGGCATCGGCATCGGCATCGGCGGCGGAATCGTCAGGTGCGGGTGCGGTGGGGCTCCTGGCCGCCGCTGCGCCCTCTGCGATGGAGCCCGACGGGGCCACCAGAGGCGCCCCTGCGGCGGCTGCAGCTGCAGCTGCTGCTGCCGCCACCGCTGCTTCCGAGAGCGCGGCGTCTGGTACAAGCGGTGGAACGAGTTCGTCCGGACCGAGGCCGGGGCCGGGGGCAGCCGCTTCGGGAGCCGCTGGTGCGGCAACGTGAGCCGCCACCGGCTGCGCCACCTCCTCCACCTCCTCGTCTTCCTCCTCTGCAGCTCTTAGCTGGCCGGCGGCGTCTTGGCCACCTGCCTCCGCCTCTGCCATGCCCTCCGCCTCCTCCACCTCGCCCACCTGCTCCGCCTGCTGCTGTGCATCCATGGCTTGCATCTCCTGTAGCCACTCCTGGTGCGCCGCCTGCAGCAGCTGCTGCACGTCTGCCAGCTGCTGCTGCACCTGCTCCGCATGCGCCTGCTGCTGCGCCTGTTGCTGCTGGGCCAGCAAGCCAAGCAGATCCGCCGCAGCAACCGCCGGACCCGCCGCCGCCTGAGCAGGACCCCCAGCAGGACCTCCAGCCGCCTGATCAGCGCCCGCCTGACCAGCGCCCGCCAGGTTGCCAGCCGCCGCCATCACTGCTCCCACGATCGCCTCCGCATCGCCGTGAAAGGGACCCACGCCGGCACCGCCACCGCCGCCACCCTCAACAGCATCACCCGCCCCAGCCGCTGCCTGCTGCTGCTGCTGCTCCACCGCTGCACCCTCCATGCCACCTCCTGCCTGCTCACCCACCTGCCCCGGTGGCTGCTGCTGCTGCTGCTGAGGCTCCGGAACCGCCTCCGGCGGTCCGGCGGCTGCTACAGCCAGCAGCGCCTCCACCTGGCCCGCCAGGTCAGCCTGGCCTGCGGGCGGCTGGGCGGGGTTCTGGCCCGCCTGCTGCAGTAGCGCCTGCAGCTGCTGCTGAAGCTGATCCGCGAGCTGCTGCGCCCAGGCCACCATGGCCCCCTCCTGCGGCTGCGGAGGCTGGGGCGGGTGGTGATGAGGCAGGGCGGCAGCAGCAGCTGCTGCTGCCGGGGGACCTAGATGGGGTGCTTGTACGTGTATGTTGTGGGCGGGCAGCTGCAAGTCGATTTGAATGGCGTGGTTGGGCGCGACTGCCGCTGCGGGTGGATCAATTGCCAGGGGCGCCGGGTCTTCTCCGTCAAGCAGGCCGGGTTCGAGCTGAGCAGCTTGCGCGGGCTGGGAATACGGGGTTGTCGGTTGGGGCTTGGCGCGCAGCTGAAGCTGCAGCTCGCAAACGTATGGAGCCCAGCTTGGAACTGCTGGAGGAGCGTACGATGAGGAAGTGTCGGATCCAGCATTTCCAAGCGGTGGAGCTGCATTGAAGGCGATCGGCCCCGTTCCCTGCCTCACTGTGAGGTCACGCTGTCCATTAAAGCGCAATAGTCGATGTAGTCGCTTTGTTGGCAACTTGGACTCCATCTTCATGGAGATTTTGCTGATAATGGGTCCTACCATAATCTCCAACTTCCGGCACACCAGCCGAACCGCCGGTAAACATCGTGTTGGTAGGGATTCCAAAATAGTTGTCAAGATGTCAGGGGGTAATGCTAGCAATTCGGCCGTGCTCTCAATTTCGCATATGGCTGGAGGATTCGGGCACGGACTAGCACTAATTGAACCCGTTTCACCCATTTCTTGCTTGCTATCTCTTAGATCTTCCGTGCAAGTGATTTAAGACCTGCTGCAGAGAACATACGTAAGGCACAGATTGTTCCACAACGTTGGCCGCGAGGCAGTGAAGCGTACTATTTTGCTACAGTCGGTCCTACTGAACAGGATTTACTCGAACCATACAGTAAGGCAGCGCACAATGCCTAATTTGCGGCCAAGGCTATGACGTAGCCCTCGTACGGCACAGCATGCCTGTTGTTGCCTGTCTCGCCGTCTGGCATGATCTTAGGATAGCATTGGGGCCTGCGGCAGGATCTGGTCGCACTATATGACAACTTTAGTGGCGTTGCATATAAATTCTAGCCCTGACGTCCAAGGTAGCTCCCCGCTCCCCGGCATGCTTTCCGGGCCCTAGATCTTCAGCGCTGGCTGCCCCGCAATCCCAACAGCATCCAAGACAACGACATGTGACCGGTCCCAAAAGTTCGGCAGCAAAACACAATCCGCTTGCAAGGTGACATTGGGAAATCATGCCGTCGGCCCTATGGATTCACCACCTGCACGTTTACAACTCCCGCACTAGGACCCCGCCTGCCTCTGCCAGGTCCACTGAGTCATAACTCCACGCTGATTGCAGTCCTGGTGGGCGGGGATATAGGGGAAAACAACTAACTGACCGTGTGATATGGCATCATCATGGTTTGCAACATGTGAGCCAGCCCGACCCGCCCAGCCCGAATTAGCCAAGCCAGACTAGCCAGTACGTGTATTAGGCTTAACGTAAATTGTATACGTACCCAAAGCACGGACGAGAACGAAGCACTGGCGGGGAGGACAAGTGTACCGGCCTGCTTGTGCGCCAGATTAGGCGCATGAGCAGCAGGCCTGCGCGCGGCCCACATGAGTGCTATCCAGCACCAATCGCACCTCTTACCAACGTGCATTCTTGTCGCACGGCAGTGCCCCACAAAATTCATTTTTTTGGTGACGCAGCTCCTAACACCCAACATCTTACCTATGTAATTAGGATGGCGAAGATGAACTGCAACACAGCGGTGTTTAGGGTGATTAAAACGTAGTTTAGTAAAACACAAGGCACACGTGGGGATGCTTCGGGTGGGAGGAAGAGGGTTGGGGAGTCAGGTAGCTGTGCAACAGCCAACAGGGACTCACCACCCGGGGTAACCGGGAGGAGCGGGCTAGCAATGGTTGCACCGCTATCTGTTTGCCTCTATCTTATATGTGTCATCCTCTGCTCGTGCGCAGACAGTCGAGCCCGGGAAGGTGCATAATGCTTGCAGTTGAAGACGATTGACAGCAAGCCCTTGAACTTTTCAAAATGGCATTGAGCGAGTTATCAACCTCTGCTTTGTACACTCATGTAATTGATGCTTTCCCGGTTGCTGTTCAAGGCACTCGCTCACGTTTCCGCCTACCAAAGCATTGCACCAGGTACACCGGGGATAGAAGTGTACAATGGTACCGTAAGAAGTCCGCATTAAAGCTATGGAAGCTCTCTGCCACCTACGGTGCCCTTAAGGAGAAGGTGTACGGGATTATTAGGATCCAGAACTAGCCAGCTGACGGAGGCTGCCGACACTGACAGGAACCAGCGAACCAGGGTAAGAGGCGGGCGCTAGGAAATGTACAACAGCGAACAGGTATAACATTTGCACATAAAAGTAAAGACTGGTTTTGGATTGAGCCCTCTGCAAGCTGCTTCCGAGCGATGTACGGTTCGCACTTAGTCCCTGCGCCACTTTAATCCTTGAAAACCCAATCAGCGTGATCCAATACTGAAGTGTGAAAGTAGGAGAGGCAATGACGATGAATTTGACCTGTCGCTCAACGTCATTAGCATCGCGGCGGCAGCAAGGATACGGCCGGTTATTAATACTCTTGGTTGCCGCAACCCTAAGTCATATCTCAGGTAGAATTGAATACCTTTCGCAACAAAATGGTTTTACTGATTGTCTAACCAGCGCGTAGACATCTGGGACGTTGGGCCTAGCTAGCCGTCGCATTTAGTTATACTCGCAAACGACTGCCCTTCCTCCCTGTACACTAACCTATCCTTTTGTCGCAGGTGCTAGGCAGGTGCTTCGGTGGTCTGAGGAGTTTAAGCCAGGCTGCAAAACCACTGACAAGTTTTGCATCAATGGGGGCATCAACCTCCATAAATTCGGTTTTGACCTGGGCGACGGAACTTCCTACGGGCCAAGCCTTATAGGTGCGTCTGGACCACTACGTCACCAATGCTCAGCAGCTTGGGACGGTTAGCGACGGGTAACCTGCTCCATGCCCTGACCTAGCTTTCACCGTAAACTCCGCCCCACGCCTTCACGAGCCGCCCTGCCGAGCCCATTATACACCTCATTCCCTGCTCCTTGTCGCAGGCTGGGGCAACTGGCAGCGCCAATGCCACACCAACGCCTCCTCCAACGTTCGTGTTGAGCCCTTCCCCAACAACCCAACTGACGGCATGTTGGTCATCCAAGCGGGCTACGAGCCCTCCGGTTACACCTGCTTTAACGAGAACGCGCCTCCCTCCACCACCAACTACACCTCGGCGCGCCTCATCACGCGCAACAAGGCCACCTTCAAGTGCGTCCATTAGTGTTTGGTGGATTGTAGGTTTTCGGTTAACTTGTGCTCCAGGGCACAGGGCCCAGACTGTGATGGGGATTGCCAAACGAAATGCAGGGCTGTCAAGCCTTAACGAGGTGGCTTCCGTCTCGGTGCTACCCTGCCTGCACCGCATCTTCCCCTCCTCTTAACTCTCCTTCTCTGATCTGTGTCCGCAGGTGGAAGGGCGCTCCGGGCAACTCCACCCCCGTCCGCATCGATGTACGGCTGAAGGTCCCCTTAGGTGAGCCACATCCCGGAAGACAGCTCCGGAGAGCACAGGCACACAGGCTTTCTGTGGGGACCTCATCTTCCGGCAGCTACAGTATGTTTAGACTCGCGGCCAGTTTTCGTAACACACAGCACAGGACTGCAACCCACCTGTGCTGCGCCCACCACCACCCCCGACCGCAGTGAATGGCACGTGGGCGTCCGCTTGGATGCTCCCCGAAACCAACAAGACCTGGTGCATGGCGTGCGGCCCGTACGGAGATGGATGGTGCCTCGGAGGGGAGATTGGTGAGTCGGAGAGTACGGCACATGAGGGGTGGGGTGGGGGGTAACCGAGGTGCCAGGGCATTGAATGGGAGGGGGGAATTGCTTTCCCCCATTTCACGCATATGTATTGTGCATGCGCAGTGTACGAGATTGGGAAAAGTAGACCTGAGATAGGGTGCACCTCTTAAGGCGCTGCCTTTGCCTACACTCTATATGGATACCCTAGACCCCATCCTTGAGGGGAAGTAGGAGTCTCCTTCACCCCCACTCACAAGGTAAAGTTGGTTCTCCCAACCCTGCCTGCTACCTCCTCCTCCCGCCCATGCACCAGACATCATGGAGCACATAAACTCCAACGACTACCTGATCAGCAACGTCCACCACGGCGGCCTACCCAACGCATCCTGGGTGGGCTGCAAGCAGACTGTCGGTAAGCCGCCGGCTGGGGCCCACGTGGTTGACTACCGTATTTTGCAGCATCGAATTGTGCCGATTGTGCCTCCAACCCGCCACGCTCCTGCACCATCCCGATCCTGCCAGGCCATGCAGCCCTGCCCCTGACCCCGCCGCACCTGACACGGGTCGAAGCTTCCGTATCTATCCCTCGAGGCAACTAACCCTGTTCCCCTTTCCGCTGGCCGTGCAGCTGTGTACAAGAACAAGCCCAAGATGAGCGACTGGAACGTCCTGAGCATGATTTGGGACTCGACATACATCCGCTTCCTGGCGAATGGTGAGCGGCAGACGCGTGTGGTGTTGCTGCCTTCCTTCCATGCGTGGTTGCGGGAATACACAACGATAGCTAAAGGACGGCCAGGCAAAGGGCACGGGCTGTTGCGCAACTCCTGGGGTATCGGTATTACCATGTACCGCTGATTGCAAAACCCTTTGTACGACTGGGCTTTAGGCAAGAAGCTGCATGCCTTGCAACACCCCCTGACTCCTGCCTTTCCCGTTGCGTTCTTCCCTAGGCAAGGAGTACAATAAAATTACGTTGGGCAAGTGGAGCACCGGAGGCTCAAGCAGTCCATACGCCCCTTTTGACGGTGAGAGCCGCCCGGCGGCGAACTGTGAATAACGATAACCCTATGCCAATGGTCCCTGCATGGTCCGGCTGTGTTCCTGGTTGCTCCCCTATCCTACGCTTGCTCTTACTCCTAGCCTAGGACGACCTACACGTCATCATTCGAGTAGCAATCCACCCTACCTGCAACACCCCATGCCGCACTGGAGAACCGTAGCAACAAACCCATGCACTGACGACCCTCTTTACTGTGCCGTACTTGCCCCTGAACGCAGTTCCGTTTTACCTCATCTTTGATCTCGCCATCGGTGGCCTCTACCCGGGGTACAAGATCGACAATGCAAAGGTGGCGGCGGGCGAAGCTCGATTTAACATTGACTACATTCGAGTGTACGACATCGTACCGTAATCCGAACCGCACGTACGAGAAAACAACCGCCGGCGCCGTCATTTTTTGGATCACAAGACAACGCCCGCGAGCGCGCGCAATGCTCTAAGCGCGAAATCATTGTTACCCAGTATACAGCACCCGTCTTTTAGTGTCTTAAGGTGTAGCGAGTACGAGTACGGATGCGGTTGCCCTCGTGACCGTCTGAGACCTGGCTCATTCCTGCCAGGGCAGCCGACCCGGGAACATGTCGGGCCCGCAGTAGGCTAGCAGCGCGCGCATCTCGGGGCAACGGCTGGGGTGGATGGGGCCCACCGCGAATGGGTCGCGGTGCAGTCGCTTGGCGAGCAGCTCCCCGCCGCATCCGTAGGGGTCGGCAGCGAAGGAACTGACGGTGCGGGCCTCCCCCTCCTGGTAGGGTGGAGGTGGTGTTGGGGGGTAAAGGGTACAGTTTACGAATGGTGGTGGTGGTAGTGGCGGGTAGAGCACTGGTATGTGAATGCGACTAGCATGCTGGCAGGATGTGTGTTGAGAGAACTGGCCGCGAGTAGGATGTGTGTGTGCATGTTTTCATGTGCTCCGACGCAGTGTTGTGTATGTGCAGCTGGATGCAGGGGTAACTGTGTTATGATAAGCCAACACATGCTAGGATTTGTGTTGATTGCGCAGGTTGGCCTGGGCATTAAATGCGGCAGTTGATAACGGTTGACATGACAAAAGCCGTGCAGTGCAAATGAGAACCTGAGTTGCAGCAGGATTGGGAGCAGGTGGCTGTGAAGCACAGCCGTACAGCCGGCGCTTGGAAACTGAGTCGTGGGCTCTCATCCTCCTAAATCCGCCTACGACATAGGGCCTCCTGGCTGCCAACCATCTTATAATTGACTTTAGTTATGTTAATACTCCATAACTCCGTCACATTTAGGTTTTCACAAACCTCAAACAAACCGGTACACATACCCGCAACCGCTGCCTCACCTTTGCTCCCACCGCGCCCGGCGGCACCGGAGTCCCCACGAACCGGAAGTACTCGAGCGGCCAGCGAACCGCCTCCCTGTGCAGTGTACGGAAGCGAGCCTCCTTGAGCGTGTACGACACAACGGTGATGGTTTCGGGGTAGTGCCCCGCTAGTTCGTAGAACCTGTGGTTGCGGGGCCCGGGACGGGCAGGGAGGGTAGCAGCTGAATGACCCACAAGGTTCGTGAAGGGGTGAGGACTAGGGAAGGAGGGACCCGCGCGCGGCATGTCGCACGCCCTACATAAGTCTCCGTCCGCCTGTGTCAAGAGCCCAAGATCCCACCCCGCGGTCAGAGCCCCAACGTGACCCTCCCTCCGCCCCTCTTTCCCTTCTTCGCTGGCCCCTCTTGTAACCCCCTAATGGATGGGCGAGCCAGTCACCGCCGTACTCCATACAGCAGCCTCAACGCCATCCACGTCATCACCTCCACCTCCCGCATCCCTCCCCCGTGGCAGTGCCCACCCCTTACGTCCACCCAATCTAGGGTCCGACACGCGTTGCGCCCCCACCGCCCTCCCTCCCCCCCCGGCCCCACCTGCACAGGCTGAACAGCAGGTTCTCGAAGCTGTCCCGCGCGTGCTCCTCCGTGAAGGTGCGGTTGCGCACCTGGGAGAGCAGGAAGGCGGGAGGCCAAGGGGGATGAGAAGGGCCGGGCAGGGCGGGCGGGCGCGGATGGGCCTCCTGCTCTCTCCAGCCATGCAGCAGGAGGTTAACCGATCAATGCATCTGTCATCACTCCCTCCACCCTCCTTCACACCCCTCCTCCGCCACCCTCCTCCTCCTCCCCTCCCCCCCACCTCCGGGTGTCCGAACCAATCCGCCGCCTCCGCCACCACCCAGTAGCTCAGCCCCTCGCTGCGCGGCCCCGCTGCCCGCCGCGTCTGCCCGCCGCTGAACAGCAGCAGCGCCTCCGGGTCTAGCGCCGCCTCCTCGATACCCAGCCGGATGTGGTCCAGGAAGGACTGGGCCTCGCCTGCGGAAGGAGGAGGGAAAGGAGGAGGAGGAGGAGGAGAGAAAGGGAGGGAGGAGCAAGCGGGTTAAGCAGGAGGGGGCACGTGTGTGGGTCCGTGCGTGTGCGAGCTGTGGTGTCCGTGTTGCGGGCTGGGTGCAAGGATTGAAGAGTGGACAGGGTGGCGTATGCATGCGTTGAGGAGCAAGGGCATGGGACGACCAAATGGGTGCGGGCTGTCGTCGAGGTTTGCCGCAGAGGGATGGCAGTTGCACCGCTCAATTGCGAAATAGCAGATAGTACAGCTTTGCAAGCCCCATGATCTGCATAGCTCAAAGCATTGTAAAACGAACCCTGTCAGTCGTCGCCTGCAAAAGGCTGTGAAGGTTGTATGCGACCTCTAGAATTGGAAAGCTCAGGTCAAATCAACCGTCAACATAGTATCCATTTATAACAACTCTGCACGTGACCAACCTGGAACCTTTTGGTACTCTTCAAGAAACCATGATGATTCCTTGCTCGCTTCTGAATAGTCCACACCCGTGTAGACCGCATGTCCCGCAACGAGCACGAGGTTCTTTAATGTTGCCGCTGGAATAAACAATTTTGCCTCTGCTTCCAAGATCTTTCTATTACGTTTAAGCTCGGCGCTTTGTTTGCTTTCATGACCGCGAACGAAGTACCAGACCGGCGACAGTAAGAGCACAACGAAGACGGTACGCAGCACGCGACGAATCCAAAGGCGCTGAGTCGATGACAGCTTTGGTTGAGGTGGTGGATATCCATATTGCGCGCCCTGCCCTTGGGCACCTCCTGCACGAGCGTGCCGGCTATGCACGCTCTCGTGCCCTACATAGACAGGCAACATGGTCACCCTGTGTACGCTTCAATCAATTAGCAACACCTATCACAGTTAACACGGCCTTAGTGTTGGTGCAACGGTCTTCCGTTACGACGAATATTGGATGGATCACCGTACGGCAATACCGGTGACGTGCAGAAGCACACAACCCATCAGGCAACCTCATGTGATGACCAATACATCGAGACGTAAGCGGCCTATGGCACACGGCAGCAGTGTATGAGTATAAAACTCAACTGTCCCATGGGCCACGGTCGTGTCAACCTAGACATAGGAACTGAGGAACGACTGTAAACCACGGCTAAGCAGTGCTGTTAAGGCACGGTGTACCGGTATAAAAATGTGTACTAGGGGAGTTGATGTGGGACGAAATGATAGACTCCTTGCCTTCCTGAGCGTTCTTTGTGGATTGACATTTCCCCCAGTAATGCTTACTGTACAAACCTGCGTTGTTGGTCGAAGGACAAGGAGGGGGTGATACCAGCAAAGGGGTAACGTTTTCGTGCTGTGTGTGCCACACCGTCCACACATCGTAGCCTGTTTGGCTCAGTGAACTGGGTTTACTGGCTGGCTGGCGTCCCTGGAAACACATAGGAACCCCAACCCTGCCGTCCATGTCATGCCCGTAGGCCTGCCTCGTGCAAGCAACCTTGGCTAATACCATGGTCTATCAAACATCATACTGTAAGTATGCAAGCCGTGGCTTGCAAACGTAGATATCTGTCCATCCCTTTTCAACCATCGAACACCAGCAGCTGTAGTCGCTCCTAGCGCAGCCGAGAACACCGACGGAGCTCATCCTGGCACCACCTAACACACGTACAGCAAACGCGCATCCGTAGTTTAGGTATGTTGCTCCTGTGCCTGTTATTCGTCTTACGGAGACACAGTCCAAAATTGCATTTGCGTTCGTTATACGGCTTGGCGGGGTTCTGCCGTACATGTAGCAATGCTGCAAGCGAACTGTCCAAGATGCTAGAGGCAGCATTGTGTACACTCTGCTACCTTACTCTGCTAACCACACATTGCAGTGCCATTCCTTGTACCTGTTTCCTCGAACATCGTAGCTTCTCAAACCCTTTGCTTGCGCTCTCTGAAGCTAACTACCTGGCCTTCTTCATAGAATTTGAGAAGCGAATTGAACCTAAAGGACCTCGTTCTTAACTGGTCAAGGCACTCTTATAGACTAACCATGAACGCTCACACGTTCGCGGCATAGGCACCGGCGCGTACCACACGACTGCCGCTGCGCTGGCGGCATAACAGCAACAGGTTCAGCGCTTTGCAGCTGCTTGAAGTTTAAAGACCGGAGCAACAGCCCGCAGAACAAAGCCCTACACCGCGATGGGCGCTCTTCGGCGAGCCGTGGACGTGCTGAAAGCACCGTTCGTTAAAGTCGGCAGGGCGTACAATAATGTCGCCCTGAAGCACCCTATGACTACGGGCGTTGTGACTACGGTCCTAAAAACTTCGGCGGCTGACCTGTTCGCTCAGAAGGCAAGACATGACCAATACCACCGCGCGGATTGCACCACGCTAACTGGTCGACTGACTATCGCAGGTTGTTGAGCGTCGAGAAGATGTGGACTGGCGTCGTCACAGCATGTTTCTCATGTTCGGCTTCGGCTATCTGGTGGGTCGGCCTTGCGCTTGATCATGCATCAGTCGGCGCGAGCGGCTGCTCACTACGGTTTCCGCTCACTGCAAATTACTTTTGGTTTCAGGGATGCTGGCAATACTATCTTTACAACAACCTCTTCGTTCGCTGGTGCAAGCCTATTACGGCGCTCGTCGGCCATGCGGGTGCAGCACCTGTCAAGACGTTCATCGATCAGTGCATCCAGTGAGTCAATTGCTTCCGCATGCCATCATGACCATATATTATGCCCGTAGGGCTTCGTCTTTTTCTCCACCCACCAAAGGCGGGCCCCACTTTACCCAACTTCGCCATCCCCCACCCCCCCAACTGCCCCCCGGCCATGCAGCCACCCGGTGCTCTACTTCCCCGTGTTCTACTGCCTCAAGGGGTTGGTGGAGGGACGGCCCATCGCTGACTCCATGGAGAGCTACCGCGAGCACCTGTGGGAGAACTGCAAGGCGCTGTGGATGATCTGGGTGCCGGCACAGATGGTGAACTTCACGCTGGTGCCGCTGCACCTGCGCATCCCCTTTGGTGAGCCCAGCGTGAGGGCGGGGCGGCAGGCAGGCAGACGGGCATGCAGGCGCAGCAGGGGCACTGGGAGGGGGGGCAAACCGCATTGTATGTATCGTCGCATTCACGTCATATGTGCATGCATCCCTCCTACCCCCCGCCCCCTGATGCACATGGCAAATCCGCGGACACTTTCTTTAACGCCCGTCCCTCGTCCCTGCACCCGCCGTCCTGCACCCTGCAGTGGCCGGCGTCTCCTTCGCCTGGACGGTTGTCATCAGCTGCATGCGCGGCGCGCTGGACACGCACAACCCGCCTGCCGAGGAGGACTCGGCGCTGATGATGGAGTCGGTGGCGGCCAACGCCTCCTCCGCGCCCGCGGGGCACCGGCCGGCCACAGCGCCCATTGCCTTGCAGCCGCTGCTCAACGCGGCTACGGCCAGGTAGGACGGAGCGGGGCAGGGCAGGAGGTGTGGTGGGGCGGTGGGGTTCCGCCCGTGGAACATCCTGGGATGCTGCTTGTAGGGGCGTGGTCTTGCGTGCACTGAGCTGCACACTTCCAGAGCAGGAGGGTAGGTGCCTGGTACCACCTTGCTTGCGAATTAAAGCTTGGGCCTGTCTCTGAAGGCTGAAGTCGGTCCTTTCCCCCTGCTTGTAGCGCGGATTCCAGCTCGACGGGCGAGGCGGCCCCGGTGGGTCTGCAGCAGTTGCTGGTGGCGCCGGACGACAAGACGTGTAAGGACTCCTCGCAACCCAACCTGCGGCGCTGAGGGCACCAACGCCGCGGAGTAGTGACTAGAAACATAGTAGGCGGCGTGATTTGCGACGGACACGCGTGGGACGCAGGACAGTCGGTGCTGTTGTTGGCTTGGCTTGACAACATACCTCGTGAGTAGACAGTGCTGGTATTCTTGGCATTACGTCTCTGCATTATTACAGAGCTTATATCGCTGCATTATCTCTCATTTGGGGTCGGTTGCATGTAGAACCGCTGTGAACGGCAACATTGTTTTTCCCGGTACGGCAATTTGTCTATAGGACGTCTATGGATACGCCGAAGTAAGGTGTTGCAATGGGGTGGGGAGCCCAGTCGCCGTGCAGCGGACCGCCGTGCTGCGTTGTGTTGGGTTTAGGTACTGAGCCGTGTGTGTGGGGTGGAGGCGTACATTGGATTGAAGCATTGTTTGCATGTGCTATGTGCGGTTTCATGATCACGCAGTGGGTACCATTGTACCTCGTGCGAGGTCCCAAGTTTGATTACCGGTAACTTAACCGTACGTTCATCCGTTGTTAGTGGTGCAAACGGTGAAGAGACGACGCGTGACTATGGTTATGGAGAGGAGCTTGTGCAGTGTTCTGCAAGGCTGGTAATGCTGTGGATGATGTAACCCCCATTACTGCTTCTTCATGAGAAGCCATGAGAATGGAAAGTGAACAGACGAGCTAGAAACGGACGGAGTGTTAGTATTTTGCACGCATGACCGATCTTCGCCTTCACAACATCAGTCTAGTTTAGCTGGTGGTGTTAGTGATATACTGACGCGGTATACAGTCCGGCGGGCACATGTAGTTGTACTTCATTACCCCTCTAGTGCCCCCTTACCACAGCACCCACGCTGACCGTAAATCGTACCAAGCTGCACGCCCTTTATGCAAGGCAGCTACTATCCGTTAAGAAGGCGTTTGGTTCTTATGTTACATACCCGTTGTGCCCCTATGCTTAGCTTTCCTAGGCGGTTCTACAACTTCACTGCCTCTTGCTTCCATAACGGGAGGTGCTGCGTTCATAGCTGAACACTGAACACTGCCCCTTCAACTGATGCTGCCCTTAAGCTCGGGGAAAGACAACTCCAGCCTCATCATGAACACGTTACAACCATTTCCTCCGCAAGTGCCGCTGTCCAGGTCGCCAGAAGCTAGTCACCAGCGAGGGAAACAGCCGCGCCGTGCCACGCACCACGCGAGTGGCCCGTGAACTGCTTGCACAGCCAAGAGCACACTTAAGCGGTGAGGATGCAGTCACCGCCCACGGCGCGGATCTTCTTCTCAGCCAGAGAAGAGAAGAACTTGGCCTTCACCACAACGGGCTGCTCAGGCAGCTGGCCCTTGCCCAGCACCTTCGAGATGCCGTACTTCGTCACGTCAATGACGGCCGCAGAGCTCTTGTCCTTGGCAGCCTGCTCGCGGGCCTGTAGGGGATAGTGGGGGAGACGGGGTGGGGATCAGCAAGGATAAGACCAAGTAAGGTGAACAGTGTATGTGAACAGTGTAAAGTGCATATAGCAGATGGCCCCGAGCGGCGACTGGCATTCATAACTGGATGCGGCTAAAAGCTTGAACACATGCCAGGCCTCGGTTGGAGCTTCCTTGCACATGCGCTGTACAGTGAAGAGCAATGAGTGCATGCCGGCGCAAATGTTTGATTACGCTCTATTGAGAGCCAACCCTTCGCTACTACCACTGCAAACAAAGGGGATTCCTATTCCTAACATCCTAACCCCTCTCCTCACCGGGCCCTACCCCCTGCCCAAGCACATACACATCAGCCCCGCAGCCTCCCTTAGGCCAGCTTCTCCGCCCATCCGTTTCACAATGCGCGTCATGGCCATGTCGCCCACGCGCCGTGCTCACCTCCTCGCCAACCAGGGTCCAGAGCTTGTCCAGGTTGATGATGGGGCAGAAGTACTTGTTCCGCGCGTAGTGGAAGTGGCGCATACCAACCTGCATAGCAACAATGGCCGCCCCGTCAAGCAATTGCAATGTCAACTAAGGTGGTGGCCAGAATTCCGCATGGCGCCGACTAAGTTGTTTAAGCCACCAGCTCCAGGCTAGGAGAACAAGAAGTCCACCGCTTATTACTTGTTGTTGCTAAAAAACGCCAGCGAAGGAACAACACGGCTTTGCCGGCGGCTGCTGCGTAATGGGCGTCCAGTCTCCAGCAGCTAAGCTCGTTATATACCACTCCAACGCCAGTTCAAGCTGCTGCCAGCGCGCCAAATTGTTGCTGATTCCTGGCGAGCGCTCACCTTGCCGAAGAAGCCAGGGTGGTACTTGTCCATCATAATGCGGTGGTGGTGCTGGCCACCAGCGTTACCGCGACCACCTGGGTGCTTCCGGTGCTTGCCAACGCGGCCGTGGCCGGCGCTGACGTGGCCGCGCTTCTTCCGGTTCTTCTTGAACCCTGCGGACACCGGCGGCACGCAATTAGAGCTGACCACCCCGTGCCAACAGACTGTAAGCGTTTTCAAGTGTTACATCTATTAAACGAATGCAAGCTAATCCTGATAACTTAATGCCCGCAGACTGCGACCCGCGCCGGAAATGCAGGCACTGGGCGGCGGCTAGTAACCCTCACGCACAGCAACCCGACCTACTGGTCGTCATTTTCCCGTTGGCTCGTGGGCAAAGAGGGAGACGCGGTGGAAGAGAGTGTCAATTATCTGCCCTTCGGTTCGGGCCCTCCCTGGCGCAACGAGCATCGCATGTCCTTTTCCTGCTCATCCTTTGCGCATATAGCTATAAATATGCGATCTTCCTCTGTAAGTCTTCATGCTAGAGCTGCCAAATGCTGCGACCAAGCACACTGAGTCGTTGCCCAGCATACATGTCATGGCCACACCTGGTCGCGTCCGCTCTTTGCGTGTCTCCTGTACCATGTTTGCCCATGTCCATATTGGCGACCCATTAGGACGTCGTCTCCTTCTAAACACCGTCAGTCGCGTGTAGACAGGAGTACAGTCCCCATCACGGCGGACACCTTCGTTGAGTCGTTCGCAGGCATGACTCTAGCTTGGGGATGCCTGATAGCCAGCCCCTAACCCCGAAACGTCGATTACCAGCTGATGAGCCCCCTTTTGTCCAGCACATGCGGGTAACCCTGGCCAGGGGAATCATGACAGTGCTGGGCCACGGTTTTCAAGGCATACCTTAATGCCTTACACATGCATCCTTCTCTACGTAACCTGCTGCACCCTGTTGCACAAGCCGCAACCTAGGCAATCCGTTACATCAAGCACGCATGCTGTGTTGAAAGGCGTACGCCCCTTACGTACCGGTATTGCAACACACACGCAGCTACTCGCCGGAATGCAAGGCAACACAACCTCACGTTCACACCTGCTGAACACCTTCAACACGCCTAACAACAGCTTGGTGACAACCGACCAATGCATTCCTAAGAGCAGATCATGCTCCTCTCTACACCCCCACTACACTACACATTTGTTGCCAAACCAGGCGTCCTGCCGCCGGCTCCCCCTGCATGGCTGCTGTCAAACTTGAAGTACGGCTCATGACTGCCAACGCCGCCAGCAGCAGCAGCAGCACCGCCGCCGCCGCCACCAGCGGCACCGTGACCGTAGCTGGCTGCGAAGAGGGGGTGGCGGTCCAGAGCGTCCGCGCGCAGGGCTTGGAAGAGTTGGAAGGTGGCGTAGAGGATGAAACCTGCCACCTGCGTTGGCATACGACATCCCGTGGGAATGTAAACGGAGCTTGATTGGTTGGCAGCAGGCTCTCCCACACCCGTCACAGGTGGAGTCTCCCGGCCCTATGTACAAGGGCCTTCCCGGCCCTTGCCCGCATTGCACTCGGCCCATGTAGCCATCCCGCTGTCCAACCGCCAATCGGCCCCTCCCTCACCGCCATCCCTTCCCTCACCCCGCCTGGCAGACCTCCCTCACCTCAGCGCACCCTGCATCCCTGCACCCGCACTTCCCCCCTTGCCGCCCAACCCCTAGCCACCCCTTCCTCCCTCCTTTTGTGCCCTTAAGGACCTTCGCACCCTTCCGCCGCCCCCAACCTCAACCCACCATGATCGTGACCGCCTGGAATACGACAATGCCGTACGCCAGCACCCCCAGCCCCAGCGGCACCGCCAGCCCAATGGTGACGGCGGCTGCTCGCCGCGGCGCCACGCCCGCCGTCAGCAGCCCGCCCACCAGCAGGCGCCCGCCGTCCAGCGGGTAGGCGGGGACCAGCAGATTGAAGGCGAAGAGGCTGATGTTGATCTGCAAGGGTGCAGGTGCGGGCCGGTGTGTTAAAATAACTGGCCGCGAGGCGAAACGTACTGCGGGCCGGTGTGTTAAAATAACTGGCCGGTGTGTGTGCGGGGGGGGTATTTGTTGTCGTTAAGGGAGGATAGGCGTAGGGGCAGTGAGGAACCAGCGGGTGAAGTCGTCAGCATGGGTTTGGTCCTAACTCTCCTGAGCCACATCGTAGCCTCGACTGCTGCCTAAGCAGCGCAGAGCTACAAGACCTTGTCCATAGCACGGCAGTCCCGCGCTTGCGCACACTACCGTATCCCAATCTAAGCTCGGAGTTCATCATACCAGTTTTATCCCACTTCACATCACCGTTCACCTAACATGCACACACGCACGTAGCGCACGCACGCACGCGCGCCGCTTCACTCACGATGATGGCTCCCACGCACACCGCGTGCCACAGGTGGTGCGAGTCAGGGTACGGCATGTCCAGCCGGATGTGCCAGCTGCCCGTGGAGGCGTGGTAGGCGGGCAGCAGCAGCAGCAGCCAGGCGCCCACCATGGGAACGTGCGTCAGCGGACCCGCCACCGCCACCCACATGTCCGCTGCGGGCGTGAATGCGTGCATGGGAGCAGGGGTGCAGGGCGGGCGTGCGAGCAGGCATGCATGGGAGCAGGCAGGCATGGGAGCAGGCAGGCATGGGAGCAGGCAGGCATGGGAGCAGGCAGGCATGGGAGCAAGCCACCAGCCAGCAAGACAGCAGCCAGCAAGACAGCAGCCAGCAAGCCACCAGCCAGCAAGACAGCAGCCAGCAAGCAACAGGGGTGTCACCCGTCAGACATGCATGCACGCACGCACGTCCTGTCATCAGAGAGAAGGGGGCAGACATCAACACATACCGCACGCAACACCGTTCGAAATATCAAAAACACCATAAGTGGGCGAGTTGCAGCCTCAGCCTCAGCACCCGCAGCCTCAGCGCCCGCAGCCTGCCTCAGCACACCCTCATGCGGCAGCCCTCCAGAAGCAGCCCTCGCGACCCCCCACCCCCTCACCCTTCGGCCCCGCATTGTGTCCCAGGAACGCCAGTCCGCCCAGCGGCCACAGCAGCACCCCCTCCGCACTGCCGCCCACCGCCCGCGCCGCCGCGCAGTGCCCCAGCTCGTGCACCAGCACCGTCAGCAGCAGCACCGGGCCCAGCAGCAGGAACCACAGCAGCACCCACTGCCCGCCGTACGCCAGCGAGCCCAGCAGCTGCAGCGCCAGCACGGCAAGGAAGGTGACTGCGCGGCGGAGGTTGGGGACCCGAGGAGGGGAGGGGAGAGGAGGAAAACAGGAGAATTCCCAGAGTGTTGAATGAGGAGGGGGACAGAGAGTGCGGTAAGATCATGCCGAGGAGGCCGAGTGGGCGGGGAGGAAGGGTGGGGAAGGGGAGCAATGCAGGGGAAGTAATGGGTCAACGCAGCGGGGGTGGTGCGACCGTGAATGAAAAAAGCATGGGGTTCGAGATAGGACATTAGAGTGGAATGATTCAGCGGACGGGAATGGATTGGGGTGAAGGGTTGAAGGGGGCAAGCGCAGCGGGAAAGGAAGCTACTGGTAGCTTTCAGACAGCCCTGAGGGACCTTGACAGCCCTGAGGAAGATGCATATGCCAACCCCCGGTGTATGTACTAACGCTATGTGTTCACAGTAACTAAGGCGTAGTGTGCGCCTTAACTATGTGACGAAGATGCGGGCAGTTGGCCAGGTCCAAGCGGACGCGCGCGCACTCGCAAGCAAAGCACCAGAATGATCAAAACCATGGATCCGAACTGTGTCCGGTCCGCTTAGTGCAATGTGTATCCAGACTAGTAGCATACCATGTAGTCGAATAGGAATGCCAAATAAGCTCCCCAGCGGAATGCTTCCAGGAAGATTGCGTAACATGTTATGATACCGGTATGTGCGTGAACGGCTGAATAACTTGGCACTTGCACACGGTTGCAAATAACTAAGAAACGGCCGCGACTGGAAAACTTCTGTCGAGCGACTGGAAGTCAAGAATTCGCTATAACGCTGATAGGCTATTTATATTAATGTAGAAGATTGAGGGAAAGCTCGCGTTCGGTCGGAGCGACAGCCCTCCTGTTTGCCGTGCACAATGCACGGATGCGAATGCCTACCTTTGGCCCTACTTGCATTGCAATATATAATTCACACATAGCGAAAACGCAACGTACCAATGGCGAGCTTTAATTTAGTTCAGACGCCAGCGAGTTGTTGTCCTCAAATGCGTGGCTTGCGCACGCCGCCTCAGGTGCGCGAGATATCATTTTCATGACACTAAGCACTTTCATTAGCATGCTAAACGCCTGCGTAGTTACCGGAAATGTCACCTATCCTCTCCGACAATCCCCATCCACCCTCAACACTCCGATACCACAGGTGGCGTGTTGTCAAGCATCTCGCCACGCAGCAGCTCCTGTGGCCTACTCGACGGTGCTAGCTGCAGCCTGGCTGGCCACAGCTCGTAATCCGACCTCCTTACTCTGCCTAGCGCTGCCATCCAGCAGTGCTAGCAGCAGTCAGGGCGCTTCCTCGCATGGTACCAGCACCAGCAGCAGCCGCGATACACCGGCCCCATACAAGTGGTCATGGCAGGAGGACCTCGAACCTACTGCAGCACTGGAGCTTGACCTGTCCGCTGCCCCTACACTTCGAACCATACCGGTCAGTATCTTCGGGTTGCTGTTTGCGGGGCACAGGCACAGGCGTCGCCTGGTAACCGGGCACATTCTGATAATGTAAAGGTGAAAGGCTGGAAGGAAAAAGGGAGGAGCACTTCCGAGTTGGATATCCTGGGGGAAACTGAGGCTAGGCATGCGTGCATGGCTTACACCACTCTTGTTCGCCTTTCCCCTGCTCATGCGCGCTCGTGCCCTTTGCAGGAAGTCACTGCATGGCTGCAGGCAGCCGCCGCCAACGCACCACCCCGTGCCACCCTCACCGCCGAGTCAGTCGCCCTGCTCAATGCTGTAGTACACCGGCTCTTGCCGTACAGCAGCACCCCTGCCACTGCGGGCGGGGCCACAGCAACAGCAGCAGCAGCGGAGTGTACGACAAGCGAGGCAGCGCGCCTTCTGGAGGTGTACAGCAAGGTTTCCTCGTCGCAGGGCCGGACTGAGCCTGCAGGCGACCTAGCGCCCCCTCCGCTGGTGGCGTCGCTGTTGACGTGTCTCTGCACTCCCCAGCCTGCCGGCAGCAGCGGTGCCAGCAGTGCTAACGGAAGCACAGCTATGGAGGCAGCGTCTGCTCGGGAGCTGGCTGACTTGTTGTGGGCGGTTTCGGAGCTCCAGGAGGGGCTGCCATGGGACGAGCGTACGGCATCCGTACCCTCATCGTCATCGGCGTCATCGCCTACATCAGCAGAAGCAGCAGCGATAGTAGAGGAGGCGGCAACGACAGTGCCTGCGACGCTGCAACGTGCAGTGTCAACTCGGCTCCGTAACCAGGACTTCCTGGCTCCAGATTTGTGCCGTGCGGTGTGCGCCCTCGGCAGCCTCGCAGCAGTTACCTCTGCTATAACGCCTAGCAGTGCAAACACCGCAGCAGCAACAACAGGAGCGTCGACAACAGGGCAGGGCTCACTTCCTTCTGCTGTCGCAAGCAGCAAGGGCTTTCAGCTGAATCCGGATCTTGTGAAGGAGCTTAATGAGGAGGTCCGGTTCCAGCTCACCGAGTTCCATGCGGATTTTGAGGCGTCTGATTTGGGTCGGCTCATTTCCGGCATGGGGCGGCTGGGGCTGGGGGCGGCTGTGGCATCGGACGAGGAGTACCGCAGGTGAGTGGGCTGAGGACGGGATGGCGGTATGAGGAAAGAAGGAATCAGGAAAGGCGCGCAGAATGTTACAGTTACAGTTACAGTCTGTACGCGTGTACAGTCTGTCCGTACGAGCCAGGGGGGCCCTGCTGCGCTCGTACTCGGCGCACATGACCTCGGTCTTTTTCCATTCTTCCTGCTTAACTAACAGCATTTGGTTGCGTCGCCCACCGTGTCACACCTGCCTTGTTTCATTGCTTCCTTGTGTCAGAATTCTCATGAAGGCTGTGTACGGCAAGACGCGGTCCATTGCTGACAAGGCAGCAGTGGATTTTGCGCTGTCACGGCTGCTATCAGAGGACCCAGAGGCTCGCTCCATGCATTATGACAGCCGCTGGACGCATGAGGAGTTGCACTGGCTCCCGCGCCGTGAGCGTGACAAGCGGCGCATCCTGAAGGAGGGCTGGTACCGTACCAAGTGGGGTGGCTGGTCGCCGGGCGGCGATGCTGGGGTTGGAAGGTAGACTGGTAGCGAGTGCAGAAATGGAGGCGCGAGCTGGGAGTCAACATGGTTTGCGGAGGAAACATGGATGGGGAGAATGGAACGTGTCGCGGCAACTCGACGCTGTTGTTTACAGGTCGACCCACCGGTGTTGATGGCTTGCGGTTTGCAGGAGTTGCTAGTGTCTGTGGGAAGGATTACGGTGAGTTTGTATTTAGACGACTCGGTTGTGCAACAACACTTGTCTTGTTGTGTCGAACGGTAAGCCATGCCGGATAACAAACGGCGCATTCGACGCTGTGCCGGCAGGAGTAATGCACAGCAACTTATATAGCCCTTTTAGTATATGTGAGCCGCAAGAGCACGCTGTAAGCAAGGTGCCGTGCGTGAGCGCCACAGTGGCTTGGTACGGTGGATTCATTTGGATCCTGTTTCTGTCCTCATCATCGGAAACGAGCAGGCAAACCACAAAGCACAAACGCAAACACGATTACACTACACAGCATACTACTTCCTCTGAACACATACTGTGCTGGACTCGCTCTTCCATAAAATTTAAAGCGAACATTGCAAGCTCCTGAGTCTGCGTTTTGGACCGCTGCCAAATAATGTCAAGGATTCGAGCATGGCTTGTTGCCCTTTTCCAGTGGTTCAGCCGCTGTTTTTCCACAAGGAAGCAGTATACAGGTGCGCTGAGGAGGTCTGGCCGACATGATTGCAAGCGCATAAAGCAAGGACCTACAACTGTTTACCTTGGATCTGTTGAACGACAAGCATGTATGACATGTCCTACGGCTTTGCGTAACTGCTTGCAGACGCCATCCCTACTGCAAGTCCTGGCGCGAAGGCAGCGTCAATTCCCAGAAGCGAAGATTTTGTGAAACATGATCAAGAGGCGCCTATTCCTGCAGGCCTGCCAACTCCAAGCTCGCAGGCCGGTTCCGAACAGCATACTACCGGTAGCGTACGGGAAGTTGCGCCATTATTGCCACAGATAGCGCAGCAGTTGCAAGCTGTGGATTACCAGGTGCCAGAGCAACCTGGTAATGAGCAGTTTCAGGCCTCGCCAGCACCACAACAGCAGCGACAGCAACAGCCACCAGTGCAGGCACCCATTCCGCTGACGCCCTTGCACCAGCTTCCCCAGGTGGCGCAGCAGCAACCGGAGATTGCGCCCCAACAGCAGCACCAACCAGTACCGCTGACGCCACAGCAGCGACAGCAACAGCCGGCAACTCAGGCGCCACCAGCTCACATTCCGCTGACACCCTTGTACCAAACTCCGCATGCGGCGCAGCAGCTACCCGAGATTACGCCCATCTCGTCGAAGCTCCAGCAGACAGCTGAGCGGCAGGCGCTCCGAGACATCACACCCTACGCAAGCCAGGTGGCGCGAACCCCATCCTGCTCTGCAACGGACGGTGTCACGCCGGGCAGCGAGTATGAGACGCCTTCGGCGGCTCCTCCAACCCAGCAGTTCCGCCGTTACATGGTTGACAGCGGCAAGGTAAGAGCGCCAGAAGGGGATTCGGTAGTTCCGGTTGGACGTGTACATGAGGACGTGTACAGAGTCCTTGGTAAGAGAGTGCTGAGTAGCTACGTTTTTGTGGTCTACATGTAAGCTTAGCAGCGGAATTCTTATGCAGCAAGCGCAGAAGTTCGAATGTCAGCCCGTCTTGTTAGGCCTCAGAACTGCGTGTGTTCCCCGGATGCCCCCATATCCAACTTGTTCCTTAGGTTGTCGGCGTCAACAACACCGTCACGCGCTACCGCGAGGCCAAGCCCATTATGCCCCACACGACGCCCTTTCCCCTGCGCGTCGACCGCGAGCTGGAGCTGGTAAGCACTCTTGATTGTTACCGTCGGGTAACTGCTCAAAACACGATTTCCGGCATGTGTGGCATTATAGTGCTGACCTTGTATTACACGATTTGCATACCTTGCAGGAGGGCCGCGCACTAGGGGCCAACGTGAAGACCTAAGGATCTACAGCGCCCAGCTGTTAACCTGTCCGCGTCAAGGCTGCGATAGGCACGGATAGTAACCGCTTCAAGATTGCACGGTTTGTGTGATCGTCGTCTAGTCCATATACTGGGCGTCTGTACCTGTAAGGTGGGACGTTCACATCCCGGCGCCTGCAGTGCCTCTGCAGGCTGGAGCGTCTGGTGCGTAACTAGCCCTCAACGGGCACTTGGGCCCATCCCTGGCACATCAGTCGTTCTGGCATTACGCCAAGGATGGAATGTGTGTCGTATTTAGTTTTATTTCGCAAGCTGGGGGTGAGAAGCCCCGTACATGGGGTGGGAAGGCAAGTAAACTTAGGCGAGCGTTCAGACCAAATGAGGAACGCACGCAACATGCACGGCAGGGTAGGCAATGGCCATTATCAATCCATCATTCTTGCAGGATATTGTGGCGTACCGTTAATGCATTCACTGATGTAGTTCTAGACTAGGTTATGACCGTAGTGTTCATTAGAAGCCGTTATTAACGACACGGCGTGCGCCATGTTAAAGCTCATGGACTAGCCGGTGCACAGCCCTGTGACGGTGTTCACGGCTCTTCGTTGGCTCTCCATAACGTATGTTAGTTAACTTTAGTTAGTCTCCTTACCTGGCATGTGGTGTGGCAGAGTAGTACATTTCCTTTGTATGGCAATTGCGGTGTGTATGAGCTCATCTGGCAGAGGCGGCCCGGGCTGTGGAGATGCATACCTGTGTCCATTGGCTTCTTAGCCGGGAAACCAAACGACGTGTAACACGGCTCTTTCTATGACTTCACTTGTTCTGGGACAGGGTGTCTTCAGGAGGCGCTAGAATAAAGCCACCGAACCCCGTAACTACAACATATGCCCGCCACCCCTTGCGCAGCGTGTATGCTGAAGCATGCGCGTATTGTGTGTATTTAGAAAGACGTTCCTACATCGCCCCTCTTATGTATATAGGGATTCCTACACCTGATGTCCGCGCCGGAAAGTTTCACGCACGCATGCCCATCGCAGCCATTGGTAGTGTTGCATCACCCCAACACAAGATCGTCGAGAACGATCAATTGCGATAAGTATTAACGTTGCAACAAGCAAATTACAGCGTATGCAATGTGCACCAAACAAAGGGTTGTTGCAGCCAACCCTACAAGACGCATAATGTGCAATAACACCGGTACTTTGTACTTGCGTTAGCTAGCGTTAGAGAAGGTATAATTGCATTATGCCGTTGCTGCCAATCACAGCGTATCATTCAACACTATACGCTACGTTCTGTACTACACATACTGCGGGCGTGTGGGCGCCTGTGCACCTTCCTATGTATGTCGAGGGAATAGCACCTTCAGTTTTTGACAATACAATGGCCTCATGGCAACACTCCTACGCCCTGAACCATTCTGTTTTTACGAACTAGGTCGGACTGCTTCAAGCCCGCATGCTGCTGATTTTTACTTTCGATAGTAAGCGATAATGGCTTGTGACAGTTAGAGGCAGGCCCTGTATGCCTATTGACGGCAGCACGTCAGTGCAAAATGACGACGCAAACCGTCCCTGAGATGGAAGGCCTTGATGTGCACACGCTTATTGACCGCATGGCTAGCAACGACTGCCTGCGGCGTGTAGCCAGCAAAGGAAACGGCGCCACCGAAGCTTCCTTGATGCGTGCAAGCGTGACACAGGCCAGTCATGCCGACAGCAGCAAAACCTACACGGGCAAGAGGCAGGGCTTTTCCTCAAATAATCAGCAACCAACTCGTCCGCTGGCGTACAAGACAAAGGTAGATTCGGGTCATGGGGGGCATTTGGTACGCTATTCCAAAAACGCTCCTGATAGAAATCATCCGCACAGTTTCAGTCAACTGTCGTCGCAAATTGATTCCGCAACTCTTGGTCGCATTGTACTGCAGCTGCATACCTAGCTCCCACGGCCCGCCCCAGGCACTTTCGTGCCTAGCAGCGCTAAGCTTTCCCTCCCACATTGCTTCCTGATTTCCCGGGGACAGGTGCTATACGACACATGCCGCCGTAAGCCCAGTACCCTTGTGCTACCGATCGTCCTCTTCATGCTGCTATGCGGGATGGGCCTCCTTGCAACCCAATACACCGCACAAAAAGCCGTTCGCCAGGCTGAGGACTATGCACGGGAGGCCGTGGCCGCATCCGTGGCCTCTGCAGTGGTCAGCCAGCTGACAGTTGCAACACGGGCTGTCGCGACCCTGGCATCGTACGTGGAACAGCACCCAACCTGTGCCGACCTGGACGAGCATTTCTCGTCATTGGGGCGCAGCATCCTCAGCTGGGTAAGTGGGACAGTATGGGCGTCGAGGCTGGGGGCTATCTGGTGTACAGTGTCCGCATGCTTTCAACAGGTCGCTGGAGTAAGCATTTGCGCTCCAGTAGAGCTTTGGCCCCAGGCCCTTCCCTTGCGTAACGTGAAGTCACTTTTTGCCCTCTGGATTCAGGATGCTGACAACAACGGCGGCTTGCCGATTGTTTACCAGGTCAGTGTTACAAAGAGCGGCTCCTGAATTGCATGGGGCTGTGGCGCGTTATTGCTGGGGAAGATAGGACTCGCTGCCGCGCTTTCCTGTCGGCAGCTCGTCGCAACCTGTGCACTACCACGGTCCAACGTGATACCGGTAAAGCCCCATGAGCTTGCTTAGAAGGCGATGCGAGACCTACTACACGCCTCTTCGTAAGCTTCGTCCCATGTTGCCCTGCTTTCCCCACAGGTCCAAGCGCTTCCTGCCATGATCATCAGCTACAGCTACCCCGAGCTACCGCCCGACCTAGCAGCGCAGTTGATTGGGATGGACGTGCTGGGCCGACCAGACAAGCGGGAGGAAACCTTGCAGCACCTGAACTACTCGTCGACAATCATTATTGGGCCATATCTGCTGCTGGAGGGATTCCACGCGTTGTGTAAGTGCGGGACTGCGGGAGGATGCGAAGGGTTTGCGTACGGCATGCATAGCTGCATGGCTGCTAGGTTACCCCGGTGCACTTCTGCATTGTGACGTCCGCATGCATAGGGGCTACCCGGCATGGTGTCACGGCTCATGCGTTTTGGATTGCGTTGGCTATGGACGCCTGTAAATCAGATGTCGAAACCCCAAACCCTTGGTGTTCTGCCGCTGGTCCCTTTCCACAGTCTTTGAGAAGGCAATCGTGTTGCCAGTACCGGACGGGAATATGAGCTACACGTGGGGCTGCGGGCGTCAGATGTCCAACTGCACCAACCCGATTTGCTACTCGCCGGACCAGAGCAAGAAGCTGTGGGGCACAGTGTGGTCGACCATCGTGCTGGATAACCTGCAGGTGGGAGGCTAGGGCATTCGGGACTCGGGAACTTTAGGGTCCAGGAGGCTTTGCCGCTTGGAAACCTCTGTAGGAATGGGTCTGGGTCAGCTACATGTGGTTGCATTTAGCAGTTTAGTATAATTCAGGGCCCAGAGAGCGGGGTTTCTTACTCTTGAAGCACCTTGCCCCCCTTTGATTGCAGGCCGGCTTCAACCTGCAATCCTTGTGTGGCCAGTACTTTTACACGTTACGGCAAATGCCAACAGACTTGAACAGCGCATCTATCATTGCACGCTCGCCGGTCACGCCCCGGCGGCCAGTTTCCGTGGATATACGCGCGTACAATCTGCATTGGGTGCTGGAGTTGGAGCCAGAGAAGGGTTGGTGGCCGACATGGGTGGTGCCTTGTACGGCAACGGTCGTGCTTGCGTCAGCTGCGGTGGCGGCGCTGGTGCTCTGGCTGCTGGCCAGCCGAGAGCAGCACAGGGCGCTGCTTTGCTCCATGTTGCCTAGGAGGGTAAGCCGGGGAAGGATTTGAGCATTTGGCCAGACTGTGTGGGATTCGGCCAGGATTGGGTTGAGCTTCGCCTGTTGCATACTCGAGGTGTTTCGCAGCCTTGCGAGTCTCCATGTGACCCCCCAACTTCATTCTTATGGTGTTTGCGTGCCTTTTAGCGGACTCACTTTTGTGCTGTCCCTTGCAGGTCGTGAAGCAGCTGCAGAGCGGTGCTTGCAACGTGGTGGAGAGCTTCCAAGACCCGGTGACCATCCTCTTCTCTGGTGAGTCGTTCCGGTACCATTCCCCTCCAGTGTTAACCGTTGTCGTTGTTGCCCGTGCACCCTAATAGTGGCGTAGTACTGTTAGTGGCCCGAGTGCGCCCCTTGTCCTTGCATGGCTTGGTGCTAACAAGCGGAATGCGTGCCAGTCACTTGCACATGGATGAGCCATGGGGAGGGGGCACCCAGCGTTTTCGCATACAGCCATTATGCAAAGGCTGGTGATGGGATTCTCTGCTGGCGCTTTATGCTGACACGGCAATTCCCCACCGACTCGCCCCTTGTTGCCCTCGGCGCGCATCCTTCTTGCCAAATCCAAGATTGCGTATCGTACACGACCATTGCGTCCCAGCTGACACCGCTGCAAGTGGTGGAGTTGCTGAACGATCTGTACACGGTCTTCGACTCTCTCACCGTCAAGCATGGCTGCTACAAAGGTAAGGTCGTATTGAATCGTAGAGAGGTTAGCTCCACACCCTTTAGCGGTGCGCTAGTTCGCACGGTTGTTGGTACGCTTGGGAAGGCTTGCCACATGTATCCAAACTGTCCCGTCACTAACCCTCATGCAAAGTCAGCTGACAACTTGCCTCGTTGCCTCCATCCATTGCCCCCTCCTCCCTCCCACGCGCTTTTGCTACAGTGGAAACAATTGGAGATGGTAAGGCTGGCGCGTTGGTTTGGGATGTGGGTTAAGGCTCTGCTAGGTAACGACTGCCACACGCTCGTCCTCGATAACTCTCCGTGGCTGCCCCTGCCGTGGCGCAATCCTGGTGGTGGATAGTATCGACAGCAACCCCCCTACGTGTGCACTTCCTGCCTGCAGCCTTCATGGCAACTGCCGGATGCCCCCACCACGAGGACCCTGTCAGCGCCGCAGTGCGAATGGCGGGTATGGCGCAGGTGCGTGCGGGCTCTCCGCCATGAGGCGAGAGAGGCAGAGGCCTTTGCTGTCTGGGGCAGGCACTGTAAGCCGTGCTGCTCGCCTTTCAGGGATGAGACTACTGGTACCGGTAACAATAAGGTTGCTGTCCCTGGACACCCGCGTTTTATGCACCCAGAGCCATGTGTCCGGACTCCCTGGTAAACCCGTTGCTCTGTCTCATGACTGGGTTACGCAGGCAATGATACACGCGGTGTCCAACTTCAACAACAGCGTGACCAAGGCTCTGGGGATTCGCATCAAGATACGCGTTGGCCTCCACAGCGGTAAGCTTGTTGGGATTTAGGGGCAGACGCCACGTATGCCGGACGCGTAGGTAGTTTGGCGTGCATTGTACAGTTTCATATGTGACGGGATGTACTGCCATGCATACCAGTGCTAAACAATACACAGCAACTCTCTTCGTGGCCTTTCCACTGCAGGTCCTGTGGTCGCGGGCGTGGTGGGGGTGCGCATGCCGCGCTACTGCCTGTTCGGTGAGTCCTAGCGTGGCTGCAGCTTGCTTGCATGCAGACAGACGTGCGCAGCTGCGCAAGAGAGTCCCTGCACGGTACAATAATAGCGTAGCTGCCATGTGCAAGCTTACCGCCACCTCCTTGGAGCGTGATCTTTGCCATAGCGGAATCTTTGCTCTTAACGGTGCCGTTTCCCCTTGTGTTCCTGGTTTCTCCCTCTCCGCTGCACGTTTTACGGCGTTGCTTGATTCGCCTGTGGCGGGGACTGACCTCCGTTCGTGACAACGCATCGCCCGCGCGCTCCCAGGCGACACGGTAGGGGTATGGGAGGGATATTTACGAACTATTATGGCCGAACCCGCATGCAACGTCGAGCATATGCATGCATGCACCCTGCTTCACATGGCTTACCTCTCATAGTCTCATTCCTATTTCTTGGATGTGCCTTGGGTTTCTCTTTTTTACAGGTCAACACGGCCAGCCGCATGGAGAGCAACAGTGCGCCCATGTGCATCCACATCAGCTCCTCCACTGCTGCACTGCTTGTGAAGGTGAGTCCAAGCCTTGGGGCTGCGTAAAGAAAGATGTTAGGTCGTCGTTTTTCGGTGTTGAGCGAATGGGAGCCGCCGTACGTGAATGCCCATGTGCCATGCCATGCATTCCGGCTCTGGTTTCCCTCGCGTAATACCGTTGCAACCCTTTCACTGGGAAGCGTCCCCTGCAGAGGCGGTCATGGAAGGGCAACCATGTGCCCACGCACGCGCGTGTTCTTCCCCTTAACAACCTCTACCACTTACCTGGCTTAACAGGCTGGGGCCACGGTCATGCGGTCCCCGTCGCCAGAACCCGTCTGCATGCGCTCCGCCGCCGCCATTGAGTCCACCAAGGACGGAGGGCCCCCTCTTTCCCGCGGCAGTACCGGCGCTGCCGGTCCCGGCCCCTCATCCACCCGCCCTTCAGCGCAACGGCAATCGCAACCGCAACCGCATGCGCACACGTACCCCTCGGTCACTGGTGGCGGCGCCCACATTGGGGGCGTCATCAAGCCCGGAGGGCTGTACGCGAGCAGAAGCAGCGGCGCAAGGGTGCTTCGGCAACTACCATATTCGGTGATGTGCAACCATGCAGGCGCCCGCAGCCTCAGCGTGCCTGCGTTGGAGTTCCCAGTGGATGCCGAGGATGAGGAGGGCCACCCCGCCGGGGCTGCTGGCGGCGGTGATGAGGAGGAAGTGGACGGCATGGCTGTAGCCCTTGCGCGGAAGTGCGGGAGGCGCTCGTCTTCTTGCAGCGGTGCGGCGGTTGCAGGGACAGGCACGGGAAGCGCGGGCGCTGCCGTGCGGCGGAGCAGCGTAGGCGGCGGAAGCGTCAGAAGCAGCCGGCTACGAAGGAGCAGCTGTGGCGCAAGTATTGGTGGCGGCAGAGTACGGAGAAGCAGCTACTATGGCAGTGGCGGCGGCGCGGCGGAAGCCATTGGCGCGGTATGGGAGAAGGTTGGAAAGGTGGTTGCGGAGGCGGTACAGAGCGATGAGGTGGCGAGCGGCATCGGGAAGAGAGGTGGCGAGGTGGCGGTCAGCGTGGCTCCGGCGGAGGCTGGTGGCGCAGACGGTTACAGCGCAGGAACAAGCGGGAGTGGGGCTGCGGGCATGACGGTTCAGGATCGCGGTATGGTGTCTATCAAGGGCAAAGGTGGGTGTTGCGCAGGGAGCTGTGGGCCGGCCTGCATGCTTGCTGCCTTACGGTCGCCGGTTCCGCTTGCAGGGCCTGGGTCCCTACCTGTGTTCCTTTTCGCTGCATTGTTACCCGCCTATAGTGGCCTGTAATCGGGCGTTGCCCTCTACTCCCAGCATTGTCCCTTTCGTATCGGACAGCTCCTACATGTGGCAAGTTCACCATACCCACCGCTCGCTCGCCCCTCGCTCTTAACCCATGTAGGCACCATGCATACGTACTGGCTGCTGACGGGCGTCACGCCGCCGCCGCCCATGCCTCCGCCGCTGCCTCCTCCCTCGGCCTCCTTGTCGGGGGCGTTGCAGTCGTCGCCCCTTCCCTCACGCGGGCCCACGCTGACGGGCTTCCTGAACGCTACTGCGAGCGTTGGTGGTGGTGTCGCCTCCCGCGCGGCATCCTGGATGTCCCGAAAAGTGGGAGCCCTGGGAGGGCTGGGAGGCTCGCATTTAGAGCAGGAGGACAGCGCCGCAGCGGGTGCAGCTGTTGGCGTTGTTGCTGTGACGGTAGGAGCCACTGCGTTGCCTCCCGTCTGACATGCATGGAGGTGCCGTAACTGGAGCACAACATTGTTTGTGGCGGAGCAGGAATGCTGGGTATCAAGTAACTATTGTGAAATGGGCCGTTATGAACTGAAAACCAAGTGCGTTATGAAAGGTTATTGTTGTTTTAAAGCTTGCTTAGAGATGCAAAAGTGGGAAGACTGTAGTGGCTGTCCTGCAGAGAGGCTAGCAGGTTTGTGTCCTTCGATGCAAGCGGCCCTGTGCGGCCTTCACTTGTAGCAGCAACGGGGGCAGGCCGCTGTGGGATGGACTTTGGCCGTGAGGAGCGAACGCGAACTGTACTACGTAAACACCTTACAAGGGAGTACGATTGCTTAAATGCATGTTGGTGCATTTCTCTTGTCCTGCTGCAATGGAGGCCATGTTGGCTTTGCTCATTGCTTTATGTCCAGCATGACCGGTGTACGGCTTACATTGCCGGGTTTTAGGTACGGCTCGCCTCTCGAGCGTAGTGTGGATCTGTGTACAGAACCCTGTGCTAACTCAATCAAGCTGTGATGGTGCACTACACTTTATGTACACCGGCTTTTAGTAGTGTCGTAAAGTTTTATAAATCATGGTTCCAGTTGGCAATTGTCCCGATGGTATCGCTTTACGGTTTAACATATACTCCCTTGGCTCTGCTTGCACGGCAAGGCAGGAGACATGTTGTCCCTGCAAGACTATCGTTGTCGCAGTTTGGTGGGTTAAATAGGCTTGTTAACTTTGTGGTTTGTAACTGGTTGGCCTGGTGTGTTCCTCTTGTTATAAGGCGTCTAGTACGGTTCAATAGATGAATTCGTTCACTGTTAATGATGGTTCTTATAGCCAACCGTGCGCACGGATTACTAATCATGCTAAATCTTTGGGGGTATTTATGGAACCTCGACGCGCGGCACATCCTCTTATCAGGTAAACCAAGTATTAGCACAGCAGGTAGGCATGTCTCTGATTCTTACTTGAGCACAATCTAGCCGTTTACCCCTCCTATGGTGCCGTGTAGTGCGATGTAGCGTGACTTGTTGTAGGGTGCCGTCACATCGTCTGTATTTCCATGAGCCGTCGTCCGTTCGGCTTGTGTGTGGCTTGGCTCGGCTTGCTGGGGGGGCACTGGTGTTCTCCACCTTAGATTGTTTGCGTGTGTGGCGCTCTGGTTTGGAGGTTGTGTGTTTCGCACCATGTTAGTGACTGACTGACTGGGGATATGCGGTCATTGCATCCCTGGGCCAAGCACTGCAATGCAACGTTAAACCCCGGCAACACTGGAGGTGCTTTGTTCCAAATGGTATGCGAGCTCGTGCCGGTTACTTGTCCCAGGGCTTGTTAGCCAAGCGCTGGCTTGTTGATCATCATGGTCACGTGAGCAGCTTCTGGGTTTACACTTAATACCGAGGAAGGTCGATAGGTTGGGATGACCACAATGGTAATATAGCAGCGGCTGCTTCGCTGATAGCTCTATGCATGGTAGGCTGTTGGTCTGTAATGGCTGGAGCACCCGCTGTGGTGTTTTACGGATGGACAGTGCTTGCATCATGTTGGGCGTATGTGTGTACGATTGCAAATACCGGGTTTTGTCAAGAGGTATGTATACCCTTCACGGATGATTGACGTGTGGTTTCGGATGGGAAGCGGACTGGACTGAAGCTGGCGATGCATAGCGACAAAACAGTGAGCACCAAATGAAGGACATGTAATCACCCGCAAGGAGTAACCTGGAAGCAGCCTCAATGGCTTCGGCCAGGCATGCGGCAGCGTTCTCCGTGGCCTTGTACGGCAGACCCGGCCTGCTGCCTTTCCAGCTGCCTGTGCATGTTGTCCTGCTGCCCCCTTGCCTGAGGCCCGCACCGCACCGGGCTGTGCAACATGTTGCCTCCCCTGCTGCTGGTGCTAATTGTCCTTCATCCTTTCCCCGCTGCTGCCCCCTCTTCCTGCAAGTACTGCGATGTACGGCAGGACAACCCCGCATGAACCCCTTGCTCGAGTTGCTTCACGCCATTGCAGCCCAAGGCTCGACTATTAATACTAACCCCCACTGCCTGTGGTCAGGCCGCTTTAAGAGGTCCAACATCTCCTCCAAGGTTAACTGCATGTGCACCAGAAGCAATATCCTTGCCCTACACCGTCACCCCGGCTCGCCCTCCCTCACCCTTCGATGCATGCCGACCTAACCTCCATGCGCCCTTTATGCGCCTATACAGCGTGCAAAGCTGCACCCCTAGCTGCTAAGGGCTGGGGGCTAGGGGCTTTGGCCTAGCAGGTACCAGGTAGGGGCTAGCGACTAGGGGCTTGGGGCTACGGTGATACCTGTAGGAGGGCCACGGTGCAGTGGTTGCCAGCGGCAACGGAAGTCATCAGCGCCCTCGGGTCCCCTGGCTTCCACCCGGGAAACCTTGAGACTGGTGGTGCGTGTGCGTGCTCCTAATTACTCCTTGCTCCTGGTGTGTTATCACTGGTAATGGTATTGTAGGCATGCGTTTGCTACTAGTTTCTATCCCGTTGGTTCACAAAAGCCTGCCTGCTGTCACTTCTCACGTTTAGCTGAGTGGTTACCTGTTAGGGCTAGGATTGGTAGTGCATGAACGTGCCCCTGGACTCGCGCTGACTTGTAACTACCAGGATACGGGATGGGTGACGCAGACACGTTACGTTGTATTCACAAGAACGCAAAGAAGTATGATGCCCACATTTGATATGCTTCTGCGCCACTACAGCCTAGTGCTCACTGCAGCTGCCCGGTTCAGTTGATAAACCAATAGCCGGGCAACAGCGCACAAAGCCATGGATTTATCGCCTATGCCAGAAGTGCCTATGCGCTAGAGGCGCTGACCCACGGGTCGCTCTGCAACTTAATCACACCGTTATCACGGTTGGCCCGACCACCAGGGTTCACACATGCAAAAACCCCAAAACACTCATACATAGACGTAAACAGCGCGATCAAGCGCAAGACGTCGATACTGATAACACAATAAGAATCCAGCCACATCATGTTTCACCCAGTGCCTTTCCCGCGAGGCATGTAGCATAGTACAATGTAAACCAGGTACAGAATACACAAGGGAACTGATCCCGAGACGCTACAGGCAGATGAAATATAAATCAGAACGCTTAACTCGGCATCCCAGATCAATAAATTAATGGCCCATCAATACCAGTACCGGCTGCACATAGCCGGACTTGCAAAATGAATGTCACCTTCAGCCATGCAACATTTGGTCATCTATACCGGTACACATGAATGCCCTTAAGACAACGGCGAGCAGTCACATCAACGGATAATTTAGCATAGGGTCGGCCGCGGACAGACATATCTGAAGCCGTCACGGGGCAATAACATTGGCGTACTCTCCTTCGGCGTATTCACTCTCCTCTCACATGCATGTACGCGCTAACTCTTTCGGTATGTAACACTTATAGTATGTTATGGAGTAGTAACGACTCAACACACGAAATACCAACATAAAAGCCGCATGCAACGCACGTACTGCGTGCGAGCGAGCGCCTCCTGCACCCAACACCCACCCAAGGTACCAGGGAACGTGTCTTGCTTCACGCCACCGCCCCGCCGTCCATCCCTCCAGCAGCTTGTTGCTGAGGGGCGCCGCAGCCCCATGGGTCGTACAGGTATGTGAACATGGAGCCCTGCAAACCGTGGAGGAGTAAGTTAGGAATACCTGCTGTTGGCAGGTGGGGATAAGTGGTAACAGGCGTAAGCGTTGCCCGTACCAGACAATGGCTTGCTTCGTAAGATCGTGACCCACCTTCCCCTTCACAGTCACCTCGCCCCGCGGCTGGAAGGCCTGTTTCAAGGGGCCCAGCAGGTCTCGCGTGCGTGCGCTGACGTGGATGGCACCTGGCACACCAGTAGACTCCATGCGGCTTGCCACGTTGACTGCAGTGCACACGCAAAACGAGGTTGAACGGGCGAAGGCACATGCAGGCGGAGGGGGAGCAGTGAAACCACAGGAAAAGAGAAGCACAACAGTGGAATGTATGCAGAGCATGTAACCACCCTCCAACTAAACGGGGCGCGCTACTGGCGATGTTACACCTCATGCATGCTCCCTGCCCCCCTCTTCTTCTCATCTTCCTCACTCCATCCAGCAGTCTTATGCTGGGCTGCTGCTCACGCACGCACCTGTGTCTCCGAACAGGCAGAACCGGGGCATCTTGCGCCCCACCACACCGCTCATGACGGGGCCGCTGTGCAGCCCCACACGCAGCCGCACCGGCAGTCCGCTGCTGGGCAGCTGCACGGTGCGGGCGGCGGCCAGCATGTCGGTCGCGAAGGCGAGGACCTTCTGCGCGTGTAGCGGGTCCACCCCCTGCTTGACACACCTGCGGTCCAGGAGCAGTCATCCAACGATGGTCAGCAGCCAGTAGTTGGTAATGGGGAAAAAGCCACGGAAGCGCACGGAAGCGCGGATGGTGCAGCGGAGGACATGCATGCCGTGTCGGGTTGCGAAAGGAGCCCACCTGAAACCCTCTGCATCCTCTTCCACCAGTCCGCCGCACACCATGTAGCAATCTGCAGCAGGCGGCCGGAACGTCGGATAACGGGATACGTCAGGAAGGAACGTCACATATCGGACTTAATCAATTGGAAAGTGGCGCAACAACGCTGCTCGAGTACTGCTTATTGTCCACACTTCGGCAATTCCTTGGTCGCGGTTTGGTGTCCGTCTTGGGGGCCCATTCCACAGCCAAGAACCACTGCCTAAATACCCGCATGCCTACACCCCAGCCAGCCATGCATGCATGCCCTGGTCATCCAGTCTATCGCTCACCTCCTACTGTCTCCACCTTGTACACCTTGTGCCTCTCCACAAGCGCATCGAAGAGCGTGAAGAGGTCGTTGAGCAGCGCCATCACTTGGTGGGGAGCCACCTGACCGCACATGGTGGTGAAGGACACGATGTCTGCGTGCGGCAGGCAGGCGGGCATGGAAGAGGGGCGGGTTGGTTGTTAGGGGGAGCAGCGCAGGTATGAAAGCAAGACAACGGTAGGGAAGGAGGGAAGCAGGGCCGTTTGTGCGCTGCTGGCGACTTCAACGCATGAAGTGCGAAAGAGCGAGACAGATAGGATGTGGGAAAACACAGCAGGTGGAAAGAGGTTGAGATGTGTGTAAGCTGCAGCCACACGCTATCCCGCTAACTGGCCCAGCATCCTTCTGTGTTCATCCACAAGTAGCCCATTTCCTGCGCGCACGCACGGACCCTGCCTCCGCTCACCCACCTGCAAACAGCACCGTCACCTCATCATGGGCTCGAGCCATGTACTGCTGCATCTCACTCAAGCTGCCCACACGGCAGGAAGGCGATGAGTCGGCGGAGCAAGGGTATTGCACATGTTGAGAACCAACACCGGGCGGGAGGCTGCTGGGCCTCATGTTGAGCGTCGCGGGGCTGCGCTGATGAATGGGCAGGCAACTGCCTGATGCTGCTGATAGCGCGGCGACTGCAGAGGTACTGCCGCCTCCGTCACTCGGCTCCTTGTTATCTGTCATGTGCAAGCAGCAGTTGCTGCTTTGGCGGCCGTCACCCATGCCGCTGCGGTGTAGGTTTCGGCCGGCAGCCGCGGCTGTTTGAAAGGGCACTGCCGGCATGATAGCGCCACCATGAAGGTCGGGAGAGGGAGGGGCAAATGTTGGGAGTGGGGATATCATGGATGCAACTTCGCTGCTGCCACCGGGTGCGTCGAGGAGTTGCTGGATGCGTGACAAAGGCGGTGATGGCGTTTCCAGCGGGCGATCGAGAGCAGCTGTAGCAGCAGCCGCACTTGCAGTAGTAGCGTCTGTAGCGGCTGTGCCAACAGTGGCGGCATCGGAGGTAGCAGCGCCAGCAAAGGTAGGAGCAATGTCGTTGCTTATGCCCTGCACCTTACAAACACCACAGGCGGCGCCTCCAATGGAACCAAATCCTGCGGTCCCATGGCCGACAAAGCTTGCGTTGAATGCAGCTGCAGCACTCCTGGCGGGAACAGACTCCTCGTGTGGTTGCAGCAGCTGCGTCTGCTTCAAGACTGCCGCCTCCGTCCTGCTGCTGCCGTGCGTGCACGTCGTGTCACCCTCGGCTGCTGCTGATTGCAACACACGGCGTGGAGAAAGTACTGCTTGGCTGCAGCGGCAGCCCGTGCTGCACCCACCATCCCATCCATCGCACATGACAGGCGTGGCTGCCGGGCAGTTACTAAACTTGCTGGCGTATGCACCTGATGATGGGTGCGGCAAGGTGGCGGAGCAGGGAGGCTGCTGTAGCGCGAGAGCTAACGCGTTCGTACTGCTGAAGCCCTCGCTTTCGGTTGGTTCATCGGGCTGTTCCGCCTTCGGTTGGACGGTAGTAGAGCCTTGAGTGATAGGGACGACGGTGCTAGGGACGAATACGGTAGCTAAGCTCCCCAGCGCGCTGCTCACACTGTCGTATAAGGCTGAGATGCTGCCATCAATGATAAAACCATGTGCATTGGCAGCAGCACTACTGGCGGATGCTGCATTGCCGTCACCGCCGGCGCCAGCAGCAGTGCTGTCGCTGATTGCCTTACCGTGGCTGCTGCTAGCATCAGTTGGCATCCTTGTTGAACCAGCAGCGGCACCATCACCGTCAGCACGCCTGCTGCAGATGTTCGTAAAGGTTGGGGATCCCGCCAGATGATGAGCATGGCTTTCATCCACGGTGACGCCGTCAGCCCAGAGCCCGCGCGTACCACAGCCTTTGCTGCTGTCGCCTCCAGCCCCGTCGATTGTGCTGGTGCTGGGCTTGGTGGCTGCGGCGTTGAGAATGCTCGACCGGCGCATGTCAGCTGTCATGGCCTCTAGGACGTGACGCGGGAAGCACTCCTCCAGGATGCGGTGCTGAGGGGATGTAGGACGGAGGGCGAGAGAGAGCAGGCACACAAAACGGGCGACGGGTTAACGTCTGGTAGGCGTTAGCAAAGCAGTACGTGAGCTAGAGATCTACATGGCTTCACATGACGCGCCCTTTGGTAAAGTAGAACCTGCGGGATCCCTTCCATCAAGCTTTTGTGTGGCAACTGCCACGGCTATCAAAAGCCAAACACAATCCCATTGCCGTACCTCTGCATCCAGCACTTGCCGTACTTCCAGCTCCGCTTGTACGTACGACGTCACGTCATGACTAAACAAAACTAGCTGCCGCTCCGACGTAACTGGATCTGTCACCAAGCTCGCCTGGATCTCCATCCAACAGCACTGCCCTGCCTCAGCAATGTACGAGTGCGACGGCGGCGGGGGCTGGTTATTGGCGCAGCTGGTTGCCTTAGCAGCAGTGGTAGCAGCAGCAGCGGCACTGGCAGCGGGTCTGAACGTCAATTCCTCCTCCTGTACTGCTGCTGCTGCCGTTGCCATCTCAACGCCTGCCTCACCCCGGGCAGAGGCCTCCATCCATGCCTCTGCATGTGCAAGCGTTTCTTCAAGTGCATGCGAGCTGCTGCTGCCCACTTGACGCTGCTGTGCATTACGAGGCGGGCCCATGTCCCATGATGACGTCAGCGTGCAGCTGCGGGAACTCGGCTCCACGAACTGCATGACCCTGGCTGAGAGCTCCGGAACCACAATCTTCTCCACCGCCGCCACCGCCCTCGGTTTCGGTGCCATGGCTGCTGGCACTAGCGTCCTGGGCACCTCACCAATTGACCCGTCACAATGAACCGACCAGCGCCCCGCTAGCCCTCCAACAGGGCAATGTGAGCCGCTGTCACCGATTGCGCCACCGACAACTCCACAGCTGAACCCCCCACTGCCGACAAAGCTTAGCGAGGATCCAGGGCTGGGGCCGAGCAGCAGGCCCTGTGAGGCTGCAGACGCTGCCAGCCGCATGGCTCTGCAGCTGCCGTCCAGTGCAAACTCAGTCTGTGCCAGGCTGTTTGAGCGGTGGACGGGAACCCGCCGACGTCGCTCGGGCCGGGGGATCAGCGGGTGTGCTGTGGTCGTCTGCTGTTGTTGAGAAGAAGGCAGGGATGAGGTGGTTGGCAGCGACAGGACCGGAGGACTGGGATGGCTGCTGCCACCACCGCCGCCGTTAGCGGTGCTGCTGCTGCCGCCACCGCAGGCGGCGTCTGTTTCCAGAACAGACGACAGCACGCGGCCTCCAGAAGGGTTCCGGAGCATGTGCAAGGCGCTGCTGGCGGTTGCGCCAGCGGAGCCCTCAGTATGGCTGTTGAAAAGGTCGGCAAAGTCAGAGTTTCGACTGCTCGCGAGGGAGTTGGCAACCGAATGCGAGGGAGCAGGAACAGCAGTCCCGGTAGTGGTGCCCGCGGGACGGATGAGGATTGTCCCAGTAGTGGCAGCGGCAGCAGCACCAGCAGCGTTGTCGCCGTTGCTGACTTGGTGGCTTAATAGCTGTTGTGTCGTCAGCAGGGCTGCTTGTAGGTTGCAGTGAGGAGGCTGGAGACGCAGCTGTGACTGCGGAGCTTGCGGCTGCGACTGCGACCGGAACTGGGACGGGGGTCGGGGAGCTGCTGCTGAGGGCGTGGCTGCTGTGACCGCTGGCGTGGCCTCCGTGGCTGTGTCGGTTATGTGGAGGTGGGTGGGCATGCAGACTAGGCCGCTCCACGTCTGTAACAAAAGCAATAACAACACGATGGGAGGACCAGCCGTTAGTAAACGCCAGCGACAGTTAGAGGAACGGGGGCGCTTGGAAGCAGCGGTGCCATTACCAACAGCGGCATTACTGAGCATGAAACAGCCGCAAGCACAGGCGGAGAACGACACAGAGTCTAGCCCGCATCGTAGGGTGTCCGGCACTAAAGTCTGTACCTTGCCGCTGTGTACGGATTCCCACATGCTGTCCAAAGCGGGCTTGTCGTACGCAAATATCCGGTGAAGTACATGCTCAGGGTGCAAGATGTCAGCAACGAATTGGCGGGGGCTTTTGCTTGCTTGGGTGCTGACCGCGTACCCCATGTAGGCCACAGACCTGCATGTGTTTGTTGCCAGAAAGCACGAGGCATGCCAGCAGTGGGAGCCAAAACCTTGTGAGCAGTGCGAGGTTACGGCGGTAGGCTTGGAACCGGCAATGGTGAACAGCGGTACCCGCTCACGACCAGCATGTCCAAATGACAAGACTTCGGTAACGCAATCCTCCCTCTAGTCCACAAACCCATTACGCATGCATACATTGGTGTTGCATGTGCGCCGCAGTGACAATGTCCTCACTGCTTGTCTACTTTTGCCCGCCATAAGTAAACCCCTTCACCACCCATGGGCTCGGGCTCTCTCTGCCGCATCCACCACCCAACCCCACGTACCGGCCGTTCTGGTAAGACACCCTGCCATCCAGAGACAGCACCGTCACCGCCATTGGCAAGTGCGACAGCAGCGTCTGATTCAGCCGCATGCCAGAGCACAAGGCATCCATCGCAGCCTCCTGGGCATATGGAACCTGTGGGGCCGCTGCTGCTGCTAAGACATCATCTGCAAGTCTTGGTGCGGGCTGTGAAGGCTGAAACACGGACGGCAATGGCGGCTGATCACCGGATTCTGCAGGCGGTGATGATGGCAGCACAGCAGAAGCCACCGGTTCGGCTCCGCTCCCGTCGGCCTCAGGCCTCATTAGACGGGGCAGCCAGGGGGGCGCTGACCCACGGGTCAGTGGTGGCGATTTTGGCGAAAGTGGCCAAAACTGAACCGGCTCGTTAGTATTAGCAGGTGGACTGCAAGCCACGGAGGCGGCTGAGGCGGTGAAGGTAATGGCGGCGCTGCCCTTGGTCGGCTGCGACATACCGGTATCCCCCGCAGCTGCTGACGAGTGCCTCCCTGCTGCTGCCGGGCTTGGGGCTGTCGGATCGCTAGCATTGCTGCTGCTGAGGAGCCGAGTGCTGGCATGCCGGCGTAGGTACCTCAGGCTAGCGGATTTGAGCCGGCCGGAGGGGTTCTGATGCTGCTGCGGTGGCGGCCGCTCTTGTTGCTGCTTGGTGGCTGGCAAGGAGGAGTTGCAGCCGAGCGGCAGTTGCAGCCCAGCAGTGGTTGGGGTGGGGGTGGCACCTTCTAGGTTGCTAAGCGGCAAGGCATGCGCCGCTGCGGCAATCTGGCCTGGCAAAACGCTAGCAGCAGGCGGCCCCCCGCTTGAAAGTGGCCTGATAAACCACATGAAGAGAGCAGGCATGCGGGGCGGACAAGCCTGCCATTGTTGCTGCTGTCGCTGCAGCACCGCACGGCGCAGGCAACCCATGCTGCTCTCGAGTGCAGCCGCAGGAGGCGGAGCACCCGCCGGGAGCTGCGGCTGCTGCAGCTGCTGCCGGTCTCCGCCTCCCCCAAGTCCATCCACAAAGCATGTGGTGACTCGAAGCAGCAGAAAGTCAACCAGTGGGTCGTGCAGATGCCTGTGCTGCTTGGGATCGTGCTCAGTGTAGCTAGCGCCAGCAGCGGCACTACTGTCGAAGCTGGCATCACAGGCATCAGCAGTGTTGCTGCCGTCCCGGCAGCAACCCCGCGGCCACACCACCAGCTGTTCATGTACGGCGGACCGTCCTGATCTTGCACAGCGGATCAAGTCCTCCAGGATGAGCTGTAGGGAGGGATTGCCGCCCAGCATGTCGTACAAGACCGACCGAAGCTTCAGGCTTTGCTGCTGTTGTTGTTGTTGTTGTAGGGAGGCAGTCATCATCGGCACTGGCGTCTCGCTGTCAGCGCCCAACAAAGTGGCAGCGGTGGCGGCACTAATGAAAACTGGCTCCAAACCCGGCACATCCTCCATTGCCTGCTGATGTTGCCCTCCTGCCTCTTTCTCCTCGCCGTGATCACCTTGCATGCCGGCTTCTTCCTCGGCCAACTCCATGACTGCAACAACGCTCTGCTCAACCTCAGTAGCAGCAGCGGTGAAGGTAATGGCAGCGGTTGTTGTCGGCGGAACGCTGCTTGTAGATGGGACAGCGATGGTGGTCATGGTGGCAGCGGGTGCCGACAGCACTGCGCCGCTAGTTGGCAGCGGTGACATGCGCTGACGTTGCAGAAAGCCGTCAGTGTCGTGTAGAATGGTTAGGGGGCTGCTGTTGGAGCCGCCGGTTGCAGACTGGCGCGCGGCCTGTGCGATTGCGCCTACGGCAGGTGGCAGCAGTCCAGAAGCGAAAGGCGTGATGGGCAGGATGCAGGGCTCCATGGCTAGATAGCCTGTGAGGCCCGTGTCGACTCCGTCACAGCTGCCGCCCCGGTTGCTGTAGCCGCTGCTGTAGCCGCTGCGAACGTCAAGTGCAGAAAGGGCGCCCAGCTGCGCTGCGGCCTCTGCTGCTCCGGTGGAAGCGGCAACCGCGCCAGTACTTGCTGGTGCGCCTGTCATTGCTGGTTTGGGTGTTGGTGACATGGTCGAGGCCTGCTCAGAAGGCTGGCCGTTCATTGCTGGTGACGTAACAGGGGCATGTATCATGGTACCCGGCGGGTCAGCGGTGAGGAGCATTGGAAACACAGAGGTCCTCACTCCGCCATCCAGTTCCGCCTCACCATTTCCACCCATTTCCTCGTCGTGGCGTGCGCCCAACGCCGCCACAAGCGCTGGAGCACCTGCCCTGCTGGAGCTCCCAGCCCTTTGCGACCCGCGGGTCATCAGCAGTGCTTCCTGCTGGACCGGGTCTACGCTGTCTACACTACCCGCCACGTTATCATCTCTATCGTCACCGCCGGCCATGGGCTTGCCCCAGCCAGCTGGCACGGAGTAAGAGGACGCGAGAGACGGTGCCATGTCGGCAACACCACCCGCTCCGAAAATATCACTATCCGTGGGGGCTGCGCTTTTCGTAGGTCGCAGCATCGCGGGCTTTGGATGTGCCCTGCTGCTGCCGCTGGCCCAACCACCCACGCTGCCCGCCGTACCCGACGCACGCCCAACAAGGCGCGCAGCCGCCAACGCTGCAGACGATGATTCCCTACGGGACAACCTTTCAACGAAGGCCGCCGTGGGTTTCACGCCTGCCCTGCACAACAGCATCCTGGGCAGCCCGGCTGAGCGCTGCGGGCTGACCCCCGCCCCATTAACACCGCTGGCGGCCTGGGCTGTGGAGGTGTCTTCTGTGTTCGCATGCAGGTAGGTGACCTTGCCGCGGGGCGTGGAGGTGAGGCCCTGAGCCGTGATGCGCTCCTGGACGATCTTGGGCAGTTCGCGGCTGCAGTGTGTGATGGTGGTGCCGGCCGCCAAGGCTTCTGGCGGGGTGTCCTCGCCGTGCGGGTCGGGGTCCTCACCCACCTGGGCGGCGGGGCAGGGTTGAAAGGATGGGGGAAAGGGGGCATGCAGGGGAGGGGCAGGGGAGCTTTGGATGATGAGGAGGTGTTGCAGGGCGGGCTGATGATGCTGATGTTGAGTTGATGCACCGGGGGATGGGGAAATAGTTGCACGTACGTCGCAGGTCGCATGTCTAGCATGTTCGGATTAGGATTAGATCCGCACTGGAAGGGTTTGACCGCAATGCCTGCGGTTCTCTGGTTGTATTTGCAGTACACGTGTCGAGCTGCTGGCGTGAGGAGTGCGGCTGACACAATGATAGGATCGGTTCGACTATGTAGGCAAAGTGCAGCGGACACAACGAGCTCGCACAACAAGGCCAGCTGCACGGAACCAGGCTTCTGGCCGGCTAACGGTGCCATTCAGAGCAAAGCGGCAACACTTCATTTTGCCATTGGTAGCAAGAGGACGCGTCGTACGGGGCCTCGAACACTCACCTGAAGTACGACAACAGCGTACGGTGAGGAATCCAAGGTGTCACGGAGACCCTCCAGCGTTACCACGGGCACCTCGCCTATGGCGGTAGAAAGGCGGGAGTGCGGTATCAGGATCAGGGCTTGCGTGGATGGGGTGGGTCAGGCGGCCGTGTGAAGGGAATGTAAAGCTGATGTATGGTGGCAGAGGAGGTCGGGCACATAGAGGAGTATACCACAGGCATTCAGGGTTGTGCAAAGAAGGTGCTAGGGTTTGTGACAAGCAAAGGCGGATAGATTGTTGGGCTGGTGGGGTTAGGTAAGTAGAGGCCCCCCGAAAATAAGACTAAAGGGCCATGGCATGGCTGCCGCCTGCCCTTTTAGTTGCACCCGCAGAGGAGGCTGTAGGCGGACTGGTTGGTCCTGCACATCTCGCGATTGGCCGAGCGACCTACCGAGCGAGCCCGTTAGCGTGTCCGACTGGTGCTGACAATGCTTAAGGAGACTCTCAATATCTCCGTGCACGACGGTGCTGTCCTGGCCCGGTGCGCTTGGACTCGCGCCATCAGCAACGAGTGATGGCTGGGTTAGCTGTCGCTCAGGAACGTTAGACAATAAGGAAGCGCCACAGCCTGTATCAACAATCATCTTATCTGCGTTTTTCGGGGCGCCTGCATGGAAAGAAAGCCTGACAAGCTTAAAGCGGCGAGCCAAAAGCCCTACGAATGCCATGCCGCCTTGAGCATATGCTTTCAAACCTTTAAGCATTTTCAGCTTTCCAAGCCCAAGAAGCAGCCGCTTTTTAAGTGATGATGACATGTTGCGGTCGGCGTCCTTGCCAGCCCTATCAGGTAATGACGCGACCAGGTCCACATCCGCAGGAAGGGTCACCAAGGACGCTGCCGGTGACCGCTGCCGTCCGAACATTAAATTAATAGACTATTATACAGTGTGAGACAAGGTAAGCTGTGCCCCTTACTGTGGGGGCCTTCGCGCTCGTATGACTGACGATGCAAGCACACGTTGGTTTTTGAGGCGACTATGCACGCATTCCGTGTGGCTTGGGCACACCTTGTAAAGCATAGAAAGAAGCGCTTTGTAACCGACTATAATCTTAGGAGTCATCCGCTGGGACGGATGTACGGAGGGCCAAGCCGCGCAGCGCCGTTTCAATTACCCGACACTGTGCACGCGTCCTGTGTACATGGTAACTATTATAGCTTTGTATCATTAATTTGAACCGCATGCTTTTGGGCCATGCAGGACTGCTTCCTGGTGCACGCTTTGTCGGCTTTCCGCTGCTCACAGCAACGAAATGAAAGTGCTCTTTAACATGTACTTCCGCCTTCCCTTAATTATTCAGTAGTAGTTAAGTGATGCTTTTTGCAAGGTGCTCGGATAAGGGTTTACGCCTGCAGGCACTCGTACCCCTCGCAACCTACCATTGCCTTAACTAGTGTCAAGCCATAATACCTGGCTCGTATTTGGTTATTAATGCCTCAAGCTTTCTACAGATACCACCATCCACTCTGATAGGTCTGCTTTTACTCGCTCGGCCAGATTACTAATAACCGCGGTAGCTTGCATAAAGCCAACGTTCGGGGTATCAGAGCTCTATTAGCCTATTACGTCTATCGCCCAACATACCGTTACCCAGGATTTCGGTCGAGGGCTTAAACAGGAGACTGTACCTGCCTACAATGTACATCCCGTCTGACCTTAACGCGCCACGTTCATCCCAGAAAGGCCTCAGCTCGCGTCCCGAATAGGTACCAAGGGCATCCATCACAGCTCCCGCCCTTCCCACCCATTCATGGGCAGCTCCTGTGCCGCTGGAGAGGCTAACGACGCCAAAGGGCTTTCTCACCCCTTCCCTCTGCTGCTTCTATTTTACTGCAAGACCTGCGTTCCAAGTACCAGTACATGTGGCGGCGAAGCTCTCGCGCTATGTACTGCTCACTGGGCAAGGTTGCCATCCTCACGGATGCATGTTGTACGGCATGAAGCAGCTGCATGCCCCTCTTAATTGCCACCGACACCGGCAAGGGAGCCCTGCGTTGTCGTCGCATGCAGTGCGCTTCTGCGGGAGGCTGTGGGCTTGACTAGCCAAGGGCTGGTCAAGTGCCTGAAGCGGTCACCAGGATATCCGAGTTGGCAGCCGGTGCCACGGAGGCGGCGACGGAGCCATGGCAGCTGGAAGCTGGGAGCTTACACGGGCGTGTCCTTGTCTTTGACCCTGCACTGCATTGTCTGCATGGCAGCGAGAGTGGATGGCCTGGCCCTCACCTGAACTTGGCGGCGGTTTTGGAGACTGAGGCTGACTGGAGCTGTTATCGATGCGTATGGAGGATGATGCCCTGGCGAGGACGCTTTCAGGGTCTCGTTGCGCACTGCAACATACTCTTACTCGTCGTGTACATCCAATAAGGCGGAAGGGTACGCCAAGGCGCAAGGCCAAGGGCGGGATTTCAGCATACAGAAGCGTCTTGGCTGTGCTGCTTGCTGTCAAAACACATGCTCGTACATGGCATAGGAGGGGTACCGGTGGTGACACCCATGTTTGTCAAGGCTCGTCAGGCTGAGTGCAACATGCGTGGGACGATTGTGCATCGAACTTATGATAATTTGATGGCCAGAATACTATGGGCGTGGCCTTCCGGGCTAAGAGACCTGGTGCCGCTCCTGAGGCGTCTTACTGGCTTGGCGGCCGTAACGACATGGCATGCGCCTTGTAGCATAGGCTATCGTATGGCCATGCGGACTGTAATAGAGGGGGCTTTACGGGAATTCACTTCGACGCCTCAGTACAAAGTGTGAAGAATTTACTTCGGTTCGGGTCCCGCCAGGTGCAAGCTTTCGTGTATTGACGTGTGTTGCGGCAAGGTTACCCCAGCTACTTGATCAGAGCCGTAAAAAGCACAGCCATGAAGCCCTAGAGTGGTATCAGCGATTGACCCAGACATATTGGGCGCTGTGTTAAGTACTAGGCGGCACAATTGAAAGCGGCGAACGGCCGAACGCCATCCATCCTATCCGCCATGCTTGCAAGTTAAGCTTCTTCGGTACTCGAAACAATCCCCACGTACCTACTGCAACGGTCCTGAGGTCTGTATTTTAACATGCGTTGCGCAGTATCAAAGCGAACTTCACTGGCAGGCCTTATGCAAAACAGGTGCCGACCTTTTTGCTGACTGCTATTCCATCCTGTAAGCTTTCGTGCAATTTCCTTTCGAAGCCCTTCTACTACATAATGCACTGCATATGTACTATTTGAAGTCGCTGCCCATGACTATCAATTCCTAAAGCAAACGTCTGGCAAACATGCAAGCTTACTAAATAGGATGGGTTTCCGATGGATGTTGCCTACATATAACATTTTTTGTGTGAGGCCGTAGGTCGTTGGGGTTTAGGTTGATTGACAAGAACATACTGGGCCAGCGCATAAGTTTGCAAACATGAACGCTCTACTACTGCGCAACCTGGGCGGCTTGCGCCGCAGCAGCAGCCTGCAGTCCTTCGCCGAATACCGCCAGGCGGAGGCGCAGAACCCACAAATGAGCAGCGTAACGTCCGAGGGCACGCTGCTGGAGTATGAAACCCTTGAGCTGCGCATTCATCCTCCAAATGTTGTTATCGACAACGAAACTTATGACGATGTGACCGTCATTACCATCGACAGCGCCAATCGTCCCGGCACGCTAATCGAGGTAACTGGCCGGCACAAGCTAACAGCACGCACCTAGCCATCTGATGCCTGCCTCCTTCGGCACATGGCATAGTAGTATCATACGTACCGGCGGGACGCTGAAGTAAGGAGATGTCCTTGAAGAACGCCTGCCCGGGGTTCCCCATCCTACCTACCTATCATTGCTCCTGAACGCCGCCGTGCCCACCGCTCCCCTCTCCCACATCCTCCATCAACCCCATCCCCCCCCCGCCCCTAGGTGGTGCAATGCCTAACGGAGCTGGGTCTCAGCATCCGCTGTGCGCGCATCTCATCGGATGGGGGCTGGTTCGTGGACGGTGAGGCGTGAGGCAGCCTTTAGGATGGAGATTTGGGGGCGCTGTTATAAGGATAGTAGATTGTGTTGAAGTTAGAAGGGAAGGAGCCAGAGTGGAGGGTGCTGCATGGGCACGTTTCAGGACGTTGAGAGTTGGGTTGGAGTCTGGGTCGGGAGAGTTAGGCCGCCCCTCACACCGCGCCACCCACTCACCACCCCTTCCAGAGTTCTTCGTAACGGAGACGCCCAAGGGGAAATTGCTGGACCAGCGCAAGATGAACATCATCCGCAAGGTGATTGCGCCTTGCGATGCAGGGCGGAGAAGGGGGCACATTTGGTGGCGGACGAGGAGTGGGGGGTAGGGGCGCTCGGCTGTTTTGGGGACAAGACACGTGTCGGGGGCCTGGGAGGTACCGGTGGCAGGAGGGTTAGCTTGGATGTGCCGCATGGCCGGTACACTTGGGTGTGGTCCCTTCCCTCCCCTGTGTGTGAGCTGTTTAATCCTTGCGTGCTTATAACCGTCGGAGCCCTTTCCCGATCTTATCCTCCTCCCCTCCACAGGTGCTCAGCGTGGAGACTGACGGCGCAGGCAGCTTCAAGGGTGAGCAGGGAGGCGGGTGCAAGGAGGGCAGGGGCAGGCGACTTGTGTATTGCAGGCGGCACCGTATCGTCAAATTTGGCACCCCTGGCCCCACTGCCTATATCCCCTCCCTTGCTCCGCTCCCCTGCAATCCCACCCCATTCACCTCTTGCCCAACCCCACACCTCCCATCCTTGCTGCCCACCCCTCTCCCATCCTCCCGCTCTCCTCCCCCCTCTTCCCTCTCCCCCCCCCCAGACAAGGAGATGTGCACCGTGTTTGAGCTGGCGGGTCGGGACCGGCACGGGCTGCTGGCGGCGGTGCTGCAGCTGCTGGTGGTGAACGGGTGCGAGGTGCTGTCGGCCGCGGTGAGGAGGAGGCGCGGGAGGAGGAAGGGGTGGGGGGATAGCACCGGGGCTGTGATGGACCCGCATGTGCTGTGTGACCCCATCCCTCGCATGTGCTGCGTGGGCGCATCACACACCCACAAACTCATTCACACCCACTCGTGCCTCGCCACTCGTACCGCTGCAGGTGTGGACCTTCCACGACCGAGTGGCGCTGGTGCTCAGCGCCACGGAGCGGGGGGCGCCCGTCGTTGACCCGGTCAAACTTGACCGACTGGAGCAGATCTTGTACGACATGCTGGGTGGCGGGGACGCTGTTGTCAACAGCGAGCTGGTGGGTATGGAGTAACGAGGTTGGGGATGCGGGTGTGTGAATGTGGTTGGGTCGGGAAGGGGGTGAGGAGCGCCTTCAGCGACCCGCGTGGGCCTGCTTTGGTTACCTGGGCAGGTTTCCTCTGCATTACCTCTTTTCACCTCCAACAACAATGGTTCTTAATGAACATGGATCAACATGGACACTTACACGTGGGAAGCACCTGGTGTGTTAAGAAAACTGGCCGCGAGGCGGACCGTATTGTGATTGCCGGAAGATAAAGTTGTCCACACCTGTGGCGGTGTTATAGGTGCGTGGCGAGGTGCACCACGAGCGGCGGCTGCACCACCTGCTGCTGCTGGAGGAGCTCAAGGCGTGGGAGCAGCAGTACGTGGCCACCTCCATCACACCGACCCACGGGTCAGCCACGCCAGTTCCGGGCACCGCCACGCCCACAAACAACGGAGCCGCCACGCCTACGCACGGCACCTCATATCCCAGCACGCAGAACGGCATTGCCGCCGCGACCGGCACCCCAGCCTCCGCACCCGGGCTGGCAGCTGAGGGCTCCTCCGGACCGCCCGTCTTCAGCGGCTTCGCACGCTCCTCTTTCAACGCTGGGACGACCGTTTCCCTCTCCAACTCCTGCCTCCCCTCGCGCGCGCCCAGCCCCTCGCCTCACTTTGCCGCCTCGCATGGCGGGCTGTCGCATGAGGGCTCGGGCAACATGGGGAACGGAATTCCCGGCTACACGCCCGCAGGCTTCCCCCAGGCTGATGAGGGGGGCGCCGCGTGTCCCCAGTCGGCCTCGCTGGTAGGGGGCGGCGAAGCAGGGCCCGACGGCCTGGCAGCGGCCCCCGCGGGCCCCTTTGAGCTGGGCACAGCGGGCGGCATGGGGCGCTGCACCTCGGCTGAGGGGGCACTGGGAGGTCTGGGCGTGGGCGGGAACCTCAACATGATGGTGGTTTCGGAGCCGCTCATCGATGTGGGTTTGGATCTGCCGGCTGCCGTACAGCTGCAGGACCACGTGGCGGCGGCCATGGAGCGGCAGCGCTCAACGGCGCCGTCGGATATGGGTGTCGTACCGCCGTCGCCGCTGATGTCGTCAGCAGCCACGGCTGACGGCATGGTCGGCGGCGCGCATCGCAGCACCTCCACTGGCTCAGTCGCCGGCATGGTCGCGTCGCGTGTCGGCGACCCCCGAACGCAGCCGTCGACGAGCGGCGGCGGCGCGCCGCCGCTACCAGCAGCGACTGGCGCCGCGCGTGCCTCCATTGGCCGTACGATGACGGTTACCGGTGATGAGCATGAAACCGGGCAGCAGCCGCTGGCGCCGGCGCCGACAGCGGTGCCGCCGTCACTGGGCAATACGGATGCCGCTGCCGGCAGCGGCGGCGGCGCCGCAGGCTCCGCTGCAGGCACCAGCGGTGGCAGCGCTCCCACCACTCAGGACCAGTTGGCTCAGCTGCGGCGCAGCGAGGTGCGCATCCAGCACTCTGCGCTGCTGAACTACTGGCTGGTGACCATCCGGTGCCGCGACCGCAACAAGCTGTTCTTTGACACGGTGGGTGGGAGGGCGGGTGGCTGGGGGTGTGGGGTTGGGATCTTGGGAAGGGATGCTGGATGCATGCCCAGTACATACGCATAGCTATGGTCGTTATACCGGTAGTCTTACGGCTCAGTTCATTGCTTCGATAAAAAGATACAATATACCGGTACGCGCTCCGTTGCATGCGCCCTGCAGGTGTGCACACTGGCCGACATGAACTACGACATCTACCACGCCACCATCGACTCGGAGGGGGACGCCGCCAGCCAGCTCTTCTACGTGCGGCCCAGGTGCGCACACTGCTGTGCGGCAGCAGCAGCACAGGAGCCCCTTGAAGTAGCACATCACAGCACAGGGGCCCCATCTGGCAGGCGGAGGAGGGGGAGGAATTGCAGCACATTAACGCATGCGAGAAGATGGGTTGCTCACGCGTGTACAATGCGCGAATCCCTGGTTGTGCTCCGCCCCGAGCTGACTTGGCCGCCCGCCCGCTTCCTGCAGGTACGGCGAGTGCATCTGGGACGAGCGCCGAGCCGCCAAGCTGCGGTACATGTTGGAGAGCGCCGTACAGCGCCGCTTCCCCCGCGGCACCAAGGTGTGTGTGCACAGCACCGACCGGTCGGCGCTGGTGCAGCTCTTCTCGGCGCTCAGCAGCGGGGGATTCTGGATCACCCGGTGAGAGGGGGCCGCGAGATAGACCGAACCGTAGGACTACACAAGTGAGGGCAAAGCAATGGGGATAGGAGGCGGCAGGGTGAGAGGGGCGAGGCTAGCGGCGGGGCTGGGGCGGGGTGGCGTGGCTGTTGGGGAGTAAGATGGCTAGATGGGCGCTGCAATGGGGCCAGAAAGGATGAGACGAACTAACAGTTTGACGCGGCTCCTACATTGGGCAACTCCACACTGCTCGATGCGCCAAACCTCACAACAAGTAAACCTGGTAACCTATCCATTCATCGGCTTCCCTCCTTCCTCTCCCACTCCCTCCCTCCTTCCTCTCCCCCTCCCTGCCCCCCCCCGCCTGCCCCTCCCCAGCGCCGACGTGCGTACCCACCAGGACGCCGCCGTGTTCGAGTTCACCATCACCGACACGCGGGGGCACCTGCCGGAGCAGGCGCACGTGCAGCGCATCTGCGAGCACGTGGGCGGCGTCATGACGCACGACGTGTACGGACCCTCGCAGGGAGTGCAGCCAGGTGAGGGAGGGAGGGAGGGAGGGCAGGCGGGGAGCAGCAGGGAGGTGGTAGACTGGCGGTGGTGGTGTGGTTCCCGGTGAGGTGGTGGAGCTCAGAGAGGATGGGTGCGCTGGCATTCCCCGCAGCCACAGCCGTCCCCAGCTGCTTCTCATGCGATGTGTGGGTAGGGGAATAGCCCATTATCATATACATTCCACGCCCTTGTCATCAACATCACGCACCCTCAACCCCACACATTCACCCGCCCCTCCTCACGTCCTCTCGCACGCTGCAGGCAGCGGCTCCCGCCTTGGTGGCGCCCCGGGTCGCGGGCCGGCTGGGGCAGCGGGCTCCGGTGTGGGCACCTTCCGCTTCAGCATCCTGGAGCGGCGCTGGAACAAGGGCTGGCAGGGGGGCGTCCAGGGGGGCAACGCGGCGGGGTCGTACGACAGCGCCGTGTCATCGGGATCCATGTAGGCGAGTGTGTACGAGAGGGTGTACGACAGTAGGGTGTGTGGAGGACATGGTCTGGGTCGAGGTTGGGTGATGATGCCACGAGGAGGGTGAGAAGGGACGTGGGAGCTGGTGGCGAGATGGCGGTTGCGTGCTTGACGTTTTGAGTAGCTTGCTGGCTGTAGGTGGATGTAGATGTTGCGTGGGCGGAATGTCAGCGTCGCCTTCCTCACGCAGCACGGTAGGGGCAGAGGCGGGTGCGTTGAGGTGGTAAGGGGGAGGCCGTAGATGGGAAGGCCATGAAGTAAGGCCGTTCTTGCTGCACAGCAGGCACAGCAAGCCAGCCGGATGCTGACAGGATGCATCATCAGCCGCTGTCTGCTGACCCGGGTGGAGGAGCGGTTGTTGCTGTGGTTGTATTCTTATGCGCGCTTGCTTATTGTGGCCAAGAGGAATGCCCCTCCCCAAGGTTTGGAAAGGGAGATGGCGGCCCATGTCCTGCTGATCGTTTCCTGTTGGCCCTTAGCTGTACTTGGCAGCTTACAGGGAGCGGGACTGGGAATTACTGGGCTTGGGTAGCAAACTACGCAAAGAGTAGTAGTAGTGATAGCGTACGTTACGGCGTGGCGTTGACGTTGGCAGTTAGTTCAGCTCTGTGAGAGTTGGAGGGGAAGCTCAAGTACGATGCAGGGGGGGACGTATGGGTACTTGACGGCTATGTAGAGGACTGCAAGAGAAGACGAGATCGCGGTCATTTGATGGACCATCCCGGCAAGGGAACTGAATTTCGGTATAGTGTGTGAAACAGCGGTATGTACCATACCGTACTGTGTGTGGCAAATGGGATGAGTGCGTACATGGTTAGCAAGCATTTGCTGCTGCTGCGGGGTGTTGTACGGCTACCGTATTCGGCAAGCCGGAACCCGCTTTGAGAGGAGAGTACGTGAGTAAGAAGAGGGGTAGGAGGCTGCAGATGGTCAGGCACACAAATTCGTTGTGCGATGGAGGATCGGAGGGACCGGATTACAGGTGGTCGGAATGTATTCGTTAGGCCGACTGTGTATACGTGTGTTCTTCCAACTACAGGACGTAAAAGCGAGCGGTTGGGTCCAACATGTGTGTTTTATTTGCGAGGTGTCCGTTTCGCCTTGTGTCAATGCTGTGCTATATGTTTGTCCGGAGGCTAACCCTTATCGCTGCATGTGGGTAGATGTGCTTTTTACCCTCAAGCGGGTGTTGCCGGTGGTGTACCACCGGCTTTGTAAGGTCCCCGCCTTGGCTTGGCTCACCTTGCATGTGTCGCGTGGGGCAGCGCAGGGTCCTCAGGATCCCCATGGGGCGCCATAATGGCAGTCTCAGCCCCTAGCCCCGCACGCCCCACACGCAGCGCTCGGCCCATCATTCCTGTGCTCCTCGGCTACCCTCACGTGCAGGGCGGGCCTGTGTCTCATCACGCGCTTTCATGAATACAGTATAAACGTCACGCGGCACCGGGTAAGTTACGGTGTGGCACGCGACGAGCCCTCTACCGCGGCATTGCGAGGAGGAGCAAGACCTCCCTGACCGGCCCAAACGCGTATCGTTGTCACTAATCCCGAATATCACCACGTACATTACCCCAACACCTCCGAGGTATGGAACGAATGCGTACTTCTGCCCTGGTCACGAGATAACCACCTGTCACGGTGTCTTTACTGACGCTAAACCCGCGTCTAATGCATCAACCGGTTTGGGACGCCCACACCCCAACTGATACCTCTCTTGCTACTGATAAGTGCCTGATGCTCACAGCCGCCGTCATATAGCTGTCATAGCAATACATAGTTACCGTCCAAGCCGTGCCAATTACAAACCCAAGAGCAGTCCACGTCTGCTTTGCTGCATGGTAAGCCACACGGTCCTACGTTGCCACATACCGGTAAGGTAAGCCTGAACCCCTGAAGCCTCTCTCCTCACCACCCGCAGCCCTTAGTCCTCTCGGCACCAATACCAGCGCGCTACCCCGCTCTCTCCAGCCCCATCCCAAACCCAACGCCCATCTTCCTATGTTGCTTACCCGCCGCAACCTCTCCCCCTCTGCCGGACGAATCCGCCGCCCCAGCCGCATCCGTGGATCTCCCCAAACCGCTGGCGGCAGCAGCGGCGGACCTCCTCAGCTGCACCTCCTTCTCCTCCTCCTGCTTCCCATCGCTACCGCCACCACTGCTACTGCTACGGATCTTGCCGCCATTCTGAACGTCAGCGTCCTTGACAACGGGGCCCACGATGCCGTCGCCGTCTCCATCCTCCTGGAGGGCAAAAAGGAAAAGGGACGGCGGAGAAATTTACCGGTATATACCAGTACTCGGGCAAACAGCGAATACCATGCCCTGGTGCAGATGTACCGGTATGACAGCCGGCTGTCCGCTACCCCAGCAGCCAGCCACGCCATGTCCCTCCTCCGCACCCAAGTCCTCTCCGGCTCCCCTTAACGCCCCTTCACCAACTCCCATTTCCCATCTCCCACCCCACCCCACCTGCACAAGGTGTCCTTCTGCGTCCACCTTCACCACCGGCCCCTCCGCGTCCTTGTCACCCTTGTCCCCGCCACCGCCACCACCGCCACCGCCGTCGGTAATCTTGTGCACAAGCCCCATAAGCACATCCTCTATACCGCCGCCGCTACTGCTGCTACTGTTGCTGCTGCTGCCGCCGCCGCTGCTTCCGCTACCGCCGATGTTGACGATGCTACTGCCAGACTTGGCAGCAGCTGCGGCGGCCGCCACGGCTGCTGCCGCCGCCGCCGCCTCCCCGCCGGCCGCCGCAAGCGCCGGGTGGTCCATAGCACCAGCCGCCGAGCCCCCGCCGCCGCCACCGGAGCCGCTCCTGCCACCTGCATACCGGTAGGACAGGGGTCCCGCAGCGCAGAGGAGGAGCTAAACGGGTTGCAAATTGCATAGGGGCACAAGGTCCCTAGGAATGCAACAGCGGGCGTCTAGATCAGTTAGCAGTTGCGGAGTTACAGACTCACCAACTAACTAACTAGCTAACCGCGACAGCACCCCACTCGCTCATACCGGTACCTTTCGACGCCGCACCACCCGTGGATGATGTCGATGCCGACCCAGAAGCAGCGGAACCAGCAGCTGCTGCGGCCGCCGCCGCTGATTCCTTCTTGGTTTCGGAGATGTCTTTCAGGATGTCCACCACTCGCTCTGCCACCTTGGAATCGCTGTGTGTGAGGCTGTCTTGGATCTGCTGCAACGCCTCGTCCTGCCTGACCTTGGTGAGCGCCACCGCGTCTTGAAGCACCGCAGCGATACCCGACACGTTCAGACTGCTGCTGCCAGTAGCCACTCCAGCAGTGGTGGTGGTGCTGGTGGTGTTCCCAGCGTCGGTGGCTGCGGAAACACCAGAGCTGCCACTCTGCGATGCGATGCCCGAGGCGCCCTTGGAGGCAGTCGTGGTGGCGGCTGAGGAGGACTTGGAAGCGGAAGAGGAAGCAGGAGGCGGTGAAGGAGCAACTCCCTTCCCAAGAGCAACCACGGCGCTGCTGGACGTGCCGCTGCCGCCCCCGCTGACCACCACTCCTCCTCCGCCGGTGGACACCGCCGCCGTGGCAGCGGCAGCGTTACTGACGGCGGCGGCGGCTGCTGCAGCTGCCGCCGCGGTGCTGGCGGTGTCCGTGCCCGCCCCGCCTGCCGCCGCGATCTTGATGTTAAGGTCCTTGATCACCTCCTCCAGCTGCCCCGCCGTCTCAGCCATGCGCTCATCTGAGGAGGAGGAGGCAGTACCCGAGGAGGAGGCACCCACGGCAGGCGCCTGGGCAGCCGAGGAGCTGCTGCCGCTGCTGCTGCCAGCACCGCCGCTGCTGGTGCTGCCGCTGCTGCTGCCACCACCGGTGTTGGCAGCACTGCCGGAAGAAGCTGCCGACGTGGCAGCAGTAGCTGTGGGGTCCGAGGCCTTGGTGGTGGTACCGCTCGTGCTCGAGCCCTTGGCGGCACTGCTGCTGCCGCTGCTGCTGCTGCTGCCGGCGGTAGTTGTGGCAGTTGTACTACCAGCCGTGCTGCTGCTGCCAGCGGAGGAAGCAGTGCCGCCGCCGCTGTTGCTGCCACCACCGCTGGAGGAGGTGGCAGTAGCGGTTCCAGAGGCGCTGGTGTTGTTGTTGTTGTTGCTGCTGCTACCACTGCTGCTGGCCTTCACGTCGGTTCGCTTCACCTTGGGCAGTTTGCCCTTCGAAGAGGTCTTCTCAAGCTCTTGGGACACCTGCGGGTGGGGGTGCGGGCGCGGGTGGGAATGGGGATGGGGGTGCGTGGAGCTGGTTGTGTCATGGCTGAGGGCTTTGGGGGGCTTTCGACGGCACCGCGGTAGCGCCCCAAACCAACATCCCTGGAGCCCTTCCCAACGCATCCCCCCTCTCAACATTCACCCTGACCACTCTCGCCAGCCCCCTCTATTCCTCCAACCCCGCACTCCCCCCCTCTCCCTATGGTTTCATATGGTTCGGTATGACCCCGCCCTACCTTGACCAGCATGCCGAGCAGCTCGCTTGCCTCCTCGCTGGCCGACCGCTGCAGCGCCTCCCCCGTCAGCTGCATGGCCAGGGTGCTGCTGGCGGTGGCGTTCAGGGCCAGCTGCATGGCCTGAGAGGCGGGTGGGGAGTGGGGGGGGGGCAGGTGGGGGAGGTAGGGGGGGTTACATGGGGGTTCACAGGTGGCCGGACTTACACCCGTGTCTGGATCTTAAGGTGAGCGTATGGAGTTCTGGTGTCAGCGAGAGTCGGTGACTGCTGCATGCCCTCGCTGCTTGCCCTGCCCTGCCCTGCTCCACACCCTCGCACCCTCTCCCTCCCTTCACCCGCGCTGCCCCCCTCCCTCTCACCGCCGCCGCTGCCTTCTTGATGTCCTCGTCGTGCTTGTTTCCCCGCTTGGCCGCCTCCACCGCCCCCCACACCCGATCCAGCAGCGCAGCCGTCTGGTTGAGAGCCAGCAGCGCGGACAGCGCCGTGGAGCGAACCTGCACCAGCGACTTGCCTGGGAGGGAGGGGGGAGGGGGGGGGGGCGGGGACGTAACGAGGAAGAAACGGACGAGCAACATGACACGGCTGGGAGAAGTGGGGAGGGGGAAGGAAGTAGTACTGTTCACAGTGCGGCCACCAACTTGCCCTCTTTCTCGTCCACACCACCTTCCCAAGTCCCCTTTCCCACCGACCCACCTGCCCTCCCTCCCTCCCCCTCTCCCCCCACCCACCTGCCCCGGTTGCGTTCCCCGCCACATCGCTGAACGCCCCGAGCGCCTTCCCCAACTCCAACGCCAGGTCCGCAGCTCGGTCCCGAGTGCCGCCACCGCTGCCTCCATTAGTGCCACTGCCGCCGCCACCTCCACTGCCCCCAGACACCTTGCCAGCGGCTCCCGTGCCGCCAGCTGCTGCTCCTCCCCCCCCTGCTGCTGCTGTGGCTGCTGCTGCGGTGGCATTCCCGCCCGCCGCTGCTGCCCCCAGTCCGCTGCCCTCTCCTCCCCCTCCTCCTCCCCCCGCCGCCAGCTGCGCCATGGCCGCATCCAGCTGCGCCACCACCCCCGCCACCCCCTCCGCCGTCACCCGCACCTCCTCCTTCACGTCAGCCAGCACCTGCTCCACCGCACTGAACGCCTTCTTCTCGGCCACATGCTGCCGGTGCTCCTGGGAGGGGGCGGGCAGCGAGCGGAGACAGGGGTAAAAACAAGAATGCGAGGGGTGTGAGGGGATCGAGGACAAAGAATAGAGAGGTCGGCGAAGGAAGGGAGCGGGTGTGTGGGGGCAGCCTGCTGTGTTGCTGCCGCTGCCTCTGCCGCTGCGGTACCCGATGAGGGGCGTGGGGCAGTGCACGGGGTACTGCCGTACGCGGGTGTACAGCAGGCGGCTGCATCTTGATAGCACATGTCATCATGTGGGGTGCTGTCAATGGACGTTCTTTGGCGCTTGAATGCAGGTTGATCGTAGGGCTGCTGAGGACGGAAACGCAGTAGGGCAATGATGAAGGGGTTCCGTTCCCCTTTGTCATTAGCCTACTACGCTTCCGTCCTCAGCAGCCCTACGACAGAGAACGTCTACTGACAGCACCGCACAAGTTAACATCAGCTATGAGCATGCAGCCGCCTGCCGTACACCAGCAACTCCCGGGGACCCAAGACGCCCTCCCTACCCCCCTCCTTTCCCATCCCTCCTCCTCACCTTCACCAGCGTCTGCAGCCCCCATTCATGGTGATGCTGCTGCGCCGCCGCCTTCCCGCCTCCTCCCCCTCCTTCCCCTCCCCCTGCCCCTCCTCCTCCCCCTTCCCCTCCCCCCGTCCCCGCAATCGCATCCAGCTGCGCTGCCGCCTGCTGCAGCTTGGTGTACGTCCCCCCCGCGCCCGTCACGTTGGCCGTGACGGAGCCCAGCTGCTTGGCCGCCTGCTCCACTGCCGACACCGCCGCCACCGCTGCCCGCGCCGACTGCTGCACGCGCGCCGCCTGCTCCACCACCACCTCGTGCGCCACCAGCTGCTGAGCCAGGTGAACCACGGCGGCTTCCTGCTGCACGGCGGACAGGATCTGGGGAGGGAGAGAGGGAGGGGGGGAAGGGGGGTCAAAGACCGTACCAAACCAAAAGGAAACCGCAGGTTAGGGCAAAGCAATGGGGATAGGAGGCGGCAGGGTGTCACAATACAGAGTGTTAGTAAGTAGGAAGGGGGCAGGGTGAGGGGGGAAGGGGAAGGGAGGGGAAGGAGCATGTGTGGATGTAGAAGGATGGCGGTAGAAGCAGAGCGGGGCATAGGCACATGCGTGAAGAGGAGGGAAACCGCGGGACGGGCAGGTGTCCAGGAGTAAGCAGGTCAGAGGGAAGAGAAAAAGGCGCGAGGCCGAGTGCCCCACTGTCCCTCACCCTCGCCTCCCCCGTCCCTACCGCGTCCGTGCACGTGATGCCGCTGACCACTCCGAAGCACAGCAGCGCTATGGCCTTGCGCTTGCGCCATAGCCACTCGGAACTGAGAGCGGCAGGGGGGGAAGGGAGGGGGAGAGGGAGAGGAAGAGGGAGGTGGGGGAAAGCGAACAAGACCCAATGCGTTGAATGAGACTGGCAAAGCAGGTGGCAAGCTCCTTCTAGGCGAGGGAAGGAAGGGGGTTTGGGTGGGGCAGCTGAAGGCGGGAGCCCGCTGGGGTGGCTAGCCACCTCTCATCCAGGCGCCACAATGCGCAGCCTCACAACGTGCCACATTTGTGTGTATTGTGCAGAACAAAACCCATGTCCTCCTCCCTGCCCACCAACCCCTTCCTCATCCCTTCCCTCAACATGTGGTATCTCTTCGTCCTCCTCCCTCCCTCCCGCCCCCTCCCCTCCCTTCTGCCCGCCCCCTCCCTCCCCCCCTCCCGCCCTCACCGGATCGCCTGCGGCATGACTTGGAACTTGCCCGCCCCCAGCAGCTCCGGTGTGGCGTCCAGCAGGCGGATAAAGGTGACGGCGGGCAGGATGTATGACAGCAGCACGGAGGCGGTGGCGCCCGTCAGGCCGAAGATGAACTCGATGTTGGGAACCCAGATGGCGGAGGCGAGCGCAGTGCCTGCAGGGGAGGGGAGGGGAGAAGGAGGGGGGTCAGAGACCATGTTCAATCGTAGGAGAGCACATGTTAGGGCAAAGCAATGGGGATAGGAGGGAAATAAATAAGGTAAACTGACGAACTGGATGACCAGGCTTCACCATGGGATAGGAGGGAGGGAGGGTGGTGGGCGAGGGTTGCGGAGCGGAGCGGGACGGGGAAGGGAAAGAGCAGGATAAGCGAAGGATAAGCAAAGGAAGGCGCGCAGCGCCGAAATTTCCTAAAACGTTTTGAGGAGCAAGCCGGCTGTGTTAGGAGCCTGCATGCATGCAGGAGGTGGTGGAAAGGAGTACCGGCACTGGTACCGGTATGATGGCATGAAAGGGGGAGCGATGCGGGAGTTCCAGCGCTACTGCTGCCCCGCTGTAGACATCCTCTGATCGTCAGTGCTGCTGTTGTACCCCCGTTACTTCCTGTCGTGCATGCCTCCCTCCACACCCCGGCCCCCCGCCCCACCCACCCAGCACCACCAGCACCACCAGCGCATGCTGGCTGAAGGGCAGCGCCTCGCTGTCCGCCGCCCCCTCGCCGTCCCCCCCCGCAGCCTGCAGCAGCCGCAGATCCACCACGTCCACCTCGTGAGGCGGGTGGCTGCCGCCGCCACCGCCCGCACTGCGACTAAGGCCGGCACCGCCGCCCTGCTGCTTGGCGAGGCGCCGACCCATGGGTCCGCCGCCGCCGCCAGCGGTGGCGCTGCCGCCACTGGGGTGCTGCAAGGGGCTGCTGATGCTGCCGCCGTCGCTGCTGGTGCTGTGGAGGGGCCGAGGAGGAGGAGGGGGAGAGGAGGAGGGCCAAGGAGGGGTTGAGTTGGAAAGCGGCAAGGTGATGCTCCATGCACGTTACGTAGACACACAGCAGTGGCCCTACTCCTACTCGCGGCCAGTTTTCTTAACACACAGCAGTGGCCATGTCCTCCTCCCCTTACATCCCCTCCCCTCCCTCGCCCAAACACCCACCGCTTATGAAGCGCCACCGCCGCTCCTCCCTTCTCCCCGCCTCCTCCTCCTCCCGCCTCCATCCCCCCTCCTCCTCCTCCTCCTCCTCCCCCCGGCAGCAGCGGCGCCATGATGCCGTAGAAGGGCAGGATCACCAGCGGCACACTGCCCAGGATGCTGAGTCCGTAGCACAGCTTGATGGCCCGCTCGTAGGCGCCGCGCAGCCCGTCCACATGCGCGGCACCGAAGTTGCGCAGCAGGTCTCCTGCGGTGCGGTTGCGGAAGGTGAGGTAGCCGCCCACCCCCACCAGGAAGTACAGCAGACCTGACATGCCCATGGCCTGAAGGAGGGAGGGGAGTGGGAGGAGGGAGGAGGGCGTAAAGCGGAACTCGGGTCACGCTTCCTTTAAGCCCTGTCCAGCTAAACATCCTTCGACTTCGACTTCCTCCTCATCGCAGAAGCCAGTACGTTATAGCCACCCCATCCCCAATAAACTACCGGTAACCCCCCGCCCGGGATCGCCCGTGCCCTAACCCCCGTCATACAGCTCGTAAGTCGCGCCTCTCTCCTCCCGCCCCCCCCGCCCCTACCAGGTTCGTCACCCGGTTCATGCGCGCCAGTGTTGCCGCGTGCAGGTTGTTGAAGATGCCCAGGTAGTAGGGGTGCGCGGTGAAGCTGAACACGATGACGGGGAAGGCCACCAGCAGACCCTCTGGCCGCCACAGAGCCACGGAGCCGGTGGCGGCGGCTGGGGAGCAGGGGAGTGAAGGGCAGGTGGAGTGGTAGCGGGTTTGGCAGGGTGTGGTCAAGGTAGAGGGTTCGGAGGCTGGTAGAGCGGAGGTCAGGATGTGTGTGTTGCGTGAACTCAACCCTACCAGCCTAAAGCCACCCCGCATGGTCCCCCTCTCACGCCGCCTCCCTTTCCCCCCACCCGCACCTGCAGCCGGCAGCGGCGCCAGTGCGAATATGATCACCACCACCGCGAACAGGATGACGAAGCCGACACTGGCGGTGGAGAAGGTGGCGATGGTGGCGTGGTCGCGAACCCACAGAGCCACGGGCAGCGCGCCGAACAGACTGACGCCTGCGGAGGGCAGGCAGTGGGCAGGGGAGGAGGGGAAAAATTATAAATAAGTGCAACAACACAATCCCAGGAGGGGAGGGCAGACAGTGGGCGGGGGAGGAGGGCAGGCAGGTGGGTAGATGTGGTGTGGACTGTGGTGTGGCGCAGACAGGTACGGAAGCGGGACAGTTGTCTGCCGTACAGACCTGTGATGTAGGCGTTACGCGAGGGTTCGGCTCCAGGGGGGATTATGGTTCCGGCCACAGCCGATAGCACGTCTGCCAGGATGTTGAGGTAAGCAACGATGCAACCCAGGTTCAGCGCTGCCGTACATAACTCTACAATCTGCCTGCCAATCTTGCCGATGGCCTGCTCTGCAAGCTCTTCGTACGACTTCTTATTGCTGATTTGACTGCAGTAGAGTAGGAGGTCGTAGGAGAAGCGCGAAGCTGCAATGGACACGAGCATCAGCATCGTGCCGAGCAGCAGCCCACACGAACGGAAGCAAAATGGGTAGCCAAGTACTCCGGCGCCGAGAATGCAATTGACCAAGTTGAGCGTGGATTGGCTGGAGGACGTGCGGGCATCCTCCACACCGTCTCGCCGGCCACGCTGCAAGGCATCAGGCGGTTGACGCAGGTGCACCTGCTTTGTATTCCCCTCTCATCACAATTGATCACAAAATTACCTTGATACGCCCATGGATACTACTTGTGCTCACGTCTTCTGCTTGACGCGCACTAACCGCTGCAGACGAAGACGCATGGCCATCCTGCTCGGCCGCGACTACAAAATCCTTCGCATAAGTACGACCTTGTCCTTCATCATGGCCCGCAGTTGCTGCCATGCCTCGCCTCATCCGCTAGCATGCTTTGGTATCGGTTCACGACCACGGTTGGTACTCCTCAGAGCCTAGCTACAAGAAGATACGAGCACTTATAGAAGGTTGCACATAGTAAATTAGCATATAACGTCTCCATGTGGCTTAATAAGTTGGCACGAGGTGTTCTCCCCAGCGACTGCCAGTACGTCTGTATTTTAACTACCTAGCTTCATGCAGTATGTGCTCGAAAAAGCTGTCAGAATAATACATAATACTACCAGAAATGAACTTTGGGATAGGTTCATCCTAAATTGACCCCTTGAAATACGGAACAACCAACGACAGCTTCCTGGAAGGAGATAGTTTCTACCATTTTGTTACATAGGGAGGAAGTGTAATAAACTCTTTTGGTTCCTATAGGAAGTCAACTTCATCGTAAGCTCGAAAACCTAGGCGTTGAACGTCCTTGTCAGGGTCAGCTACTCTGGAGCCGGCTGACGCATAACACCGGCGAGACAAGACCCATTGCACATGGCGACAGGAGCAGCTCGGAGCGGCTTAGATCCATTAGCGGCGGAGTCTCAGGTGTGCTATGTAATCGCGACTAACATAACCTACATTATTCTGTGGTGTTAACAGCGCACATCGACACGCAGGTGGAAGACCCCACCCTAGAACGGTCGTTCAGGGGACATAAGGATGCTGTTACAAGCGTCTGCTTTAACCACAACATGAAGCAGCTGGTTTCGGGGTCCTTGGACAATTGTGTTATGGTATGGAACTTTAAGCCGCAGCTCCGAGCCTACCGCTTCGCAGGGCACAAGGTAAGCGCGTGTGCCCTACGTGCGGCACGGTCTTTTGCGTATCTGACCTGCGTGTCCCAGGGGACATGTGCCCTCGACATTCATGGGCCCTTGACCCTCCCGGCGGTACAATGCTAAGCAGTGTCTAAGTAAGCCACCTGCGGCGCTTGGGCCAAACCATAGGCTATATGCCTTCAGTATAAGTATTCTGCATAAGCCCAAGCACCTCTCCTGTGGCTGTGGCTGCAGGCTGGCGTGTACTCGGTTGCCTTCTCCCCGACCCACGCGCTCATCGCCTCAGGGTCCAAGGATCGGACCGTACGGTTATGGCAGCCCACCGTGTAAGTAAAAGCCTGCCACGAGCAAGCCTCATCCCTGGGGAATCCTTACTTCAGGAGGACATGGGCCGGTTTGCAGCAACAGTCAAGGCGGGAGATGCTTCCAGCAACGAGCCACAGCACGGTCTGCTGTCGTAAAGCACTTGACACATTTTTGACTGCCCCCCTTGCTAGTATGCGGACACGTCAGCATCATTATATAGGACGCCATAGCTGCCCGGGTCTCGCCTCCTCCTTACCGCTGTCCCACCCCTCGCCCCCTGTGTTGTGTCCCGCCGCAGGGAGGGCAAATCCACGGTGCTGAAGGCTCACACGGGCACCGTCCGCGGCGTGTGCTTCTCCAGCGACGGCCGCATGCTGGCCACCTGCTCGGACGACAAGACCATAAAGGCAAGTCGGTAAAGCCGCTACCATCTCCTTCCCAACTCCCTTTCCCCATCCCTCACCCACCCCCCTACCCTTCCTCCTCCTCCTCTCCTCCCGCACCTCTCCCGCCAGATCTGGTCCGTCCCGACCCAAAAGTTCGCCTTCACGCTCACCGGCCACCAAAACTGGGTGCGCTGCTGCCACATCTCCCCCGACGGCCGACTGGCGGTGTCGGGCGGCGACGACCGCACCGTCCGCATCTGGGACCTCAACTCCAAGAAGGTGGTGCGCACCTTTGAAGACCCGGGCACGGGGCTGGTCAACACCGTGTCCTTCCACCCCGACGGCACCTGCCTTGCCTCCGGCTCCACGGATTCCTCGCTCAAGCTGTGGGACCTGCGCTCCAACGTGCTGCTGCAGCACTACCGCGCGCACACCGCGCCCGTGACGCACCTGTCGTTCCACCCCACCGGCAACTTTCTGCTGAGCTCCTCGCTGGATACCACACTCAAGGTGGGGGGCAGGAAGGAGGGGGCAGGGGGAGAGGGCAAGTAGAAAGATAGGGAAGGAAAAAAGGGGAAGCAGAAGCTGTGCTCGAGCTAGCGGAGGGGCGGCGGGGTAATTGACGTGCGAGACCCAGGTGGGGTAGGTCAAGGAATAACAGAATGCCGACCAACCTCCGCGACGGGTGGGTAGAGGGCCCTGAAGGAGGTTCAGAAGGATGAAGGGAACGTGTGCCGCTTGCCAGTCCTTGTCGTAACAACTGGTCTCTCCAACTCCTGCAATGCCGCTCCTGCTGCTGCTGCTGCTGCCATGCTGCTGCTGCTGTATCGTGCGCGCCTGCAGGTGTGGGACCTGCGCGAGGGGCAGCTGCTGTACACGCTGCACGGCCACGAGGGCGCCACCAACGGCACCGCGTTCAGCCCGGCAGGGGACTACTTCGCCTCCTGCGGCGCAGACGAGCAGGTAGGGACGGGGGTGCGGGTGCGGGTGCGGGTCCGTGTGGGGGGAGACTCGAAGAGTGAAGTTAGCTGGAAGGTCCCTCAGCTCCAAAACTGAGTGTGCTGTCTGTGATGCACCAGACACGGTGGATCAAGGCGGTTGTTACGGATGGTGCTCTCAGGCGCTAGGGGCGGCTGGGCTATCCAGCATGGCTGCTTTGGTGGGGCTCCCCATCTCCAATTCCCTGTGTGGGATGCGGTGTTAATGAGGCAGCTGTTTCAAGCCTACTTACACGCTTTTTACCATCCTCATTAAGTCATGTCCATCCAGATTCGCATCCCCCTTTGCCAACCCACCCCCCTCACATCCTCCTCCTCCTCAAGCCCCGCCTTCCCCCAACCCACCTCCCCTACCCTCCTCTGTCTCCCCCCATCCCTCGCCCGCCCCCCAGGTCATGGTATGGAAGACCAACTTCGACCGCTACCTGGAGGACTACACCGCCTTCAGCGTGCAGAAGGGAGCCGCGCCCCGAGCCGAGCCCCTCATCAGCGAGCCCGCCGCAGCGCCACCACCACCGCAGCAGCACCAGGCCGCCGGCCAGGCGCCCACTCGCCTCGCGCCCGCCCCGCCCTCGGTCCACGTCCGAGCCCAGCCCACATCCGCCATGGGCACTGACCCGTCTGCAGCTGGCGCTGCCGCGGCTGCTGGTGCTGCAGCTCTGCCAGCGCACCGTAGCGGTGTGGTGGCTGGATCGGGGGGGCGAGTGGTTACGGCTGCGGCACCCCGGTCTCATCCACCAGCCGCTGCAGGTGCTGCTGCTGCTGCTGCAGACGGCATGCAGGGTCTGCGGTTGCATGGGGGCGGTGCCCTGGGTGAAGAGGGGGCGGAGGAGGAGGATGAGTACGTGGTTGAGGTGCCGCCGCCGCTGAACCTGGCTGACCTGCCGGAGTCGCTGGCGGCCACGTTGCAGCACATGGTGGGGCAGCTGGACGTGCTCACACAGACGGTGGCGCTGCTGGACGAGCGGCTGACGCGGAACGAGGACTACGCGCAACGACTGGATGAGAAGCTGGGGTCGCTGCTAGCGGCGCAGACGGTGCAGCAGGTGATGATGGGAGGAGGGGCGGCGGGAGGAGCGGGAACAGGAGCGGGGCCGTCGGGAGGGGGAGGAGGTGCGAGGGGCGGCGGTGTGGGTGTGGGGGGTGGCGGTGAGGGGCGGATGTACGAGTCGTATGAGGCGTACGGGGACCAGGTGTAAGGGAGGAGCGGCGTGTGACGCTGTGTGTGTGTTTGTTCGTTGTGTTACTGTAGTTGTGCTGCTAGTGGAGTGTCTCGATGTGCGTACATGTATGTAGATGTGAAGCGTAGGGCGGATTATTGTGCGCGTGCGCTTTGCATGCGGACCTGCATTCAGGTCGGGAGGACTGTGGGGCTGAGTGATCCATGTATGTATGGATTTATCCAACTTCGCTGCAGAACTAACGCTGACCCTGGGTCAGCAATTCGTTTGGCTCGCCAATGTGCGTGTTTAGTCAAGGTGTATGTGGCATGCGAGGCAAAGGCGTTAGCAGGTAGCGTGCAATGGCAGTCCTTGCACCCAAACGGCCGGCCTATACGCTCATTCTGGCGGCTTGGAAACGTGCCATTGCACGACCGCAGTTACGGCTCCAGGCTAGGTTAACGCCCGTAACCCCCTTCAGGCCGGCCATGACCGCTCTTGACTGGGGGCCATCTTGTTCGCTAACAATGACTTTCAATCATTATTCTGCGTAGAAGTACAGAACGCACCATACCGGATATGGCTACGAGGGGGAAACCGTCTTGTAACTAATTAGCACCCGATCCAGTCCTGCGAGTCACTGCAGTATCCTGGGCCCCATGCATGTAAACACGTCACCCCCCTATGTTGCCGATACCCGTCAACAGCTTCCAACGGTACACTGACCAATCGAGCGCCAAAACTTGTCAAGTTCACAAATTCGAGTCGTCGAGCACCCTACGAGCAATCAGTACCCCGCTGGGCACACTCGGCAACCGAGGCGCCACTCTGCATGCGTCCCTGCAGCACCACCGTCTCCAACCGTCGTTTCCCCCATCACGCATTCCCGAATGTCTAGCCATCCAATCCTTGGACGCTCGAGTGTATGCATTACGGTGTAGTCGCTGCTCGTTCGCAGCTCCTCCTTTAAGTTGAGCCCACCCCAGTCCGCGTGCACTCTTCACGAACGAATACGCCTGGTACAACAGTGCGCCACTATGACCTTCGTGGCTTGCAAACCAACAGGCTCTGAAAACCCTGGACCTTCCCACACTATCTTACACCCCCAACCACTCCTGCGCCATCAGACTTGTCACCAAAGAGAAACAATTCCCCCCCCCCTCCCCCTCCTGCACACACGACTGTGACCCCATCCTGCGTCTTGCCATGCCTTGACGTACAAACGCTGGCGGCCCACAATACCGCCGTGGAGCCCATTGAACCCATCAATTACACACTGCCGTCCTAACGCCTCTTTCCTGCTGCCCTTGCTACTACCACTGCCCTCCCTGCTCCTGCTGCCCCACCTGCTGCTGCTGCCCCTGCTGCGCCCTGCTCGCCCGCATGGCGGCCCTGTCTGACTCGATCATGGAGTGCAGGAAGAACTCGCCCGCCTTGTAGGAGGAGCGAACCATGGGTCCGGACGCCACGTAGCGGAACCCAATCTCCTCCTGACCGAACCGGCGCCAGTACTCGAACTTCTCTGGAGTCACAAACTCACTCACCTGTAGGGGCGGGGGTTACAGGGGACAAGGCATCACGTTTTCGCGCAGCTGAGATACCGTATAAGCAACGCTATAAAGCTTGCCAAGCAATGCCGCGCCCTCTTCAGTACCGTGCACCCCCCCACACACACAGCTCCCTTTCCTTCCCCTTCCCCCTGCCCTCTCCCTCCCTCCACCTCACCGGCAGGTGGTGCGGTGTGGGCTGCAGGTACTGCCCCAGCGTGAAGATGTCCACCCCAACGGCTTTGAGGTCCAACATGGTGTCCACCACCTCCTCATCGCTCTCGCCCAGCCCCAACATGATGGAAGACTTGGTGTATACACCAGCCTGCTTGGCGGCGCGTAGCACTGCTAGCGTCTGGGGAAAGGGAAGGTGGTGATGTGAGGTGGGTGGTGGGGCGGGGAGAGGGGTAGCGGGGTGGGAGGAGGAAAGGTGACTGGCAGTGGTGGAGGACGTGGAGGCAGCGGAGCGTTTTAAGGAAGGGATGACCACATGCAGGGAGGTGCAGCAAGCTTGGATACTGCTCATACATGCATGCGAAGTAAGGAAGAAAAGCAAGGAAGGTGAGCAAAGCGGGCTAAGGACGGTCATGCGCTCAATTGGGCAGGGCATGTGGCGCGTGTACGGCATTCCTTCGTCCCTACCTGCATGTAGCCGGCCCGTGGGTCGCGCACTCGGCGCTGCAGCCGCTCCACCGTCTCCACGTTGTGAGCGAACACATCCAGCCCGGAACCAGCCAGGTGCCGCACCTGGTGAGGGGAAGGGTAGAGGAGGAGTTGCCAAACCTTCTTTGCTTTTTCCTAGCCACCCAACCGCATGGGAGATGTCTCTCAACCAGGTTCCAAGGAAGACATAAGACAGTTCGAAGACTGTACGGCTGTACGGCACACTTCCCGCCTCACCGCGTCCAGGTCTCCTCGGAAGTCCGGGGTGAGGCACTCCACAAGGATGTTCGGCTTCAGCTGCTTCAGTGTTCGGACCGTGCGTGCAAAGTGCTCGGCGCCTCCGTCCGGCAGGTCATCTCGATCCACGGACGTTAGTACGACATAACCAACGCCCCAGGAGGCTACTGCTTGGGCGGTGTTGACTGGCTCATCTGGGTCGGGCGGGGGAGGTGTGCGTGCGGTGTTGACCGCGCAGAATCGGCATCCGCGAGTACATGTGTCGCCGAGCAACATGATGGTTGCGGTGGCCATCTCCCCATTCCAGCATTCTCCGATGTTTGGACACTGTGCCTCCTCACAGACGGTTGCCAGCTTGAGTCCGCGCAGCTGCGACTTCAGGCCATTGTATACATCGCCCTGAGGCGCTCGTTGCCGCAGCCACGCGGGTTTGCTTTGGTTAGGTAGCGCTGACAAGGATGGGCCAAGCAAGCTAGAAGACGCGGTGACCTTCTTGCTCCGCAGGTGCTGCTCGGCAAGCGATGCAAGCGACGGATCCTTCTCAACCGCCAGCCTCACAAGCTCCTCAAATGCGTCAATTGGAGGCGTGATGTTAGCGTCGTCCTGATCGCCAGATGCTTCGAGGACTGGTGAACCTGCTCGAGTCATCAACCTTGGCGCACGCGCACAACCGCTACGTCGACATGGGAGCGACCGTCTGCGAGCCTGTTGCCCAACGCTTTGTGAGCAGCTCGCGTGTGGCTGATGTAAAGTAGCTAAACTTCTCATGGCTTTAATGCCTCCCGGACCCAAAGGACGCGTATGTCTTCAGGCGTTGCGTTTGAGATAAGCTACCTCCTAGCGCTACCTATTTCTTCGACTAAGCAGTAAGGAATTGTTCGCGCTATCGGTACTTGGAAGATGGATATGAGATAACCTTTGCGTCAAGGAGTTGGATTCAGATGTCGCCCTTGTCGTGCTTAAACGCAACGCCCTCCAGCGTTTTGCCGTTTTAACTGTAAATTGACATAATAGCATAATAGTCCTGTTGGGTGTGCTTTTGACCGGCAATTGATTGATAACAGCCTCACATCCCGCTATCAGCGAGCCACACTCCACGCACGCGATCCCCACCAGAACGCCGCGCACGCAATTCCAGGAGAAATGTCTGCAGTCATTCGGACAAAGCCCTTTTGCGCCACGCGCACATGCAACGTTGGCTTTCGGCGCGGGGTCCGCGTGGTTGCCATGGCACGTGTCCACCCTCAGACGCTAGCGTCTACTGCTGCCGCTGCTGTCGCTGCCAGCGCATTGTTGCTAGCTCCTCAAGTCTCCTACGCCGCTGGTATTGAAAGCGTCGAGCTGTCTCCCGCAAGCTTCCTAAGCAAGCCGGCCGGCCCCACCAGGGCTGCCGAGCAGCAAAGGGAGAAGCTCGCGCAAGCGGATGAGGTGCGCGTGGATTAACTTGCGGTCTGCGGCAAGCAGAGTACAGCTCGCAACTCGGTAGCATCTTCGAGGGGAAATGCGAGAACTCATACTAGTAACGGAAGGCTTAGGCAGCCGTCGTGTTTTAGCCAGGAAGCATGGAAGCAACCGTGTGTGTGGGTTGTCGGTTATGTTGGTGGCCATGTGGCACATTTAATTTGCCAGTAAGCTAAGCATGTGCCGGTGTCCTTCGTTACCTGCAGGCCTTCCAAAACAGCAGTACCTTGAAGGTGAGAGGTGGTGAGGACTGACCCGGGGGTCACCATGGGAGCATGCTGTAACCAAGCGTTTTGTTTGCCAGTTTGCGTACGTACTATTGCAGAGTCAGGGCTTTAACCGGCTACCCTGACGCATGAGAACTCCTGTCTGCTCTCCCTCCCCTGCCCAGGAGCTCTTGGCTAAAAGCGAGGCCAACAAAGCCAAGAACCGCAAAGACATGTGAGACGGGCGCTGCTTTAACCAACCTTAGATGCTACCGGTATTCGAAATTGAGACTGGTGTTATCATGCAAGGGGGTTCGGGCTGCTGCTATCCGGCGTGTAGTACCCTAACACGATGTTAACACCGCGGGTGCATTTTGCTGCATTGCCGTACCTTACTGGCTGACATACCGGTAATGTTGATGACATGCGGCTTACCTTTACGGCCCCTAACCCCTTCGCATCCTAACGCTTCCCCTTCGCATCCTTGCCACTCCCGGTGCCTTGCGCCTCTTCGCCGTCATGACCTCATCATCGCCACCACCACCGCCTTCCTCACCCCAGCCAGAACAAGTACTGCTACCGCCAAGCCGAGCTGGGTGTGGGTGACTGCGGCGGGCTGCGCTACATCCCCGGACTCACGGAGAGCGGCAAGCAGAAGACACCCAAGGTACATGCGCTGGGTGTTGGGTGTTGGCAGCAGGCGTGCTTGCCTGCGTTGGATGTTGGCAGCATGCCTGCCTGCCTGCCTGCGTTGGGTACTTGCGTTATAGCCCCCTTGGAGGGCGGTTGAAAGACGCAGCCTTGCCGCTGAATGCACATGCATGCGGCCGCTGTCTCGGGCCCCTTGCTAGCATGCCACGGGAGACCAATCAGCAGGGCAGCCGGGCAGGAGCGCCGCTTCTTGCACTCCCACCTCCTTCGATCTTAACCCCTTATCACAGCTGACTGGCTCCATCTGATTGGTTCCCCGCCCTGCCCCGTGCAGTGGCTGGCTGACCTGCTCGGCGTGGAGAGCCAGGAGACCAGCGGCGGTCCGGCGGAGGGCAGGACGCTTAAAGAGCTCATTGAGAACGGCAGCGGCGGCAGCAAGTAGCATGCGTGTTTACAGGAGTGGATAGCCCCTGGCATGTCGGGCCTCTAGAGCGCTGCTTGGGCGGACCGGCTGCGTTCAAGATCTGCTACCTTTCCAGCTACCCATGCGGATAATGCATGATTGTAAGAACCGCAACCACCACCATGCTTATTGTCCGACGGGTTCAGTCCTAAGTGGGCGCGATACGTTACAATTGCAGCCAAAGGCGAGGTTGCTCGCGGTCTGTAGCTCCAGTTTGGGCAAGCACCAATGCAGTGGAGCAGGGGCTGCCTGAATGCCCAAGAAACAGGTACAAAACATGCAGAGAGGAATATGCAGAGGAACACGTCAGCTGCGTCACACACATACACCGGGAAACGTCAGCGGCCTCACAGATGGAAATTGAGTCAGGGTGTGAAGGTTTGCAACCGTGTTCAAAATTGCAAAACTTCTTCCTTGCTTCACATTCGAGCATGCCATGCACCTACAGTCGCTGCACAACACCGGCCAGGAATCCGGCGACTAGCACCAACTTATTCACCAAACACTTTCCTTCACAAGCCGTAACGGTGCTTTTTCTACCCTCAACCTTTCTACCAGACAACAGCCCAGCTATCCAACGCAGCTCTCACACATCTAGTATACAAATTGCCCGGTCACAAACTGAACCACTGGGCCACACATGGGAGCAAAGAGCCAAGAGCCCGCATGTACATAACCGCACATACATAGTCTAGGGCAGCCCAGGTAACGGTGCCTCATCGCCGCTTTGGCAGCCATGTAACAGATGGGGTGTTACGCCGCCCTGGGTCCCGCTACATCACACCATCCGCCCTAACGCAAACCTGAACAGTAACGTGTACATGAATGAGCAGCACCCGTCCTCATTCCCAGTGCACAGCCCCTGCAAGCAAGCTCACACCAAGCCAGCCTGGATGAGTACCTGGGCATGGCCCAACAATCAAACCAAGCTGCCGGAGATGACCCACGCAATCAGCCCATGCACCCGTGTCAAGCGGCCAAGAGGGCGCACAGGCGCTCAGGTAAGCACTGAAGCACCCCCGGTCCATCCTCAGGTGCGTCCAAAACACCAATGGAAGGACACCATGACAGGGGGCGCCCGCAGGGCAGGGCCCACAGCAAGAGGTCAACCTAGAACACCTTCCACGATGTAAATCACGCAAACTGGGCACAAGCGCATTATCCAGATGTTGCTTAGCGCTATTTTCCATTAGATACAGTAACACCAAACGCCAGACAAATTGTAACCTGAAGCTAAGCTTATTTATATCTTACCTACTGCCCTCATTTCCTTACTAACACATGCCTTGTCCATGTCACAAAGAGCCTACCCGCAAATGCGCGGGCAGGTTTCGTGTCCAACAAACGTCAGAAGCCGTACACATCGTGCGATGAATCCAAACCCCTCCTCCCGCACACAAGCACGCCTCCTTAATTGCCCCATCTCTCTCTGCCACACACAGCTACAAGTGCCAAGTGCCTCTCGCTCCTTCTCCACTCTCACCGCTGCTGCCCGACAGCACCCGTCATCCCCTCGCCAACATCCATTACGACGCGAGCAGGACGGGGTCGCGGCCCCACAACCGCCGTACCGGTAGCAGTAACTAGTATACAATTTCTCCCAGTCCCAAACCGCACCACCAAGCATGGTACATCAAATCCCACACCGCAGGGGCAGCACTCTCCTCTTTTCAAGGGATCCATTCGCATTTGTAACAAGTCGCGCATCCATCAGGGCATCCGTAGCCAAGTAAAGCATCCAGCAATACTGTAGAGTACAAAAGCTCACCGCGCTCCACTAATCCCTTCCCTCTCGCCTCACACACCGTCACATGCGAACGGCTTGCCTTTCCTTCAACCGCCACATTCGAAACAGCGACGTGGCATACGGTAAGAACACGTCACCCCCACTCTCACACATCAACCACCTGCCGCACACAAGCCAACAACTCCTCATGTGAGCTCCAAAACGCCACCTGCGCCACCACCTGAGGCAGCACCGAGCTGCCCTGCGCTTCCTGCACATACCGCGCCAACGCATGCCCCGACCGCGCCAGCAACACGTCCTGCGGCCCCAGCGACAGCGCCGCGCACACGTCGTTGGCGCCGTCCCCGCAGTACACGATGTGCGCAAAGGTGTTGGCGTGCTTCAGCCGCTGCACCTCCAGCCCCTTGCACATGTTGTCGGGGCAGCGGGGGCAGCCGTGACCCTGGCCCTGTTGACTTAAAGTGCACGAGGAGGCGCCATGTGGTGGGTGGTGCTGGTGCTGGTGGATGTGCTGCGAGGAGCTGGTCCCCGTTGAGGAGGAGGAGGAGGCGGTCTTGCAGCCGGCGGACCCCGCCGACCCCGCAGCAGCAGCTGCACCGCTGCATGATGCGTGCCGGCAGTGGCCGCCACTGCTGCCTGTGTGGCTGCTGCAGCAGCAGCAACCGCCCGCTGCCGGTAGCACCACGGTAGCGTCCTGCCCCGTGTAATGCGCCCGGATGACCAGCCGGTGCCCAGCCGCCCGCTGCAACGCCCTCTCACCCACCGCCGCCACCTCCTCCCCATCCGCCTCCACACCCTCACCCGCCTCCTCTTCCGCCAACACCACGCGCTCAAACGATGCGGGGTTGGTAACCACCTGGCTCACGTAACCTCCCGCCTTGGCTCCCGCCAGTATATGCGAGATGAACACCGAGTTGCAATCCGACAGGATGCGCACCTCCACCCCCGCACCGCTCATCATGCGCAGCAGCTCAAGCGACCCCAGCGGCATCTCCGCGCCCAACTGCTGCAACGTGGTGAGCAGCAGGTCGCGAGACACCCCGCGGCGCTGCATCTCAGACAAGATGGTGTTGGTGATGGGGATGTAGCTCTGGTTGGCCGCTAGGCCCATGAGCATGGGGAGCAGCTCGGGTGCCAGCTGCTCCACCACCGCCTCCCCCGCGTCAACGTCGGTCAGCGTCTTGTCGAAATCGGTGAGCAGGCAGAAGCGCTTGGAGGGGGCGGGCTGGCGGGGGGAGGTGAAGGTGTAGTGACGGGTGAGGAGGGCGGAGGCTGAGGAGGAGGGGGGTGCGGAGGCAGGTGGAGTTGTGGGTGGGCGGGGAGTGCTGGCGGGTTGGGAGGTTGAGCAGCCGCTGTGATCCATGGTGCTCGTAGTCGTCGCTGTCGTGGAGGTAGTGTGGGTGTTGGTAGTGGTGATTGTTGTGGTAGTGGCAGTGGCCACTGCAAGTGTGGTAGCAGCAGCAGCAGCAGCAGCCAGCAGGTGCTCCTGCTGCTCGACTCGTGCCGCCTCCGCCGCCTCCTCCATGATGGCGTCAATGGGCAGCGCGTTACGGCGGAACCAGGTGCCCATGTCGAACCGCCTCTGCAGCACCCGCCGCACGTCGACCTCCTTGGACAGCACCTGTGCACGCAGTGGGGGTGGGGTTGTGCGTGTGTTCAATAAAACTGGCCGCGAGTGTGTGTAGTTGAATAGGAAGCGAGAGCGCGAAAAAGGGGAAAAGGAAGGTGGGCAGGGCAGGGTGCCCATGTACGAGGGTTGCCAAAGGCCATACGTGCACCTTATGCACAACCTTCATGCACAAGCAGCACCCCCACCCCTCCCTTTCCCACACCTGCAGCAGCGGCAGCACCGCCTCCATCAGCAGCCGGTCGTCCGGATCCCCCCGGAACCCCAGCACCGGCACCCCGTTGTCAGGCTGGTGCAGGAAGGCCAGCGGCGTGTCGTCCACCAGCAGGGTGCGGTGCAGGTCGCGGCCCAGTCGCCCCATGTCCTTGACGCACTGGTAGTAGGCGGTGCGCAGGGTGGCGGGGCGGTAGAGCCGGTGCGCAAAGAGGCGGCCGGAGGGGTCCAGCGCATCCACGATGGGTTTGGCATAGTCCTCCAGACCTGCAGGTGGTTGGGAACAACAACAGCGGTGAGATCACAACGAGTCGCAGGATTTGAGCCCAAAGGATGTGAAGTCCAAGAAGGACTTCAAAGTCCTTCTTGGACTTCAAAAGTCAGGTGCCTGGAACTGTGTCGGTGTGGATATACGGATGTCATTACCCTGCTGCACCCGCTGCCCATGACACTCCCATAACCTCTACCCAACCACCACCAACTACCCCACCCAACCACCCCCACCCTCCCACCCACCTGCCGTGTACACCACCACCTCCGCAAACCCCGCCAGCTCCTCCAGGAACTCGCGCAGCCCCGGCCGCTCCACCACAAACACCCCCGCGGGGTTCAGCTGGCTGCCGGCACCCACCACATGCGTGCGCACGTAGGGGGGCAGGCGGGGGGCGCGGCGGGGGGTGTAGGAGGACACCAGCGTGCCGTCCAGGTCCAGCAGCACACACAGCCGGCCGGCGTGCTCGGGGCGCTGCGGGGGCAGCAGGCCCCAGCTGGACGGGGAGGAGGAGGAGGGCTCGGGGACAATTGCGGGTGCAGGCGGCTGGAGCTGCAGTTGAATAACGGATTCCGGTCGGGAGGAGGAGGAGGGGCAGCGGGTGGGACAGGCGGTAGTAGCAGTAGCCTGTAAGCCGGTGGCTGTAGCTGTGGAGGAATGCGGGCAGCAAGGAGCGCATGCTGCCGCTCCCGCCCCCGCCCCCGCTGCTGCCGCCTCCGCCACTCCGTTGCTGACGGACAGCACCTTGAGTGACTCGATGAAGGAGGTGAGGAAGGGGTCCACGGACAGGGCGTCCACGTCCAGCAGCTGCGGCTTGCGGCACACGGGGCAGCTGTAGAAGCGCTGCGGCGGCTCCTCCTCCTGCGCCTCCGCCTGCGCGGCAATGCGCTCCAGCAGCTGCAGGGAGCGGGAGAGGCTGCTGGCGGGGGAGCAGGCTGCCGGAGGGGGGGAGGAAAGGAGGGATAGGAGGGGGGGGGAGTGTGAGCAGAAGGGCGTGTCGTGACGGTTAGACCAGCTACCGACGTCCCGAAAGCTTCTGCCGTCCATGCTCAACCCTAGACCGGATGCTTCTTCACAGCTTTTCCCAATCACCCTCCGCATTGCCGCCTTCTCTCCAACTCGCATTCCGTTACTCCTCCACCCACCACCTCCCTCACCCACTCACCCTTCCCCTCCTCGCACGCCTGCGGCTGCTGCTGCGGCGCCTGCGCGTCCCTCACCGCCGTCACATGCGCCACCAGGCAGCCCCAGCAGAAGCGGTGCGCGCACGTGAGCACCACGGGGCTGTGCAGCGTGTCCAGGCAGATGGGGCACTGGTACTCCTCCTGCAACAGCACGTCGCTGGCGGGGGAGGGGCCGGCGGTCTGCAGCCCGCTCACCAACACGTCGGCCTGGGCAGGTGGAGAACGGGAAAAAAATGAAAAAGTGAAACAGGGTGAGAAGGGGTGAGGAGGGAGAGGAGGGCGGGGTGGGTACGGGGAACGAGGACGATGAAGAGGAGGTGGCTTACTGCCACTGCCATCAACATCAACATCAGAACAGCAACTGTGGTAAAACAGTCCTGCCCAGCACGGATCCCCCGGGGGCCTTCCTTCTCCCTGCTTGCTCCCTGTTCCCTGCTTAGCTAGCAGCGCTGAGGGAGGGGTCCTCACCTGAGTGGCCAGGCCGGCTAGGCGCGGCGAGGTGAAGAACACCTCGTGGCCCAGCATGTCCAGCGCCTGCAGTGAGATGCTGGCGGCGGCACCAAAGGTCTCCCGCAGGTGCCGGTTGCGCTTCTTGATGGCCTTAACCACCTGGGGTTGGGGTGATGAAGAAGAAGGTGAGGTGAGTGGGGAGGGAGCAGGAGGTGGGTAAAAGGGGAAGGGTGAGAGAGTGCATGGGTAAAAGAGGAAGGGTGAGAGAGTGCATGGGTAAAAGAGGAAGGGTGAGAGAGTGCATGGGTAAAAGAGGAAGGGTGAGAGAGTGCATGGGGAGTTTGAGGAGGATGGGAGGCATATGACCCACAAGAAACGGCGTTACGAGGCCTTGTACTGCTTGTTATTGCTGTACGATGCTTACCGCGAGGTAGTTGAGCGCCACAAACTTGATGAGTTCCTTGATCTCCGATCGCAACGCGGTTAGCTGCGACACACTGCCTGCTGCGCTGTTGCCGCCATGTAGCTGATGTAGTGTCGCCTGGATGCGGGTTTCATGATTGGATAGTTTTGGCATGCAGCTGGAGAGGATACATGCGTAGGCGACATGCGAAGCGGGAGCAATTGTTTGGCGCCATGCATGGACAATCCCCGCGCGTACCTCAATCCCATCCGCTTTCTCCGAGTAAAACTGCGACACCTTGCGCAGCTCCACCTCCAAAAGCTTTTGGAAGTTAGATCCCGCGACATCTTTCAGGCGCGACACATGGGGGTGAAAGGGAGCGCAAGTAAAATGCCTGTTTAACAACAAAGTTTCTCCGATGCAAAACAAGTCTTAAACTTAGGCACATATGACAAAATATTAGCAACGTGCATACTTTCATGTGCGCTGCTGAGTGGTGTTCACGCCGGCAGGCCCTAGAAACTACCGCAGGCACCCCAAAGGCGATACGATTAACACAGGCTCGTGTGGACATGCTAATCCGCGATCGTTGCAGCAAAAAGACAGGTATCGCTGAAAAAGCCCGCTCTACATACCTCGCCGTGAAATATCCTCCTTGATAGCTTTCTTCGCGGCTCTGTAATCAAAGTACGCCGCAGAAAACGACACCTTACGACTCGCCTCACTAGCAAGCCTTTTAGCAAACTTCATCTCCCTGCAAAAAGAAGTGCGGCGGGCGAAACGATAAATACGTCGTTCACCTCTTGGGCAACCATGCCGCTATTTAGGGGAAAGCCGTGCGTGCATCTAAGTTTTCTATAGGATAACATATAGCGAGGTGGCGTTGTAAGGCCGCGGAGTAGCCCTAGGGTTGTCCAACATGCTCGCCACATTGACAGCTTCTTGACCGCGAAGAACCAGCGGCCCTCCAACGCGTCATTCAGCAGTTCTAGACACCAGCCATTGTTTTTCCTCCAAACATGTGTAGGAAGATGGAAACAGGCTTCCGTCAGCAGTCCACCCACGTACCAGCGCAGCCAGAGACTCCACAAATGAAGCCCTCGGAAACCGGAAGCGTTCACAATGAAGCACTCAGAACGGCACTGGCCAAGAAAGGCGCGCTAAAGACCAGTTGGCGGTGTTCGCTATACCAATCGAATACGAGTAACTAGGCGGGGGACGTTTATCCTAAGTTTGTAGAAATTGCTGTTAGCGGTTTTGTATCAAGGCCGCATTTTGCGCTGGAGGCGATACCAGAACAATTCCTCAGTTGGCATTTTGCAGTGTCGTACGTTTTATTCCATTCCTCAAGCCTCCTCGGTTCCTTTCAACCATGCAAATCGGAACTGCCTACATGGGCTACCTTAGTTCTTGCTTTGTTTCTTAGAGCTACACTAAATATTCTCCTGCCGAAGCAACTATAACGGCCCTACCTGACATGCCGAGTCGACAGGCGTTTTAGGAAGGTTTGTTGAATCCAACCTTGGCTTCTACTGCATAGACCAATATATACATTGGCGCCACAACGCTACTTGCCGGTAGTCGAAAGGCCAAAATTGGCCGAAGCCCCCTTTCCTTCGCACGATAACCTTCTCGCGCGCTGTCGGGCGTGCTTCGCGTATCACGTTCGCCCCCATGCAACAGCACTGCTGCATTGTGGACTCATGAGACCCATTCTTAGCATACCGGTACCTGGTCGGACGTCATGCAAGTCCCAGTTTCCTTTAGCCGCATATGACTGCACCTAATATCAGCAGCGTTTGCAAACGCTTATACAAGGGCCAACCATCCCGCTTGGACAGCGGTAACCCATACAAACGTCCATTCTTCCGTTACTAGTGCGCTTGCTTTGCTTGATCGTCGTCCACCTGTACCTAACGCTCGAGTCTCACCTTGCATGCCACACCTGCTCTTGAAGCTCCTGTACCACTGCCTCACATAAGCTCATCTTCAGTTTTCTACCCTTCAGGATTATTCCCTTTCATGTAATGGTACCTTGGTCCAATCCTCTGACTTAAAGCGAATCACCGTAGTCGACCCAACCCTACCCATGCAACGGGTGCTGTCATGAACGCTGCGAGAGGGTCCAACCTGACCGGGTTACAAGGTGGCCGCCATTGCAGGGCGCACGTACAATACCCTGGCAACCGAATCCACCCACCACACAGCATCCGTCTGCAACACCTATGACAAGCCAAGCACACCTACTCACGGCAAACTGCAATGCCAACAATAGCAACGATAGCCTGGGATAGGATGGGCTCCCCTGAGTGCAGGGGCGCAACGCGACCAGCGCTGGCTAACGGCCGCTGCAACGCACCCACCCACCCTCCCCTCATTGCGACTCTTTAACATACATCACCGCTGCTGGTGCATGCCCTGCTGCTGCTGCAGCACACATGCATGCTTTTGCACTGCCAACTGCGCGTACCTGCCACACACGCGCACACAAGAGCAACATCCAACAAGCCGCAACAACCGACGCGCTACCTCACACAAAAACAAGATACGTGTATGAGGTTGCAAGCCCGAAACAACGACAATAAAAACTGCGGGAAAACCTGCAACTCAGCTACAAGTCCTTGGGTGCTCCAGCCGCAACAGTCAAGCTGCTGCAGGTGCGACCCATGGGTCTTCAGTCTCCCTGCAGCAGCTGCTAGGGGTGCTGCTGCTTACGCCAGGGTGCTGAAGTAGTCCAGCGACTTGACGGGGTCGGCCTTCATGGTCTTGGAGCCGGGGGCCCAGTTGGCGGGGCAGACCTCGCCGTGCTCGTCCGTGAACTGTAGGGAGGTTGAGGGGGGAGTAAAGAGGTTAAGAGGTAGGGTGAGGAGGGAGGGAAGGTGAGGGGGTGAGGACAGGAGAGGGACATGCAAGCCATGGCGAGAAACGCATGCATGAAACGCGAAAACATGAGGCGCAAGCGTGAGCAGCAACAACAGACACACAAACAACGCCATATGTAGGCCACACGTAGCGCCTCTTCGCGTGCATGTGGACGGCACACGCACCCACCTGGAAAGCCTTGACCAGGCGCAGGGTCTCATCCACGCTGCGGCCCACGGGCAGGTCGTTGATGGTGATCTGGCGCAGCACGCCGGTGGGGCTGATGATGAACAGGCCGCTGCGGGGAGGGATGGGTGCGGGAGGTGTGGTGATGAGGTGAGGGTGGGGGCGAAAGGGAATGAGAAGTGAAGCAGGGTGAGGGGTGGGAGTGGGTAGGGGGGTGGGGGGCGAGGCAGGAGGCGGGGGTGGCGGGAGTGAGGGCTGTTGGACGGTTGGGTGTTGATCCTGATATTGCTCCTTCACACAGGGAAGTATGGCGTTAGTGATGTTTCGCTGTGTGGAGCAACACCAGGTTCGACACCCAACCGGGCGGCTAAATGAGTGTGCGTGTGGTATTGAGTAGGAGACATGCAGCTTTAGCGGGTAGCCCATGCGCATGCAGGATGCGTCTCCAGCCGCAGGACCATGCAAACCCCCATGCTGAATGCGCATGTACCCCAGAACTCATGGCGGACCCCATGCTGCAAAGTCCTGAGGTCCATGCGTGTAACCCATCATGCTACCCGCCTCGCCGCAGCCACTCCTTACCGCAGGGTGACACCGGCGTCTGGGCCGTCCTCAATCAGGACACCGTAGTCCTGTAGGGGTGGGAGGGGAAGGGAGGTTCACAAGGGCGTGGTAAGGCAAGGTACGCGTAGAACGCAGCCCATGGGGAGCACTGGAACCACGACGTCTAAGGTCCGAAAAGGGCACAGGAATGTGAGGATGGGCCTAACAGCAGCTGCCCGAAACGTGCCTTGGAGATCTGCTTGGTCAGGTCAGCAACCAGGGGGTACTTGCAGCCGCCCAGGCCACCCTTGTTGCGGGGGGTGTTGCTGAACGCCAGGTGGGTGAACTGGCTGTCGATGCTGGCACCAATCACCTGCAAGGATCGATTAGCGGTTGAAAGGTAACGGTACTGTATGTAACGAAGCGGCATGTGCACGATTGCCGTCACTCCCACGCAAAACAGAGGCCCTTCCCTGGACCTTTGCTAATATTGGACATAAGCACGTTCATCGTGTTTCACCAAAGGCTTACCTCGCAGTTGATGGCCTTGAACTCATCAACGCGATCTGCAGAGCCGAATGACGACAGACAGTGCTTGAGACCCAGATTAGATGAGAATGCGAGACCGATTCGCATATAGCAGCGGTACCGTTGGCAAACGGCAAAGGCAGCAAAAGTACATGCGAAGAAAGGGAAAACCTACCCGAGAAGGCCACAATCTCCGTGGGGCAAACGAAGGTGAAGTCCAGAGGGTAAAAGAACAGGACAACGTACTTGCCCTAAGGGACATTTCGAAGGCATTGGGGTTCAGGGAAGTGGTGGCACACAACATCGCCGCTGATCCTCACGCCCAGGCCATGACTCGACTGACGAGCAAGGCAACCAACATATTGCAACTCATACCTTGTAGTCAGCAAGGCTGATCTCCTTGATCTGACCATCAACGACGGCCTGGGCCTTGAAGGCAGGCGCGGGAGCTCCGATTTTGGCCACCATTGTTGCCTATTGAAGTGAAAGCGATAAGGCCAGGCGGTTCACTTAAACACACAAACGCTTGAAGGGCGTTCGATACGTGTAAGTTTGCAGAAGAAAGAACTAAGACGGAATGCGCCATAAATACCTAGGATGTACGACAGCGAACCTTCGGCCAGGTTACGCCACATCCGCGCACAGAAATGTTTACGCGCATTTCACACCTGGCAGCTAATTACGCTATAGGTTTGTGAGGTAAGCTTCAATAAGCTTCAGGCTGCGGCGTGCTTACTACGCCGCGTCATGATGCGATGATGGCGCTGGCCCTGGAAGCCTAATTGGCCGCCACAAGGCGCCCTAAAAGCCAGGTGTCGCTTCTTTAACACGTTTGATCGAACGGCTCTTCTGTCTTACAGCAATCGCTCGATCGTTGTCGCAACATACCAATAGGACATACCGGCGGTTGTGTGTCCGCTTCCGTGATGGGCGCGCTCGCTCCAGCGCCCCTGTAGGATGACGCGCAGGTACAAAGCAGTCCCACACAGCTGTTACGCGGACAATACGCAATCAGCGAACGAGGTTTGCCTTCCTGTAGTATTGGCGTGTCCCCCAGCCAGTACGGCATTTGTAGTTCGGGTAATCCTGATGCCCGGTTTCAAGAGCTCAGCCCAGCCTCACCCCACCAAATGACTCCACCCAGCCCGCACCCACCTGATGAGCAGCGGCGGTAAGCGGTCCATCTCCGCAAGTAGGCTGCCGTACATCCTCCTGTAGTACTCCGCCGGTACCTGTTTCGCCCAACGCCAGAGGAAGGTGTCGTACATTTTTCACTCGTACTCATACACTAAGGGCTAGTCGCGTGCCCCAGCTGGGCCTCCAGACGTGCTATCAATTGCCGTACCTGGCTTCTCCGGGGTCGATGTGAAGCCACGAACTCCCGTGTCATCCGCTGCAGCTGCGGCGCACACAGCTTGTGCCCCGCCAGCAGCTGGAACAGCCGACTCGCAACCCCCGGCTCAAACATACGCTCATACCTGCATGCGCGCCACAAGTTACAACGAATTGGGGATCTTGAATGGTAAGCAAGAGCTCAACTGTTGAAGTATCAGCCGATGCCAAGCACCGGTAAGCTGCCTACTGCACCCCAGCAGCATTCCAGCACGTGTGCCAGCTAATCGATTCATCCAACCCCACCTGAGCATCACCAGCGGGTATTCCAGGCGCGCGGTGAGCCAGTTATGGAAGTGCGCCTCCAGCCCGAACAAGTCCTCACCCCTGGTGCGGAGGCGGGGCGAGGGGGGAGGGGAGAGGGGCCAGAAACGCTTTATCGCCTGCAATTGATCGGCTTTGTTGCCTGAGCGGGGCTGAATGGGTGTTTCCGGGGCCATGTGGCATGTGGCGCATGCGCCAGTGCCCACACGTGCGGCAGCCCGGCAACCCAGCAGAGTGCCCGCTGCTGCCCACCCACCTGGATACATACTCCTCGAAAGAAGGCGGGAAGGTGGCCGGAGAGAGGCAGGAGGGCTGGCCGCACGTCTTCTGGGCCTGGTGGCGGTCAGTAAGCACAGTGGGGGCAGCGACGGGATGGCTATAAGAAGGCTGTGCAAGTGGAGGGACTGAGGCGTTGCGAGACATGAGCACACGACGTGGCATTCACTCAAGAGCAAGGTAAAGGGGGTTCGAGTGAAGGGGTGAGGATTGGCCACGGCTAGTGCAGAACGCTGGTGTTGTACGTTACTAATAACGCACCTGGTGACATGCGTGGCCCCGGCGGTAGTGGCTTGCAACGGCCGCTAGGGGGTCGCCGTACAGGTACACCACGTGACGCGGCCGCCGTACATGTGAGGAGCCGCTACTGCCGCTGGTGCTAGCAGTGTTCGTGTTGTCGTACACCGGGGGTCTGTACATCCAGCCCCAACCCACATTCCAATTACGGATTTACGGTATGTGGGAAACGGAAATGGGGAATAGAATGATTGAAGGTGTTTGGATGGGGATACATTGAAGCGCAGACGTGCAGGGGAGTTGTATGGGCACACGTGACAGGGCGTTAAGCCTCGTCACTGTCAATGCGAAGGTTAGCCTAGAACTGCAAGACCGCAGTGGACGGGCAGCAAAGGGGGGCCCTCCTCTGTCTACCCGTTTCTCCCGCCCACCTGGGGCAGTGCCGTAGGTTGTCAGCATCAGTTAGGAGGTTGGTTGTGATGCCGTACGCATTAAGGTGGTTGGACAGTTGGGTGCTGCCCACACCACCTGCGCCGTACAGCAACGACCACATGCTCCATTCAAGATGATAAAGGGAACCAAAAAGGGCAACCTGTCCCAGCTACCCTCACCAGTCATTGCGCCAGGCCAAACCTAGCGAGGACCTCATAGCAACATTCCGATTGACGTCAAGCTAGCAATTACATAGTTTGGTGGACCATACCTCCCATGCCTCCCGTACAACCACCAACTGCTTCAGTACCCAGTACCCCCCGCGCCGGAATTCAGGAATATAGCCCTTTGCTTGCAGATGAGGTCTCATCATGCGCATGCAGGCCGGGCGCTTACCGAAGGAGGATATCTGAACGTCCATTTCCGTGAGCTCCGGTCCAGCCTGCTCCAATGCCGCCAACAGTTCCGCCACGGCTGGTGACGCTGCATCGCGACGAGCAGTAAGAGCAGCAAGCAACGCATGCATGGCTACGTACGGCTGGCTAAGAGTGCCAAGGCTGTGTGATAGTATGCATGCAAGCGTATAATGGCAGTTGTAATGGGCTTATGAGGTTAGGTGATTGGATGCGGAAGCTATAAAAGAGTTTGGGATGGGCAGAGCTCTAATGCCGCACTCTAGTAACGGTGCATCTGCCGGTCATCATTAACGAGCGACGTTGTACGGCACTAACAGGTCTTCACCTTGCACTGGCCATTAGGTTTGCGAGCAAATTGCGGCAACAAATGAGCAGTAGCACGTTGACTTTCCGCTAAGCTTTCGCCGAGAATCTTGACTTCGAAGGCAGTTGCTTCTCAGGTTGATTCTGCTCTTATAGTTATTTGGTTGCGAACATGGAATTCGATACCAATGAGGAGATGATAGATTATTGCAAGGGAACAGGTCGGACGTACGTTGCTTTCACCTTAACCCAAGCCCAGAAGGACATTGGCTACGTCGTTTTGGAGCTATACACAGATATAGCTCCGGCAACATGTGCAAATTTCATCAAACTAGTTAAAGGCGGGCAGTTCTCGTATGAGGTGGGTTCCCGTGACAATAGGCGCGGGCGAGTGCGACGCATGGGTTGCGGCACCCACCAGCGTGTTATATGTTTCTGCATGGATGACCTCTTAATGGCTAGAGGGTTGATGGCCCAACACTTGCACTGAACCACCCAACCGTTCTTTCCCGCGTCCCAACGTGCACACCAGCGCATTGCCGCGGGCTGGTAGCTACCATCGACGTTACAGGCAATTCCCTGTTCACTTCTCACCTCTACGTTCACGCTTAGCCCTCATGGTTCCCAACCAAGGGCTGAAAGCAAAGCTGCCACCACCACCAATACTAGCTTCAATCCATTCCATCCATCCCAAGTTTTACCATGCCAACTTCACTCACCCCACCTCCCTCCTCCTCGCCTCCCCTCCTCCCCTCAGGGCACCCCCATCCACCGGGTCGTACCATGCGGCTGGATCCAGGGCGGTGACGTGGTGGACGGAAGCGGCAAGGGCGACCCGGGTTTCATGCTGCCGGACGAAACGTTTGCGGTGAAGCACGACGAGCCGGGCGTGCTGGGTATGGCCAACATGGGGCAGCCGCACACCGGCGCCACGCAGTTCTACATCTCCCTCTCGCCGCTGCCCTTCCTGGACGGCAAGCGGGTCGCGTTCGGGAGAGTACTCACCAAGCAGAGTGGGTAGCGCGGGCGGGCGGGCGGGGTGCGGAGGTGGCAGCAGGGCGCGCGGGAAGGAGTGCGCGAGAGTCTGCATGGTGTTACGGACGTTTCCGGGTTGGCGTCTGTCCCTGTTACATGGCCTCTGAGCCGCGAGGGATGGCTGGTACGGTACTGCCTGCAATGCCACGTTAGGTCCGCACGGGGCACTCGCTTAAAGACATGAAGAAGGCTCCAGGGTGGGAATGGGAGCTGCTATTTGTGCCGCTGTACCAACACCGAACCCCTCCGCTCCATCCTGTTACCCGTTGCCCTCCCCCCTGCTCAAATGGTTGATTGTCACACGATCCGGTCATCTTCATCCCCAACCTCCCCAACCTCCCCTTCCTCCTTCCGCACCCACCCGCCCCGCCCCCCAGGCATGGACAACCTGCGCGCGCTGCAGTCCTCCACCATGATCAACGAGCGGCCGGTGCCAGAGGTGACCATCACCACCATCCACGTCATCTACGAGCCCAAGCAGTGAGGGGAGGAGGCAGAGGAGAGGCGCAGAGGGGAGGAGGCAGAGGGGATGACGCGGCCGGCAGCGCAACCCCAGCAGTGACGCAGCAGCAGAAGCATCTACTTAGGAGGCCTTAAGAGCGCCTTAAGCGGGCGGTGTGGTGCGGCTGCAGTGGGAGGCAACAGCTATGCTGGGGTGGGACGCGAGGGTGGTGCCGAATGGTGTGGCAACAGCAGTGGCATGGGGCGGCGGATGATGTGGTGGGCGGCAACCGCTTGGATGGGATGGTTGCGAGGGGAGGCGGTGGGCTGCAGTAGGAGGGTGTAGGAGGGAAGGGTGTAGGAGGGAGGCCGAACGCATGGGAAGCATACAGAAGGCGCATACAAAGGGGCTCATAGGGCCAATGCATTGCAAGGTCAAGTGGGCGCATGCGCTGCGAAGATCGTGTGATTTAGATAATGTGTAGCGGACGTACACGTTCCGCCCATATATCGGTTCAGAGGGGGGATAAAAAGCCAAATTGGAGCAAGGACGGGAGGGCGCGAACTCGCCAGGCACGCTCTCGCACTGTCTCCGGACATTGGCAGAGCCGAGCATGGAAACCGCGTACCATGCCAACATAAAACCAGAAGCAGCGGGAGAAGCGTTGGGAGGAGTCCTCATGCGTGCGTGCGAGCGGGGAAGCAGCGCGGTGTGTGTGGCGCAGTGTTTGTGGTACAGCTTTAGCTAGGTACGGTAGCCAGGCGGTTGGGAGCGCCTGGCTGCGGCTTGGTTGCGCTTGGGAGCCGCATGCTGCTAGCGCTGGGTGGTGGGGTTGTGCATGTGAGGTGGTGGCCCTGCGTTGCGCTTGCGGTCGGCAACCCGCCTGTGCTTCTTGGTAAAGAGGCGCTGCAAGAGGTGCGTGATGACCTTGGTCCTGTAGCTGCTGGCATGTGGCATGTGGGTATTCGCGCTGGGACTTCTCCCCCCGCCCTGCCACATACACACGCTCGCATGCTTGCTGACCCGCGGGTCACTGTTGTTGGTGCAGCTGAAGGACGTGCGTGTTTGTGTCTGGGAATGTGAGATTAGTCCGCAGGATTCCCTCCTTGGCAGCAAGCTTACACAGGAGTAAAGCCCGGCGAAACAACAGGCATAAACCAGATATGCGTACGGTTACGGCGTTGCAACCAGACGCGTCCACCTCTGTTGCTTGCAGCGATTACGACTTCACAAGAACATCGAAGGTGCTATCAGGGCCGCCCGGCCATGCATGCTGATTTACCCTACCCCCTTGCCTTTTAACAGTCTTGAGTACATGCACAAGCACCAGAGTTGTCGAGCTGTCACACCAGGGCCAGAATCAATCACGAGGACACAGCGCTGCGAACCCAACGGGGGGTTGCGGCGGCGCTGCTCGCACTACTGACAGACATGTACGGCCACGACGAGACGGGCAGCATCCTGGTGACGTCCTCCCAAGGGCATCCATGTGATGAGTTTCTGATGTGGTGATGCGAAGCCAATGATGAGTCCGTTATACATGTGCACAAGGCACCGCGAAACGAGCAGCATGCAACAAAGAGTGGGCTTGTGACCCATGGGTCAGACTCGTCAGGCAAACTCATGCCATGCGACAACCTACCACAGCGCATCTTACAACTTGTCACTCCTAAGCCCGCACGCATTTGCTGCCTCTTTTAGCCAACAATCCAGAGTCGCCTGCTCCAATCCAGCCACCGCCATGCAATGCTACCATCCTAAGTTCACACCGGGACGTCCTGCCTCCAATCTATCCAGCTCAGGTGCTCAGTCCCCTACATCCATCACACATCAGACGCCAGGATGGGAACCCGCGCCGACAGCAACCCCAACTTGCGGCTCAGCTTCACCCCCTCCGGCTTGCCGTACACCCCTCCCGCTGGCAACCGTACGACAAAATCCTCCACCTCCTCTGCCTCTCCCACCGCCACTACCTCCACCGCCTTCTCCTTCCTTTCTGCCTGCTTCCCCTTGCCCCCTTGCTGCTTCCCTTTCTTCTCATCACCCCCTCCTCCCGCCGCTGCTGCCTGCCCCACTCTCCTGCGCCGCAGCTCCACTCGGAACTCCTCGCCCTCCACGCCCGTCACCACGCTCACCTCCTCCGCCGAAGCCAGCGGCGCACCAGGCGCCAACACGTCCACCGTCACCACCCGAGCCTCCTCACACACATGCACCGTGCTCCGCCACTGCCCCCCCTTCTGCTGCTCTCCCAGCTGCTGCTGCGGCTGCGGCTGCTTCCCCTGCTGCCGCTCCTCCCGTGCCATCACCTCCTCCACCAGACTGAGGTCAAGCGGCTGCACCGGCAGCCCCAGCGCTCGCCACTGCACCGGCGCTAACGCCCCGCTAGCAGGCTGCGCTGGCAGGGAGGCCAGCCGGGTGGACACGCCCACGGGCAGCAGCACCCCCTCCGCTGCTGCTGCTGCTGCAGCTGCCTTACGATGTCCGCACGAGCCCTCCGAGGAGCTCAGCACACACAGTGTGACGAACCAGCTGCCGCACTGCTCTAGTATCGCCTCTGCCAGTAGCAGGTGCGCTGTGGCAAGGTCCTCATCCCATGCAAACGCGGTCATGAGCTGCTTCACCGTCCGTCCGGCACCTCCACCAGCGCTGCTGCTGCTGCTGCCGCTGCCAGAGGCTGCCGCTAATGCCGTCGCGGTCAGCGGCTTGCCGCGAGGCAACTCCTCGCGACTGAACGCCAGCAACAACGGCTGGCCCTCCTGTCCCAGCAGGGCCCAACCCGGCGAAGCGGCGTACGACAGCCGACGCAGGCCGAGTGTACGGCTCCCCGCCGCGTACTGCACCTGCGCATGCATCGTCAGCTCCCATTTGAACAGCGCCGCTACGCCGCTGCCGTCGCATCGCGCCGTCGCACGCAGCAGCGTCTCCGCCTGCCGCGGCGGGGCCGTCAGCGCCAGCAAGTGCACCAACGCTAGCGGCGCCACCGCCGGCGCTGCGCCCCTGTCGGCGGCAGGCGCCAGCAGCCGCTTGCAAGCAGGCAGCAGCTCCAGCAGCAGCCGTGATGCAGTCATCCAGGAGCGACCGCCGCCGTCTGCACTGTCGTCGTCGCCCTTCTTGCGGTTCTTGCGGCGGCTGGCGGAACTCGTCCGCGGTGGTGGTGGTGGCGCCGTCGTCGCAGCCGCCGGCGCCCATTCCAACCGTATGGCAGTCTCCAGCCCGGCCACCGGCTGGCCTCCCAGCAGTCTGAGACCTATCAGCTCATGCAGGGCTGGAGAGGAGGGACCCAGGAGCTGACTCTCCACGAAGCCCTCCGGCGTCAACAGGCCTCCTTGCTGTGCCTGTGCTTGCGAACGGGAGGACAGTGCACAGCGGCGCAGCACCTCGCTTCCGTACAGCACCATGCTTTCCGCGACCAGGCGCGAGTGGGGGCGGCTGCGCGCTAGCAGCGGCGCGGAGGCTTGCAGCAGCGCCTGCAGGGACACGTAGTCGGCAACATTGGTGCAGTAGATGAAGTCAAACTGGCCCCTGCTGCTGCTGCTGCTGTTGCCGTTGAACTTGGGCGTCTTGGTGGTGCCGGCGTTGCTGCCGTCGTCACTGCAGCTGCCAGCGTCAGTCCATGCGGTGGGTACTGACATCCAGGGCTTCGTGACCTTCACACGCTGTGTCGAAGCTTCTGCCTCGGGTTGCCTCGGCCCTTCAGGACAGGAGGACGCCTCGGCAACCTGCCCCGTTGCGGAGGCTGAAGCTGCAGATGCAGACGCCGATACCCAAGCTGCAGAGGCAGGGCCAGGCGCTGGCAGCTTGGTCATCATAGCCCCCAAGATGTCACCCGGCACCAGCCGTACGGTTAAGGTTCCGGAGCGCAGTGCCTGTGCGGTGGCGGCGAGCTGGGGTGCCAGCGTGGCCAGCAGGCGGGACCAGGCGGAGCAGCCGCCGGCACCGCCGGGGGCCAGCGGCACTGCTCGGAAGATGGAGGAGGAGAAGTAGACCTGCAGGAAAGGTGCGGAAGGCGCGCGAGGGCACACGGAAAACGAGTAGGCGACTAGGTTGCAAGAGGATACGGCATGTGGCAGGTTGGAAGGCAGCTTGTGCGCTGCCAGGCAGGAACCCGAGCTTTCAGATAAGGAGGAGCGAGCGAGTACTACTTTGTGGAAACGGAACGCCAAGACGCCAAAAGATACGGGCAAAGCAGCGGCGGGAAAGGCAAACAGTAGCATTAATCACAGCAGCAACCTGTGACGACGCCACCTCGTCTCCCACTTTCCCTGCAGTCTCCCCAAGCCTTACCGTGTACTGCAGGTCCGGGGCGCTTAGGAAGGTCGGATTCGTAGCTACCAGCTCCTGCTGCTTCTGCGCCCCCGGCAAGGCTGCAGCTCCCTCACCCGCGTCTGCACGCAAGCTGCCACTCCGCACGTACTCCTCAACCTCCCGACGCAACCTCTCCACCTCCGCACCTGCCGACGCTGCTCCTCCTGCCTTGCCCCTACCCTTGCCCTTACCGCCTCCGCCACCACTGCTACCGCCGCCACCGCTGCCCAACGACGCCATCACCGCCGTCATTGACAGCTGCACCGCCCTGTCATGCAGCCCACCTCCGCCACCGCCGCCAGCAGCCAAGCGCTCGCTCCGCGCCGACAGCATCGCTGTCAGCGGCAGCTTGCATGCGGCCCAGGCCGCGAAAGCCGCACGAAGCGCCTCCTCCGCCTCCGACCTTCCCTCCCGCCCCTCCTTCCCCACATGCATCGCCGCTGCTGCTGCTGCCGCCGCCTCATCCTCGCCCTCCAGGGTTAGCGAGGCGGACAGCCAGTCCGGCCAGGGGTCCTCAGCCAGCGCTCCGAGGCTAGCCCGCAGCAGCTGCGCATGCGTGGCGCTGAGGCCGTGGTTGGCCCACACCGCCAGGACCGCCGCAGGAGGCGCCGCTAGCTCCGCGGCCATATGCAGCAGCACCGCGTTGCGAGCCAGCATAGCCAGGTTGCCGTCATTGAGGGTGAAGGCCAGGCGGCGTAGCGGCCTGCTGCTGCTGCCCCCGCTGGAAGAGGAAGAGGAGGAGGAGGAAGGGGGTTGCAGCACAGCGTGTGCGGTGGCTAGCAGGTTGCGGATGTCACCGCATGCGGCAAGCAGGATGCGTATGACCTGCGGGCTGTTGCTGCTGGAGGGTGATACGGCAGTTGCTGCCGGGTCTGCAGCTGCCGGGTCTGTTGCTGCTGTCGTGGGCACCGTAAGCAGCCCTCCCGTTACGTCGTACCCCATTGTGTTGCCGATGGCATAGAACTCGTACGCAGTGGGAGCCCAGGGAGCCTGCGGGAAGGTATGGCAGGTGCGCTGCAGAAGCCAGGGCGGGATGAAGGCGGCGGCGGCGGTGACGGCAGCGGCGGTGATGCCGCTTGCAGCGCCGTGGCGCCGGCGGCGGCCGCCTCCGGGTGCCAGCAAGACCTCGTCTCCACCCTCGGGCCCTGCCGACACTAGCTCGGTACCCTCCAGTGCTAGCCAGGCCGGCAGACGCTGCAACAGTGTGTCAATAGACGGGAGCAGTGCTGACGGCTGTGAAGAAGCTCCAGATGTTGCAGCCGTGGATGCTGCGCCGTCACGGTCCCTTGTTGTTCCTTTTGTTGCCGCTTTCGCGGCCTTATCAGCTGCCGCCGCAACCGCGGTAGCAGTGCGGACGGCAATGCCGGCATGGAAGCTGTTCTTCTCCACAACCGCAGGCTTGGACCACATCCCCATTCGCCGAGACATCTCCTTCTCCCGCGCGCTAACCATGCGGCTATCGTGCATTTCCTCCACGATCGCCAACTGCTGCGGCCCAGCAAATGCATTGCCCACAATGTTGACGCAGCCGCCGAAGTTCACCCCCACCTGCACCCCGGTCTGTCGCTGCTTCTGAAGTCCCAAACCAGCAGAAAGTGCGGCGGCGCCAGGTCCCATTGCCGCATGCGAGGCAGCCATGTGCTTCCACCACTCCGATTGCGACACCGCATCTGCGACCAGCACCTGGCACGCCACGATAGTCGCATCCGTGCCGCCCTTCACAAACACCCCATACGGGTCGTTGCCCTCCAGCCTGCACCCCTGCGCCACCAGACTCGCGCCGCTGTCCGCTGATATGCCAAACACACGGCAATGCGCAATCTCGCAGCCCACCAACAGCGCATCCAGCTGCGTACCGTGCGCCTTGCCCCATTCCCGCGCCGTCTCCGTAGCCCGTGCTTGGCTCTTGGAGCTTACCGGCCTGTACCCAGTCTCCTGGATCTCCGTTGCGGCATTGCTGTAGGTTCCCGCCGCCAAGACACCCTCCCGGGCACACCGCAGGATGCGACAATGCTTCAGCACCAGCCGCCTCGCGCCGCCGTACGCACTCACGCCCTGTCGGCACTCACTCACGTGCAGCCATGCCGCCTCCAGCTCCCCGCCCTCACGCACCTCAACCGCCTGACAGGCCAGCCGTGCAAAGGTGCAGTGCTCCAGCCTGGCCCGGCCGCCCACCACTAACAACCCCACCTCGCTGTAATCCTCAACGCGGCAGTGAACCAGCTGCAACTCTGCTTCCGGATCGGACACGCATGCGGCGGCGGCTCGACCGCTGCCCACCAGACGCATGCCGATGAGGGTGACCGGCGGCTGACGTGCCGTGGCCCAGATGGCATGGGTTCCGAATACAGGGGTGGACTTGAGCTCCACAAGGGCCGCCTCCGGTACGACAGCGGCTCCGAAACCAGTGTTAGAAGCGGAATGGTTGGAAGAAGTGGTTGATCCGATGGTTGTGGAGGTAGGTGTGGAGGACGCAGATTCAGGCACAGGTGTGGGTGTGGGTGGTGCAGGTACGGGTACGGCCATGAGTGTGTACGGAAGTCCGCGTCCGGTGGGAAGTATTGTGGAGGTGGTGTAGGAGCCGGGACGCAGGATGACGAGGGTGGCACCTTGCCGCAGCGCGGACTCAACTTGGGACCAATTGGAGGCGGCGGCGAGGCGGTTTGGGTCTTCAGGCAGGCACAGCTCCTGGTGCTGCCAGTGCTGCGGTGGCTGGGATTGCGGGCGCGAAGCGTTGGTCGTCATGCCGCCGGTGTTGTTGCCCCGGGTTATGGCAGCGGCCGAAGATGCACGCTGGATGGCTGCGTACGTCTCCAGCATAGCGGGAGTCCAAGAGGGGGAGGAGGCGGGCGAGGAGCCGCCATTACTGCTGCTGCTTAGCGCCAGGGCGGCAGCAATCGCAGGAGCTGCGTCGGGGTGGCTAGGCAGCAGCGCGCGGGCGAGGCGGAAGTGCGCCTTGAAGCTGCAGGGCTGCAGCTGCAGACAGGCGCGACAGTCGGCGGCTGCGGCGGCCTTGTTGCCCAGCTCGAGGTAGGCGGCTGCGCGGTTGCACAAAAGCAGGGCGACCTCGTCCTTGTCGGGGTCAGTGGAGACAGGAGGCACCAAGCCCTCCGAATAAGAGGCTACGGCGGCAGCATAGTCACCGGCCACAAAAAGCGCATTGCCGCGAGCTCGCGGTGTGGTGGCCATGGCCGTCGTAGCCATTGGGCGACTAGACTTGCAAGTTTCGTCGTCGCCGTACCAGTAGCTGCGGAATACTTAACAGTATTAACTTATCACAGCGATTAGGCTTGAACTCATGATGTGGCCATGGCGCCTGAATGCACATGATGAGGTCTGCATTAGGCAACTCACCAGCAATGGGATGCCAGTAAGTCGCGTCTATGGAATTGGTCGTCAGTCCTCTTACCTTCTGTTGAAACTGCTCCTATATGTCTGGGTAGCTTTCTGACGTTTCTATCCCGGCTGGCTAGGCTGGTTAGGACCGGAATGAAAGAAATTTGTGGCCTTAAAGTTCAAGCTAAAATTATAACCAACAATGATAAGCTACATTTTTACTAGGCAAGATCTTCACGGGTCTTACTTCCTTCCGTACCAGAAGTAGCATCACGGGTAGAAGCTCAGGCGAAGGCAATACCCTTACAACTGACAGCGCAATGCTATAATTTTTATGTTAATATCAACGAACAACAAATGCCATTCGGTGGCGCCATCCGAAAGTGGCAAAGCCATGTCTGAAGAGGCCACTCTGCCCCTGCCTGCACCCCTCATTCTCCTCCAGTGTCACACAGCATTTTAGCTGTTTCTACCCTTCCAGCCTCCTTACGCCGCAGCCCTCGCTTCCGTCACGCACCCCAACAACCCGCGAGTAAGGATTCTCAAGTTTCTTGTCATGTCTCAACCGAAATAAAACGCCATTAACAGCTTACGATGTCATGTCATGCGACCTCCCTCCTCGGCACCCTTTCCTGCACCCCTCCTCCCCTTTAAGGTGATAAGGATCCGTATGCGCTCACTGCATGTGCCGGGGTACGGGATTGGGTCGGGTTGTTGCACGTTCTCAATTACTTTCCTCCCCTTTCATTAAGAGTTGCCCCGGTAGCAGGCACTGCAAGCGCGTCCAATGTTACCAAGACACGCACAGGGACACAAGCGCGCCAGCCGGCATCCTTTCCAAGACCCTATCCTGAGCGCACTTCTGAAACAGTGCGTGTGGTGTTAGGCATGGCAGGCGGTTCCGGGCCTGGGCCCCGCAGGTATGTTCTTGTGTTGCACGCCCTTCCGCCGTTGCAGCGTCCCAACTGCTCCCGTCACAAGGGAACTGCTGCGTCGGGAAGGGGACGGCCGCGCTCCCGCTCCCACTTGCAACGTGCTGAGGACTACTGGTACGTGAATTCTCGCCCACACTGAACACGGTGCGGACGGTTCGAAACGCGACTTACAAACGCCTGGAGGCCCTTCCGCAGGCGTAAGACGGACGCATTTCTAGCGACGGGACTGAGAGAAAGGCAGGTGTAAGAGGTGTCCGGTTAGAGGAGCGTCCGAGTATGACAGGACCGGGACAGAACCGGGGCGCTAAATCAACAACAACAACAACATAATAAAATGCAAATAAAACGCTCCACAAAACCAGCGAAACCGGCGGACGGAAGTACAGCCGCCCTAAACAAGGTGCCTTGTACCAACCCCGGAAGCCCGGGGGTGACCGCACCTGAATACCCACACGACTAGAGACGGCATGTGACCACTACAGTGCCTGCCATCAGGTGCTAAGTGGAGTTGTAAATAAGTTGCAATCGGGTACACCAAGGGTTTGCCCTCGGCTGTGGCAACAGCCAAACCGCCTAAAACAACACAGAGCCGTGGGTCCTCATACGGGCGCACGAGGACAGGCTTGCGCAGGGCATCTCACCCCGACAAAAGAAGGAACAAAACCAAACACTCCAAGCACTCCAGCATGATATCCTTACCACAGCACACGACAAAACGTGGGGGATCTTTGAAATCCTTGGACTCTGCCCGCTGTAGCACCTAACTAACAACTGCCGCACGGCGCCAATCCATCCATGCAGCAACACAAGAGGAAGGCCCAACCCGGAATGCCATATCGGCCTCCTGGAATTGCTGTACCGGTACCAAAATAGCACATGAAGACATAACACCAGATAACACATGAAGAAATCACATACTACCGCGCAAGTGCGCACGCGCACGCATGAAACCTAGCTACATCCAGCACCCCTCCTCGCTCCTCCCACCCTGCTAGCACACCGGACTTGTAAACTGCCCCACCACAGCTCGGCACATGGGGCACTGCAGCGGCGCCGTCGCCCCCCAGCGCCCCACCACGTCCCGCGCGCACCCCGCACACAGCCGGTGGTGACAGGGCTGCGCCACCAGACACACCGCGTCCTCCAAACACACCACACAACAGCTCATGGGCTGCAGCGGGGCGCGTGCAAACTGGTTCTCCACGAAGCCGCAGCTGCGGCGCACGAAGGGGCTTGTGGCGCGAACCTTGCAGCACTCCGGGGCTGGGGGCTGCGGCTGGGGTTGCTGCTGCTGCTGCTCTTGTTGTCGCTGCTGTGGTTGCTGTTCTTCTTGCCCTTGCTGCTGCTGCAGCTGTTGGTCGGGTTGCAAGGCAGCGCAGGGGGTCAAGTTCAGCTCCAGCTCCACCGCTTGGGGGGCTAGTGGCTGCTGCTGGTGCTGTGCCGCATGTTGGTGTTGGAGGGGCGCCACACGGCCATATGACACCCCGTCTGCTCCATCTGCTTGCACTGCTGCCTCTATTTCCTGCTGCTGCTGCTGCTGCCGCTCCTGTTGCCCCTGTGCTCCTGCCGGCGTCTGCTGCTGCTGCCGCCGGCGCTGCGGCGTCCGGGCCACCGGATAAGAGCGCTGCGGGTGCAACAGCGGTCGCATCAGGTGTTGCTGGTGCTCCCCCTGCGGCTCCCTCTGCTGCTGCTGGGGCTGGCAGTCCTGCGGGGTTGGCCAGTGCTGCTGCTGCCGCTGCTGCAAGTCTGAAGCGCTTAGCGACCGAGGTAGCGACCGGCGGTGTGGCGCACCCGCCACCACTGCAGCACACCCCTGCACCCCCTGACCCTGCTCCTGCCCCTCGCCCTGCTCCTGTCCCTGCAACCCCTGCTGCTGCTGCTGCTGTCCCGCTCCTAGCAGCCCCACATCCCTGGACTGCGTCCTTCCACCAGTCAACAGCGCACCCGAACTCACCTCCTCTAGGGACTCCGAAACCACGGTGGACAGGTGCGGCCGCCACCCCTGCCCCTGCCCCCCCTCCCCCCGCACCCCATGCTGCTGTATCCCCTCCCCCTGCCCCCCCTGCTGCTGCAAAAGGGGTGTATGCGCTTGCGACGGCGGCAGCAGTGCCGGCACCGGAGGGCCGTCCGGCGGCGGCTCAGACGCCCTCTGGAATGGCGACTGCTGCTGCTGCTGCATGTGCTGCAGGTGCGGTTGCAGGTGTGGAGGCAGCATCAGCAGCTGCTCTGGAATGCCGGAGGCAGGCGGGCCGGAGGCAAAGGCGGAGGGGGGAAAGGCGGATGCGGATACGCTCGCAAACGCGGAGGAGGAGGAGGTGAAAGTGTTGGCGGCTGCTGCAGCGGAGGAGGCGGCGGCGGGTGAGGCGCAACGGCTCTGGTACTCCGTAACCGCCGCCTCCGCAGCCGCCACGTCACGCAGCAGCTGCCGCCGTACCTCCGCACCTGCTAGCACCGCCAGTCGGGGCACACCCCGGGCTGCTGCTGCTGTGCCGCCTGATTGCAGGCCCGAGGGGGGGGGTAAGATGTAAAGAGGGGTTGAACACAGGCGGGGGAGGGAAAAGGAGGATTACGACCAGACGGGATAAAGGGGGAGAAGCCTAGATCCAGGCGCGGGAGGGCGGTGTGGAGGTAGGGGTGGGAGTAGCGGCCTGCCCCCTAGCGAGAGCAGGTGCAAGCGCCACCGGGGTATGTGTCGGGGCAATGTGCCCCCTGTGAAGCCAGGGAAGCGGCAGCGTGCCGGTACCGGTAGCTGGGCCTATCAGCGGCCACAAGCCGCAGCTGCCCCCACCCTTGCACCCCAGCTGCCCCGCCTCCCACCCCTGCACCCTGGCCCCCGCACCTCGCAGCGATCCGCCCCCAAACATGGCAGCCAGGTTGGCCGCCGGGTGGATCACCTCCGCGATCAGCCCGCAGTTGCCCCGGGCGCGAGCTACCTGGGTGGGGAGAGGGGGTGGGGGTGGGGGTAGGGGTAGAAGGGGGTAAGAGGGGATGGAAATTCCGCACTGGGCTCAACCTTTGTGTTGCTTCTCGACAGGGTTAGTAGCAGAAAGCAAAACACGGACCGTGCTGAAGGCTCCACGCGCTGGTCACATCCCGCGGATTAGTCGGCTTCCCCAGCCTCCCCCACCTTGTAGGGTGCTCGGCCCAGCACGTCTAGCTTCCTCCTGGGGTCGGGGTAGGAGGGGCTGGCCAGGCGCTCGTGCTGGGGGAGAGGGAAGGGGAGGGAAGGGGAGAGGAGTGAGAGGGAAAAGGAGGGAGCGTGAGAGGGCATTTAAAGACGGGAGGAGGGAGACGGCAGCACACACGCTGGTGGTGTTGCATGTTGGGCCGGTCGAGTTGAGGGCGGTCGAGTTGGGTTGGGGCCAAGCGGAAGGAGGTCGAGCGGTTGGAAAGGGCCGCTTCACTGGCGCTTACCACCACTCTGCCGCCCTCTCTTCCTTGCGCGTCGCAAATGCACCACCTAGTACTCCTCCCACCACCCCGCTCCTCCCCCCGCTCCCGCCCTCCCCCCCTTTAGCCTGTGGTCTCCTATGGTTTGGTATGGTCTTTGACCCCCCTTTACACTCACATAGTGCCTCAGCAGCACCAGCGCGCAGGGCAGGCTGTTCTGCGCCGCCGCCACGTGCAGCGGCGTGGAGCGCTTGGGGATGTGCACCAGGTCGTACCCCTCGCCCAGCTGGTAGGGGGGGAGGGAGGGGGAGAGGGAGGAGAGAGGTTAAAAAAGGTGAGAGGAATCGGTGGATACACCTATGACGTGAACAGAAATAGCACCAGTGCGGTGTTGTACCCCTGTCCTTTCATGGTCGGTGAAGGCATGGTGCAACCCGGTTATGACAGGAGCTGGAGTGCCGTACCAGTCATTTAATCCCTCATTGTCCTTCGCGCCCCTCAAGCCCCCCCTGCCGTATGGTTCGGTATGGTCTTTGACCCCCCCTACCGTGTTCACCGCCAGCAGGTCGGCCCCCCGCTGCAGCAGCAGCTCGGCAGCCTCAGCCTGGTGGCAGGCGGCAGCTGGGGGGGGGGAGGAGGAGGAGGTGGGGAGGGGGGTTGGATAAGGAGTGCAAGTAGCTCAGTGCCGCCAACGCCAGCTGCGGTGGTGGTTTGAGGGCAGGAAAACCAGGCAGGCGGGTACGACGGCGATGCAGCAGGTACGGCACGAACCAGTTGAGGGCCCTTGCTCCCCACCGCCCTCACCCCCTCTGCCGCACAGGTACTACACCGTCCCACCGGCCCCTCCCAACCCCAGAACTGGCTGGTTTCTCTTCGACCTCCCCCCCCCACCTCCCAGCACCCACCGTAGTGCAGCGGCGTCAGACCCGAGATGGACCGCAGCTCCAGGTACCTGGGGGGGGGATGAGTAGCTCTTTGCCAGCAGGTGGGACTACAGGACAGGATGCTGCTGCCGCATGTAGGCATGTGTCGTGGCATAAGCGCATAACCCAGTGTCAACCCTGCGTCCCTGCCCCTCCCCGCTCGCTCGCTCGCTCGCTCGCTCGCCCGTGTCACCTGCACACGTCCCGCGCGGAGGGCAGGTGGTCCAGCAGCGCAGCCATGCAGTCCAGCTCGCCCTGGGGCAACAGCGGGAGGGGGGGAGGGGCGGGGGAGGCAGCCATCAGGGAGGGGCGGGGACGCAGGGACGGAGGTGACGCGGGGTGGAGGGAGATGGAGAGAGGGGGTATGCATGTGGAGGGGCGACACCGCGACACCGCCAGCCCCTGCGGGTAAGGGTTACCTGCTGTAATGCAGCGACGTAGCGCATGCAGGGCTCCCCCAACCACCACCACCATCGGACGCGCCCTCCCTTTCCAACCCTACCCCTCCTTTCTGGGTTTCCCTCTCCAGGTAAGTTTCCCGTAATGCGTCTCGATAACATGTCTACTCGTATACCCATTTTGCTTGCTGCTTTGACTTTTCGTGACCGGCGGCGCGGCACATGTCTTCCTAGTGTTACCACGCAAGGCGGCTTCTTCCTAAAGTCATCTCGGTTTCCGGTAAGCAACGATTCGGTAAGTAATTTGAGATGCGTGCTTCTAGGATAGTGTCTTCGAATGCGCTCACTGCATGAGTCGGGAGATGGGATTGGGACTCGTTGCTTCACTTATATAATTTTTTACCCCTCCCTCTCCCACTGCATGAGTCGAGATTGGGGATTGGGACTCCGTTGCTGCACTTATCTTTCTATTTGTCCTCCCTCTCATGCCTCTCCCCCACCCGCCCCACCCGGGGGATGGGCAGTGTGCGACATGCGCACGGCGTACGGCAGCCCTCCGTACCTTCATGACGGCGTAGTGCAGGGCGGAGCGCTTGCCGCAGCGGTCCTGGACCCATGGGTCGGCCCCGTGCCGCAACAGCCAGGTGACGGCGGCTGTGTGGCCGGCTTGCACCGCGTGCATGAGCGGCGTCTGGCAGGGGGAGTGAAAGGAAGAAAGAGGGGAGGGAGGGAGGCAGGGAGGGAGGAGAGAATAGGAAACACAATTTGCTATTTTAATTCCAAAGCAATTCCAAGCAGAATCTCAACGCTCCGGATTTCTCGCAAGATGTCCAAGTGGGCGTAAGCCTTGGCGCTGGAAGACCCATCGCACGTGAGACACATCGCATCTGCCCCTGTCTCCCCTGTCTTCCCAACATCCCACCCAGCGTACCTGTCCCTTGCCGTTTCGGCAGTTGACCGAAGCGACTCGCCGCCCCTCAGTCCCCCCCTGCTGCCGCTGCCCCTGCTGCTCGGCCGCCGCCTGTGCCGCCTCATGCAACACCGCCAGCACGGTTTCGGAGCCGGAGCTGGCCGCCAGGTGCCACACAGTGTCCCGGTCGCCTGCGCGGAACGCCGGTGTGGAGGGGGGGGAGGGTGTTCAAGGTGGGAGTGGATTGTGCTGTCCGTTGTTGCACGGCAGGGGCCCTTGACGACAGACACTTCCCGCGTCTTCCGTATACACACCCAGACACAATTTCGACGTTTGCCTCCCCTGCCCGCGCCCAGCCTGTCTGCATGTAACATACCAAGATTGCGGTAGTTGAGGAGTTCAGGATCAAGATTCAACCGGAACTTGATGGCTTGGAGATCGCCTTGCCTTACTGCCGTGCATAAGGGGGCGGTATTACAAGAACGTAGGCGGATAGCAATCGGGTAGGGTTGCGTTGCAATGGTCAAAGCATAAGAAAGGTGTAGATGATCTCGCTCGTGTGTTTTGCTCAACCGTCAAGACCAAATACAAAGCGGTTTTGGGTAGGCCTGTCTCTGAAGGCCGTTGTAGAAAGAAGCCGCTTCAAGTCAACCATCGGGTTTAAGTCATTTGCGCGGTGGTTGCTGTGCGTCACCGTCAACCACGTTTCCGGTTTTTACATGCAACGTGTACAGTGGTCGAAAGAAACCCCTGTGATGTAAGTTACAGTAAGCCGTCAACTACGCGTGCCATGACACAAGTTCGCTTCTGTTTTTGCATCATTATTTCGCGACAGCAGAACTGAATACGTTTTCAAATGTCTGACGCGGTAGCCACGCACAAAACGAAGGCGATGGACAGTTCGCAGCCGCAAGCAACTGCAACATCGTGGTCGTCTTAGGCTCGACACAAATCATTTCCGGCCGATCAGCTAGATGCGGAATAGGTCCAGCCGTTTGGGTCCGATCCACGCCAATTGCACTGAGTATTCGCCTCACCGGCCTGGAACAGCGCGAAGACAGGCCCTGGCTCCACACAACTGCTGAAACTGGAGCCCATTTTGAATACTTACTGAAGGTTACATACAAGGAAAGTAAGTGCCAAAGCAGGGGTGACCCGGTTCGGCCTAGTAACCACGTTCGCAGTAGTTAAACTAAGCAGCTTACGTTAACAGGCAGTAATATAGAACAGGAAGGTGTGCTAGCATGTAATACAATAACGGCTTTGCGTTGCAGAGAAGTATCTTGCGCCTGAACTTGCGCGTGGCGCGTCAACGGCTCGAGGTACGGAAAAGAAGAATCTGGTGACTTGCTGTAAGGACAGCATGAACGCTACGACTGCAGAAGACAAGTCAACACAGGAATGTACAATTGACGACTGCAGACTGCAAAGGTGGTACCGAAAGCTAGCGATCTCCAGGGTACGGTTCTGGTTGCCAAGCCAGAACATCCATCCTGGCCCTAACACCTAGCTTTTTAAGGCGAGGTAGGGTATGACTTACTGATCTCGGCTCTTCAGATCTGTCAATCCATAGCCGCGAAAAGAGAAACTGCAGACGGACCCCCTTCCTCGATAAGGCCAACATTATTATCGCATTTACTCTCAGCTTTTTGGGTACTCACTAGAAATGGTTCACCCAGAATCACAACAAGGCCTGCAAGCCAGTGAACAGCGTGCGGATCTTGCTGATGCCGAGGCGGCGCAGAATGTTGCTAGTGTCGACGACGAAATTGAGCGCGAGGAAGCGGAGGAAAACACTAATCAGCCGGACATAGCTGCGTTTGCAGCGGAAGATCAGCCAAGGGAGGCCACAGTCGCACATGCACCTAAATCCGCTCGCCGTCAAGGCGGCAACGCCTTCCTGCCGTTCATCATCGCAGCCTCCATCTTAGCAGGTGCTTGGATTCTTCGTCGCATGCGAAGGCGCAGTGGCGTGTGCACCACTCCGAAGTCGCAAAGCAGCTCGATTGCCGCACCGGCTCCCGTGGAAGAGCCAGCACCCTCGCTGCCCCCCGAGCCTGTTAACCCAGATACCTTCAACCTAATCTTAACGGGAGTACAACAAGCGGCAGCGCCATCGGATGCTACTACTGCTAGCTCCCTGCCGCCAGCCCTCAGCGGTGTTACCTTTGTTGTTTCTGAAGACGTCGACCTCGCCGGAACGCCAACCACCCTCGGCGCGCCGTGTGCCGTACTGGACGAGCAAGCTGCCGCCAGCTGCCCGGCTGTAGCCAAGCTGCAAGCGGCGGGTGCGGTCTGCGTGGGCAAGGCTGCCGTACAGCCGTACGGACTGGACACGATTGGTGCCAACTTTGGCAACCCCTATAACAAGGCCAATGTCTCGGGAGGAGGCCAAACAGGTGCGCAGCGGGAGCTCCGCTAGGTCACATCAGTCGTGCATACCCTCACCCCACCATCTTATCCTCTCGTCACGGCCCCGTCCCGCCCCCGTCCCACCGCCTGTCCCCTTCCGCCCCTCCCCACCGCACCCTAGGCTGTGCTGCCGCGGTAGCCACCGGTCTCGCCTCCGCCGCCCTGTGCTCCGATCTGCTGGGCTCAGCGCGAGTGCCGGCGGCCTGCTGCGGTGTCTACTGCTACCGGGCCACTCCGGGCGGACCCGTGGGTCTGCCTAATGCACACTCCAGCGCCACAGCTGCGGCTGCTGCTGCTGCTGGCGCTGCGAGTACCGGTGATAGCAGCAGCGGCAGCAGCAGCAGCGGCGGCGTGGGCGGTGCTGGCAGCCCGGGTGGCGGCGTGAGCGGCGGTGATGGCTGCCCCGAGGGGTGCATGGAGTCGTTGGCGCTGATGGCGAGTGACCCAGGGGTCATGTTGCGGGCGGCGCAGGCGCTGGGGGCGCCAGGTGGGTGCGGGTGGGCGGATGGGCGGGTGATTGTGGAGGGGTGCGCGAGGAAGGGCGGGTAGGGCGGGTAGGGAAGGTAGGGCGGGGGGTCAGGACCTCTCAGGAATCTGGCTTCAGATGGGCAGCAGGGGAATGGGCGGTGGTCTTACCAACATCTTCGGGTTCGCATCCTACCACCTGCCTGCCCGCACTCTCAACTCAACTCACGTCCCTCCCTGCCCTCCCTCCATGCCGCCCTGCATGCTCCCCCTCCCCCGCTCGCCAACCACGAGGCACCCCTTCATGCTGCAGATCCTCCTGGTTGCATGCCTCTCTTTTCCTCCCTACCTGCCCACACCCGCTATCCACGCAATCCTACAATCCAGCCAAATGCGGAGTGTGTCTCCCTTCTAATCGCACCCCCGCAGGCAGCTTCAACCTGCGCGGCGAGATCGTCCGCTTCGTTGTTGCGGAGGACCTGTTCGGCTGCTGCGCGGTGGAATACCAGCCGGCCGCACTGGCGGTGAAGCGCGCCATACTCAAGTGGGCGGGCTCGGAGCAGGCGGGTGCCGTACAGCTGTGCAAGTGAGGAGGGGGCGGGGGAGGGGGCGAGACCGGGTTGATGAGGAAACGGAGAAAGGGAAGAGGTAGGGTGGGAGGGAATGATGAGAGTGTGAGCGGGAGGAGGGAGGAATCGGGGAGTGGAGGGAGGTGAGAGTGTAGCGTGTGTGTGGGGGCTTTGGGCTGCTGGTCATCGAGGATGCACAACAGGGGAGCATGCTGGTGAAAGCACCAGATATTGGGTATATACACCAAGGTTGTCGTCGTTATGTCCTATCTGCCCCTCATCTCCCCTCCCTGTGCTCCCTTCCCTTGCCGTACACTGTCGTGCCCTGCCGTACCCAGGTTCATGGCTGAGAACTCGGGTGGCTGGCAGGGCCTGCAGCCGGATGAGCTGCTGGGCGACATCGGGGGCCTGCCGCCGGGGCTGGCGGCGTGGGCAACCGCCGCCAGGGTGCTGCGTACGGCACACCTGCACGCGGCACTGCCGCCGCCGCTGCAGCAGGGGCAGGAACAGGAGGAGGAGGAGAAGGGGGAGGGAGAGCCGCAGGCGCAAGGTGAGGCGTCGGAGGCGGTGGCGGAGGCGCCTGCAGGGGATGACGGCGCCGCCGCCGCTGAAGCAGCGGAGGCGGACGCGGCGGACGTGGCGCCGGTGCAGGACGAGGAAGGCGAAGCAGGAGGAGCCGTGAGCGGTGGCGCCGCTGCAGCGGCGACGGCGGAGGCGGAGGATGTGGATCCCGAGGCCAAGCCAGCGGCGGAGGCGGCGCCGTCGGCCCCTCAGCAGTCGCTCCTACCGCCGCCACCGTCGGAGGAGCGGCTGGCGGCGGTGCGCGAGGCGGCTCGTCAGCTGTACGACACCCTCCGCCACACCGTCAAGCCCGACACCGTCATCGTACTGCCTGTCGTACCCGCGGCGCCGCTGAAGCGCCGCGCCGCCGCCGCTGCTTCCGCCAGCGGCCATGGCCTCAGCCCTGAGGCTGCTGCATGGGAGGCCCTATCGCACGGCTTCAACTGCCTGGCGACGTTGGCTCAGTGTCCAGTGGTTGTCGTACCGCTGGGTTCCGTCGCCGACGGCACGCCGCTGGCGGTGGCGCTGATGGGCTGCCCTCGCTTCGACGCGCGACTGCTGGCCGTCGCCGCCAAGATGGGCCCTATCATGCAGGAGGCCTTTGAGGGCGTGAAACAAGGCCTTGCGGATGTTGTACGGAAGCAGGAGCAGCAGCAACAGCCGCTGCAGCAGGAGCAGGCCGGCGGAAAGGGGGAGCAGCAGCAGCAGCCTTCGGCGGCGGCGGTGCCGAAGGCGGCAGCCGCGGGAGTGTCGGCGACGGCTGCGCCGCCGCCGGCGCCGGCGGTTGATCCCCGTCGGTTAGAGCGCGCCGAGCGGTTTAAGGCTCGCGGCAATGAGCTGTTTAAAGCGGGCAAGTACGCGGATGCAGCTGTAGAGTACGGCAAGGCGATCAACGAACACCCGGAGAATCCGGTGTACTACAACAACAGGTACGGCAGTCAGGAGGGATGCGTTGTACGCTGTAAGGTGTAAGCGTTGGGCGGATGGTATTCGGGTTGCAGGTGCCCCGAGGCGTTGTTGCTCCTTACTCTTTAACTCTTGAACGCGTGACAACCGTTGGTTGGCTGTTCCTGCCCTGTGGCGGACTCCCCGCCTTTTGATTGTAAACCTTACCTCTTCTGGTCTCTCATCCCCCTAATACCATTCCAGTACGCACGCCAACTCCGCCCTACACCCCACCTACGTGACACCTCCCTTGGAAAATTCCTCCCTACCCACCCCCCAGGGCCATGGCCTTCCTGAAGCTCTTCCGCTTCGAGCAGGCGGAGGAGGAGTGCAACAAGGCGCTGCGCTTCGACCTGAAGGAGGCGGACAAGGTAGGCGGGGAGTGGGGAAGGGATGGGAGGGAAAGGATGGGCAACCAGCGAGCGAGCGACCCATGGGGTGGTCGTTGTATGGCTGCCCGCGTTCCGGTCTTTGCGCTTCCACATCATCACGCAGCGCCACATGTATGTCTACCTTTACTTATGCGTTCTGCCTCTATCCTGTTACCTAGTGCCCAGCGCTGCCTACCCTCCGCTAACCCCCCCTTTACCTCCCCACATACCTACCCACCACCCCCACCCTCCCAGGCCAAGGCTCTGCTACGTCGCGCCACGGCTCGCAGTGCGCTGCAGAAACACAACGAGGCGGAGCGAGACCTGCGGCAGGTGGGGGGGTGGGGGGCTAGGGGCGGGGGTAGGGCCGGGGGTAGGGTGAAGAGGACGGGTAGGAGGACGGCGTGCTCAAGCTGCAGAGCGACTCGGGATCTCGGTGTTGTCATGTTCTCATGTGGCATGAGGCGCATGACAATTTGCTCAATCATAACGCTCTTCCTTAATACGGATAGTCAGAAGTGCACACACGCGCCACTACTGGACCATACCCGTCGGCTCCTGTTGCGTCTCTGTGGGAACTTTATCTTCCGGCAATCACAGTACGTTCCGACTCGCGGCCAGTAACACACGCCAGTACACCTTCCTTCGATCGACAGCTACGGCCAGCACTGTTACGCGGCTCAGTTCACTGAATACTCGTCACACCACTTTGTCGTACTGCGTGCTACAGGTGCTGGCCGTGGAGCCCAACAACCGGCAAGCACGGGAGGACCTGCAGGTGTGGGCGTGGGTAAAAATAAGGAGGAGGGGGGGGGGGGCGTGGGCAGGGCCGTGGGCAGGGCCTGGAAGGGAGGGAGGGGGTTTGGGGCAGAGTTGGGAGCGGGGTGGGGTGTGAGGAGGGCTTTGGGAGCGGTGGGAATGGTAACCAGTAAGGGAAGGGTCAGTCAAGGCTCGTTGATTGACATTAGTGAGCTGTGTGGGTGTGGGGGGCTGTCATCCACAGCACAGAGGTTGTCTGTCGGAATGTTGCGGCGAACCGTGACGTGCCGAACTCTGCTACCTCTCCCGCTCACCACCTGACAACCCAGTCCCCAACCCGCAACCTCCCTCCTCACAACCCTTCCCACCCCCTCCCCCGCCCTCCCAGACCCTGCAACACATGAAGGCCGACATGGCGGCCGCCCAGCAGCGCATGGCGGCGGAGGCGCAGCGCATGATGCAGGCGGCAGCGGCGCAGCAGCAGCAGCCGGGTGCAGGAGGAGGAGGAGGAGCGGGCATGCATGGGGCCGCAGCAGCAGCAGCAGCAGCGGGCGCTGCCGGCTTGCCTCCTGGCTTCCTGCCGCCCGGGTTTGACCCCAGTTCGCTGCCGCCCGGGTTCGACTGGTCGCAGCTGGCAGCGGCGGGAGGTCCGGAGGCGCTGGCAGCCATGCTAGCTGGCGCGGGAGGGGGTGCGGGAGGGGGAATGGGAGGGTTCGGGGGTGCGGGGGGGTTTCTGCCGGGCGGGTTTGGGCCCGGGGGCTTCGGGCCGGGGGGGTTTGCTTAAACGGAGAGGGAGAGGGAGAGCGAGAGGAAGAGGTGTAGGAAAGCAGAGTGGGTGTGTTGATGGGGGGTGAGTGGGGGTGGAGGGAGCGGCAGGTTGGTCAGCGCTGGTGGTGGTGGGGTGGTAGCGGGTGGGGTGGGGTGGGTGGAGGGGTAAAGAGGAAACTGCGATGGGGTGCAAACATGGCGGGTGGGGCGTGGGGGTGGAATGTGATGGGGGCCGTTGTGCGGACGGTTGAGATGATGGCACTACTTGTTGTTATGTTGTTGCTGTTGGTGTTGTGGGGGATGGGTGGCACTCAGAGGAGGAGTTTTGGGGGGATTGCGGGCCTCTTCCTGGCGCTGCTGGCACCGTTGCAAGACCGCTGCTGCTACTGCTGTATGTTATGGTGGGAGCGACGGTATGGCGTGTTATATCTATAACGGCTGGGCGGATGACTTGCAGGATGTACGCGGATTGGCAGCAGGCTGGGGTAGAGGTTAGGTGTGCCTACAAGTTAGGTGCTTTGCGGCTGTAATGCAAACCAAGCGCAATGGCCCCAGCGAATACCGGCAATCGGACATGGTTGCACAGGCCGGTGAACATCCACACACCCTGTCAATTACGGTAGCGTCGTACCGACGTACCTAAGTACGGCATTGGGCAAGTTGGACCTCAAGAACTATGGGACGGCCTTGCGCAGCGGGGCTGTATAATGTAGAACTAGGAGGTAGCTTGGATACCGGTAGTAAAGGATTGAGGAGGTGTTTCCAAAATACCGGTTGCCGTATCCGCTCGACGTGTCAGCAACGCAGTGCTATTACTACTCCCGTACATGTGCTAACTTTGTGTGGGTGTCACCGGCGGGCCTGTAACCTCATACTGCGTAGCCCTGTTTACATGATGTGCCTAGGGCCAGGCCCTCACCCAACACACCCCGCTTAAGGCGGCTGCCCCCTCCATTCGACACCGCTTCGGGCGGCAGGCTTCCGCGGTGCGCCTGCGTTCCCTGAATGGATACCCACGCACAGAGGAGGATGTGGTGCAGCTATTGCAGTACGGGCCTATGACCGTAGAGGATGCCTGTGCTGATCTGCATGCGAAGTATGCGGGCGCCCGGGGCAAACTAGTCAGCGTCAGCACTCTGGTGCGAGAGAAGATTAAGGAGTTGGCGCCGGCAAGGTATGAGGACATCGTTGGGGTTAAGCTTTACCTTTCATCATAGGTCTAGCAATTGCATTTTGTGCTGCTGAGCTGGGATATGCAAGGTATGCATTAACAACTCTAACGACGCTCAGGGGTAACACAATAAGAAAGTGGTTAGTGGTGCGTGGATGATGGGGTGGTGATGATGGTGGGTAATTGTTGGGGCGTGTACTGTGGGAACCCTTGTGGCTTTGTAGTTGTCAAAGATCCTTCCGCTCGTCCTCCCGCCAGCATGCATTGTGTGGGAATTTTGTCTGGTTGCTGAGTATTGTGAGGAGGCAAAAGCCGCATACTGTGTCATGGGTACTGGTCAAAGTTACGGGGCTTTGGTAGTTGCTGGTGAGACCACATGGTCTGTGATACTTGTACAGGGTTACAAAAGTAACAACTTTATATAGTAATTTAGGGCTTGTTTATACAAAAGGCGTGGTGACCCGGTCAATGGTCAGCGACCTGACAGATGAAGCCTTTTGCCCTGTTGCTTATTGTTAGCAACCTTAGTTTGAATATGACTATTGTAAGCTTGTTAATAAAAGACGAATCGTTCACGTCGCAGACGCCACTTTCTCCATGGCGGCCATTTCTTGGCCTCGAGGGCAGTCCTTCTAGGCATGGCATCTAAGGCGTTTAAAACTCTACTTTGTACGTGCTTATGCCGGCATACGAGGCATACTTGTAATAAAATACCACAATGACGCGTAACAATGTCTGTTGAGACACTCCGAATCAACGCGTTACAGTGCCTTTCTTGAACATATGACATATGTGATGTAAACACATTAATGACACCATTCAGGACAGCGGTCCTGGTTGCCGTATGTGATGGGATCCCGGGGGGTTCCGGTGATAACGAATACTATGGGTGCCCGCCAACGCGTAGCCGAATACTGTGCAAAAAAATCAAAGAATAGGCCCGATTTAGCACTACTCAGTTTCTTGTCTTTTCGCCGCTGAAGTACAAAGATGGTCGCACCCAGGTGGCCCAAAGGTGCGGAGGTGTAGTGTAGCCTTCCCAACTGTACCGCGTGAAAACAAAACTAATAACAGCATAAATGTTTTAACTTCAGGGCCGGTACCATGGATTGCTCTTTTCGGCATGGCCACCGGGATCGCGGGTGCATTCTTCCCAGCAACTCGGACCTGGCCGGTTATCCAGCAGATATTTGCGTTTGGGACAACCCTCTTTAGGTCAGTTTGTAACTTCATTCAATGGCGCTGAACTCTCGGCTTCGCATAACCAAAGCGGTTGGAATTATTGCCACCATGCGCAGGTCTGCGTTTGGCCTACAAGTTGTGATGGGGGGCTCCGTCGTAGCCCACCTCGTTGAAACCGCTTTTACGTTGAGGATCTGTGCAAAGAACAAAGTCTCTCCGGGCCACACCCTGTGAGTAAATGGGAGGGCATTGCGTTGCGGACGCAAAGCCACGCAGCAAGTTGCCGAGCCCCGACGTTACACCCTTACGATTTGTCTGATGCTCACCTCCCGAGGCACACAACCCATTGAAACAGCTGTCGCTACTGCAGGCGCTGCGTCAGTGCCCACACACAGCTGTCGCCACACAGCCTGTTTTGCCCTCTGGCAAACTCCTAGATGCTATGGCATTCTTCCCCAAAGCCATACCCCCCCATGCTCGCTCCTAGCTCATCCTGCTCGCCCCTCGCCCTTGTGCTACTCCTCACCCCTGTTCCTCCGCTTCTGTTCTCTACCTAGCGGTGCCCTCCTTTTGTAACCCCGGCTTCCAGGGGTTGGATCGGCTACACGGTCCTGATCGGGTATGTCGCCATTCACGAGCTCAAGCGCTGCCTGAAGCAGGCCAAGTGAAGTGCGTGTGTTCGACCATTGGCTGGCTGGCTGGACCACTCGCTGGCTGGATGGATAGCCGGCCATCTACATCCAGCAGCGCTAGCGACGTCAGATTGAGCTTGGCAGAATCCTCCCGCCAGACCCCCGATTGAGACCTTGTAACTTAATGCTGAGTGTTGCCGATAAGCCGGTGGAAGCCAAGACACTTAGGCAAGCGTCTTGGTGCCTCCTCAACCGCACCACCTGCTCGCTGATTGGAAAGGGCTTTCAGCTACGGCCGCGTCACAGCTACTGGCCAGCAAAAGGCATGCTGGGCGGCTTGCCTTTCGGTTTCGAAATCACATATTGTCTTACGGGAACTGCTGTGCGGATGCATGTTGAATGGTTGCCGTTTTAGGCGACCGTTAAAGGCTTACAGGAACTATGGCGTCTTAAGTTTTATGTATAATAGTTTGGCTATGGCCGACCCATGGGTCATTGGGTCCTGTGCTTATATGCGGCCTTGAAGCTGCGGCTTCCTCTGCGACTTCCAACCCGTGGATAAAGGCGTGAGACCCAAAGTAGTACCCGTTCCTTGCAGCCTCCTCGACTGGTGTATTTGCCTATGAAGGTCGATTTTTATGGATGAATGGACTCGCATGAATTATTTGTGACAAATTCCTAATAAGGGGGGCATATCTTGCATCAGTTGTGGAGAAAGGTACGGTTTAAGAGCTGATCCGGTCGATGTGTTTGAAAGGGCCGCCATGCTTCCTGTGTACGGTTGCCGGGCCCATGGGCTTGATAATGCAGCTGCGTATATTGGCACATATTTGGCGAAGTAAGTCGGCGCACCCGGTGGCAATCCCTCATGCGGTAACGTTGTAAGACGTGAGTCCCACACGAGCCACATGCCAGTCGTTACAGCACATGCGAGCGAGGCGCATTGTCTGGGTGCCACTCCTACAGATGGAGCACAACAATAGCACTACAGAAGGGAGGTGCCATTTATTAAGTACAATCGCAGCAACGACCGACTGACTTCTCAAAGCCTTTGCACTAGGCTAGGTAAAACACCGGTACTGAAGCATATGGATAAATGCCCGACATTCGAAATAAAGTTCCCATATTAGGCAAGTATGCGTCGGGAACCAAATTTCCCGAGGTTAGGCACGCCGCAAAACCTCAGGAGGCCAACGAGCTTAGGAGAGGTGTAAAAACACGCAGTATTGTTTACGTACGCTGCGAGAATTCGAGGAATTCCTCAGCTCCCAAATAGGTTAACCGATTGTTTTGTCCAGCAGCTATATCAAGGACAAGGCAACCACAAGGACCCCACGTGCAATAAAAGCACGAGAACCAAGGGAGACCAACCCCAAGGCCCTACAAAAGCACAGCCCCAAAACGTTACGTTACGAAGGTTAGATGGTACGACGTATGCGTTTGTGCGATACAATCATCCCAAGTACGATCATGCGGCATTACTTTCAAACGCAAACGTCAAACGGCACATCCGCTTACGACGCTCTCGATTGTCAAAGCAACGCGGCAATACTGCTATCGCAGGAACCACCGAGACGCATGCTGGGTATGCGTGTTAACGAATCTAAACAAGTGTTCTTAATAGGAGCATGACCCCGCTCGACACATAGGCCTCCGAGTAGCTGACACAGTGCACGAGAAATTCTACATACCACCAATCCAAGCCACCCAGCCCGACAAAGCCGCCTGGAAGGGCAGTAGTGCACCGATGCACGTTACTTGGGGGGAAACCTTGCCTTCTTCCACCTTCACCCAGCAATATCCTTCGGTCCGGACATACACCCAAGGCTGCTTGGCTAGCCTGCCTAGCCACAGACCCTTCCCCTGACCTCACCCCAACAGCACCGCCACGTCCCCAACCATAATCTCGCCAAGCATTGGTCCCGCACACAGGATTAGTGTTTTATGAAGCGCCACCCCGCACAACACAGCCCACCCCGAAACGCCACCTCCCTTCGCCAAGCACCTATTAAGTTTCTAAGTACATGTCTGTCACAGGTACGGCACTTCAAGCCGAACACATACGGCACTGTCGGCTAGCGCAGCTGAGCATCTCAGACTGCAGATAGATATCAGGCCAGAGACCAACAGATCCACAGTGCCAAGTCCACCAAGAGAATTAGGAGAAATGCACATCATACTGCAAAGCACGAATAAAAATATCCAAGCCTGGAACTGCCCGGCCCACTCCGCATGGCAACCTGTCAACAGCGACACATTCAGCAGCGCAACAATTGCAGCGCAGGAAAGGGCACATCCAACGTCACTTCACGGCTGTTCCCGCTCTACACACTTCAGCTCTACTCCAATATACAGATGAATTGAACCGCACTCACCACCCGCTTAGGCGTACACCAGGAGCACAACTTGTGAAAGCACACACCCGTGGTCCCTTTTAGGGAACCACTGTAACGGTCCCTCAGTGTCACACGCGGGTCATGCACAAGTCTTTCCCCCACGCAAGCAACCTCCCTTACTGCAAGCAGTCACCGCCGAAATGGTGCGCTGGCCGGGCAGAAAGGAAGAGGTCCATCCCAGCTGCAAATTCCTATAGGTCCAACAGTCCCAACAACCCACCAGAGAACAGAAACCGCACGCTTTGAGCACAGTGACAACCATGGCAATCCATTCACCCACCATCCTTTATCCATTCTTCCTTCCAATCACTCATAGCACCGTCGTTAATGCTCCTTACCAACAAACAGCCAGCCAGTCCGTTGCCAGGGGCATTACGAGGAATTTGAATGAACGCGACTGGCGCCCCTACTTCCCCAGCATTTGTCGTCATCAACTTTTGCCAACATGTCAAAAGAAAGAATGAACAGCAACCATAGTCAACTGCACCAGGCACGTCATGCACTAAACATTGTCAACATTCACACAAATCTTCGTGGGACCGAGGCTGCTCCGCCCTCTTGTTTGGAACTCCTTTTACCTCACGCTTGGAACCTTTACTTAAATTCGTTTACTTCCTGCAGCGGCCGAGGCGCGCACGCTCACCCTGCTTAGCTGCTCGGCTGCTTGCGTTAAGCCACCGAGCCTCTTTAAACCTCCATCGGCGGGACGGCGAGGTTTGGCAAACTGGTAGTGCTGCTGCTGGGGCTCATGGTTCCGTTGGTTATCATTGCCAGCGCGCCCTTGCAGTGCGCGGCGGTATTCGGACTGAAGGGCGGCGGCAGCCGTCTAGGCGCCGGGAGCAGCGGCAGGGGCGCCACGACGCCGATGGAGGTGGTGGGGTTGTGCGATGGTGGAGTCCCCGGGATGCCCTTTATGCCGACCCTGTTGGCGAATGCAATCGGGGGAAGACGGTCGTCGTACCGCGCTGCCAGAGGGCATTCGTACGGCGAAACGCTCTCGACACGAAGTTTCTGGAGATCCAGTACGGCATGGGGCCGTACCCGGCGCATAAGGCCCTTTTCGACGGAGGAACGGGCCAGCGATGTCTTGTTGAGCACGCTGCTGCTGTCGCTGATGTTGCTGCTGCCGCTGTCGATGGCGGGTAAGGGGATGGTAGGGCGGGGGCGGGAGGAGAAGAGCGAGGAATAGTCAGTGAGTGAGCGAGGAAGAGCCTTAGGCCGATACCTAGCCGTACGGTATATCCATTCACTCATCCCCTTGGCTCCCAGCGCCTCCTGACAGTCATCCATAGACCGCCGGTTACCTGCTGAACCCCCACAAACTTCGCACACCCATCCAACCAGCTACCTCCTTAAACACAGTCCTGGTTACCCAGATCCCAAAACCCCTGCCACCCACCCTGACCCAGCAACGTACTTCCTCTCTTCCCCTCCGCTCCCACCAACACACCCACCTGCGCATAAGCGCCCGGAACTCATTGTAATCGATGCGACCGTCCCCGTTGCGGTCAGCCTGCTGCAGCAGCTCCTCAATCTCGGGGTCGTACGGCGACTTGTGCAGCACAGCCGCCAGCCGCTCACGCGTGATGTAGCCCACGTCATCTGGAGGGATGAAGGAGGTGCAGGGAAGGGATGGGATGCGGAGATGTTTGTTAAGAGGGAAGGGAATGGCGGTGAGCATTATTAGCAGCTGGCTTGCCATTGCGTCGTATCCCTAGATAGAAACATAACCCTTGGTACCTGCATAGAAACCCCGCGACCCCTTTCCGTTCGTTCAGGAAGGCCCGATTTCGGGCTGTGCAACCTGCATCTTCCCCCATCTCTGTCCGCAGGGACAGCTCAGGCTCAGACTTACGTTTGTCGAAGAAGCGGAAGGCCATGTAGAGATGCTCATCGTGTTCCAGCTTGGAGAGGTTCATGGTGGCAGCCAAGAATTCCTGTTCAAACCCAACAGCAGGGGCACGGGGAGAGATGCAAAAAGTGTTGCCGGCGAAAATTCTTGCTCCACTGATCGGCGTCTGCCATTTTATGATCCTTTTATAGAAGTACGCCCGCTTACATCATTTCAAACACTCGCCTCCGTAAGTAGAGAGCCCCAAGACGTTGAAAATGTAATTCTTGGATCCCCTCCCGGCCCCCTCACCTCATAATCCAGAGTGCCATCTCGCTTAAAGTCCGCCTGAGCCATGATGCAACGGAGCTCATCGGGGGATACGCGCGTGCCCTTCTTGCGCAGAGCCTGGGGTTTAGATTGTACGAGCAAGTACCGGGGGCATGGTTAGGACATGGTCGACGGGGAGGCGTAGTGAGCTGAGTCTCTGTCGTACAAGGCAGCACTAATTTCCCGTACGAAACCCAAGAGACCCGTACAAAACCCCAAGTCGCACCTCCCGCAGCTCGTCCACCGTGATGCAGCCAGATCCCGCCGCGTTGATCTCCATGAACAATGCCTTGAGGCCGGAGATCTCGTTCTCCGGCAGGTGCGTCGCGATTACCTGTGATCCACAAACCACAACCCCCATACCCATGTTTGTGTCTGACGCAAGTACCGATATCACTATGTCACTGGGAAGGCTTCCCACTCGCACTTCCGCAGGAATCCCTCCCTCAAGCCCCCAACACCCGCTCCTCACTCTCACCTTAATCGCTTCCTGCTGCAGCTTATTGAGCGCAGCAAAGTTGCGCAGCTGCGGCAGCACGTCGTGACTCAGCGGCTCGGCGGCCGCCGTACCGTCCTCTCGCACCCACTCGTGCGACAGTACCTCAGCAGCGGTGGCTCGTTTGGCGGGGTCTCTCTCCTGAAGGGAGGGAGGGTGTTGGGGGGAGGGACGGGGGTGATATAAGGATGGAGGTAGTGTAACGACGGTGATTAGGGTAGGGTTATGCAAGGTCAATTAGGTCAAGGCATGCAAGCACTCTTTGGCATGCCCATCCTAGCAGGAATAAACGTATGACTTGAGGTGCAATTGGGAAAGGGAAGGGCTGGCTGGGGATGTAAAACGGATGGATCCCGCCCCCGCATGCGGCTGATCTTACCAGCATGCGGCGAATAACGTCCTTAGCCGCGTGCGAGATGCTTGGCCAGGGCCGGAAGTCGAAGGCCAGCTCAGCGCCCAGAATAGCTTTGAAGGTGTCCTTCTCCTGAAGGAGAGGAGAAGGTAGAGGCGGATGGGCTGTTTAGCATCCTTTGCACGGTCATTGCATGGCCGGTTGTAGCATGGGCGGGCTAGAGTGAAGGAGAGGGTTTGACCGCGGAACCAAGGAAACGACCACTTCAGGTAAGAGGGAGACACCGCAACCCCAAGCAATGTAGAGAGCAGGGAAAGGGCGCGATCCCTGCTTGCATCACCCAGCTAGGCCGTAACACGAAACACACCAAAGCAGCAGACAACACCAAGATGCAGGAACAACAGCGACATGACGAACGTCACGTACGGACAGAGCTGCCCCCCGGCGCCCTCACCGTGTCCCCGTAGTACGGCGGCACTCCGCATAGCATGATGTACAGCAGCACACCCAGGCTCCAAATGTCCGCGCGCTTGTCGTAACACCGCCGGAGGACCTCTGCGCAAGGGAGGGGCCCAGGGCGGGGCATGGCCGCAATGTTATTAGCGGCTTCAGCCAATGCTGCAGTGCAGACACCACCGCCACTGCCAACACGTTACTTTGCTGCATTGTTGGGACTATTAGGGCCTAGGATAGGGCTATTTAATGTTGTGCATTTCCCTGCCCCACCCACTCTTACCAGGTGCAACGTAGAAGGGCGACCCGACCACCTCCTTGAACGTCTGGCCCTCCTTGAAGAAGCAGCTCAGTCCGAAATCCTGGAGCCAAGACGGTTGTGACACACGGCAAGGGTGTGCAGCAAGGGCGGCGTATGAGAGAGAGGCTCTGGGCGGGGAGTGTGCGAGTATCCGCTGTGAGGACGACAGTTGCTACGTTATGCTTTGGGTGTGGGGAAATGACGCTGTGTGGGTGCGCCGATGCAGTTTCATGTGTGATGATGCCGTGTTATGGGTTTAGGTCTACTACGCAAAGAAGGATCCGTCCAAAACTAGCCACAAACAGCTGGACCACAGGATTGATCGGTCTCCATGTCATCGTCGTGCGCGTGGTAAGTCACCCGCCGGCGTAACCCTTCCCCAGCGTGTCTGGTGCCCTCACTCCGTTGCTTACCGTGCCCTTAATAGTGGCGTCCTTGTCCCGACTGCTTAGCAAGAAGTTCTCGGGCTGAAAGGGGGGAGGGTCAGACGGACACACAAACACCGGAATGAGGCGGCACCATGGATTGGGCAGCGATGCGGGCACGGAAGCAGAGACCAGAGGAGTACTGCAACGCTGCAGCGAGTACGCCGCCTGTTGCACGCCTGCTCCTACATACAACCCTATATACCACGATCAGAGTCACTATTTCCGGCGGCTCAGTTTATCTAACCCAGCCGTGTACTTTTCTTCAGTTCCTTTCCACTGTCCTGCCGTTGCGCACATCACTTGGCAATGCAGCTCGCCGCATTACCGTACCCACCTTGATGTCCCGGTGCATGACGCCCATGCTGTGGCAATGCGCCACGATGCGGGCGATTGCGCGGAATGCGGTTGCGGCGTGGCGCTCGGAGTAGTGGTGGTGCTGTGTGTATGTGGAAGGAAGTGGGGGGTGAGGGGCAGCAACGGGGTACATGCAGGTAAGCGAGCTTTCGGGAATGCCAGACTCCAAAGTGCCAGGAGATGCGCCTTGTGGTGGTGTACAACGAATCAAGCCCGGGTTGGGAGGGAGTTTAGGTTCCATGTAGCTCAGCTTTCTGCTATGGGTTGCTTGTAGGTGAGCAGACACGGGTTCTAACCCACCTCGAGGATTGAATCGAACAGCTCTCCTCCACTGCACAGCTCCTGCACAATGTGCACGTCCTTGCGGTCCTCAAAGACATCTGTGCAGGGGCAGCAGCAGCATGCGGGTAAAGCAAGAGTAAGTGTTCTGGTATTTTTCAAAACATATACCATAAATCATGGGATTTTGTGGCTTGAAGTAGCGGCTGTAAGCACAGCTCAGGATCATTGTGGCCAAATGAGGCAGGCAAGACACTAAGCAAAAGCTGGGACAGCCAAGCATTGGCACCAAGGCATGAGGGTTTTGATCGGCAGGCGGGTCAGCGTTGGAGAGGAATACCTGAGCTGTGGCGGCTACCACGCTAGCAGTTACACTACGAACCTACTTAAACCGGACCCATTAGCGATAACAACAGTGTATCATCCCATCTGTAAACTTACTCTCAATCGCCACAATGTTTGGATGCCCCTCCAGATGCTCCATAATGGCGACCTCCCGCTTCACTTTTTGGACGTCTTTGGTGGTTGCCAGGCGGCTTTTGGGAATGGATTTGCAGGCGTAACGCCTGCCAGTCAAGCGGTCGGTCACTATACGACATGTTCCGTACGTTCCTTTGCCTGTAAGCATGTACGGCACATGCGAGTTGACCGTTAGGATGAGACGCTAGGAAGATGGAGATAAACCACCCTGAGATGTACTACCATGGATTGTGGTACCAACAAACAAACCGAATTGAAGGCAAGTGCCCAAGGTGGTTGCATGGGGAGGACGGAAGGAGAGGTGGACGGTGAACTGCAAGTCACCACGGTAGTGACAGCAATGCTGTCCGACATGCTTTCAGTTGACGAAACGGGTAAAAGGAATACTTAACTCGCTAAGCGTACCAAACGCGCATGGACCGGGGGCCCGACAAGAACTGTATGCACCCTTTGCCGTTGGCAACGGAGAAAATGTGCACGATCGCACCCATAAGAAAGCTAGCTGCAGGTGCAAGGCGTTTGCAAAGCAATAGCCTGCCCGTCCGACCCTTGGGTACCTACGAACTGTCGTCTCTCTAACGCCACTAGCCTATCATGTACTGTCTATGTTTCTCCAGCAGGTAGGCCCCGTCAGGCCCGTCCAGACAAACTTACCTAGCAATTCGCCAAAGGTATAGTGGTCCTTGACGTTTTGCCTTCGTCCCTTGAAAACCCAGGGCGACTTAACAGGCAAGGGCATATCCTCCTGCGTTTGAAGAGTTTGCTCAGAGTTTGACGTCCTACTAGGGTTTTCGCTGGTTCTAGACCTACCATGTTCATGCTGGGGACTTTGTCCAGCACGGCGCTGAACTCCCGCGCAGGCCCAGCCGCCGGCTGTGAAGCGCCACATCCCATGGCGTTTTACTTGCTCTCAATGAGGTATTACAGCGCCGCTCAGGTACATCAGGGTCTGTCGAAGGACCCGTCAGAAAGGCCAAAGTAAAGCCATGTAGCAGAATATGTATTCCCTAATCATGCATTAAGAATGCGACAGGCTTTGTCCCCTATGCCAGAGCGACTGCGGCGTCGGACAGACAGGCTAAGCTGAAAGTAAGTGGTTACGGCAAGCTTAGCAACTCTTGGTTGTTTGTCAACATATAGTTTTGTGTTATTTAGATAGATAGCAAGAGCCTTGTAGACCAAGTCAAAAGTCTCTAGTGATGTCGTACCTGCCCGTTCGCCACTTTACCCTAACGGGCATGTTTCCATGTAAATGAGAATATTCGTGAAACGGAATGTCGTTTGGCTTCAGTTAAATTGAAAAGTGTACTATTCCATCAACATGAATGGTTGTACCGGCTTGCGGCTTGCAATGAAAGTGTATCACTTGCTAACAGAAAGTGCTTGATTCCATTTCATAACAGGTGGGACAATTAATGTTGTTTCGTGCCCAGTCATAAGCTTAGAGCACGGCGATTCGATGTCCGTCCAGTGACATCCACGAAACCGATAATCGCTGATGTAACCATAATCGATGTAATGCACGTTGGGACAAACGCGTTTTATCTAGCTAGCCGTTGGCAAGATAGCACGTCATCAGGAAGGTCAGGAATGGCATCGTTAAACGGTACCGACCGGTCGGCCCTGGTCTGTCCCGCTGGATGCAAAGCCACAATGAATAATATATACGGAATACTAAGAACATTATTTTGTTACGTTTCTCTTACTCTTTGCCGTTGCGCTGTGGCCAGTAGGCGGTTTAGGGTTATAACCAATAGCAGAATTACGAATCACGAGGACCGCCTCGACTAGCCTTTTCTCACAAAACTGCGCGCTCCCTGAGCCGCCCTACTCGTTTGAAAAGGAACTCTGCAGAAGGTGTTTAATTTGGCTGCGAATGCATCTTATGGCGTGTGGGGGAAGGTTTCCCTTCCCCCCTCTGTGCATGCGTACAATGTGTACTTGCGTCATCACCCCCAAACAGCGTTCTAGACACGCATGCACATGTCCCTTCTTCGAGCCTTGTCTCTGAGCTTGCAAGGGTCCACGACTGCAGGGGCGGGGCCGCGTGATCGTATTCTTCAGCTGCTTTCATTCCTACGGGTGCAGCGCTGACAGCTCCATTCCGGGTGCGCAGCTCGCAACACCATCCATGCCGGAACAGCTCCGTGTTCTTTTGCCGTTCAAATAAGCTCTTTTGCGTTGCTGATATCTTCTTGCATTACATACCGTTTTTGTTTCTACTGAGGGTCCTTAATTTCTATTGTGAGTCGACGACAGGTTCACAATGCTGAAGTCTTAAATACTTTTCTGTCAACTTGTAACTTACTTTATGTCTTCTTGAGTAATTAGAAGTCTTTGAGTATGGTCGGCCCAAACACGCAATTACAGCATGCAAAAGTATTTGCGTCGCCGTACACGGCCTTCGAATGTGTGATGGACCAGCAGGCATGTAATTTAACTTAACCTTCATCTGCACCGCTACAAGTCATTCTTAAGGTTTCCTAAGCCAACGCAGCATATCAGCTTCCGCAGGCATCGTGAGCAAAAGGTGAAATTCCTAATTTGGGCACAACGCAAACCTTATTTACATTGTTTTGCATAGTCAAAAAATATTGAAATTTACGAATTGGTCATCCTTCTGCATCCTCTCTGTGCTTTCAGAGTGTACCGTTGGCGCTATCGGTTGCCTCGGTTGTCGGGTAATCTCCTGGGAGACTGTTCAACGTAGCGGCTTAACCATATTGTCAGTCTGCTTTGGCTGGCTAGTCATAAGTAGTAGTCATGGGGCTAGGGCACCCAAACCTCAAACCCTCAAATCCAAATCCAAGCCAGACAGCCGCAACCGCCAACATTGCCTCATAACAGGCGGCCTAGGCCACACGCTGCGGCGCCTTGAAACCATAATGGCCTGCTGTGCCCTATCGCGTGAGGTGGAGTCATGCCTCAGTCCAGATCAAAGGGCCAGAAGCCAGATCCAGGCAGGCTCAAGGCAGGCGCTTAAACTTAGCAAAGTCTGGGGCGCGCTTCTCCACATAGGCTTGGCGACCCTGGCAGGGCAGGACGGTGAGTGAAGTCGATTAGTGGTTCAGGCAACGCAGGGGAGGGCTGAATGAGGGGACGTGGGAATAAGGATGGGAGGATGACGACAGGGTAGCTTGAAGGCGCGACAGCAGGGAGGGAATTGGCATTGCAAAAGGGGGCCAAATACCGTACAGGAATTGGCAACACGACATGCCCCCTCCTCTCCCTTGCCTTTCCCGTCGCTTACACGCATGGATGTTTGGCAAGTTTCCTCCTCCTCCTAGACTATACCTCGTGCTCCCAGCGCGCTCCATTCCTAATTCCACCACCTCCCCTCCCCACACACACCACCGGCTATTCAGTTGGTGGCTGGTGTGGATTGTTCGTTGTCTTTGACAGCTAGTGCTGCAACCCTAACCCGATTGCCATTCTCCACTACTTCCCTTGCTGCTGCAAGGACCCCACCAGCCCCCCACCACCCCGGGCCCACCTCGTTGCCTTCCTCGCTCATGTAGAACAGCAGCGTGGCGTTGCCCCCCAGCTCCTGCAAACCCGCCTGCCCGTCCTCGGCCGCGTTGAGGGCCGCCTTGAGCACGCGCAGCGCAGTGGGGCTGTTGCGCAGCATCTCACGGCACCTGGGGGAAAAGAAGAATATTATCCAATGTGTGGGGAGGGAGAAGGAGGGAGATACACGGATAAGACCAAGGATGAGACCAAGTTGTGAACGTTAATGTCAGTTCTCATGGTGAAAGCCCTGGACTGGGGAAGTGAGATGGGGCGATGACGTGTGAAGGAGGAGGCCTCAACTCTCGAGAAGGCCGGGGCTGTGTGGGAGAGTGGGAGGACGGCATCGTCCCGTCTCTTTGTTCCTCTCAAACACCCTTACTTGTCGCTCCCCACAGCACCCGGCCCCTCAACCCTAGCTCCTCACCAGACCAGCGTCTCCTCTTCCAGCTTGTCCAGTGGAACCACCTGCAGCCAGGATAGGAGTGGGGGGAGGAAGTGAGGGCTTTGTTCAATTGTAGTTTATGTTGATGAGGCACAGTATGCTGCTTGCAGGACCGGTGACCGTGCCCCTGGCAGGGCAGTCGTAGCCCTCACACGTACAGCTCCTTCCCTCCTCCTGTCCCTCCTCAACCCCGCCCCTTCGCCCGATCCCATGTCCCAGCCCCGGTTGCATGCGCCCCCACACTCCCTCCTTCCCTGCACCTCCACTTCTACCCCCCCCCCCCGCCCCCTTATCCTTCCTCGCCCACCTACCCCCTACGGTCAGGGTCAGTGTTTCCGCGGCTCCGTTTTTCTTTACCCCTCCCTCCCTGCTTTGCCCAACTTGCAGTTTCGTTTTGTTTTTGGTTTTTATGTCTTACGTCTCTCTGACCCGCCCTCCCTTACCGTGTTGACCAGCCCCATGCGCAGTGCCTCCTGTGCGTCGTACAGCCGCGCCAGGAACCACATCTCCCGCGCCTTTTTTTGCCCCACCAGCCGGGCCATGTGCGTGGAGCCGTAGCCCGCATCGAAGGAGCCCACCTTGGGGCCCGTCTGGCCAAACACCGCATTGTCAGCCGCAATCTGGGTAACGGGAAAAGAAGAGGAAGCAGGGAGGGGAATAAAGGAGAATCAGAGATATCAGGAAAAGGGAGGGGAGGAGAGGGGTGTGGCTGGGGTTGAGGGGATGGATTGGAGGAGTCTGTTAGAGCACTGCAGAGGAGGTGTTGGGGCGTCGAGCACAGGAGGGTAGGAGGGCTGGCCTCTGGCTCCACTTTCCCGTGCTACCTTCCCTACCCTGCCGGCCGGCCTTCCTCCTCTCCTATCTTTCGCTACAATCTTCTTCCCCAGCGCTCCCATCTCCCTCCACATGTTTCCTACTCCTCTCCCCCTTGTCCCTCCCTAACCACCTCCCACATACGTTCTCTCTCTTTGGGGTTCTCCATCTCTTCTACTTTAATCGTCCCACCCCTCACCGTATCACGGTTCAGCTCATCTGCGGCAGCCCCCCTCACCGTGAGGTCGCAAATCATGTGCAGGATGTGCCCACCGCCCACCGCGTAGCCAGCCACACTGGCCACAACGGGCTTAGGCAGCCGCCGGATCTGGATCTGGAAGGGGTTTAAAAAAGGCCAAACCATAGGGAAAATCACGAGTTAGGGCGCAGGATAACATAATGGGGGGGACTACTATAATGGAACACTGGAATCCCAATTCCATGTGTCCCGACTCGTGCGTCGCTACATTTACAGCCACTCAAGGAAAGCGCAACCCAGAAACCTCCCAATTTCGTGCGGGGGAGGGGTAAAGCGGAAACAACTAACTGACTGAGGGATAAGGCGTCGACATGGGTTGCAACATGTGAGCCAACCCGGAGAGGAGGCGCGGAGAGGAGGGTGGCGAACTGGCGATGTGGTGTAGGCGATGACGCTCTGGTATGGCGCATTCTGTATGTGGGCCAAAGTGAATCCCCCACCTGCAGGTCCAAACCCCCCTTTCCCCTGCCTCCTTGTGGCCCCTCCCTCTGTGGCCTGTGCCTGTACCTGCAGGTCTAGCACGTTGAGTCGCGGCACTCCATCCTCGCCCACGTAGCCCCCCTTGCCGCGAACAGCCTGGTCGCCCCCGCTGCAAAAGGCTAGGTCGCCCGCGCCTAGAGGGGTGAGCGAGGAGGAGGATGAGGGACCAGCAATGGTGTTGCGGAGGGAGGCAAGGAAGGTAGGGTGGGGAAGGATCTAGGAAGCCGGGTAGGCCTCGCGAGGGAACGACTTCGGGTAGGAAGGAGGAGAAGCAACAGGTGCAAGGGGATCCTGTTTGGGCAACAACGGGTTTTGATCCCGTGGAGCCACTCAGACGTCCAGAGCCGTCGAACCCGGAGCCGCACCTGTGAGGATGATGACGCCCACATCGGGGTCATCCCGCGCGTCGCTGAAGCACCAGGACAGCTCCTGAACTGCATGTACGGCAGCAACAAAGGAACAGCAGCGGCAGCAGTACGGGAGGAGCGCAGAGGTGAAGCGTGGTGAGAGGTACAGTAAGCATGCGGGCGTCAAATGTTAAAGGTCATTGCGGAAGATGGGTGTGCGGATGGCCCTTGTCAGGCGGCTGCGGTGTAAGAGCGCTGCGACCCCAAGTGGGGTTCTTCGTGGTGCTATGCATCAGCAGCGTCATTACCTGTACGAGGACGGAAGGCATTCCGCCGTTCTGGACGATTGATCGTTATCTGTACATTTAAGCTTGAATTAATGAAGTCTATGGCCAACCTGGCGCAGCAAGCAAATGTAAGTGCGGCAAGCATACCAGGTTTGCTACGCCGCTTACCTTGGCTATGCCCTCTCCGACTGCCTTTTCATAAATTACGTCTGTGAGTTCCTCGCGCGAGACGACGGGGATTCGGCGCCACTTTGCTGGCTCACGGCTCACGCTTCCATGCACGCGACCATAGGAATTGGGTCTACCATCTACCGAGGCATATGAAGTATTAGTGTTTGAGGTTTCTGCACCAGCAGTATTTTGCCTAGTGACCAGGGATTCCGGCGATGGCTGAGGGGCCTCTTGTGCAAGAAAATGGTTGCCAATAACTTGCAGCCTACGTTGGGCTGACATTCTGTGCCAATGTGTGGGCCCTAACTCAATGTAGGCTTATGAAACCCAATAGCCAGTTATACAGAATTGGTGGATTCGAGCAATTGCCCGTAAACAAACTCTTCAGGTCCTAAGCTCTAAGTGGCTTGGCAGGAAATAGGCTCAAACTGTTTGCAAGCTCAACACCTAGGATGCAGCTTGCTGGATCCAGGAGATATCCGTACCATCATGACTAACAGGTACTGCTTGTCTTTCCAGGCCAATTGGAGCGCAACCACTGACAGACAAAAATTAGCTTTGTAGCAGCATTAGAGTTTAGCAGCTTTGATGCGTCTTCTGCAGACAAGCTGTGCGAGCAAATTTGCCGTCTGTTCGTATGCCTAAGGAGCGACCGGCTGAGGAATGCGCCACTGGATTACAAGACAACAGCTACAATGTTGCAAAGTTTATTTCTGTATTGGGTCCTTGCGTTAAGTTCAGTCGTCTCCGTCGCAATAGGAGGGCCAGACGGGAGCCCTTTATCTTTCTGCGATAGCACCTTCGGCAAGTTGACCCCAGGAAACAAGCGATATATTTGGAAGTTGTTGAAAGCTCGGCACGCGACTGAGTCCAACCTTGGCCATGTACGGCTATACAGACCAATCCTAGCATCCTCTGCGCAAACAGCAGTTCCTGACGCCGCCGCGCTTGAGGCATGGAAGGCGGCAAACATCTCTGAACTTCAGCAGCTCCTAAAGGGAACGGAAGTGACGCAACGACTTGAGACCAGGTATGGACGGCCATTCCAGCTGTTCATCTTCCCTGCATGGGGACTCCGCACTATGGCCCATGACGGCATACACACCTTCGCCTCCTGACCCATGCTGGCACTTCGGGGAGGCTTATTATAGGCGTCGCCGACGGTGGAGGTTGATGACTGCACCTTGGCACCCAATACCACGGCCCAACTCTGCTGCCCCCCTTCTCCACTGCCTCTCTCCCCGCAGCCCCTCTGCCGCTGTGTCCCTGGCCGCCGCCTGCTTCTCCAACCGGCTGCACCCGGAAGCCTTCGCGGGCCGGCCGCTGGTGTCCGTCCTGCTGAACTACTTCAAGCGACCGCACATTATCAGCCGCATCGCATCCGGGCTACGCAGCGCATGCAGTGCAGCGGGCATACCCTGCGAGCTGGTTGTCAATGTGGACAACCCGCACGAGGCTGACGCCTGGGCGGCGGAGGTGCAGAGCGGGCTGGTAGTGCCGGTGTTCTCAGCCAACCTGCATGAGGCACGCGGCTACAACCGGGCAGCGCGGGCGGCTCGGGGCAGCTACCTGGTCATCTGGCAGGTGTGGGTGCATGGGGCGGGTTGGGGATGCACAGAACATGGGCGGGGCCGCGGTTGTGAAGTCGGCCAGTGCCATCGTAGCAACATACAAACAGAAGGTGGAGGCGTCTCAGTACCATATACCGGTACAGATATAAGAAGCTGTGACGTCCTGCTTCGAGGTGGTGGGATCTTCTCTCTTGCAGATACTTCCTGAATACCTCTTCCAGAAATATCATAACCCGTCCCACTCCACGCACTGTCTTTGGAGGCCCCTTTCCAATCTGCCAAGTAGGCTTGCACATTCTCCACGAGTGCCAGTTGGCTCACACGGTTCTACCCGGTATCTTCTGCTGCCCCTCGCTGCCCCTCTGCCCCTCCCGCCAGGACGACCAAGTCGCCCCCGCTGACGGCCCCTGGCTGCAGCACATGATCCAGCTGTTCCAGACCTTCCCGCAGCTGGGCATTCTTGGCATGAACAAGTACCGCTTATGCCGTACCAAAGCGGCTGTCAACCTGGGTCCGGGGCCCACCCCCTGGCTCCCTGACCCACGGGTCGCTGTCAACCCTGCCAACGCCAGCCAAGGGCCAGCCGGGCAGCAGCAGCCGCAGGGTGTCTCATGGACTTATGCGCACTTGGTGGATTTCGCGCCCATGGCTGTCCGCGCATCCACCTACCATGCCCTGGGCGGCTTAGAGGAGGGCTGGTCTCGACCCGGCGATTGCGGTATCTACTCCGATTGGGAGTTCTGCTACCGCGCATGGGTCTCCGGGTGGCAGGTGGGCCAATAAGACAATAAGTCATGCTAGCTCTACTCCAGGATATATTGCCCACGCACGTGCACAGTCCATGCTGTTCCATGTTATTCCTTGCCCTTGGTCTAAGGTGTGATGGGGCCACTGCTGACTCCCTGTGGTCCGCCTTCACGGGACACACGCAAAAAACAGAGTAGAGCGCCCAGCAGCGGGCGGTACAGCGATGTCAATGTTCTCAGCAGGGTAACCGCCTACGGTAAACCGTTAACCAGTAACCTGGCGTAACGCGTACCTTTACGACAACGGGGTGTGTCAGTGGCGCGGTGATGTCCGTCTTGCGTGCCGGGCTATGGCTGGGATGTTCCAATGGTTAGTGTATTACAGCAACCCAGCACACACGGTCAGTCAGCACTGAAGCACCTCGTCCTTCATCCGCCACTTCGCTGGGCTCAAGCAACGCCCAGTCCACCCTTCCCTGCAGGTGGGTTACATGTTCATGGCTGGCCGCCAGGAAGACCGCAGCATCCCCAGCGGCACGCACAAGCCCAACACGGCGGAGGCTTGCTGGGGGCGGCAGGCGCTAGTCGGGGGAAACACGCTACGCAGCAGGCAGGTGTTTTGGGGCGTGACGAGTTGCCAAGGGCGGCATGGGCCAGTGAGTCGCAAGGTGTTGAGTCTGCGCAAGACGCATGAGTTGGTTGATGCGTTAACACATGTTGCGAACTGTTCATGGCTAAAATCCTAAGCTTTCATGTGGGAGGATGCCCTCACGAAGCGAGCGTCCAACATTCGTACATAAAGTGTTGTACGGAAACCACCATGCAGGGCTTTCACGCAGTTAAGCATGTCTGGCACCAGCCATACGATAAAGACGATGGGAATGGTGTTTTACGAGATGGGCGTTGCTACAATATTAGCGAAACGTTTCAGACATTGTCGTTCATAACAACGCCCAAGCGCAGCGGACAAGCATCTCAACACGCGATAGGGGTGTCAGCAACGATGCATGTAAGCTGCTACACGCGCTTACAAAGGGCAACTGTCCCTGCTGCTAACGGTGCCCTGCTGCTGCCCGCGCAGGTTCATGGTTCCGGAGCTCTCCGAGCAGATGTGCGAGCACGTGTGGAGGCTCAACATGGCGCATTTCTCCCTGGCTAAGCCAGAGGACTGCCCGTACGGCATAGGAAGGTCGCGCTGGGCCAACTGCACTGCGCCTGCTGTATAGTAACGATGGGTTAGCTAACCGTAGTGGCCGGGCATAGGATGCTGGAGAGAAGTGTTGTTGGCAGAGGAGGGAGCCGGGTTGGAGGAGTGGGCTGCGTCCTGTGGCCACTGGCCAGCGGTGTCTTTCCTATTTGACAGTGATAACGAAGCGTTTCTCTTCAAGATACGTCGTTCATGGCCTTTCTGAGGGAATCAATTACCTACGATCGGCTTCATTATGCAAGATAAAGTTGAACCCACCGACTCTTACGTAAGACAGTATGGAACTAAGACTCTAAGAGCTTTGCACAACCTTGCCAAACACATTTGCCTGCTATATTTCATGGTTACGAACACTAAAGGTTAGTTTGCTTTGCAGGAAGATGTGCTTTTCTTCAGGCCTGAAAGCCCTGAAGAGCGCAGCTCGATGATAGGATTACATGCATTATGGTGCAGAAGTTTTTATGCGGGCTTCTTGTATTGCTATCAATAGTATCAGTCGTCCTTGGAGGGCCAGACGGACAGCTGTTGACCTATTGTGGCGACCTCTTCAACGCCTTGCCTCCGGAAGATAGGCATGCTTGTCGAAAGACTTACCAATCACTGCAAGCAGTGGAGTCTCATCTTGGGCTGATAAGGTTAAATCGGCCACTTCAGGACTCGAATGTTACAGCGACAGTAAGTAATGCTACGGCGCTTGAGATTTGGAAGGCCGATAATGCCATAAAAACACAACAGCTCTTAGATGGTGCTGGAGTGGCGCAGCGGCTTGGGATCAGGTACGGAAGGGTACATCACTGACGACCTGCCTTTCTTAGCCCGTGACTGTCACTGCATAGCCTGCGCCAAATACACGGTAGCAATTCTGCGACGAGCTATGTCGCATGTGTTTCTTGGGCCAGCCTGCAAGTGAGTCGCTTACGTAAAAGACAGCCAGAGTGTGTCCACTTCTCAACCACCTCCCCCCCCCCAGCCCCTCTGCCGCCGTGTCCCTGGCCGCCGCCTGCTTCTCCAATCGGCTGCACCCGGACGCCTTCGCGGGCCGGCCGCTGGTGTCTGTCCTGCTGAACTACTTCAAGCGGGCGCACATTATCAGCCGCATCGCATCCGGGCTACGCAGCGCATGCAGTGCAGCGGGCATACCCTGCGAGCTGGTTGTCAATGTGGACAACCCGCACGAGGCTGACGCCTGGGCGGCGGAGGTACAGAGCGGGCTGGTAGTGCCGGTGTTCTCAGCCAACCTGCATGAGGCACGCGGCTACAACCGGGCAGCGCGGGCGGCGAGGGGCAGCTACCTGGTCATCTGGCAGGTGTGGGTGCATGGGGCGGGTTGGGGAGCTTGGACCACCCGGGGGTGAAGCAGGGTGTGACAAGGATACAGCATTCTACCGCCCGTTACTGCGCCTTTCCCCGTTCCTTGGCGCAAGCTCCCCAGTGCCGCCCTCTCCTCGCTGCCCCTCTGCCCCTCCCGCCAGGACGACCAAGTCCCCCCCGCTGACGGCCCCTGGCTGCAGCACATGATCCAGCTGTTCCAGACCTTCCCGCAGCTGGGTATTCTTGGCATGAACAAGTACCGCTTATGCCGTACCAAGGAGTTCAACAACCTGGGTCCGGGGCCCACCCCCTGGCTTCCTGACCCACGGGTCGCTGTCAACCCTGCCAATGCCAGCCTAGGGCCAGCCGGGCAGCAGCAGCTGCTGCAGGGTGTCTCGTGGACGTACGCACACTTGGTTGATTTCGCGCCCATGGCCGTCCGCGCGTCCACCTACCATGCTCTGGGCGGCTTAGAGGAGGGCTGGACTCGACCCGGCGACTGTGGCATATCCGGGGACTGGGAGCTCTGCTACCGCGCATGGGTCGCCGGGTGGCAGGTGGGGTGGGTCGGAGAGCTGGTGGTGGCGGGAAGGGCTTTATGGGCTGAGGCGCGCAAGCGCACCAGCCCGGGGTCAACTGCAAGCATCAGCTGGGGTTGGGGCAGCACACGGGACCACCACCTTTCCACAGCTCCACTCCCTTGTACAAGCGCTTGTACGGCAGTGCCAGATTCGTATGCCCCGTTACATCATGGTAGCATGTTTGCGCCCCAGCGGGTGCTCACAGGAGAACAGGCCGTGTTGCCGCTGCCGGGGCCTCTTCCCCTGCCCCGGACCTGGGACCTCAAACAGCCCGGCTGAACCCCCTGTTTAACCCCTTCCCTGCAGGTCGGTTACATGTTCATGGCTGGGCTCCAAGGTGACCGCAGCACCCCCAGTGGCACGCACAAGCCCAACACGGCGGAGGCCTGCTGGGGGCGGCAGGGGCACGTGGGGCGGCATGCGCTGCAGCAAAGGCGAGTGCTGGGGCTGAGAGGGCCGGTCTGGTCTGTGGGGCTCGAGAGGCAGCCGGGAAGGGGACAATTGTGGGGCGGAGTGAGGAGAGCCGTGGGCAGGGTTATCCGATACAGTGCCATCCACTGTTATGGCATCGTAAGGTAGCTAGTACACACCTGCCAAGCTGCAAATTGGAGCTCACCTGGGACCTGGTGTGCCTGGTACTGGCGACATGCTGAAAGGGGTGGAGGGATGGGAGTGACCTCCATGGGGCGAGACCAGCGGTGCGGTGCGTGTCGAGGTGCCCAGTTTTGGGAATTGCGGTTAAACCGCTCAGCTGCTCCCGTCCGTACTCGCGGCCAGTTTTCTTAACACACCAATACCGCCGAAACTCACCCCCTACCCCTATCGCTGCTGCCACGCTGCCCTGCTGCTGCCCGCGCAGGTTCATGGTTCCGGAGCTCTCCGAGCAGATGTGCGAGCACGTGTGGAGGCTCAACATGGCGCATTTCTCCCTGGCTAAGCCAGAGGACTGCCCGTACGGCAATCAGAATACGCGCTGGGCCAATTGCACTTCGCCTGCTGTGCAGCATCAACCGGGGACTAGCTAGTTAGCTAGCTAGCAACGGACTGGTGGGGCTTTGGGAAGGTTGGTTTCGTAGCGTAGGATGGTAGGCTTCTACCGATGAGGCTAGCTGGGGCTCGTCCGGAAGGCTTTCGTGGACTGGGCAGTTGGGCAATGATGCGGAGGGATAGGGAGCGGCGACCCATGGGTCATGACGTGATACTCAAAAAGATTTCAATTCTTCAGTGATTGGATGCAGCAAGGGTACTGAGGGAAGGTATGTTAGCGGTACTGGCGGTACCTCCGTTGATTGGGGGAGCGTGTGTTTTGTTAAAACCCTTTTAGGTTAAAACCCTAAACCCAGGTGTTTACATCACTGCTTGGCCTATACCGGTCCATACGAAGATACGATGCAAGCGGCATTCAGGTCGTCCTGCTTTAGCGCCGAAGTTATACCGGGGCCATACCGGTATGGAGCAAGGGACGCAAAGACACTTGTGATTAAGTCCGAGTTAGCTGCATCCTCGCAGAACGCATGCTATGATCCCATAAGCCGGGCCACCCATGCCCGCCGCCGCAAAACTTAGCAGCCAGGACGAAGCGCGGCCCGAGCCACCGAGGACTCGATGGCTCGGGCCAATCGCCGTGATTACAGCACAGCCGCCCACCTGCCGAGGGCAGTACACCGCTCATTCGCACCTCCCTACCTGGACGGCTACACAGCCGCGCATCCAGCCCCCAATCCCCCTCGCCTACACGCATACCATGCGTACCGCACTTGCTGCACTCCCACCCTCCAAGCGCCCCCACAGCCCCTATCAGCACGCATGGAGCCGCCGCGCATCGCCTCCTCACCCTATCCCTCCTCAACTACACACACACACACCCTACTCGCGGCCAGTTTTCTTAACACACCCTAAAGCTGACATAAACGCCCCCAGTAGCCACCGCAGCCGCAGCCTAAGAGCCCCCACTCACGGGCCCAAGTCAAACCGTTGGCCCCCCGCCGCCTCTCTGCCCTACCGTCTTCTGCTGCAGTTGCTGCAGTTGGTGCGGCGGTTGCTGCGGGAGGGGTGGCGAGAGCAGGTGCGGCTGGTGCTGGGCCGCTAGAGCCCGACAGTACCTGGGCATGAGGAGAGGGTCAAGGAAGTTGGGTGCGGAGTCGGTGAGGAGGACACAGGTTTGAACACGGCAAATTTACGACGACGAATATGGCAAGGTGCGTACGGCAGCGTTTACGGCATCTCTCGCAACACGCCGGTCGCCTGGCGCCACCCGTCGCACACTAAACCAGTCATAGTGCAGCTCCCTGCCTGGCCAACACCTACAAAAACACCCAAACCCTTGTCGCCCTCCTTTCATCCTTCCTCCCTCCCCCTCACTTTGCCATGGCGCGTCGGGCCCCGTCCCGCGCATATGCGCCCAGCGCCGACAACGCCACCGCTGCCGTGTTGGCCGTGGCGGGCGCCGTGTTGGTGGCGAGGGCGTCCAGCACGTAGCTGATGGTCGCCAGCGCCTCCACCGGCTCCAGAGCCATGAGCCGACTGGCCACCTCGTGAGCCTCGTCGGACACGTGACCCTTGGGTCGGTCGGTCGATCGGGAGGATGGGGAAGGAGGAGAAAAAACAGAAGAGGGTCGGAAGTCGGAAGGGTAAGGAAGGGTGCATGAAAAGCGGTGCAGGGGTGGCGGATAGGGATTGTTTGACACAAAACCAGCCTTCCCAGCCTTTCCCTCACACAGGCACCCCAGCTGCGCATTCCCACACAACCAACGAAGATCCCCCTAATGACTCCCAGCATCCCCAGCCTCTTCTCATCGCTCCCACCTGCTTCACCAGCTCCACATACTCGGCAACCTCCGCCACCTGCGCAGCATCCCGCTCCCTCTCCCGACCCGCAACCCCCCCTCCCCCTCCCGACGCTCCGAAACCACCCTCCCCGCCCACCCCCGCCCCCAGCACCCCCGCCGCCCGCTCCGCAAGCGCCTCCGCCAGCAGCGCCTCCACCACCTCAGGTGCCACGTCAGCAAGCGGCGGCGGTGCGGGAGGGGCGGGAGGAGCAGGCGCGCCGCCCATGCCACCGGCTAGCGGCGGCGGCGGCGCGCAGCCCGGAGGCAACGGCGGCTGATGCTGTTGGTCGTGCATGGGGCCGCCGCCGCCACCACCGCTACCACCGTACTGGGGCGAGGGTGACGCCGGGCTGTCGCCTGGTTGTTGCTGCTGTTGTTGTTGCGGTGGTTGATGCTGGAAGTGTAGCGGGGAACGGCCAGGATCCGGGGGCGGCGGCGGCCCGCCGGGATGGTGACCCATGGGTCCGCCGCCTGTACCACTAGGGTATCGGTGCTGCTGTTGTTGTTGTTGTTGTTGCTGCTGCTGCTGGTGTTGCTGCTGCAGTGAATGCTGTTGTTGGTGCTGCTGCTGCTGGTGAGGGTGCGAATGTTGCTGTTGTTGGTGCTGCTGTTGCTGCTGCTGTTGGAGGGCAAACATGGCTCCAGGGTCGCCCCAGGAGGGGCCGGCAGCGCCGCCGGCAGTGCCAGGGCGCGGCCAGTAGCCGCCCGTTGCTGCCGCCATGTCCGCAGCAGGGTGGGGCAAGGGCAGCTGCAGGGGGTGCTGCTGGGGGTGCCCGAAGAACTGCAGGGACGGGTAGGAAAGCGGAAGGGAAGGGAGAAACGGGAGACGGTTAACGTCTACGTTCTGGGCGTGCCCATACTGCTTCAAGGATGGCGGCCCCTCCTCCTCCCCCTCCTTACACACATGTAAACAGCATGTCGCCCCCATTTGCCTGCAATCCTCGTGTCCCCAAACCCCCACACCAACACACACCCCGCGCCCCGTTCACACCTGCTGGTGGTACATCATCTGAGCTGCTGCCGCCGCCGCCGCCGCTGCAGCGGCCGCCTGGCCGTACGGCGCCTCACCCGCCGCCGGGCCGCCCGCCGCCGCCGCCCCTGGACCCCACATGCCAGGCATGCCCCCGGGCGCCCCGGGCTGCATCCCAGGTGCTCCTCCCGGCAGCATAAGCCCCGGCAGATCGTCCGGCAGTTGCTGCAGGCAGTTGTACATGAGCGCATAGTCGGGCGCGTCGGCGAATCCCAGCGAGGCAATGTAGTTGGAGAGCTGCTGTACGGGACCCAGCAGCAGGGGCTGTAGCATTGCATGGTACTGCTGCTGCTGCTGTTGTTGTTGCTGCTGCTGCTGAGGGCCGCCTCCGCCTGCAGGACCTCCGCCGATGGAACCGGGGGGTCGGAGGTACCTGAGCAGTGCAGGGGAGGGGGGCGGGGAGGGTCAATCAAACGAGAGGTTATCACACAGGAAACAGGAAGTGTTGCCAAGATCATGGGAAACACCGTTGGACACCCAGATTGCTGCAAACCATGGGGCCCCATGGCGTGGAGGTGCCGTACCGTAGCAGCGCAATGGTCGCCGCCTCACTAAAGCGCGCATAAGCCAGCGCAGCCCACAGGTGCGGTGCACACCCCTACGTGCAATCGCACCAGCTCGCACACCACACCCCCTCCCCTACTCCCAACCCACCACACATGCGTGCGTCTCCCCTGCCTTCTCCCCCGTCCCTCCTGCCTTCTCCCCCGTCCCTCCTGCCTTTCCCCCCGTCCCTCCTGCCTTCTCCCCCGTCCCCCCTGCCTTCTCCCCCGTCCCTCCTGCCTTCTCCCCCGTCCCTCCTGCCTTTCCCCCCGTCCCCCCTGCCTTCTCCCCCGTCCCTCCTGCCTTTCCCCCCGTCCCTCCTGCCTTTCCCCCCGTCCCCCCTGCCTTCTCCCCCGTCCCTCCTGCCTTCTCCCCCGTCCCTCCTGCCTTTCCCCCCGTCCCCCCTGCCTTCTCCCCCGTCCCTCCTGCCTTCCCCCCCGTCCCTCCTGCCTTTCCCCCCGTCCCCCCTGCCTTCTCCCCCGTCCCTCCTGCCTTTCCCCCCGTCCCTCCTGCCTTTCCCCCCCGTCCCTCCTGCCTTTCCCCCCCGTCCCTCCTGCCTTCCCCCCCGTCCCTCCTGCCTTCTCCCCCGTCCCTCCTGCCTTCCCCCCCCGTCCCTCCTGCCTTTCCCCCCCCGTCCCTCCTGCCTTTCCCCCCCGTCCCTCCTGCCCCTCACCTACCTGGGCGGGTCGGCGATGCACGCCTGCTTCAGCCGCAGCACCGCCTCCCGGCTGTCGGGGTCCTTGTTCTGGTCAGTGCGCCAGGGAAGGGTGCCTGCAGGGCGGGGTTGGGTGGACTGAGCCGCGAGGAATGTTGCTGACGATGGCCCCCTCCCCGCCTTGGTGGCGTGGAGGGACGGGACAAGTATCAGGAGGACAAGCAGGAGGGGGGCAGCGGGGGTAGATCCCCATGAGGGGGATCAAGGACGAGGCAAAAGACTGCCGCCACCATACCCCACAACCCTTCCCACCAACGTGCAGCCTTGTCAAGTGCGGTTAGTCAGTTCTGGTTCATCAGTTAATTTTCATCCACTTTCCCCCAGGCCGTCCTCGCCTGTCGACTTCCCTCAATCCGCATTGCTTTGCCCTAACCAGTGGTTTGAGTATATCTCTGCCCCCTGCCCTCTCACCCTCCAGCAGCTCAATGGTGCAGTACAGCCAGGACCACAGGTCGTCCCGGCGGCCCAGGTCCTGCTCCGCGTGCGCATGCACCGAGGCGTACGTCGTGGAACCCCTGGGGGCAGCAGCAGCAGCAGCAGCAGAGGCGGAGGCGGGGGGGGGGGTTGCGGGTAGGCGGAGAAAGGTGTGGGTACCGGTGGGCAGGTAGCACGAGCTCCCCTCCTGCACACCCTCGCTCCCCATGCAAGGCGGCTCCGTACCCTTCCACTGGTCCTGCAACCTCCCCTCTACCCGGGCTCATGCCCGACTACCCAGCTCCGACTCCCACCGTGCCCCTTGCATCGCAGCCCATCCTCCCCATCCACCCATCCCCACTGCCTCGCGCCCAACTTGCGCGGTTTACATCTGGTCTGGGCGCCCCCCTGTTGCGCCCCCCTCTGCGCCCCACCTGAAGGAGGTGTCTGTCCGCTCCGGCAGCACCTCCCCCGCATCGTCCAGATAGCGCCGAGCCAAACCAAAGTCAATCACCTTCCAGTTGCCTAGAGGGTGGGAGGGAGGGAGAGGGCGGGAAGGGTTGGGGTGGGTGGGGCGGCAGAGGAAAGGAGCAGAATAAGGGGGAGCAGCGTTGGTGCCGTGTCCTTTTCCCCGACAGCAGCCCGCTGTCACTGCTACCCTACCTCCCTCCCGCACCTGCCCTACCCACCGGAGAAACCTCGAAACCGGCCCGCTCCCGTCCACCCCACCCAGCCCGCCCGCACCCGCTCCCTACCTGTGAGCGGATCCGCAAAGGCGGGTCCCACAGCGAAGTTGGCTGGCTTCACGTCGCGGTGCACGAACCCCGCCGCATGCACCTCCTCCAGCCCCCGCAGCATGCTGGCAGCCAGGCGCCGTACGGTGCCCAGGTCGAAGCGGCCGCCCGCCGCCTTGCGCGCCTCAGCCACGTTGTTGCCCAGGAGCTGGAGATGGCCACACGAGGTAGGCGGGAGGGAGGGAGATGGCAGACGGGAGGGGACCAGGAGTGTGTATGACAACCGCTATTAATGGGGGATGGGGGTAGGTTTAGGCGTACGAAAGGATCCTCGGATTCTTACCTCCATGATCATGAAGAAGCGGTCGTCGAACGTCCCGCAGGCATGCACAGTGCATACCATGCTGGGCGACCGCTCTTGTATCTTTTTAAGCACCTACGCATACATGATTGTGCTCTTATAAGCTTGCTGTCCATGACTTTTCCCTGCGCCAGCGAACGTAGGCATACCTTAAACTCTTGCTTGACGCTGCGCACATCTCGCCGGCGCTCAATCTTGAGAGCATACTGCAAGTAAAGATCCATTGCAAACTCCTGTAAAGCTCCTGACGACGTACCACCTGCTGCTTGCTGAGCTGCTCCAAGCAACGCACCCGCTTTTCAGCATCCAATGTGTCTTTGACCTCGTACACCTCCGCGAACTGGCCTTCCCCTAATTTTTTCACTATCAGCCATCGTTCCTGGTCAGGCCCTGAACCTACACGAAAGCCCTTTGCAAAAAGTGGCATGGCTTACAAAGCCCTTAACATGGCTACCTACGGTAGAGCTATAAAGCCATGGTTTACACTATGTATAATAGGCAAACCAAGTTATTGTTTCCGGAGATGTGTAGCGCGCAGGCAGGTGTCGTGCACGTCGGTCGTGCATGGCGCTTCGGCGATGGCACCAAGTCTTTCAGAACAGGTAACTCGAAAGCTTCACGACTGCATACACTGTCCAACATCCTTACAAGCCCCAAGGGCAACAACGTGCATGTCGACGCGTATGTTGGGGCGGGAAACCCTGGAAACTCGACGTGCTCTTTGTCGTACATCAACCGATTGCTCCCCTCAAGGATAACTGACTAATACCGATATGCATAACCCTTTCCCGCCTTCCTCCCGTTAAGTTTCATATCGCCATGCTAATGAAGCTTGAGGCCCAAGGAGACAGGCCCTCCGCTCCTAACACGCAACAAGGATTGATGTATGGTGTTGCATGTCCGGCCGCAGCATATGCATCCACGACTCCTCGTCTGTTCGCGCTCACTACACGCCCCTCGCTGTTACTCGAGCCCCTAATGCACAACCCCACTCGACGCCCCTTTCCTCTCACCACTCAAGTCTCGACTTGCACGCACGTCAACCCTACAGTGCTCGCTCGATCTCTTTCTCGCAACACCCCCCAAACAAACCCGACCACATCTTCTCATAGCATGTCACAGCACGACACAACACCCTCACACCTTCGTACCTAACACCCAGCCTAACCAAACCTTCCCACTCCCACTCCCACTCCCGTCTCCCACACCCTTCACAGCACCCCCCTCTCCATCCCATTCCCCTCTCACGGACACCCAAGCCCTGCCACCCCCTCACACCACCCAGCGCTCATCCACTCCCGTGGGCCCCGTGCTGAGCTCGAAGGCGGGGCTGCGGCCGCTTGCACGCAGCAGCGCGTCCAGGGCCATCACATCGTAGGCGTTGAGGACCGCGGAACGGCGGTGGTTAAGCGAGGTGAGGCCTGCAGGGGGAGGTAGGGAGCAGAGCAAAGCAGGGGTAAGGAGCAAAGCAGACGTGGGGAGCAGAGCAGAGGCAGGGAGCAGAGCAGAGGCAGGGAGCAGAGCAGAGGCAGGGAGCAGAGCAGAGGCAGGGAGCAGAGCAGAGGCAGGGAGCAGAGCAGAGGCAGGGAGCAGAGCAGAGGCAGGGAGCAGAGCAGAGGCAGGGAGCAGAGCAGAGGCAGGGAGCAGAGCAGAGGCAGGGAGCAGAGCAGAGGCAGGGAGCAGAGCAGAGGCAGGGAGCAGAGGAGAGGCAGGGAGCAGAGCAGAGGCAGGGAGCAGAGCAGAGGCAGGGAGCAGAGCAGAGGCAGGGAGCAGAGGAGAGGCAGGGAGCAAAGCAGACAAGCTTGCGTGCAGTCCCCTGATGACAGTCCCAGTCTCAGTCGGGAACCGTGTGACAATCAACAACCGGTCGCATGACACAAGGAGCTGGCTGAGGGGGGAGTGCTAGCACCCACCCCAGAGGTTGGCGGGTCCGGTCATCTTGACTCGGAAGGAGTGCTCGTCCTCGTTGACATCGTACACTTGGGCCTGTGTAGCGGGAAGTTGGGGGTAGCGAGCATGGAGTGGTTGGAACGCCCCGTACTCAAATTACACCGTAGCTTGGAACTTTGAAACGGTTTAGAGCATGTCCTGGAGGTCCCCCCCCTGCTGTAGTCACGAAACACATCCATAAGCCATCTTAGGAAGCTCTTGAAGCCCGCCTCGCTCTTCCTCTTGCACCTTAACAGTCACCCGACCCGCTCACCCCCGTAGCCTGCTCTACCTTGAGCGCGTATCCGTTATCCGCCATGATGTCTAGCAGCTGCTGCGCCGCCGCCGCTAGGGACTCCAAGGAGGCTCCCGGGAGCAGGGGTGCGGGCGCGCCGAATTGCGTCCCCTGCGTGACGTGCAGGCATGTGCGCACGCGTGGGTAGGTATGCACGCCATACGCGACCGTTGTGCATGGACAAGCCTTGGCAAGGTCATGTCTCATGTGAAGCCTACAACCCGCATCCCTGGTATCCAGTGGTTTTTTTCTCCGCTGGGTTTTTTGGTGGTCTTCCTCTCCTTCCTCTGTAACAGTCCACATCGGAAAAAAAACACCACCCCACGGTGGCAAGGATGGATCTTCGCCACCACGGAGTGGCAAAAATCCATCCCCTTTCTACCCGCACCCCACGGGCAGTTAGTTTCTTCCACTTGCTTCTGCCCCACCCTGAATCCATCCTTGAGGTAGCTGTAAATACGGTCGCCTGTGCGTGTGAAGAACACCGCCGGCAGCTGCGAGTTGTCCTGCAGCGCCGCATCTCGTCGTACGACACGGGTCAGGTCGGGGCAATCCTCGCAGTACTCCTGGCAGGGGCAGGATGGGTCAGAGGAAAGGAGAGTTCTTGCTTGACAGGCGCAGCGGACAGACGAGCACATCAGGATGACATATCATCATCAAGGGGCAGGGCTACAATTAATGTAACGTGGGTGGCATGTGGTGGGCAGTTAGGGCGGGTGATTAGACAGGCCTAAGCAGCGTGGGACATGATAGCAGCATGCATGTTACTATGATACTACCATCATCAGCACGTGTTATCAACCTTATCATGTCAGCATGGCGATAAGACAGCATGACAACCACCAGGGTCAGCCTGTGGGGCTGCAGCCAGATAGGCCCCCCTGCATGACTACCCACTTTGAACACCTGCTGCCCCTTCGGCATCTCACGCAGGATGGTGGAGAACTGGCTGCAGCAGGGCCGGGGGGTAGTAGTATTGGAGGATGCAAGGAAGGTGCATGTTGCCGGCTATGCGAGTCAGTGGAAGGGCCATGCATGTCGAACACTGCAAGACCCCACCCGCCTGCACAACTCGCACAAGTTCCCTGCCCACAGATATCACCCCCCCCCCTCTCCCAAGCAACTTCACTTCTTGTTCCTTTCCCCCAAAGCAACTTCGGTGTCTCCTTCTTTATCCCCCAAGCTTATCTCGCTCAAAGACCTTCTTACGAGTAGGAGATGAAGTCAAAGTAGAGCGGGTCGGTGATGTCACCCTGCCAGCCATGGCGGAGGATAACGGGTGATGGCGGATGTTAATGGCCAAAGGTGCGTGGTGAAGGACCCAAGCAAAGGACGACAGCATGCGGCCCAGGAAGCGTTGGGGGCAAATGTTAACCAAGCCTCTGCTTCCCCTGCACAGGAGCACAACACCCTGGTCCCATGTACGACAGCACGCTATAGCAGCCGTATTTGTATGTACGGAAACTCACCACACGCGGCTTCAAGGGGGAATACTGCAGGTTGTAGGCTTCCTGCTCACTGGCGCGGAGTTTCCAAAAGTCCTTTTGGAATTCATTCTGCGCCACATGGTTACCGTACCATGTAGGGTTAGCAGGGTTGATTCTAACTCAGAATATGGTTCCGTACGACGACATGCCTGGGTCCCTGTTCACCTCCCCGTACGGCCCCCCTCCCTACACGGTCAGTTAGTTTCCTCTTTACCCCTCCCTATCGTAACGCTTCCCTCCGGAGTTGCATCAGCTTTCAGCATGGACCGCCCTATAGCTTACCGTAGTCGTCATTAACACTAACAGAGCAGGTGCATAAGCCCCGGGCACTCGTACATGCATCCTACCTACCATGGGAATGAAGTCCAGCTCATCCACCGTCTCGTACCCTGAGCGCATCAGCAACACCGCGAACGGTTGGTTCAGACTCTTCCTGCAAGGGATTGCAACAAGCGCTAATGTTATTGGCTCTTCGACAAATAAAGCATGACAGAGATATACTGAAGCAACCCCTTCCAGCGCGCCTTGGGAACGTAACCGGCTCGGGGGCGGATGGGAAGACTCGAGAAATGTAGTCTTGAATTTCGGCAGCCTCAGCTTTTAAAGAAGCACCGAAAGGGATTCCGATTAGCATCGCGCCCAAAAGGGCGCGCCTGCTAGAGGCTGAAGGCGAGCCGGGCGATAGCGCTTGCGTCGCGACTCGGCGACTTGGCGGGGCTGGCGCAGGAGCTACTTGACGATTTAGGTTTCTGCTAATAGTCGCCTGCATGTTACAGTGCTGGTGCGAGCGTCAGGGCGCAGATAAGGCGTGCAAGCTGCCTGAGCGCGTTAGTTGTTTCTGTGGTCAGGTGCGGTAACTGTATCGCTTAACAGCTGCATAAACAACTGGGTGCTAATAAAGCATACAAAGGTCTGAAAGCTCTTACCAAAGGAGCGTCTATTGAGTTGATATGTTGTAGCACATAGCTAAGGCTATCGTAATCGAGCTAATCTGCCTACGCAACTAATTCCAAAATGCTAAGTACCTACGCGAGCAAGAGCTTCATCCGATGCTTGCGCGCAAGGCCCCTGTTCAAATGTTATGGAAACTTGCCAGGGCCCATGGGTCACCCCCGGCTCAAGCGCCCAGCCATGGGAAAATTATAAATAAGTGCAACAACACAATCCCAATCCCGAATCCCGACTCATGCAGTGAGCGCATTCGGAGACACTAATCTAGAAACACGCATCTCAGAGACTTACCAATTGCTTACCAGAAACCGAGATGACTTTGGGAAGAAGCCGCCTTGCATATGAACACTCGTAAGGCATGTGCCGCGCCGCCGGCCACTAATTCAAAGGCAACAAGGCTATTGGGCATACAAGCAGATACGTCAGCGAGACGCGTTACGGGAAACTTACCTGGAGAGAGGACCCGAAGGAACATGGCCACGGGTACAAGGAGTGTAGTCGCAGGCCAGCATGCATGGGAAGGCGAACGAAGAGGATGCGAGCGAGTGAACAGGCCACCACTGACCACAGCATCAGCCGCGCATGCCCTGCAATGCTCTGTCGAATGCAGGAAACAGGTAATACTCCTAACTGTTTCCCATGGCACGCTGCTGGTATGGGCCCACGTTAAGACCATTGTAGTGGTGGAAGGAGGAATGGGAGGAGAGGGGCATTAAGGGGAAGCGGGGTAGTGCCGGGGGAGGTAGCGGACTATTTATGAAGCCAAGCGAGGCATGCGTAGACGGGATGATAAGTGCGGGTTAGGGGCGGGGCGGGGGCCCGGGGGAGAGTCATCGCTTGCTCGGGTGCATAGCCCTGGCAAGAGCGGCCTGGCAGCCGAACGATAGCGGTGGGGCCACCAACGATTCACCTGGAGGCCTGGAGCGTGCAGGAGTTATCAGCGAGGTTTGTGTGGTGCCTGACGTCCTTACCCCTTACCGTTTGTGTACCCAACGGTACACGTACACGGTACGGTGTTAACGGTGCAACTTCAAGGGAATGTGCACGCCTTCAGGATGTATCATGAGGGTAGTACAGTGTAGGGTTGGGTTCATCATCTGTTTTACCTTGTGGGGGCACCATTGTGACAATTACTCATGAATGATTGCAGTGCTGCCCAGACCGGGGAGTGCAGCTGCGTACGGAGAGATCCCGTGATCTTAAGGGATTGCATGCATGCGCACATTGCATTCGTTTATAACGTCTGTGGAGCGCCTTTGCCGGTGTCCTTTCACACAAAACAACTGCCAGGCGCCACAAACGGCATCATAGTGTTCTTGACGGAAAGAAGCCACACTGCACTGTTTTGAAAAACACGTCGACAAAAGCGAGGACACCACAGGTACCAAGACGTCTTGTCAACATACCCGCCATCGCCATTACACCACCGCAACAACTACACCACCACAGCAGATACACAAATGCCTTAGGAAGGCGCGTTTCGGCTCTCTCACCTGCTGCGACCTGGCAAGGCTGGAACCTGTCCAAACCAACTTCCATGGGAGGCGTCCTGCCCTGCGCCCCATCGGCGCAACCGCTCCTTTATTGACAGTTGTCCGTCAATGAAAGGCGTGACGGAACACGTACAAAACGTAGTAGTAGACATCCCTTGCGGGAATGCATCGTCCTCTCTAGATACTGACGCAAAACGCAATACAGTGAGAGTCGCCGGCCAACTAAAGCCCCAAACACTTCGTCCGGTATTCTGCAATCGAAAGTCGGTGCAACACCGGCGGCCCCACTTCGGCAACCCTCCTTATTAACGTTGCGGCGCTGCCAACAAACCCCCGCAATACTCGGGGTGTTTCTCCATCACCCCTAAAGGAACCTATGTGTCGCCCCTTTAGGCAATACCACTTCTGCGCCCCCCTGGGGGCACTTTACAGCCAACCATCCGTTATGCCGGTAGCTGTGGGGCGCATCAGGCATCACGAGAAGCGTTCCTGCTCTCGCGTAAAGAGGATTCACAGCCGTGGCACCTTTCCCTTTCATGTACGGAAACCAAAACGTCCCAGTCCACAAAATGGGCCCTTAAGGCCCCGAGCACCACCTGCGGGTGCCCGCGATTGCAGCAACCCCCATTTTCATTGTACAGCAGACACACACATACACACACTGTAGCATTAAATGATACGGTAAGACACACCCAGACTACTGATGCTGACCGTAGCACTGCCTGACACATACAGGAACACATGCATCTCGGCAAGTCCTTAGGAAGTGTCACACTGGCATTCGTGTGTGGGACGCGGATCACAGCAGGCGGGTTGAAGGTCCTCTGCTCGTGTGTGTACGCACCACTCGTGCGAATGCTGACGCCTGCTACAAGTTCTTGCTTTCATCCCGCCATACCACGGTTTCTTAAGCTGCTCCCTGCCACCCACCCCACCATTACCTCTTAAACAACTCCTACCTCTTAAAGCCTTTTAACATCATCCAACACGCATACGACACATGATACGACAACAAAAGCAGACCGGCCACCAACCAAATTACTTGACTGCAATCGACACAACCCGCCGTCAGCCAAGCCGCCCCTTTGCCACCTTTGGTATGTAACCATCGATGCTAAGACGATACCCAACACGCACGGCGCTTCCATATACAATCCTTCCACCACAGCCAGACATCATCCGGCCATGTCTTGTGTACCGCATGCTCCCAACCGTTTGTTTATTACGGCCAAGATGGTTTACATACCGAGACCACCGCTTGCGCCGCGGTGTGCCGCCAACGCGTTCCAAAACTCCAGAAAAGAACAACAATCAAGTACAGTCCCCGAAGGACACCTTGTGACCCTTGAAAGGGCAACTCCCATGCACAGGGCTGTCCGGACGCGACGTTAGAAGCTGTAAGCCACTAAACGTTGACCTGACCTTGCCGCGAGGCACACGCGCCGTGGCCCCCTGGCAACCTGTACGTAATACTGTCGCGGGGCTTTTCAGCAGCACACCGCCGCAGGCATCAATCGCCGCCAGACTCAGCGGCCACGCCTGCAAACGTCAACGCCCCCACATGTGGCGGCATCGCACCGCACAACACAGGGGCAGACGGACAGGACATAGATAGTAAGGGACCATGGCGAAGGGCTCAGCGGGATTTAACAGCTCAAGGAGAAAGGAGTTTCAGAGGGGATTCAGAGCTCAGAGCTCATTATCATGGTCATAATCATGAGAGGTTGTAGAAGCATCGTTGTTGTGGTTCTTGATCTTCTTGTTGCGCTGCAACTGTCAGATGTGCAGGGGATGCACGGCCTGCATGACTATGTCGCCAGAGGGGCGGTCCGAGTCGGTCTTGGCGAGGGCCTGCGCCTTGGCCACCTGGGGGGTGCAAGGGGGGTAGGCATGGGGCCGGGGCGGGGGCACGGGGATGAGGAGCAGAGGGATCAGAGAGAAACCAAGCCATGTGGAACCATGCGTTCGGGCAAAACAATGGGGAAGGGGGGCAAAGGGAGTGAGGGATGGGGCAGTAGGTCAACGCGGGTTAGGAGGATGCTAAGGACCGGGTATGAAGCGCTTCGGGAAAGGGAAGGGAGCAGGTGAGTGGTGGTGGGAACCCCAGAGACAGCTAGCATGCAGATAACCGGTGCATTGAATCGGTTGATAACAGGAGGAGCGAGAGAGGAGGAGCGGTCTTTCAACGCCTCGTCCACCAGTGCACGACCATATGGTACATATCACAAAAGGAAGAGGACCAATGCTTAGGTGGTGGCACAGGTTACGAGTGCAGGGAGAGCTTTACGACGCTTAACCAGCATGATTCAGGTGGGTAGCAAAGCAACCTTGTTAAGGCTGAGAAGCTATGCACGTGCGCCCGAGCGACCCCATACTACCCTGGGTGAAGCAAACTTGGCATGTGTGCCACGAACGCTCCCATCACCAAGGCGCCACCACGCGAGCCGCAGCATGCAACGGCAATACCGCACGCATCACCCAGGCACGCCAGCGACCCACGGGTCACCCACCTGCAGCCTGAGAATCATCTGCTCAATCTGCGCGGGCGTCATCTCGCTCATGTCCGTATCCATGGGCACCACACCCTCCACGCCCTCGTAATCCGCCTCCTGCGCAGCTGCTCCGTAGCCGCCCCCGCCTTCTTGCGGCGGCACGGCCATCGGGATGTGAGAGAGCGAGCTGGGGTTGTACACGACGCTGCTGCGCCGCCGGGGCATGGCGTTGATGCGCATGGAGGTTCGGCGCTGGAGGGAGGGAAGGAGCAAGGAGGGAGTTAGAAAGCACGCGGATTTGTTTTCCATGCCGTCCAAGGGAAAACGTTTCACCAGATGCAGGTGGGGTGCTTATCCTGGCCGTAACAACCGGTGCCGGTACCCTTACTACCGGTACCCAAAGGCAGGTACCCAGACTAGGGGCTGGTGCGCTGCTACCGTGTGGCTGGCTGGCTGCCGCTGCCGCTCACCTGGAAGGTCCGCACCCAGGGGTGGTGCAGCAGCTCCATGACGGTGGGCCGGTCCCCCGGGTGCTTGCGCAGGCACTGGCAGATGAAGTCCTTGGCGAACTCGGAGATCTTGGCGGGGAACTCGGGGACCGAGTGCATGATGCGGTCCACACTGTCCAACTGGGTTTCGCCTGGGGGGAGGGGGGATTAAAAGGGGGGAAATGAACGAGCTGTATGTAACGAGGCGTCACCGTGGGCTTCTAATTGAACCCGGCCCGTCCCATCCCACCAGGGGAATAGAATAGGTAAATTGGGTCTTGGATGAAGGTAGGGACGGTGCTGTCAGAGGGGGTGGCGGTTTGGGGTTGGGTTTTTGTGATCGCACTTGCAAGCTGGGACCCCTTTTTTGGCCCTCTGCGACCCCCTTTGGCAAGTCAGGTGGCCCGAAGGCGTCTTCCAGGCCATATCCGCTACCCACTCCGCTCGAGGCGTAGCCACTTCCTCGCCGCTGCACCTCCTAGCCCTGTCCCCAGCCCTCCTCCTCCCCTCACCCGCAAACGGCGGAAAGCCGACGATAAGCTCGTACGCAAACACGCCCACCGCCCATGCGTCCACCGAGTTGTTGTAATGCAGGTAGGGGTTGTTCTTGTTCTCCTGCGGCAGGTTCTTGGGCGGGCAGCGCAGCACCTCCGGGGCCATGTAGTCCAGGGTGCCTGGGGGCGCAGGAGCACGCAGGCAGGCAGGCAAGGGGCCACGCGACCAAAGTTAAGAAATTAAAAAGTAAGATTAGGTAAGATTGGGAGTCCATGTAAATGTTAAACTTCGGATTAAGGTTAGGGACTTGAGTCAAAGATTGCGGGTTTGGGAACTTGAGAAAGGTTAGGGAGTTAGTGACGGCTGAGTGGACCGCGCCTCCTTCACCTGCACGTGTCACCGCGCGCTCCTCATTCAGGTCGATCGCCAGCCCAAAGTCCGCCAGCTTGAGCACTCGGTGCTCCGTGAACAACACGTTCTCAGGCTTGATGTCCCTGAGGGAGGCAATGGGGGGGGGGTGTACGGCAGGGGTGCACGGGATCCAGGTTATACATACACATACACGGTCAAGATACGACACGGCGACGACACGGCAATGAGGCCAGTTAATCACCCACCACACGCTGCCATGAACATCGGGCTTTTCACCCCTTCCTTCCTTACCTCCCACACGCCCCGCCCGCATTTATGCATCACGCCGCACCTGTACATGCAGTGCCCCCTCACGCCTCACGTCATCCCACCCCCTCCGCCCAATGCCGTTAACGCCCCCCACCGCCCGCACCCGCACCTGTGCATGATGCCCCTCGTGTGCAGGTAGTGCAGCGCCAGCAGGAAGGGGTGCAGCACCATCTCCACCGCCTGCCGCTCCGACAGCCGCCCGCCGTTCTTGTGCAGCAGCCGGTACAGGTCGCCGCCCTCAGCGTATTCCTGCACCAACACAACGTCCGTGCCCTCCTGCGTGCGCACACGCATGCAGGCAGGCCGTTGCTTTGCTTTAACAACATAAAGCTGTGCGGAGGCAGACTCCGTGACGCAGTACATGCGAGTAAAGGACGGTAGCAAGCATGTGCCATTATGCGGCAGCAACACTAAATTCCGTGATGGCAAAGCTACTTGCATAACGGCCAGCCGTGGGGCTGCACAGCCGGCTTGCAATGCAACTTGGCCGCTGGCAGGCCTTTCCTGGCGCCCAGGAACTCTTCCTGGCTTTTACCTGGAAGGCGGCAAAGAGGTGGATGATGTTCTGGTGCTGCAGGCTGCTGTGCACCCGGATCTCCCGGAACACCTGGTAGTGGTTCAGCTCGCACAGGTTCTGCATGTGGTACACCTTGAGCGCAACCATCTCCAGCGATTTCTTGCACATGGCCTGTGCGGGAGAGGGCGGAAATGTATTGGATAAGACTGGCAAACAAGCCGAGAGGGGGAGAGGGGGCAGGAGGAGGAAGCAGGGTATGGCGGGGTGGGGCAGGAGGAGGGGGGTGAGGTGAGTGGCCAGCACCCCGTGCAACACAGGGGGTAATTGGCAAGGCAGCAACCCAAAGGATTTGCCGTAACGATGTCCGGCATTCGCCAAGAGCTCACCCACTGGCGGTATCCCGTGTGCAGTCAATTCGAGCCACCATGCGCTATGCATGCCTTGTACTGCACCGCCCATGTCCACCGGCGTATGTAGGCATGCACCCCAGATCAAGGTCCCCACCCCACCCCATCAGGCGCTCGCAGCAAACCAAACAGCATCAAGACATGATACGCACCCACCCACCTGATACACCGTGGATGCGTAGCCGGTGTACATTTTGCGGATGATGTTGTAGTCCGCGAGCGACCAGTACTTGCGCTGCATGGCCGCGGGGAGCTGCGGCGAGAGGGACACCAGCCGGCTGGGGGCCTTGCCGGCAGCCTCCTCCGCCGCGCTGGGCTGCTGCTGCTGTTGTTGTTGCTGCTGTTGTTGTTGCTGCTGCTGTTGCTGCTGCTGCTGCTGTTGCTGTTGCTGTTGCTGCTGCTGTTGCTGCTGCTGGGACGGTCGCGACGGAAGCAGGGATGTCGAAGCAGCACCCAGCGGGGAGGGCTGATGCTGGTGCTGCTGCGGCGACTGGGGCAGTGGCTGTGACTGGGCCAGCACCGGCGATATGGGTCGTGGCAGTGACTTCTGAGGAGAAATGGGCCTTATAATGGGCTGCGACTGCGCCAGGTGCTGCTGTGGCTGCTGCTGCTGGGGCTGCTGAGACTGCGACGGCACCAACGACAGTGACGGCCGGCGCTGGAGCAGCGGTGAAGGCAGTACATGCTGCTGCTGGTGCTGCTGTTGCGGCGGGAACGGCGGTGGCTGTGGCTGATAGTGTTGCTGCTGCTGTTGCTGCGGTTGCTGTTGCTGCACTTGCAGCTGATGCTGGGAGCGCCTTGGCGAGGAGAATGACTGGGACATCCGTCCTTGCAGGGTTTGCGACAGCTTGTGAACGCCGCCCCCCGTGAAGGACAGCTGCTGCAGGGAGCTGGGGCTGTCAGCCGGGTGCTTCCTGGTGCTGCTGGGGGCGGCGCGCTGGGGCACCATGTCGTCCATGGCAACATCCTCGAGCACCGTTGCCATCGGAATGTCCTGGCTGGAGTGCATCTGCAGGGATGGTAGCGTGGAGGGCGGCTTGTGTGCTGGTATGGTCATGCTTGGGGGCTGCCCAGGCGGCGGACGCGGCGCTAGAGGAGTGGTGGCTGTGCCCAAGGCCTTGGCGGCTCGCTGCTTTTCGGCTGCTGCCACGGCGGCTGCTTGGTCGCGGGCTGCTGCACTTGTGCCGGCAAAATAGTTACCGAATACGAGCTTGTTTTGGCCAGGCTGCAGCAGCTGCTCCACGGCTACCTTGCCTTCTGCACTCCGCAGGACCATGTCGAGGGCCGCGGGCGTTGACTTGCGTCTGCCAGAGGTGGCACTGAGCATGGATGCCAAATTTGGCGTCGGCGGGGCCTTGGAGGTGAAGCTGCTTTCGGCGCAATTGATTTGCACCGGTGGCAACACTGTTCCGCCAGAGGGCGATGAGCTGTGGTCGCTTAGCATAGGAGATTCCCTCAGCGCGAGCATTGCGGGCCCGTGACCTATGGACATGTTACTCCGCGAAGCGCTGGTCGCCAGCACCTCGGGCGGCCCGCGTTCAGCATGGCTGTTGTTCTTGCTTCGTACAGAAGAAAACTTGCGAGAGGATGGAGTCCCACCAAAGTGACTCCCAGGAGACTCAGGGACTTCACTGTAGTCTGCCTCTGAGGAACTCTCCTCTGTAACGCACACAAAGGATTACATCAGGATGTCAGTGATGACGACATATACTATATTATTCCAACAGAAAACGCTATGGCACACAAAATGCGTGCAGTAACCTTCAAGCAGGCCGGTAAGGCAAAACCCGTTCGGGAGTGAAAACAGCTGTTCCCTAGGTAGCGCAAGGCAGCCATGTCACCTTTGCGGCTGGCGCTGAAGATGCGCTCCTTAAATCTGCGCAGAGCAAGGAAGGCGACGACGTGACCCTTTCCTGAGCGGGTCTCGGAATAACAGCTAACAAGGACAATCACGACAGAGTTATAGCCTTACTTTTTCAATCCTTTTGACAACATGACGATTCGCCTCCGGAAAGCCGTAAGGGGACGTCACAGCCGATGGGTTATGCTGAGAACGCCCTATTCCCGGTGCCCTGAAGGTACAAACTAGCGCACAAGAAGGATTGATATGCGACTGAAGTCGTTTAAAATCATCAGAACATGCGACTAAGCTCCGCGATTGTGTTGCGCAGCTGTGTGGAAAGTAACTTGTAGGCGGCAGAAATGTGCAGGTCAGGAACTCCACCTAAATGCTCCATTGATGTGTGCAAGCAATGTGCCGTCCAGAGGCAAATGGCCGGCCAGATGTACCAGTGCCGTACCAAGCACATCGAGTGACAAGACAGAATCTTGAAAAGAGCATACGTGAGCATTTCTATCCCAGTTATAGCGAGTGGAAAGAAGAGAATGCTACGTGGTAGACTCCACCTTTGTGGTGGTCGAGCTCAGCCGTTTGCGGATGCGACACCCTGCAACCGACGCTCAGTCAACAAGCGCCATAGTTGTAGCATTCAGACAAAAGCGGCTGATGTTTCAACGGTGGCTCCCGCAGGGGTGAGAATCGAACGGTTGTGGTGTTTGACGTACGTGCCATGACTGAGTGCCTCCGGGCGCAACTCGTCTGCTGCCTGTAGGCAGCCAATGCCAGAACAATCGTTGGGAAGGTTTCAGATCCCATGGCCCGTAGGGAGAAGGAAATGATTGACACGCAGCCCCCCAGAGGTAAGGAGGAACGGCGTCATTAAGTCAGTGGTACCCTATGCGAACCAGTTTCCCCGTTTAAGGCACGCCCTGTCTTGACCGCATATGCCTTCTTTCCCCCAATCTTATCCCCGTCTTTACCTTCAGCCGCTTATCCTGAGTCCCCGGTCATCCATTCACGCCCGCTCACACTAAAGCACCCCACGTTGCATTAACCTCGGTAACAAGGACAGCCCATTCGTTTCAACCCATACATGCTACCCCTTACCCATAGATGTTACCCCCTAATGCTATCCCTCTCTCCAGGCACTCGCGATTTCTTCCCAGAGGACATGCGATTGCGCAACTGGCTGTTCGGCGAGTTCGCGGCGGTGAGCCGCAGCTTCGGGTTCGAGCAGTACGACACCCCCGTGCTGGAGAGCGAGGATCTGTTCGTACGGAAGGCGGGCGAGGAGATCACGGAGCAGCTGTACAACTTTGAGGTGTGGTGGTGTGTTGATGAGGAGGAGGAGAAGAGGAGGAGGAGGGGTGTGCCGTACATGAGGGGTGTATGACGCGGGAGGGGCGCCCTCCTCCACCTCATACCTGCACCCTAAGACCCTACAAAGCTCACCAGCACGTTTCACTGCCCTTATTACATGTTTAACCTGTTACACTGTAACTCGCGTTTGTTGCCTGTAAGCTGTTGCCTTAACAAAGCGTTTCATCTCCCTCTTTACTCCCTGCCCTCCTCCCTCCCTCCTCCCTGCCCTTCCCCCTCTCCAGGACAAGGGCGGGCGGCGAGTGGCCCTGCGCCCCGAGCTCACCCCCTCGCTGGCCCGGCTGGTGTTGCAGCGCGGCAAGACGCTGCCCCTGCCCGCCAAGTGGTTCGCGGTGGGGCAGTGCTGGAGATACGAGCGCATGACGCGGGGGCGCAGGTGGGTCGCAGCAGTGGCCGCATGCTGGAACGTAGAACGCGTGCGGGTGGGGTGGGAAGGCAGGGTTGGGGAGAGAGGGGAGTCAGAGATATACCGAAGCCGCAGGTTGGGGGTTGGGACCAGGCATGTGGGGTGACGAAGGTGTGTTTCAGGAAAGCATTGCTTGCTTACTTTCCTCGTTACGGACTCCCCCTTGCCCCTGCTGCCCCCCTGCCCCAGGCGCGAGCACTACCAGTGGAACATGGACATCGTGGGGGTGGAGGGTGTGGAGGCGGAGGCGGAGCTGCTGGCGGCGGTGGTGGCGCTGCTGCAGCGGCTGGGGCTGGGCAGCGGGGACGTGGGCATACGGGTCAACAGCAGGAAGGTAGGGCGGGGGAGAGGAGGGGCGGGGGAGAGGAGGGGCGGGGGAGGGGCAGGGGAGAGGTGCCGGGAGGGTAAGTCGACTATGGAGCCGCGAAGAGTACGTATACAGCCAGGGGAAGGGATGGAGGGTTGGTCAGGGGTGTGCCTCCCATAGGAGTTACTAACCCTGGGGAGGTGCTCCCCTAATCGAGGCTGCCTTTTCCCGCACCTCACCTCCTCAATGGAAAACTACCCCCACCGCACCCCATCCCCCCCCCTCCCCCCCAGGTGCTGCAGGGCGTGTTGAGTGCGCACGGGGTGCCCCCCGAGGCCTTTGCGCGCGTGTGCGTCATCGTGGACAAGCTGGACAAGCTGCCGCGGTAGGGGGGCGGGGGGGAGGAGGGGGAGGGAAAAAATAAATAAGTGAAACAACGAGTCCCAATCCCATATCCCGACTCATGCAGTGAGCGCATGGGGAGGGAAGGGAGGGGAAAAGGAAGAGGAAGGAACTAACCGTGTGATACAAAGCCGTGTGAGGTGGGGGAGGTTGGGGGCAAGGGGAGGGCTGCGCGGGGTACCCTAAAGGGCAAAAGCGTGCCGTACACGAGCAAGGGGAGGAACGAAACATAGGAGTCTGAAAAGGTCAAAAGCAAGAAAAGGAGTGAGCGACATCAGGTTGGGAAATTAGCCGGCCTTACCACTAAGTACGTGATGAATAGCCCACTACCTCCCCCTCCCTCTTCCCCCTGGCAGTGACAAGGTGGAGTCCGAGCTGGTATCCGCCGCCGGCCTGCCGCCCGCCTCCGCCTCCTCGCTCCTCTCCGCGCTGGCCTCGCTGGCCTCCCTGCCCGACCTGCGCGCGGCGCTGGGGCCGGACAGCGAGGCGGTCGCAGACCTGGAGCGGCTGTTCGAGCTGGCGGAGGGGTACGGGTACAAGGTGGGTGGGAGGGGGAGGTAAGAAGAGGAAACGGACGAGCTGTATGATGACGCTCCACCATGGATTGCCACTTGAACCAACCAATGGGAGAAAGGGGGAGGAAAGGGGTGCGTGTTAAGAACCACTGGCCGCGAATCGGAGCGTGCTGTGGTCGGCGGAAAAGGACGTCCCAGCCTAATATGGGATTATCATCCCTATTCTTCCCCATGCTTGAGCTATACCACCCCCACCCCCCGCTTCTTCCCCCCTCGCCAGGACTGGTTGGTGTTCGACCCCTCCGTGGTGCGCGGCCTGGCCTACTACACCGGCATCGTGTTCGAGGGATTCGACCGCGCGGGGCAGCTGCGCGCGCTGTGCGGCGGGGGGCGCTACGACCGGCTGCTGGGGTCGCTGGGGGGGCGGGAGGCGGAGGAGGTGCCCATGGCGGGGTTTGGTTTCGGAGACGCGGTGATTGTGGAGCTGCTGAAGGAGCGGGGGCTACTGCCGGAGCTGCCGCACAAGGTGGGGGGGGGAGGGGGGGAGGAGGAGTGGCTGGGCGGAGTGGGGCTGAGAAGGAGGGTCAAAGAGGGACTAGCCAGAAGGGGCGATGGTGGTTGTTACCCAACGTTTTGCCGCTTAAACCCAGACCTATGCGCCTAAGGGGCAGTCCCGTGTAGTGCCCCTTGGTGCACTGCCCTTCGCCTGCCCCACCTCATCACGCCCCTCCCCCTTTTCTTTTTTTTCTCCCCACCTCACCCACCTCCCACCTCCCCCACCTCCTGGGCTGGGCGGGTCGGGCTGGCTCACACGTTGCAAACCATGATGACGCTTTATCACACGGCCAGTTAGTTGTCTCCTCTTTACCTCCCCCTCCTGCCATATGTACCCCTATTGTTCCCCCCCCCTGCCAGGTTGACGACGTGGTGGTGCCGCTGGACACGCACCTGCGCCCCGCCGCCGCGGGCCTGGCCAGCCGGCTGCGGCGGGCTGGGCGCAGCGTGGACCTGGTGCTGGAGGCTAAGAAGATGAAGTGGGCGTTCAAGGTGGGGGGTAGCTGCGTGCAGAGGCAGGAAGAAACGGAGGAGCTGGCAGCCCCCTGCCTTCCCCTCCCTGCTTGTGGTTTGGTTTGGTTTAGTCTGACTCCCTCTTTCCCCTCCCCGCCCGCCCCTTTCCCCTGCCCTGCCCGCCCCTGCCCACCCCTCTCCCTCTCCGCCCCCAGCACGCTGAGAAGCTGCACGCCTGCCGGCTGATCCTGGTGGGTGCGGAGGAGTGGGGCCGGGGCAATGTGGTGGTGCGGGACCTGGCAGCGTTCCAGCAGGCGGAGGTGCCGGCGGAGGAGCTGGTGTGAGGAGCCTGGCCTCCCTAGCCGGCATGTGCATGTGTGGGGATGTGTACCGTATGCGGGCTGGTGGGGGCCCCCGTGTGAGCCCACGTGAGGGAGGGAGGGAGGGAGGACTCGTTCGTGCCACCGCGCTGCTGCTGCTGGACGACGAGGATGATGAGTTGCTGACCCCCCTAGCAGGCCTGCGCAGGGGTGCATTGTTGGCAGGGGGGTGGGTGCATTGTCAGCATATGCATCATGTAGGGCCCCTGGGTGTCTATGACCCAACGGTTAGTTGAAGAGGTGGGAGTGGGGGGAGGTGGGGGGAGGGAAACATACCGGTAGAGGGCTGGGCGTGCCGGGGGTTGGGTTGCGGTTGCATTGGAGGAGAGGCCGGCGCAAGGGTGGTGGACGTGGAGACATGCCTGATTCATAGCATTTACAGGCAAACCCGTGTGAAAGAGGAAAGGGAAGGGGAAAACCGGGGAAACTTGGTTTGGCATTTGGAAAGGGATGGTTTTCATTTATGCTAGGGCGTTACCGCGAGACCGAGAGGAGAGTAGCTGCTTATGCGAGGCTGCATGTATAGTGCACACGAACAGGAGTCCGCATTTTGTTGAGATGCCGTAGCCGATGCATGCGTGTTATGCAGCGTGCCGCAGAACGTTAGTGATGACCCATGGGTCTTTGCAAGGCGTCTGGTGCTATGCGGATGCTGCAATGTAGGTACGCAATTTGAGGGGGAGGACGACGGATGAGAAGTGAGGGAAATTGAAGCAAGTGGAGTGAGGGAGAGTGGAGTGTAGGTAAGGAGCGTGTGGGGAGCGCCGCCGAGTACAGGCCAGGTCTTCAGGTACGAATCGAAACATGTACAAAAACATTTTCTGCCATCTGCGCATACCGGGTATGTACCAAGGCATCCATTCAAATGCCACCTTTGGATGGCATCCTCAGCTGTCTTCGAAGGCAGGCGCCACCGGTCGTCATGGACTTCGCCGGCAGTGTAACGGGGGATTTGGAGGAGCTCGATGGGCACAACTATCCTGAGGTATTGCGCCCAGTGCTGCACCCGACGGTGGCATTAAACGGGAGAGGGGGCGGACGCGCAGGTACAGCTGATTAGCCCCTTGCATGTATCGTTGGGCACACCACTGCAGTCGTATACACCTGTCCAAGAGAAATGGGCCCTTCTTGGTTTGTAGGAACCAAGCCCCTGACGGCGCGTGCTTTGCAACCTGCCGTCATGTGGGTTAGTCCTGGCCCCTGTCGCGGCACCTGACCGAGGCCATGGATTACGACAGGCTGTTGCCGTACACCTCGCGCGTCTTAGGCCGAACATGTTTGTGCGGCCGCACGTAGTTAAACTGGCGTTTGATTGAAACGTAGAATGGCGTTTGCCTTTACACGTATGCGCACAGCGGTGCTCTTGATAGTTGAAGTTGAGAACCTTTGACAGTTAGTCGAGAATACAGTAACGTATGTTTAGTCCTTGAAGATGAAGAAGGTCTGATGCGAAGGTCTTCTTATGTTGAGTAGGAATGGCGGTGGGTCAGCGACGGTGGCACTCATCGTGCTGGCCCTGGCCCTAACCAACCCACTAGCCGCGCAGCAGCTAAACATCACCAATGCCGACAACACGACTGCATGGCCGAATTTTCTCGGGATAGGGCCGGTCTTGTTTCCAGCCGAGGCGGACGAGTCGTCGGCATGCTATGCGCGCTTTCGCCTATTGAACGGCGCAAAATGCACAGCTCACGCTAGCAGCACGCATCCGGTCGAGCTGCAAAACTGCGTCAGAGGCGGGGCTTCCGGAATTTTGGTGTTGCAGCGCACAGGGACAGCTGGCCTTCAGGGCAACGAGCTGCTGGGCACAGCCATCTACCGTGTTCGTGTAATAGGTCCAAATGGCGTATGGCTACTGGAACCGGCTTATTGCCGGCCGGACTTGGCTTTGGCATCGTATGTGCTGCCAGGGCCCGGGCGCTTCTCGGTGGAAATCCTAATGCTGTATACTAGCTTCTCCTTTGAGAAGCCCCATACCAGCAAGGTTATAAAGGCGCCTTGGGCCGGCTACCTGAGGCTGAGTGTTCCAATCAATGACACCGGCAGCCTGTCGCAGGCCTGGTCTCAGGCGCCCGATGAGTTCAACTTGGCAGGGGACAATGACACGTATGCGGCCTTGGACAGCAGCTCGCTGCTCCAGCGTCAACGGCACCAGCAGCAACTAGCTTTGGGAAATGGAGATGCGCCATTGCCGTTCTGCCCGGACACAGGTCCCTTGCCAGGGCGTTGGCACTTTCGCGAGTGGCCCACCTCAATCGCAACTCCGCTGCTGCGCACGTGCATTTGGGGCGACCCCACATACGACTGCAACTCCACTCATCGCACCGCCATCCACACCGGCAACCAACACCAGCCCGGCAACCGCCAAGCTGTACCCCCTCCAGCCCTGTACTGGCAGCCCTACGGCTGCCGCTTGCGTCCCATCCGCAACCTCCCATCCTCACCAGACGACCCATCCCTCGCGCCGCCTGATGCTGCTCCTCCAACGTCCACTAGCCCCGGCGCCAGCCCCCAGCAACAGCTTCCCGAGCAGGCGGCACAGCAGCAGCAACAGCTTCCCTCAGGGCGCAACCACCGACGCACCGAAGAACGCCTGCCCTCCTCCTCAGCCTCCTCCTCTCCCTCACCCCCTCACCAGCAGCACGAAGCCCAGCCCCCACCTCCCGCCCCCATCGAGCCCGCCACCTGCCTGCCCCCCGGCCGCCGCATCTGCTTCGTGGGCGACTCCCACATGCGCTACCTGCAGAACAGCCTGGTGGCCTGGCGCAGCGGCTGGCGGCTGGCGGCGGACAACGCCGCCAAGGAGCTGCTCAACTCCAGCAGCACCGCCTACTTCCGCATGAGATGGGGACACGACTGGCCGGAGGCTGAGGCGACTGAGGCCGCCGCTGCGGGAGCTGGGGCTGCGGCTGGGGCTGCAGGAGGAGTGGGAGGAGGAGGAGGAGGAGTGCCTTGGAAGCCTAGCGAGGGAGGTGCTGGGGGTGCGGCTTCTTCGCCGCATGTGGATCCGCTGGTGGCGCAGAACTGTACGGACGTGCTGGTCAACTTTGGTCAATGGCCCATGTCGTACAGGGCCGGTCCAGCGCCCATGAGTGCCGTACAGTACGCTCAACAGCTGTTGCATGTACGACATCGGATGCTGTCGCTGTGGCTGCGGCATGGGGTGCGTGTGTATTGGGTTACGACCTGTATGTCCAGTTTGAAGCTCAAGCTAGAGGCTGCTGGCGTGGATTGGCGTACGGATCCGCTGATGTTGTTATACAACAGGCTGGCAGCTGACGTCATGCAGGGGGCCATGATAGGGCCCGCGGCGGGTGCTGTCGAGCTGGATGCTGGTACTGCTACTGCTGATGCGGGTGCTGCCGCTGGTGCTGCCAGTGATGGGAATGGCACTGCTGGTGCTTCTGCTGGTGGGGTTGTGGACGGTGTAGCTGTAGGAGGCCAGGGACACATGGGCCGGCATTTGGCGGGGTCTACGGCTGGTGGAAACGATTATGATGGGAGCGGCGTTTCGGAGAATGACCACCAGCAGCAGCAGCAGCTGGCTGCTCGGCTGACCGACAATCCGCACACCCCCCAGCGTCAGCGCCGCAAGCGGCGGCGGCGGCAGTCCCAGCAGACCCAGCCGCGGCAGCAATCACGCATGCGGCATGCGCGCCGCCGGGAGCACCTGCAGCAGCCGTTCCTGCAGCTGCCGCAGTCGTCGCTGCACCAGCGGCAGCAGCAGCACCGGCGGCAGGGAGAGGGACAGGGGCAGCATGACCAGCAGCAGAATTGGGTGCAGGCGCGCGCTGCGTGGCGCCGGTGGCTGCAGCAGCTGCAGGCGCGCGCCCTGGACCCCTGGGAGGAGCAGCACCTGTATCATGCTACAGTGCTGCAACCTGAGCCTCAAGAGCAGCAGCAGCTGCTGCAGCAGGAGCAGCAACATGAGCCGCCTCAACACCGCCCACCGCACCAACAACCAGTGCAGGTACCTGGGGACCGGAGGCAGCAGCAGGAGCAGCAGCCGCCAACCGGGGCGGAAAGCCACCACCGGGCGGCCCGCCTTCAAGAGGAGCTGCCGTACACGCCTGGAGGGCAGCCACACCAACACCCAAACCCACAGCAGCAGCAGCGATCGCAGCACTGGCGCGCTCGCCGCATCCCGCTGATCGATACCTTTAGTTCCGCCCGCATCCTGCATGAGGCCACCTGGGACGGGGTGCACTTTGCGAACCGCGGGGTGGTGGGCAGCGTGCAGGTGGGGGCGGTGCTGCGGGCGCTGTGCGGGGAGGGGGTCGCGCGGGAGGTGGGGGCGGAGGTGGAGGCGGTGAGGGAGGAGGGGCGGGCAGAGGCGGTGGAGGCCCTGGGCGTGGGGCGGGTGGAGGCACAGGCGGCGGGACAGGCTGCGCCTTAGCCAGTGGTTCAGGCATGGAGGCAGGCGGAGACAGCGGGGAGTGCGATGGGTGCAGAGGCTGGGGCCTGGGTGCAGGAGGGAGGGGAGGTGTCCTTACCAGGGCATGAAGAGCGAACAGTTGGTGAGTCTCTTTCAACGTGCTGCTCTGGATGCGCTGCACGTGCTGGCCTGCCAACCTAACTGGTCGAAAAGCGCGTATAGAGTCAAGACTGATAACGGAGTAGGCAGACGCGTTTCTTTTAGCTGTAGAAGCAGCAGCAGCACGCTTCCTGGCTGCTAGGACGTGCACGATGGAGGTTTTCCCCTTCGCTGCGCTGGCACGTGCTCACCTCGATAGACAGGTGCAGCGCGCGTGTGAACACCTGCATTTCATAAGCATGGCTCGGATACGGAGCAACAGCAGCAGAAGCAGCGGTAGTACGGGTAGTAGCTAAAGCAGCTTTTAGTGACGCGTGACGAGTAATTTGTTACCTCTCATTTTGGATTGGGTAGAGCCCTGCTCTTCCTGTGAACGTGCCGTACGGTCATGCTACTGTACCTCGTGGCCCATTTGTTTGAGTACGTGCCGTACATCTGCCGTATCGTTTTTTTGCCCGCGCTGCAACTAACCTAACTCCGGAAGGGAGGTAGGCCGCGTCGCAGTGTGCTTGGCGGCAGCCGTGCGCGATTTCTTAGACACCATTGGAGGAGGAGGGGGCGTTTGCGATGCGTTTAATGATTGTTGCAACGACTGAATGTCGCCTGTGCTTGTGTTGGTGGGGGATTAGGTAAACTGAGCCGCGAGAAAGTACTGACGGTGACCATAGGAAGACCCGTTGGTGATGGCGTCTAGCAGGGGGAGGAGTATACAGAGCGCACGGTACAGGGCAACCTACCGCTGTGGCCCTAGTGCGGGGCTGACGACAACAGCCGTGTACGAGCAGAGCGATATGAATATGTATCGCCACGTGTAAGCGAAATCGGCCTGGCCGACTTGGCTTGTACATAACTGTCTGTCTGCTAGTATCGCCAAGCAAGCTACAATGTGTACGATACCGGTAAGTTACACATGCATTTGGGCTCCCACCGCACCAACACATGACGTCATGAGGTTTGTATGACATTGGAGCCTTTCCAGAAGTCCCCATGACAATGCTGCTGCTCATGAGCGGGGCAAACACTTGCGCGCGTCACATGCCCCTCCTTGCTACCATGACAGCCCCGGATGCCTGCCTGTACTAGCATTACCCGCTCGTCAGTCGTCACCCCCCCCCGCGTCCTCCGCTACCACTCTGCTACCGCTCTGCCTCCTCAACTACACTAAGCTGCCTAAAGAGCCCACTCTGCAATGGAGAGCAAACCTTTTTGCTAAAACGCGCCTGGCCAATGCGCTCTAAGCTATTATCGGTACGCTAGCATGCAGTGTGAGCTGCCCCAATCCTAAGTCTGTCACGCCCGCTAGCGCCCGCTGCAGCACTCGGACCGACTGCATGATGAACCATAAACCTACGGCGCAGTGCCACTCTGCACAAGTGTTTACTCATCTACCAGCAGACTTGTCAAGACCCGCCACCTGCCTGAATCCTTATGCCGACGCGGAATGTGGCCAGATGACACTCCGCACCAGGTTGTGGTAGCCAAAGGCGCCGCCCGGTAACCCCTATAAACGCTGGCGATTCCATAAGCGATACGACGCGCCGCGACGTCGCAGAGGCCCGGCTAGGCAGGCGGCTGTGACCATGCTTTCCCGAATGCCGGCGCTGAAACGGCTACTAGATAGCAGGCTGGTGTACTAACTAGGTGCTACACGATAGGGCTGGCCAAGCCGGCTATTGCGGTGCAGCGGTGATGGCGCTATGCATAACGATACTCAATGCTCAGTACATGCTTAATAGGCTTTGTGGAACTCTGCGGCGATTACATGGTTGTAATCCCACCATGCGGTAAAGCATCATGGAGGCCACGAAAAGCGCCGACCAGGCGCAATCCGAAGGCAAAGACTGCGGCACAAGATCTGTCGCTCCAGGGAAGCAACAACGAACAGATACACGAACGCGGCAACTCAACCACTGGTATCACTCAACCGCTGGTATAAAAAGAAACATAAAGATAACTGCAAGTGCCTACGAGTTGGACATGCTTGGGCGATGCAAGCAACCAACCGACCTGCTCTGAAACCACGGACCATGATTTCGCATACGCATGGTTAGGACACGACAGCTGTCAAGCCCCAGGACTGAAATGAGCAAAACAATGGCATGGGGTATGACACTCCCCCCCACGCCCGAGGGAAGAAGTCACAAGGGCGGAACACAAAAAAGGAGTACCCCAGATCACACTGATGACCGGCAAGGTCAAACAGGCAACGGCATGAGAGTACGGTCAACGGAACATTAACGTAGGTACGAGCAAGCAATACGCTATCCGCTAGTACGGCAGAAACTGAGCACGCACCGACCCGTGGGCCAGCAGGCAAGCACTAGCCATGGCAACACCAATCCGGCAAGGGAAAGGCACGCGGCTACAAACCAAGAACACAGACCAGCTGATGCACAACTAAGCAGACATGGCAAGATGCTCTGTCCTAAGTGCAGATCCCCTCATCACCACATCCTAGACTGTAACTGCAAACTGACTTCTCCTCGCGCCAGTCAGGAGAAGCAAGCACGCTGACCAACGTCAATCCTATCCTGAACAAACATGACGGCCACGCGGCGCGGCGTGCCTTTTCCGACCTCAAGCGACCTACAACCAATCTACCCTGAACGACTCAAGACCACGCGGCTTGGCATGGCTTTCAGCATACACTAGTCACAAAGAAGCCCCTACAGGCAAGCATACAAGCACCATGAACAGGTCACTGCTGCGGCAAGGCAGTCTGTGAGCAGCTGTATGGCATGAACATTCACCGTCGGTGACGGCCCAGCAAGGCTTAATGTACAAGGCAGCAGCCCTCCTGTCCTACATGTAAGCGCAGTACGCCCCCCCAGACGGAGAGCATGAACTGAGGTATGTACGCAACCCCTCTCGCACGACACTATAACCAGCACACAGTCCGCAGCTAGTACCCCAAAGCGCCAGTACCAACATCCTAACGACTGCATCTACGACAAACCAGGGTTCAGAAGGCCTCGGAGGTCGTGGTGTCTCAATCGCCAAGCAGCTCCATCGACAGAACCGTAATGCCCAGGCAGGCCACCGCCACAAGAGCAGCACCCGCAATGCTGCGCCAAAGTGCAACGGTGTGACCGGCTGGTGGGTAAAACCGTGGTGCACTCGACGACCGTACAGCATAGAGGTCGTGGCTATGGCGGCTTGCGGGTTGGCCAGGACCCTTGGGTGCTGCAGGACTGAACGCTGCCGGTTGTAGAAGATGTAGAATCAGGCAATGATCAACGACGGGCTGGGCTTCGAACGAAGCTGGCTGTGCGGACGGGCTGATTGGAACTCGGATTGGGACAAGGAAGGGGACTGCAGAGGAGAAGGCAGCGCTGGGACACCAAGAGATGCCAAGAAGCCAGGACGCCCCCAACCTGCCGGGCTGCCTAATCGGCTGCGCTGTATGCAGACGCGACCAGGCATGTAGACGCGTCAACTCAGCAATAAAGCACATGGCGCCCAGGAAGAGCAGGGCTGCCAAGCGCCCCCCCCAGATAGCCGCCATGAAGCTGGAACAAGTGAAACAGTCAACACAGTCGGCGAAGGACCATATTGCAGCTCCAACTGAAGTAAACCCAATCAATGCACCCATGGCAGGCAAGCCGAAGCGTCCCGACAAAGCTTGTCGCTGACGATGTCGCTCGCCATCCCAGCAAGAAGCCGCACAGGACGAGAGCGGGGCTTTTCGTGGCAATACGGGCTTACCACTCGACAACCCGATGCGAAGGTTGAGGAGTGGCCGGTGCTGGCATGAGCACCAGGGATTAGTCGGCTGCCTGAGAATGAGGACTTATGCCGACGCGGAATGTGGCCAGATGACACTCCGCACCAGGTTGTGGTAGCCAAAGGCGCCGCCCGGTAACCCCTATAAACGCTGGCGATTCCATAAGCGATACGACGCGCCGCGACGTCGCAGAGGCCCGGCTAGGCAGGCGGCTGTGACCATGCTTTCCCGAATGCCGGCGCTGAAACGGCTACTAGATAGCAGGCTGGTGTACTAACTAGGTGCTACACGATAGGGCTGGCCAAGCCGGCTATTGCGGTGCAGCGGTGATGGCGCTATGCATAACGATACTCAATGCTCAGTACATGCTTAATAGGCTTTGTGGAACTCTGCGGCGATTACATGGTTGTAATCCCACCATGCGGTAAAGCATCATGGAGGCCACGAAAAGCGCCGACCAGGCGCAATCCGAAGGCAAAGACTGCGGCACAAGATCTGTCGCTCCAGGGAAGCAACAACGAACAGATACACGAACGCGGCAACTCAACCACTGGTATCACTCAACCGCTGGTATAAAAAGAAACATAAAGATAACTGCAAGTGCCTACGAGTTGGACATGCTTGGGCGATGCAAGCAACCAACCGACCTGCTCTGAAACCACGGACCATGATTTCGCATACGCATGGTTAGGACACGACACTAGGAGCAACCTGCATGCTAAGGAAGACGCTTCCAAGGAACGCTGCTGAAACAAAGCACCTAAATATACAGCCACAGCCTGCCTCAGCCCTCTGAATGGAAACGGCTGCCCCACACGAGAAGATATACAAGCGTGCATGCATGCGATTGCACGCAGCCCACAAGAGGAAACACATGCACTCCGCATTTCGCATGTCGTACACCCCCATTCCGGCTCCCTCCTGCTCCTCCCTGCTTTCATTTTTTACCCTCCTCCTCCCATGGATTGGTTCTCCTATAAACCTCCCCCCATGCATTCCTAGCCAACCAGCTGCAACAGCCGCTGCTACAGCGCTGCCGCCGCCCCCTACACACCACGAGCACTACCACCATTCCCACTCCCCTCCTTCCCTCCCTCCCCCTCCCTCCCCGGCTCCTCTCCCGGCCGGTACACATCTCTTCTTGCCACATTGTACTTGTCCCGCAGCTGCCTGCACGGCACGCAGTCGCCCCGGCCGTCCACCCCCAGGAACAGGATGTACATGTACGGGTGCTGCAGGGGGTCGCTGCCGTACACCTCCGACCAGCTGCGGCCGCCGCCGCTGCTGCGGCTGCTGCTGCTAGTGCCGCCCCTGACACCGCCCTCGGAGGACTCCAGCTCGGGAGCTGTGAGCAGCTCTGCAAGGGAGATAGAGGAGAGAGGGAAGAGGGAAGAGAGAAGGGAGGATGGGGAGGAGTCACACCAACTGTCATACAGCAACGGAGCCCCGCCAGTCATACAGTAACGACCCCAATGTGGTCTAACCGCCCTAACCGCCCTAACCAATCTTCTACTACCCCACAGAGTACTCCTGCCCCAACCGCTGCCGTACCTTCTGCCACGTAGGCCACCGGGGGCAGGTGCGCGTCGTACTCCCAGTCCCGAGCGTCAACCAACAACTGCCAACGAAACGAGTGGGGTCAAGGGAGGAGCGGCGCAGGTTGGGGGGCGTGAGTTGCGTCAGCTACATCAGGCTGAGGCATCAGGTGCGGTTTGGGGGGGGGACACGTTGTGGTTTGGGGGCAGGCAGGCACGCAACGACGCCAGACCTGGCGCCTGGCGCCAACTGGGATGGCTGGGCAATCTCCGTGGGTCGGCTACCTTGGTGAAATGCATGCCTAGCCGCAATGGTTCTAGTTTCCTCGTTCCCGGTCCGCCACCGCATCCGCCCCCGCCCCCGCCGGATTCATCACGCCTCAGTTTACCGGCATCCACCCCCCCACCACCACCCTTTTGGGTCAAGTGTCTCAACGCGGCTCGGTTGCATTACCCGTTTACCCCTCCCCATGCCGGACAGCCGGACAGCTGCCTCACATGGTAAAAGGGCTGCCGAGTGCCCCGCCTCAGCGCCTCCACCTTGGCCTGCACCGCCCAGTCCTCGCTCTCGCAGCAGGCGGGGTCCCAGCCCACCACCACCCCGCGGTAGCCCAGCTGCCGGTGCAGCACACGCTGGCCCAGGCGCAGCCGGGGGCCGGCTGGGGGGAATTGAGTGAGGAGTTGAGACAGGAGGAGTGGGAAACAGGAAGCAGCGTTAAAGCAGCGGTTGCCCTATCCTAGGCGCCACTATTCTCGCGGCCGGCCCCGCAAATCCGCGTAACCCCTCGTGCAGTAATAATCCCCCATGCAGCCTGTTGGCCCGCAATTCTCCAGGAGCCAACTGCATGTGTCGTGAGGCGCCGACCCATGGGTCGTCTGCCGTGGGTCATGCATGCGCACCGAGCCACGGCCCCACCTCTCCCAGCCATGCAATCGGCCTGCTCTTACCCCCCTTATAACTACATTTCTTGCCAACCCCGCCTCCCGCTCGTCCCCCCCTCCTGCCCCCCGCCCCCCGCTCGTCCCCTCCCTCACCTGGCGCCCCCCCCGGCGCCGTGTCCCACTCCGCCGCCAGCGCCGCCGCCCGCCTGGTCTCCTGGTCCAGCTGGCGCAGCAGGTCGCGGTAGCGGGCAGCAGCGGAGTAGCTGGGGGGGAGAGGGGAGGGGGTGCCAGGGTGGGGTCGCGTGGGGTTTAATAGGGATACATATTCCGCATTAGGCTGGTGAGGTGGGGTGGGAAAGGGCGCGAGGGGGGGTTCACGGGCGGCTAGATGAGCAGGTGGAAGTCTAGAGGATTGCCAGCCTCATCCTCCCTGCCCGTTTCCCTCCCCTCCGCCTCTCTCACTTCTCCGCCTCCACCGCCCGCTGCATCTCGCTGCGCAGCCGCAGCCCCTCCGCCGCCCAGTCCGCAGCGCCCAGCCGCACGCCGGCCGCCGGCTGACCCGTGTTGCGGGCCTTGCGCTCGCGCATGGCAGCAACCGCCTCGTCCACCTGGGTGGGGTGGGGGGAGGGGATGGGGTGCGGGGTGAGGTGGGAGGGGAGGTGGGTAAGAAAGTAGCAGTGGGTAGCATGGCGTGGGTACGCCAGGCTCTGCTACCCTCATTGAAGCCCCATCTCAGGGTGGATTACCGCAATACACACTGGCGCAAGTCCCGAGCCCGGCATGCGGCCCCCTCTGTCGCTTTCCAGCGCACGTGCTGCGCATCCCTAAACATGCATGCACCCATGCATGCTTCCATGCACCCATGCATGCTCAAGTGCACCCAGCGCCACTCCCCCCTGCCTGCGCGCACCCGCTGCCGCTTCTTCCGCACTTCCTGCGCCACCTCATAGGCCTCGTAGTTGAGGCAGCGCTGCAGCTGCGTGTCCAAATCCAACTAGAGGGATGGGGTGAAAAGAGTGCTAAGCTTAGACATGTAGAAATCGGTTTTAATCTCAGGCAGGATGAAAACAGGGTGATTGATAAAGGGAGATGGAAGTGAAAGTGCAAAGGAAGGAGGAGGAGGGAGCAAAGCACGGCAGTGGTAACAGACTGTCAGAAGTGAAGTCAGGGTGGAGTGCAAAGGAAAACGGTTTGCCCGGTGTGCTTTTTGAATTTCTCGAAAAGGGCACTGCATGACGGTAATTCCTAGCTAGCAAAGGCACGTCGTACAAAACACGGGTGTTTAGGATGAAACCCGAACTACCCGACCTACCTGAAATATAAAGTAAACGACCTCTTCGTTAACCAGCATGCTGCGTTCTCGTTCACCAGCTGGCCGTATAACTTTGGATTCAGAATCACGACTTCCAGCTCCCTCTGCGAAGTCCCCGCTGGAAGCAGGGCAGCGGACTAGCTTGCCCCACACACGGGCTGGTTGTTGGAAGCCACCGCAGTGATGCACAGATCCAACCATGTGGAAGGTGGCCGGGTTTACAGCTCGACATGATGGTCTGCCGCTAGTAGGTTTTATGCGTTGGGCTCCGCTTCGCGCCGAGGCGACGCCGTGGCTACTAACGACCCGCATTCCTACAAGAAGACGATGGGCGCACGATGCCAACTTCAACAATCTGTTGAAAACAGTTAGCCGTATAATATAGCACTTGTTTTGTAAGCTGGCGTAAAATGCAGCGAGCGACTGTTGCTGAACAAACGCCTAGCGTGCTTCTAGCAAGGGGAATCAACAATCTCATATGCTAAAGAAGCTTCCAAGCAGAAGCACTCCGCAGTCCACTGACCCCGAAGCTCGTCAACATTGTTTAGTAGTTTGCCGTACACCTACTGCCAACCGTTTCTAAGAGGGGCTGTAGGGGCACTTTTTGTAAGGTATCGTATTCGTACCGGCTTACTTGCGAGCCTGCTAGACTGTGCTTTGCCAGGCCTTTCTCTGGACTGTGAACTCCCAGACGTCTGTTGCCTCGGGGATGGCCGAAATACTCTTTGTAGTTGAGCTTGCTTAATACCTCTTTGATCAGACTCGTATACGGGGGTTGCATCATTTTTCTGCTACTTATCCTGACGATTTATCGGTACATGGTCCCAGACGTCTCCGTTGCTTGCTTATATAGAAAAAGCTAATTGTCATGCTCGACAGCATATTGGGTTAACAGGACACGCACGTGGACGACGATGGGGTTGATACAGCTATGGATGACCATGGCGGTCATGTCGTTGACGACTGTTTTCACGCCATCGTCTGCCGGACCCGACCACAGTCCCATTTCTTTCTGTCGTGACTTGTACAAGAGCATGAGGAGGGAGGATCGCTACGCAGTACGAGACATCATTCAGGCGCTGCATGCGGTGGAGTCTTACCAGGGCCACTTACGGTTGGGTCGGCCCCTGCCGCGTTTGTTAGCTAACATGTCAACCCCGAGCTCGGCTGACCTAGAGGCATGGAAGGTTGCGAATTCCACAAAGCTGCAACAGCTGCTGGATGGAACAGGAGCTTTGAAACGGCAGGGCGGCAGGTATGCGTAGCGGAATTGCGATGCTTCAGTTCTGGATTAGAGAACTAACCGACTTGCCCACCGTCATGTGCCCACTCGCCCCTAGGAACATTTTTACTCAGTGCTCGGCCGTCATCGCCTCACACCATAGCGCCCACGAACCGAAACCCACCTAATAACACCTCCTTCTAAACCCGCTGTCTCCCGCAGCCCCTCCGCCGCCGTGTCCCTAGCCGCCGCCTGCTTCTCCAATCGGCTGCACCCGGACGCCTTCGCGGGCCGGCCGCTGGTGTCCGTCCTGCTGAACTACTTCAAGCGGGCGCACATGGTCAGCGTAATGGCGGCCGGGTTACGCAACACCACCGCTTACTCCGGCATACCCTGCGAGCTGGTTGTCAATGTGGACAACCCGCACGAAGCTGACGCCTGGGCGGCGGAGGTGCAGAGCGGGCTGGTAGTGCCGGTGTTCTCAGCCAACCTGCATGAGTCACGCGGCTACAACCGGGCAGCGCGGGCGGCGAGGGGCAGCTACCTGGTCATCTGGCAGGTGTGGGTGCATGGGGTTTGGAAAGGAGAGACCCATGGGTCCTGGTGAGGCCCTTAGCACCCGGGTTGGTTCACGGGTACCACGGCAGCCTAGATCTGTCATGCATTGCACATTCGCAGGTGCTGCCTGCTTCCGACCTAACCCCCTCCACACCTCCCTCGCGCTCCCGCCCTCCTGCACCCCTCCCCCGCCACCTCCCCAGGACGACCAGAAGATGCCCATCAAGACCAACTGGGTGCCGGACATGGTGCGCCTGTACGAGACCTACCCGCAGCTGGGCGTGCTGGGCATGAACACCTACCGCCTGTGCAAGCACATGGAGCCCACCAACCTCTTCATGCCACTCGACCTGGAAGCGGACCCCAAGACCGGCGTCCAGTGGAACTTCATACATGTACGCAGCGGCCACATGTCGTGTAATTAGTACACCCGGCGAAGTCAGCACATCACGTTTACCTCATTACCTGTAGCAGCTTCTGTGAGCCCGATTGGCACACGATACTTATGCATGCGGAGTAAGCAGACTACCGGTACAGCAGGAGTTCAGGAACACCCTAATGAGCCGCACCCACCAACCCCGTCTCCACCCCCGCAGGCCGCGGACTTCGCGCCCCTGGGCATCCGCGCCACCACCTACCGAGCGCTGGGCGGGCTGGATGAGGGTTCCTCGCGGCCGGGCGACTGCGGCATCTGGGGCGACTGGGAGCTGTGCGCGAGGGCCTGGGCGGACGGCTGGCATGTGAGCATCGGCTTGGGGGTGTAGGGGATGGATGTCCCGCACTGGGCTGTAGTAGGCTTGGGGCGGGGAAGGCAGAGGCCAGACGGCTGGGGTCGCTGCCACCATTGCTATTACTGCTATTGCTGCAGGTCTTGTTGCTGCCCAGAGCATGGAAGGAGCCAGGGCCCCTTCAAACGAGCCATGCTGCAAAGTGCCCCAAGCTTGCAATTCCTGCTATCGCATGTCTGGCTCTACGGGTTACTTGGCCGCCAACCAGCCCTTAGACAGCCTCTCTCACACCGACGTGCCTCCCTTTCTTATGCGGTCCACCTGAAACCCCTGCCCACCACCGCCGCTGCTGCTGCCCCGCGACCGCTGCTGCCCCTCAGGTTGGTTTCATGTACGTCCCGGGCCGGTTAGGCGATGGACAGCCCGGCGGCACGCACACCGGCGCAACCGCGGAGAAGTGTTGGGGGCGGCAGCAGTTTGTCACCATGCACGTGTACAACAAGAGGTACGACAGATGTGGCTCGGCGGTTGGTGCTACGAGAATCGGTTGGTGGCCGTCGGTTGAAGCTGCTGCCGTTATTAGCAACCTCATGGTGCTTTCTTACAAGGGCCTTTTTAACACTGGCGGGCTGTGTGACCATGGCCTTGAGTATTCAATGCGAGCCCTGGCTGCCTTATATAGTAACGCTCACCCCGTTGTCTCGCGTACAATTGACACTCATAGCACATCCATGCAACTCCACCGCTGCTTTCTTTGGATTGCAAGCACACGTGCGATCATGTCCTTCTACTCCAGTTCCTCCCACCTTCTTTCCCCACCCTCAGACACGACATCCAGGTATTCCAAAACGAGGTCTGCGACCGCATCTGGCTGCTCAACATGCTCCATTTCAAGGTCAATGGAGAGTGCCCGTACGGCCAACCGGATAAGACGCGTTGTTTCAACTGTACGGCATTGACACCGGAGCGGGCGGCGGCGGCGGCGGCTGAGATGGAAGCGCTGGGGGCGGCATTGAGCCACGCGAGAGCCTCTGGGGCGTGGGGGTCTACCGGGGAGGGTTGGGGTGCGGGGCCGGGGCTGGGAGGGGCCTTCGGTGTTCATGGTGCGGGCCATGAACATAGCCAAGCTGCTGCTGCTGCTGCTGCTAATGGTGCTAGTGGTGCGATAGAGATGAATCCTCGCTTTGTCAGGGTTGGAGGCCGCCGCCTGCAGCGGTAGTGATGGTAGGATTGGTCGTGACTGGTGGTGCGTAGCACGTTGGGCACAGCTCTGTACACCGCTGCCAAGGCCCGGCCAAGCTATAGATGTACAGAGCATAGAGGGTTTGAAGCGCACGTGTCAGCGGAAGTAGCCACTTGGGAGCGCACGGGAGGGAGGACATGTGACGTAGGGCGTTGCGGTTAGATCTGTAGGTATGGCCTGTAGGTTTGGGGTGGTTGGTGGGCTTGCCAGGTGTATGGGCGCTGATGGGAATGGGTCGAATGATGACTGACTAGCCGCGCACTAGCCCGCACCCGTGTATGTGATGGGTATATAAGGGCTATGTAGGACTATGTAGTGTGTCGTATTCGTCCCTATTGACTCTCGAAGCAATGGTTTGCATTTCCGGTATTTGGAGGGCAGCACTGTTGTGTGTGTAGCAATTTGGTGATGGCAGTATATACTATGTCCATGCACCCATCCTGTCCTGCAGATTTATCGCTTGCTCCCTTTGTCGGGTTGGTGGCGGTTGGCTTCTTCAACTCCATTCGGTAACTTCATTACGGTAGTCGGCATGACATTCCGGAGAACTGCAGGGCAAATGGATTGGCCTGGTTGTCGCCGCCCTGTAGATGTGCTAGCAGTGGGTATGTAATCGGAGCCAGGAGGTGAGGCTGCAGGGCTGGACGTCGGTAACTGTCATAAGGATTGCGCGTAGCAGTACAAGGGTAAGACGATGTACCTGCAGCCGTGTGCCTCGAAGCTGAAACTGAAATGACTCGCACCTGAAACCCTGCACTGACCCATGTAAGCATGCCCTTCTGGCCGGAAAGAAAATCCTGATGCGGTGTGTGTTGATGTCCTGATGGCTTAAGCTCGTGTGGCTCAGGTGGTTTCCGTTGCTCCGTGCCAGCGTACGTGCCTCTCCCCTCTTTCCCGTTCTTCGCGTTCTCCTGCAGCCTTCCGTGGGGCCTCCCTGCCCTTCGTGTGGTTACTGCAACTAAATTCCCTTTCCCGTGCGGCTGCCCTTCCCGCGCTGTACCTACCTGCCCACCCATGCAGCTGTCCTTACCCGCGCGGCGCACGCCTGCCTCCCCCGGCCCTCCCCTGGCGGAGCCTGCTTTCCAATGCCCTAACCAATGCAACTGCCTTTCCCCGCGCAGTGCCTGCCTCCCATGTGCTTTCCGGTGCAGCGCATCTGCGGCCTATGCGCCCCACCGTGGGGCCTCCGTGCCCTTCCATGTGCAGTGCCTACCTCCAAATGCCCTCCCCATGTGGCTGTATTTACCCGCGCGACCCTCCCTCCCCATGCCTTTCTCCGTGCGGCGTCCCCAGTGGGGCATCTAGGTCCCACAGGGGAGTGGTTGAATAGGACGCGGGGTGTTTGCATGCGCGCGTTGGTGCTTTGGATGCATGCGCACATTAGTCCGGTAATGGGGCACGGCTCGTGTGCGTCGCACTACTGCCGAGGGTTTGTAGTGACCACAGGGCCACCCTCAAGCGTGGCTTCTTTTCCAATAGTCTTGCCTAGGTTTCGGTAAAAGAACAAACACATACGGTGTAATAGGTCGCGTGGCGAATCACGCACAAGAAACAAACCGCTAGAGTGGAGTATCATGCTTTAGCTTAACGCTCAGCTGGTCGCAGGTCGTGCAAGGCTCTCGCGTGCTCTATTCTGGGTTCGCAGCTCTGCTAGTGTAACTGCTCGACGGCGACGACGGGACATGTTTGGGCCTTACAGTACGCTTTCGGAGCTATTTGAAGACGCCAGCAACATCGAACATGGAACTACTGCTCACCAGAATGACATAAGCTACAATACTAACACATCCATCGCTAGGACTCCTTTCTGACTGCCCGTTCTTATTACGAATCGGAAGAAGTTGGCCATGGCGCTGCCACAACCTGTGACGAATGGCTGGAGCACAGGCTTTTGCGACTGTTGTGCGCAGCCCGGCGGATGTGGCTGGTGCTGTAAGTGTGGCCGCCCTTGACCTTGTTTGCTTGCTTGCGGCAGGCGACTGCACGCAACTTGCTAAGTTCTTGAGAGGAATGTATAGTGGCACAGCACGAGTACGTCTACTATTAAACTGAGGCAGTTTCCTTTTAGCTGGTTCCCGTTTCTTACTTCGTTTGCTGGATGCTCTTCCTAATTGTTTCATTCGTTTGCGTACCTGCAGTGTACGCAACATGCTGCACCCCTTGTGCTTATGGATCGCTTTTGGAGCTCCTGCCGGAGGTGCGTTGGAATTGTTGGAGAGTATGTCCCGTCAGCGCGATGCCTCTTTGTTTTTATCGTTTTCTAAAGGCTCTGTTCACCTCGAACAAGGCCTACCTCATGTTGTCGCTTTGTTGTGCTTGATTGACCCGTCCGGAACCCCACTTGCAGAACCATGTTTGCTGTGGGGGAAGCTGCGTGGGAGGATGCTGCGCCTACTGCGGGGCATACCTAGTTGGATTCCCCTGCCTCCTGCAAATGATGGAACGCAGCTACATCCGCAACAAGTACAACATTCCGTAAGTTATATCTTGCACTCTTGGCCCACAGCAGGGCTGTACCAAACAGCTGAAACTAACAACCTGTTGGTCTTTAATCTGTCCTGCAGCGGCGATGGTTGCACAGACTTCATCGAAAGTCGAATTCCCTCTAGGGGGGTCAGTTGGGCTATGTTGCAACCCGCGTTGTGTGCACTGTATATGAAGCGATTTCCCCATGGATGGTGACTGACTTTATTAAAGTCATGTTGTATACCGTGCTATACGCCATGACGTGGCGTCCCTTTTGTGTCATGGGTGTTCAATATCAAGCATGTCTAGACATGCGCGCTAGTCTTGAGGCCTTATACCCCGCTTCTATGCAGCTCACCTGGTGGTGCGGTCCTTGCGCCCTGTGCCAAGACTACCGCGAGGTCCAGATCCGCAATGCAGGTACGGCATCATAGCCCTGTACATCATCCCTGATAATGATGAGGACCAGTGGTATGCCAGCGTGAAAGCTAGCGTTGGGGCGAGATCGCCTTCCATGCTTCTAGGGTTCTAGCATGTTGGTCCCATGAACGCCGGCGCGCCCCTGCTACTGCCATGTCATGGTGCTGCACCTGCCTGCACCATTCTCTCCCACCAATTCTTAACATGCGGCCCCCCTGGTGCACCTCCTGGATCCACCTACCGGTACACAGCTCAGCAGGGCTTCAGCATGGTGCCACAGCAGCAGGTCATGGTGCCGCCGCCGGCTCAGGCCGCCCCCGGTTACGCCTACCCGCCTCCTCCCGCCGGCTACGCGCCTCCCCCCGCCGGCTACGCGCCTCCCCCCGCCGGCTACGCGCCTCCTCCCGCCGGCTATGCGCCTCCCCCCGCCGGCTATGCGCCTCCTGCCGGGTACGCTGCCCCGCAGCCTCCGCAGATGTACCCTCCGGTGCCCCCACCTTACGCCCAGGAGCCGTCCAAGGTGTAAGATGTAACTAACCTTTGGCGTTTGGAGTGTACGACATGTTAGTTATGGTTGTTTGGCATGTCAGCGCCTCTGCCAAAGCTTGGGTTTTGTTGTTGTGTTCGCAGTACCGCCCCTCGAAAGCGTTGGCCACTGCAGGGGGGTTGTACACATGCACATCGGCTCGTTTTCGACTCGCACCCTTAAGATATCCGTTGGTACGTGAACCATGTTGACTCTTGTATATACATGTGCAACTTTGTGCTGTACCGGTGTGTCGGATATGGTAGTACCAAAGCTGCTCTTGAGCTTAATTGGAATGCGGTTCGTGTATTGTGTTGCGTTGACCTGCCGTTTAGGGGTGAGCCATGCAGCATTTATACTGGGTCGTTTTCTGCACTGGGACTGGGATTTGAACTGTGTTACATGTTTGCATCTTGGCGTTGTTGGCCTGTTTCTATAAACATATGAAGGGTAAGACTGGCATGTTGATAAGAGAAAGCGTGGCTGAGTGTGCTTGGTGTGCTGGTTGTTGTGCTTTGACTGTTCAATGGGGCAACTGTTTGGATATGGCTCTTTCCCACTGCCGAAACAGGCTTTACACGTGACTACTGCAACGGTACTTGATGTTTGGCACGGAGGACTGTCTGTGAGCATATATTCCCATACTCATTATTAGACTGTGAATGCTGTATTTGTGCGTTGAATGGTTGGACTCTTAAGCACTGCATGCTGTCGGCTTGAAGTTATTTTGGCACTATTTGCGGCGAAACCAATCTTGCAAGCGCCAAACCAAATAGCCCGCCTGCAGTCCGACTGTCATTTCGGCTACTTGTTTGTTAACGGCTTCACGCAATAGTTAGGGTCTCTTTTGCTGCGCTTACCAGTTGCTGATACGGGTGCGGCGTACGAAGGCGTCAGGGGGTACCAAAAGGATTTTTTATTAGCTCGGGCACAAACAATAGCACAGGGCCGAACCCATATCCCTGCCGAAACCGCACTTCCTGTACGGCAGCTGAACTTGCGACATGCAGATTTTGCGCGCAACACGTATACGATGCACGCTGGACTGAGCGCTAATGCTCTTATTGCAAGCCTGTCTCGAATCTTAAGTACCTAAAGTGATTCCGCATATAAACCAGTACCAGTATGTCACTCCCAAGTGCTCTCAGTCCTCGCGCTACGTGCTCGCCGGCGAGCAGCGGGCGAGTGGCAGCCCCGTTGCTATCGAAGCACGGTGACCAAGACAGTACAGAATACGATATCAAGGTTCCTGGGCTGCCAGAAACGGTCTGCCGAGTTCGTTGCGTGACCGTCCAAGGCCCTGCTGTGAAAAACGCGCCGCCGCTTTCAAGTGCCTTAGCAGGCCTTAGCCTGAATCCCTTTGCCAACCAGATTCCGGACGATATGGAACCCTGCAACCAACTGGAAGAACCAGAACCTCATGTCCTGTCTTACAACGCAGCCGCAGTGTTTCACGTCCTTCGCAGCTTGGGCGAACCAGCAAAGCTCGCGCAAGCAGCTGCAGTATCTCGCTTATGGAGAGACGCTGCAACGGTGCCTCAGCTCTGGGCGGAATTGTTGCATCAGGAGCATGTCCTCGCTTCAATTCCCTCGCTCCTATCGTCATCGCTGGCACCGCTGCCATCAACCGGAGCCTCCACTCCCAGCGCAGTTGCCACCAACGAGTCAGCAGCTGCTATGAACGAGGCCACCTCGACTGCCTTTTCCATGCAAGCTGCATCCGCATTCGCTGCCCGGAGCGCCGCAGCGACCCGTGGGTCACGCCTCCTGCCCCTGGAGCTCCTGCAACCGCGCAGCGACCTGCTAAACACGTAAGTAGCACGATACAGCCTTGGTTTCTTGATTCTTATAGTACGCTTTGGTTCGGGTTTGTTGAAGGGTGTAAGGTCGGGTTTTGATGTGTGTCGGAATACCTGGTAGGTGATCTGGGTAGGTGTCATTACCATGCGGCGAGGTAAATGCCCACTCACCCGTTCCTCCCGCCCCTCCTCGCAGTCCTGCCGCCCAGCTGGGACGTTGGCAGGGCATCCGCCGCCTGGTCCCCGCCGCCACCCGCGTACCCGGCGTGCGAGGCGCCTGGGCCGCGTACGACCCCGCTACCGCCCAGCTTGCCGTACTGGACCAGCGGCGTCAGCGCCTGGCCTTTGTCGCACTTGGCAGGGCCGGTGGCGGCGGCGGCAGCGGGGGCCTTACTCGTGCGGATTGGCAGCAGGAGGATGAGATGGAGAGGACCGGCGGTCGGGCTGCTGTTGTGGTGAAGAGCGTGCGGGTTCCGGAGCCGCATCCCGAGCCTGAGCGAGTGGCGGAGGCTGAGGCTGCGGAAGCGGTGGCTGCGGCGGGAGGCGCGGGAGGCGCTGGCGGTGCTGGCGAAGGTGTTGCGGGTGCAGCCGCAGCCGCTGCGGGCGAGGAGGGAATGGGGGAGGCGGAGCAGCAGCAGCAGCAGCAGCAAGCTGTGGCTGCGCAGCTGAGCGCCGAGGAGCTTTGCAAGCTGCAGGTGGGTAGTGAGGAGGGAATCACCGGTACCGGTAACTAACCGTAGCCACACGGAGGGCCCAGTTGCCATACTTTGGTGGCGTAGGGTTTGTTGGAATGTAAAGGCGCGCAGGAGGGGCAGACGTCTGCGCTGTGATGGGACGTTTAGGACAGAGGTTGTTGAAGGCGCAGGGCGGGGAGGAGAGGAAGAGGCGACCCTCTAACATTGCCTTCCATTTCGCTTCCCCAAATCGCTTGCAGGTTGTGGCGGCTTGCGGCGAGGGCTGCATCGCGACTGGGCACCCGGACGGACGAGTGATGGTGGGTGGCTGGATGGGTGGGTAGAGACAATAATATGCATTTACATTCAACCTCGAAACCCCCACTCAGCCGCACATGACCTTTCTACCTCCCCTTCTCCGTACCTTTCCCTTCGCCGCCTCCCTTCTTCTCTCCACCTCTTTCCTCCCCCATGCACCCTACCCCAGCTCTGGGACTGCGCCCTCCGCGCCCCGCGCCTGACACTGCCCCGCCTGGAGGGCTGCGGCCGCGGAGCCGTGCTGGCGCTGGCGGCGGAGGGGGGGCTGCTGGCGGCGGCATACCCCGAGCAGGTGATGGTGTGGGACGTCGGCTGCAGCAGCAAAGACAGCAGCCGCCGCCGCAGCAGCAGCAGGCGAACCGGTGGCGGTAGCGGCGGCAGTAGCTGGGAGGTGGCGGCGGCTGTGGCGGCGGAGGGCGGAGGTGATGAGGAGGGACCGCGTCTGGTGGCTCTGATCAAGCCGTCGCTTAGCACAGGTGGGTGGGTTGTGGCTGGCTGACTGGGCGTTTGGTTGGTTAGTTAGTTAAAGCAAGGAGAGGGCCTTTTGCAGGAAAGGGGATGCGCATTCCATTGGAGCGGGCTCGGGCGTTGGCCGGGTAGCTGTCCTATAGTGGTCCCTCCTGCGGTGCTCACGGTGGTACCGGTCACTTCAAGCGAGGCATGCTGCTTACTTGCTTGAGACCCATATCTTGCCTGCCTCCAGTCAGGGCCTTGACCCACATATGTGCCCTTCATCCCCGCGGCCCCCCGTGCTATCCGGCACACTCCACATCTTACCTCGCACACCCCTGATCTCCCAAGCCCCTCCCTCCTCCGATTCTCTCCACTCGCTCACATCGTTCCACTCCCCCCCCGACCCCTCCACATCCCGCAGTCGTACGCTCCATGGTGCTGTGTGCCCGGTACGGCGTGCTGGCTCTGCGCTCCTCTGATGGGGTGGAGCTGCGGGGGGCGCGGGACGGCCGCTGGCTGCATGGCTTCAGCGACCGGTGAGCACAACTGACAAGTAGGGAGACAACTGACAAGAGACAGGAAAAGTAGTGGGAATGAAGAGTAATGAAGAGTAATGAAGAGTAGCGAGAAGTAGGGAGAAGATAGTGAGGAGTAGTGAGGAGTAGTGAAAAGTGGACGTGCTTGTGCAGTCGATGCCCCTCCCTTTGCTGTTGCCGTACAGTACCGCCAGTACCACTCCCAACCCGGCACGACAGCTGCTGCCTCACGACCACCGTACAAACCACCACAAGCTCCTACAGCTCCCAGAGTCAAGTCGTGTCATGTCGTTCTAACCCCTACCTTGTATCATACGCACGCAAGAACCCGGCAATCCAGCACGTTCCTACTCGCGGCCAGTTGTCTTAGCACACACCCGCACCCGCACCCGCATGCACCCGCAGGCGCAACACAGCCCTGCTGGCTGCTGGCGGGGTGCTGTTCGTGGCCTCCTCCTCGCCGTCCTTCATGGGAAACCACTTCCTGGACTTCCAGATAGAGGTCACGGCGGTGGATCTGGCGGCGGCAGTGGCGGCGGCGGCGGCTGGGGGGGCGGGTGGGGGCGGCGGCGCAGCGGGCGGTGGTCAGCAGGGGAATGGACAGCAGGGGAACGTAGTAGGAGCTGGAGGTGGAGGTGGTGATGGGGCTGCAGCCGGTGCTGCTGCTGCTGCTGTTGGTGGTGTAGCTGGTGTAGCTGGCGGAGGCGGGCAGCAGCAAGCGCAGCCGCAACAGCAGCAGCCGCAGCAGAGGAAGCAGGAGCGGCGAGTGGTAGTGCGCACGGTGAGGAGCGGGGGCGTGCGTGGACGGGGAATGCGGCGGATGGGATTGAATTGGGCTCTGGTTGCCCTTTGCAGGGACGAGGGAAATGACCACCACTCGTGCTTTAGTCCTTGTTAGCCATCCATCTTCTTTCCTCGTCCAACGCCATGTACCATCCGCTCCCCATGGAAGCTTTCCTCCTGTCCCTGCTTATCCTGCACTTTAGTTTTCTCTTTTCACTTCTTCTTCTCCCTCCTCTCGCTCCCCATTTCCCCATCCCACACCCCTATACCTCGCACGCAGCTGAGCCCCACTCTGCGCTACGACCTACGCGGGACCGCCCTCTCCGAGTTCCGCTGGGACCAGCCGCTGCAGCTGGCGGCCACGGGGGGGCTGCTGCTGCTGCGCTGCCTGCAGTTCCCGCTGGACAGACCCATGGGTCACCAGCTGGACCCAGATGGGGAGGAGGAGGAAGCGGGGGATGGTGCTGACCCAGAAGGGCAGGCGGGTGGCGCTGGGGGCTACCGCGGGAGGTTGGCCTGGCCGGGGCTGTTCGCATACCCAATGGCGGACCTGCTCGCGGGGCTTCAGCTGGGCGGGGAGGAGCAGCGGGAGGAGCAGCAACAGCGGGAGGTGCGGGAGGAGGGCAGTAGCACAGCAGCAGCAGCCCCGGGGTCCCAGCCGCATGCAGCGTTGCAGCAGCCGTCACCGCAGCTGCAGGCGCCCGCAGGTGGTGAGGAGGTTGAGGGGCCGACGGGGCGCGAGTGGCGACAGCAGCAGCAGCAGCAGCAGCAGGTGGGGCTGCATGTAGCTGACGTGGCGGCTGCGGCTGCAGCTCCGGGGGCTGCGGGGGCTGCGGCAATGGCGGCGTCGGCGGGTGCTGGCGTTTCTTTCCCCGCCAGCCGCACCCTGTCTCCCATGGTGATGTGCGGCGACTGGGGCAACGCCGGGGCCGAGACGGAGGCCTCCGCGCCCTCCTCCTCCCCCTCCTCGGCATCCTCTCCTCAGCCTCACCACACCTCACCACAAAGCCTTATCGGTGGCAGCGGCGGCGAGACCCAGGGAGGGGCCCCTTCGGCCCCCCTGGGGGGCCCCCCGGTTCCCAGCACGCAGCTGCTGGCGGCGCCACGTCACCTTGCGCTGGTGTCTGCATCGCAGGAGCTGTGGCTGATGGACATCCCCTTCACCACTGACCCACGGGTCGTCGGTGAGGCTGCTGGAGAGAAAGGAATGGAGCGCTGCGCCGGGTGCTGCAGCAGCAGCAGCTGCTGCTGCTGCGGCGGCGTTGCTTGAGGTAGAAGAGTGAAGGCTTTGTGGATGCGGAGGGAGGGTTGGGGTGCAGGCTACAGGTAGGGTTAGGTCAGGGCGGTGGTGGTGGTGGTGATGTTGACAGGAGTAGAGGTTTGGGTCGATACCGGCCGTACACGAACGAATGCATGTACTTGATCCATGGTGCCATTGATGAACAACCCCCTACATACTGCCGACTTGAGAGCCGTGATATGTGCGCCCGCAATAGAGAGTAACTGAAACCAATAATGACTTGCGTACGTTCGTGTGTATGTGATTGCTTTTGCTGCTGCCGAGATATACCGGTGTTAGAGAGCGTGTGTACGAACACATGGCGTAATATGGGTGCACGGCCCGTGCCGGGATGCTTGCTGGCAATTAATCGATTTACTGCTGGACGCTGAAGACCCGTTTTAGCGAGCTGTGTGCTTTTGCAGTGAGCCTAGGAAATCGTGCGCGGTGGCCTGCAGATGCGGTGTTCCTAGTCTGTACATAGTCGCAGCGAGTTGTTCCTTCACGAGGGACAAGGGAATTTAGGTTTTCCCCATTTTCAGGTTATCATGATGATTAATGATGCCAAGGGTGGAGAAATGTGAAGAAATGGATACCCCTGCGTAAGTGGGAACGTCTAGATGCGGTTGGAAAGTAACTAGGGCAGCCGGGCGCCTGATGCCCCTCCTCATCTGTTTGCTTCTTCCCATAACTACTTTGTGTCACTGCAGAGAAATGGATTCTCTTCGGATAATATGGCTTCTTGGCTGTGGGGTAGGGGATATTGTACGATGTGAATTAGCGAGCAACGTCAATTAGTCTCGTGTATGCTTACATGTACGACACCACGTATGTGTCGTACTATATAAAAGGTCTCTGCCTACCGTACATACGCACATATATGCCAGAGCAACGAGTACCGGTATATGGCGAAAGTAATGTGAAAGTTGGGTGGGTGGTGGTAAGATAAGCCATACACAGCGCCTCCACAATCGATTACGTGCCGTGCATAGGCGTATACGCCGAGGACGTTTTCACCCACCGCTCCTCACCGCTGCACCTGCCATACCATTCTCGCAACGCTCCGAAGGACGAGACACCAGCTGCATTTCTCTGCAACACAACCGGAACCATGCATTGTGGGTACGAACCGGGTCCGCCACTGCCCCCACTGAACATGCTCAAACCTGCTGCACGTGCGGACGGAACGCTTAGCGATTTTGCCTAGACCCCTGAACGAGGGGAAGGAGCCCCTAACCCAAACCAAACGGTAAACACGGCGCCCTCCCAAAGCCCTGCAAAGTGTATCCGGAATACAAGCGTGACGTTACCGCCTGCCAACCCCTGCTACCCTGATTCATACAGCGTATATGCACATCCTCAGCAGCATCCACTGAACAGCTCCACTGCTCTCGCTCCTGCTCAAATGCACAAATGGGAAGTAGAAAGAAACTGAAGCACAGCACACCCGCGGCTTTCAAACTGCACTCTTTCGCTTCCATCAATCTCCTGCCCTACCACCACCTGCTGCTGCTGCTACCCGTACAACCGCTGCAGCCACTCCACACCCCACCTAGCGGTTCTACTTTGCGCGCATCTATTCGCCCCAATACTGTGCCGCCCTATCTGGCACCCACATCGCCCCCATGCTGCACCGGCATGTACCCCCCTCCTCCTCCTCCTCCTCCTCCTCCTCCCTTTTCCATGTACCGCGACAAACCGCAAGTAGTACTCCACTCATCATCCCTGTGCCTTTAGTGGCTAGTGGCTAGCAGCCGGGTCGGCCGGGCACTCCGCACCGCCACCGCCACCGCCACTGCCGTCCCCCGCACCGCCTCCGCTCGCGGCCCCCCCTGTGCTGCCGCCGACTGCGGTGCCGCTGCCGCCGTCGCCGCCGCTATCCGCTGGCGAGCTGACGCCGTTTGAGGAGGCGCCCTCCTCGCCCTCCTCCGCCTCGCCCTCGCCTCCCACTGGAGCAGCCAAGTTGCGGTAGTGCTGCCGCGTCAGCACCTGCACCGGGGGGATACCAAGGAGGAGGGGGGAATACCGGTACCGGAAAGGAAAGAGGAGTCAGCAGCAGGAGTTGTAGGATCTCAAGTCTGGGTCAGCAGGTGTTGGTAGGGGAGGACGACTAGCGGCCGCCTCCTCCAAACCCTTGGCTGCGACCCTAGCTGCGAACACTGTTGTTGTCTCTCCGGTACTCCACTTCCAGTACGGGAACTGCTCCCCCTCCCTCCCACCCTCTCCAGCTCCCCCTGCCCTCCTTCCGCTCCCGCTCTCCAGTATCCCACCCCCCACCCCTCCCACCCTCTCCAGCTCCCCCGCCAGCTCGTCTCGCTCGCAGTAGGCCTGGTTGAGCTCACTCTCCAGCGCCGCCTTGAGCTCCTCCAGCTGCAACACCTGCGACTCCAGCTGCGGGCATGCAGGGGAGGTGGGCGGGAGGGGGGGGGGAGGGGATTATGAAACTAGGCTGGATATAGGATTGTGTATAGGAGAAGGAGGAGGAGCAGGGTGGGACTAGATAAACTGAGCCGCGGAAACACTGACCCAGGGTAGGAGACAGCAGGGTGGGAGGGGGACACAAACCCTCGTCAGCTCCTGTAACCGAGTCCTTCCATGTTCCACCATCCTAGGCGTCCCAGCCCAACACGTGCCCTCCCCACACAACCAACCCAGCCATCCTGCGCCCCTCTCCACCTTGTCACACGGCTAGTTCGGTTCTTCCTCTGTACCCCCCCTTCTATCCCTCGTTATTTTCCTCTTTTTACCTCTCCATCCCCATTGCTGTGCTCTAACCTGTGGGTTTGGTATACGCCTGGACCCCCCTTCTTCCCCTTCCTTTATTCCCCCTAAACCTTAAGGGGAAGCCGCCCCCTCCCCCTCCCCCCCCTTCTCGCACCAGTCTGCAGCGTGTGGTCAGCTCGCTGTTCTTAGCCACCAGCAGCTGGCTCTGCGCGATCAGCCCGTCCTTCTCCTCGTCGTGATGCGGGTGGTGGTGGGGCGGGTGGGGCGGGGGCGACGGAGGGGCAGGCGCAGAGGAGGAGGCAGCGGCCGCCTGCTGCTGCTGCTCCTGGTGTTGCTGCTGCTGGCGCTGCAGCTGCTGCTGCAGGCGGCCTAGGCGGTCCTCCAACTCGTAGGAGCGCTGGTCGGCACCCTGAGGGGGAATGAAAGAGAAGAGGACCCGGCATGTTGATTGAGAATGGCAGGCTAGGTGACACAATAAGAAGGAAGGGAGGGGAGGGAAGGAAGCGAGCCAGCTGCGGGTGGCTTAGGTAGAGGACTGAAATGTAAGATGAAATACCACAGCAGCACAACGGGGACAGGAGAGCCGTGATGGGTGTGCGGAGGCGCCGGGCGGGGGCTCAAGCGTTGACCTGGACAACCGCCCAAACCCCGTCCTTCCCGCCCTGATCCCTACCCTGATATCCCCATTGCTCCGCCGTAACCGGTTTGGTACGGTCTTTGACTCCCCTGCCCTGAGGTCCTGCCCCCGTAAGGCCCTAAGGCCCTTCCCCAAGGCCCTCTCCTAGGGCCCTCAGGCCCTTCCCTGAGGCCCCCCAAGGCCCTGGGGCCCTGCTGGCTGGCTGACCGACCTGTCGCAGCCGCTTGTGGTACTCGACCTCCTTCTTGAGTCGAGCCAGCTCTAGGCGGTGGCCGTCCTCTATTCGGTGCAGCCGCGACTTGTAGTGGGCATTCTCGTTCTCTAGGACCTGCGGCCAGGCAGGTGAAGAGGGAATGCGAGGGGTGCTGGGCGAACATTCAAGCAAGGGGAATGGTGAAGGGGAGGGAGAGTGAGGGGATGAGGAAGTTACTGCCACGTAGGTGTGGACGCGAGTACCTGGCTACTGGCCGCGGAACGTTTAACATGACCACAACTGTCATCTTGGGTGTTTAGCGCCCATGACCCCAGTGCGCGGGCTGAGTTCCGGCAAACATGAAGGTATGCAACGCGGCCGGCCGTTTACAAAAGACAGTAAGTTAGCCAACGCAATCAACGCGTGCGCTTCAGATAGAATAAGTTGAATAATGCGGTTAGGATTGTCAAGAGGACAGATGCAGTAATTCCATGTGGTGTGATGCCTCACATCATATAATCCAAACGCCCAAGTAAAATAAAAAATTGTGTGTTGGGCCCCCTGACGCGCCATAACCCCACGACCAACCTGCATCTGGTCCTTCTGAGTGCGGATTACCCCGCGAAGCTTGCTGTAATCACTACCACCACGCCGTTGATCATTTTGTCCGTCAGGGACGCTCAGACGAGCGGCTAAGGCTGGGCTTAGCTGGCTCATCGGCTTGTTCATTTTTTTACTTTCTGGGTGATCTTATTATTAATATACTATTTGGCTTAGCAAACATCATATATCATCAACCACCCTCCGTTTAAGCTGCATACACGCAGTTCCCTAGGCTCGCTCCCATTCAGGGGCTCCGAAACCCCGCGCCATTTCCGTCTGTGCGCCTTTCCTTACTTATTTTGCTAGCTATGGCAAAGCCGCACAGAGTACAACGTCAAACGCTACTGTACAGCTGTTACGGGCCTTGATCTGGTTCAGTTGACGGAAGAAGTTTCTCATGGAGTGCATCCAATTTTCGTTTTGAAGCCAATGTCATAGATAGATATGCCCTTAGTGTCATAACTTCATTTGTCGTTGGATCCCAGTTCGGCCCTTCCAAGCATCGGCTCTGTGCACGAGCAACCTGCGTTTCAGAAAGCCGCCGAGCCGAACGTGTTAAGCAACATTATGTTTCGTTACGGGTGACATTTATTGATATCCACTTGGGGTTCCTTTATAGGTCCGGCTCCGATCGATTATGAAACTAGGAGCTCCTTAACGTGTGCGCACATGTATAAATAGCATTGTGGTCGTGTACACCTACGATGGAGCATCGGTGCTGCTCTTAGCGCCTCCGTCACCCGGGTAACTGGACCAGGCCCCACGCTGCGCTCACGATGGACCAGCAGGCGTACCTCCAGCAGTATCAGCAGTTCCAACAATACCAACAACAACAACAACATGCGCAAAACCAACAATATCATCAGCAGCCTACTCCCCCTCAGCACTATGCCTCGCCGCAGCAGCACTACACCCCGCCCCAACAACCGCAGGCTGCCCAGCTTCTCCAAGGCCAGCAGCAGCAGCAGCAGCAACTCCTCCAGCAGCACCAGCAGCATGCTGCCTACATGCAGCAACAGCCAGTCCAGGGCATGATGCAGGCGGCTGCTGGGATGCCCCACCACGTCCCACAGCAGCAGCCACAGCAGCAGCAGCAGGCTCTCCACATGCAAGGCGGCCCCAGTGCAGGCCAAACCCTAGGGTTGGGGTTAGGCTCTGGTATGCCCCAGTTGGCTCAGATGGCTAGTCAGCAACAACAGCAGGCACAACAACAACAGCAGCACCAACAGCTCCAGCAGCAGCACCAACAGCAACAGTTGGCTCAACAGCAACACCAACAGCAACAGTTGGCACAACAGCAGCACCAACAGCAGCAGGCGGCGGCACAGCAGCAGCTGCTGCAGCAGCAGCAGCAGCAACAACAACACAAGAAGCTGCTCCTCTCGCAAGCCCACCAGCTGGGATCCGGGGGAAGCCAGGCCTCCCTAGCAGCAGCAGCAGGCGCCCCCGCTCCCCAGGCCACTGCTGCACCCGGACAGCAGCAGCACCATCAACAACAACAGCAGCCCGCCTCCTACACACAGCCGTCTCCAAACACACAGCAGACCGCGGGCGCAACATCATCAGCTGCCGCAACCGGCAATACCGTCCCTTCCACCGCAGCGGCATCCGCAGCGCTTCCGTCCACGGTACAACTCTCCGCCGGACAGCCGTCTTCTGTTGCTGTCAACAACGCGGCAGGGGCTGGGGCCACGGCTGCTACGGCAGCAGCAGCCGCCGCTGCGGCAGCGGCAAGCACATCTGTCTCAGCATCCACAGCAGCCCTTATGAACAGCGGCACTCATGTTGGCAACAGCGGCAGCAATGCCACCATCGCCAGCAACAGCAACAGCAGCTCGAACTGCAGCCGGGTTGTGTTTGTGATTGAGGCAACAGCAGCCATGCTGCACTTCTGGCACAACCTGCGCACCTTGTACGTGGAGCTGCTGTTAAACCACATCGGCAAAAACGCCTTTGGGCGCGTGGAGATGGCTGTCGTACTGGTCGGCGCCCCAGATTGGACGAGCGACCAACCCGTGGACAGCACCCCTTGGACGAGCAGCGTAAGCGAGATACGTTCCGTACTGGACGCAATTCAATTCGCAGGCGGCGGTTTCGGCCCCATCGCCCTATCGCAGGCGCTCGCCCACGTCATCTACTTGCAGACGCTTCCCTCCTCCATGCCCGTATCCGCTCCCTTGCCAGGAGGCGGCAGCCCGCCGCCTCCCGCGGAGCCGGTCGTGCCCTGCTACTGCCTGCTGCTGGTTACCTCTCCTGCGGACCAGCTGCCCGTGTACGTACCTGGCCTACCCAACCCCGCTACCTCAGCCACTCCTGCCGGAACCAGGCCCGGCATGGCCTGCATGCACACCCTATCCAGCCTGATGCGATGTGTACGGCAAGCGTACAACATGCACCTGAGCTTGGCGCTTGTGAACACACGCGACGCGGTGCATCTGACGGCTCGCGACTACATGATGACGCTGCTGACGGACCACCTGGGCTACTCGCGCGGCGAGGGCGAGCTGCGGAACCACCTGGACGCAATCAAGTTCGCCTTTGTAGGTTGTTAGTTGTTGTGTTGGTTAGGGTGGTGGGGTGCGGCTGGCGGTTCTGTATGGAGAAGACAATTGTGGCAATGGTGCCAAGGGTAAAGATGCGCACAAGCCGGAAGATTCAACCTGCAAGATGTGTGAAACGTGGTGGAGGTTTGGAGTTGCTGACCGGAAGCGCCCCTGCTTGCTTGCGTCCCGGCGAGTGTTGTTCGACCGCGTGCTGTTTGAGGTGTTCAGCTGCCCCTGCCGCCCCTTCTCATGCGCCTCCTGCCTGCACCTGCAGCCGCCTCATCGCGATTACATGGCCTTCATCTCACCCGCCTGGGCGCCTGCTACCGCCGCTTTCAAGCGAGAGATGGAGCACCGGATCGGGGAAACCAAGCGCCTGTACCAGCAACAGCAGCTGGCACTGCAGCAGCAGCAGCAGCGTCAGCAGCAACAGGCGCAGCAAGCAGCAGCGCAGGCGCAGGGGCAGGCGGGGCAGGGGCAGGCGCCGTCGGCATTTGCAAGTGCGGCGGACGGAGCTGCGGTGCCGGAGGGGGCTGCGGGGGCAGGGACAGCGCCGGCGGCAGCGAACTTGGTGGGTTGTTGTGAGGTAGAAGGGGACAGAAACCGTCATATATAACACCCCGCTGTCCAATTGTTGGCAGTGTGAATGGGAGGGGTAATGGCTAATGAGCGGCTGCCCATTGCATAGGCAAACGTTTGTGAACTCCTGAACCCGACCTTCTCCCCCGCTTTACGATCCCCTCCGCAGCACCTGACGCCCGCTGGAGCCCAGCCGCAGCACTTGGCGGCTGCTGCTGGTGGCGGAGGCGCTGCTGGTGCTGGCGGTACGGCAGCTGCGGCGCCAGGCATGTACGGCAACCCGCCTGTAGGCGGCGACGGCGCTGCGGCGACTGCTGTTGCTCAGCAGCAGCAGCAGCAGCCCCCACCGCATCCCAGCCACCAGGCGCCGCCTCACATGAACCAAGCCCCAGGCGGCATGGTCGGGCCCATGGGTCAGTATGGCCACGCAGCCGCAGCAGCTGCGGGGACCTCCATGTTTGCTGCTGCGGCGGCGGCAGCAGGCGCCCAAGGCCAGGCCCAGGGTCAGATGGCGGGTACGGCAGCAACGTCGCCTAACCAGTACTACCATCCATCACCACAGCAGTTAGCGGCGGCGGCAGTGGCGGCGGCAGCGGGGCGCTCCGCTTCGGGTGCGCTGCCCGCCGCACAGCAGCAGCAGCAGATGGCAGCGGCGGCGGCGGCTGCAGCGGCCGCAGCTGCAGCGAAGGGCGCGGCTCCGCAAAACCTGCCTCGAGCTCCCCCTGCTCCCCAGCAGCAGCAGCCCCAGCCGCAAGCGGCGCGGCAGCAGCCGGGGCAGTTGGCTGGGTACCCCAATGCTGCGACTGCTGCGGCGGTGGCAGCGGTGGCGGCACTGCATGCGCAGCAAGGCCAGGCGCCTGTAGGCTACCAACAGCAGCAACAAGCGTACAACCTTGCACAGCAGCAACAACAGCAGCAGCAGCAAAAGCCCCAGCAACCGCCCCTACAACAGCAACAGCCGCCTCAACCGCAGCAGCAGCAGCCACAGCAACAGCCAGCTGCCGCCACTGTGACCGGAGCAGCAGGGCAGGCCGCCGCCGCACCCGCTATGCTGCCTCATCACCCCCAACTGCCGCCCTCCACTCGCTTCATTATGGCGGTTCCCATGCACTGGGCGCAACGGTTGGGGAACGCGGCCCAGGTCAACGACAACTACCAGTACCCCATCTTCCAGGTCAGTGAGGGCGGGTGGACGACAAGGAACAGGCTCCCTACCTCTGGCTACCTCAGGCTCCCTACATCATGACCCATGGGTCGGGAACAACAGGAGTGGCTCTTTGAGTTGCGCACTGTAGCATGTACGTTGTACTCTTATTTCGGCTTCTCCTCTCCCGTTCCCCCCTCTTGAGCGTCTGGCGCTTCCTAATCTGAACACCCGCTGTGCACATCCGGCATGCGGCATTCGAACTCCCCACTCTCACAACGTTCCGCCCCCACCTACCCTCCACAAGAGCTGCCCATTTTGACCAAATCATGGTATTCCTTTCCCCTTTTCCACCCATCCACGCGCTCACCTCAAGGTGGAGCTGCAGCGCGAGGGCGGCATCAAGGCGCGGCAGGGACCCGCGGGTCTGTCGGACCACCTATACGCGGCCTTCACCAAGAACCAGTACGTCAACATGGTGCGGCCGGTGGGCGCGGAGGAGCTGACCGCGCAGCAGGGGCTGCTGGCGGCTGAGGTGGTGTTTGAGGTGGCCATGGTGACGGACTACAAGGAGAGCGTGACGGTGTTCAACCTGATAGTGCAGGTGAGGGGAGGAGGGAGGGCAGGAGCGAGGAGGGTAGATAGAGGAGGGGAGGGCGCAGTTGCCCATGGTTCGGATCTCGCTTGCCTGCCCCGCGGCGCCTTGCCCAGCCCCCAGCCCAGAGCGGAATGTACTCTTCCATCCCTTCGTAACCCCGGGCTTCACCCGGCTTGCCTGCCTCGCAGGAGGTACACCGCAGCAAGGGCGCCGCGCTGGAGATCGAGGTGCCGGGCCTGCAGGGCTTCTCGCTGGTCATCTGGCCGGCGGCGCTCAAGACGGGGCTGGCGGGCGACAGCTCCGACTCCAGGGAGCCCATCCAGGGCTGGATACTGCGCAGGCAGTAGTGCGGCTGCAGAGCTGGGCTGGGCTGGTTGTTGTGGGGTGGAATGGTAGGGTTGCGGGATGGGTGGAGGGTGGAGGGTGAGTACGGCACAGGTCTGCCATGGGTACTACGATTGTTCAGGGATTTTGCGACAAGGAAGATGGCTATGGTGTGGAGGCTCTGTGCGGGATAGTTGTGCCCCCGGGGTTTCGCACTTACACTCAGTTTTAGTGCCGTACTTGGAGCGGGACGAGGCGGGAGAGTGGGGCTGTAGCAAGCAGGTGTTGTCGCCAGGGGCAGGCTAGGAAGCATGGCTTGCGGAATGTAGGCGTCACGTGGGAGACCTAGCGGTCAAAGTGACTCAGGCGGCAGTTTCACGACAATATGAGATTTTAGCTCTGCTAGTAGAGGAAAGCAGCCAAGCGAGTGCTTGCAAGTGCTGAAGCCGGCGACAGTGCTAAGTTTGGTGTACAAGGCCGACCATTGCTTTGGTTACATGACGGCTGGGGTGCTGCGGCCGTTAGGGAAGGCGCGCCGTAGCGCCGCCAGAGGAACTCCCGAACGGAAGATTCCGCTTTGCACTATGGTAGCTGGTAGAAACAGGGGTAACAGGTGTGCAAGAGGGTACGGAAGAGGGGCCTGCCTGCAGCTGTGCACCGCTGCTTGCGCATGCTGGTAAACGAGGCAGCTGTGGTTGTATGCATCTTTACGTTCTGTTGGATGAACCCCTTTCTCCCACAGAAAGCTCCTTCAGATGCAGTAGCAGATATCCGCGCTGGTGATGTTTGCAACCGGCCGTTGCGCCTTTGCCAGCCTGCCAAAGCAATGTGTGCAGCTGCCAAGGTGCTTGTGTGGTCTTGACAACTGCAAGTTCCCGTCCCCTCTTGCTTACATATGAGTGTGCGCACCATTAGTAGATGCCTTATCAGTTGGGTTTTCCTGGCTTGGGGGTATACGCGCCTGCTGTAACACCATACGCTGGATACCGTATTCAACAATGATGATTAGGAATACCCGGTTTATAAGAAAGTACGATAAGCAGGGTGTCGTCAAGGCAGGGTGTCTGTTGAGGCCCTGGCAGGGTATTGACCAAAACCCTAGGGGCTGAGCATGACTCAAGCGAAAGGACGGAAGGGCCCACATGGTGAGCGCCCATGCAATGGAAGTGACATGCCATGTTACACAGGCTGAGTGCCGGTAGGCTGCTACTGAGTTCGGAATCGCTGTTGCAGCGCCGTTGCCTTGTCACAGATAGATATAGAATTTGGCAATCAGTAATGGTTGCGTCAATGTAACCAACCGCATGGGTATCACACAGCACACGCTATGGTATTAGGACTAGACAGGGAGGAACGAAAAAAGCCACGCCTGCTGCACAAACTTTTTGTTGGTTTGGGTGGACAGTAACAAACCAACCGCACAGCAGAACACATATATGCAACACTCTACGTTGTAGTACAGGACGAACGGCTCGCAGCGGGGGGCTGGACGGCAACTCACACTTTACGTCACCAGCGGCGGCCCTACACACCAATATGTAAGCTACATGCCACAGAATCTTTCATAAGGTTACGCTAGCCAAACTCCCTAAGCCGGGGCGAAGCATGCCAAACTCCCTGAGCCGGGGCGAAGCATGCAAACGGTGTGGAAGTGACCCACACAGTCGCTAGAGGTGCAGATGTGCATAACAGAGTGTAGAATGTTCCAGTTCAAGCATCACGATTGATATAACGGTCAGAGTCTGGAGCACACGTGGAGCTTGATTCCTTGCCCAACAGCTGTCGATTGTCATTTCTTGGGGACATGTCGTCGCTGCAGTTGCAGAGGGTCCATGGGAAGTAAACCGAGAGCCAGTATGTGTCATGAGCCTGGGGCACGCCAAGCGTGCAAAGAGAGACCTGCCCTCCTGGTGGCCTTGCGCATGCCATGTGCAGCTTCCCCTTTCGACTTGAGCATTTCGGACAATGGCCAGCACGTCAACAAACGCCTACCTGTTTCGCTGACCACTTCTCATCAAAAGCTTTAGTAGCTGCTTCGAATTCTGCCTCTACATCTGCCTCGGCCTACGTGGCGTCCCCCAAATACAAAGTAACAGAGTTCGTCACGGGAAAAAACCACGGAATAAGCGTAATAATTTAATTGGCGCTACCTGAAGCTTGGTGGCAAGCTCCTTATCGCTAGCCTCCAAAGCTGATTTTCCCTGCACAGCTGCGACGACCTCTGCGTCGAGCCTGCGCACGTAAAGCAAGAAGCATTATTCCGCTTACTGAAAATCAACCAGTGTGCGATTGTCGTCAAACGAACTATATCGATGGGTTGAAGCTCACTGTGTTTGCAGTTTGCGGGCCACAGCTTCGTCGTCAGCCATTTGTAAGGACTGCGGTATATGTTGTTAACTTCTCTTCGTATAGCGACCGGCTGCTTCCTTCAACGGTCCTCTCGTGTACGGTGCGGAGCCGCATGTTGCTGCGACGACTCAAGCTCAGTTAGGTTAGTGGACTTCACCTTGTAAACCGCTATCCAGATCAATTTACCCTGCATCTGGTATAGAGTTACGCACGACGACGCCTAGCCATCACACGTGCAACACTTCTAATACAACGAGGCATTACAAGTAGGGTCGCATAACACCAAGATGCAACAGCAGGAGGAATTTATTGTAACGGAGTAAGTGCAGTTATTGCGCCGTCCGGCTGTCGACAAACAACTTGCTCACTAGCGTCGCCCTCTGCGTAGCTTGTATGGATTTCCCCTTAAGGTTAAACCTTTTATGGAGGAGGAGCGACGCGCGTGCGATGCGAATGCGGAGCGCGAGCAGGTTCGCAGTGTCGATGGGTTTAGGATTGCTCGAGGCATGGTTGCGAGCGTGTCTACCAAGCCACGCCCGGCAACGTTCGCAGGCAGCATGGATGCCGTACATTGAGAAGGATCGATTGCCAAACAACAAAGACAAGCTGAAGGAAATGATTCGGAAGGTATGTTCAGCATATACTTGCACTTGGGGACGTTTTGCGGGTACAGGTCTGAGCAGTCCGACAAAAACAGACCAGGCACGCCCTGACTGGCCCATATCAACAGCACGTGCCCACACGCTGATGGTGATTGCACATCCACATTACCCAACAGTTGATGGGTTTGAACAATAACAGGTGGTCACGTGTCTCATCCATCCGATATCCTTCCCCCGCGGCACCTTCCCGTTTCCCCGCTTACGCCCATTATACCCTCATGTTTCGCATCAACGTTCTCTTACCGTTTCCCGTCCTACCTCTGCCTGCAGGGCGTGCCTCCCACGCTGCGGAACTGGGTTTGGATGGAGACTAGTGGGGCCAAGAAGAAGAAGGCAGCACATGCAGGTGAGTGCCGGCGACCGCTGATGGCATAAAGACGGAACACCCCATACGCCATTCCCCTTTACCTCCTTTCCGCCTTCCAACCCCTCCCCATCCCCAGACTCCTACTACTCCATTATGGTCAAGGCCGGGGAGGACTCGCCGTACAAGAAGGACATTGAGATGGTACGGCACTGTCTTGTACGGCATCCCAGCGCCTGGCTGCCTGTCGGGTAGCTGTGAGCCCAAGCATGGTATAACACGCGTTCCTGGCCTGCACCATCCTTTGCTTGCTTGTCACCCTGATGTCGTGTGGTACTGCTACTGCTTCCCAGTGCTATTGCTTCTCACACCAACCCTCCGCCACCTTCCTGCGTCACCCACTACACCAGCAACTCTCGGCACACCTTCCAAGCCGGATACACCGATCAGCCCCGCTTCTTCCTCACTTTCCTGCTCCGTCATCCCTGCATCCTTCGCCCTTCTAGCCAGGGCTTCTAGCTCCCTTTTCCACCCGCACAACTGCCCACTTCTCCCGTTGCCCTTCTCTCTCCTTTCTGTATGCCCCCTTCCATTTTTCCTTCCCTATTCCCCGTTCCTTGCCCCCTAACAGGACTCCCAACACACCTTCCCCGAACACCCCTGGCTAGCTAGCGAGGACGGTCGGGTGGCTCTCACACGCGTGCTGCAGGTGCGGTAGGATATGACTATATGAGGGTTGTGTCAGGCTTGCGTTGGCTGCAGGATTGACGGCTAGCGGGAGTTGGCTGCTCGCAATGCTTTTCTAACAGCGCAACTGCTGAACATATCCAAAGCTTTCCTCCATCTACGTTTCCTATGCTGGCTCCATGCTCTCCTCCCGTTCTTCCCATGCCGTACAGGCCTACAGCATGCACAACGACCGCGTGGGCTACGTGCGCGCCATGAACAGCATCGTGGGCCTGATGCTGGTGTCGCTCAACCGCAACGAGGAGGCGGCGTTCTGGCTGCTGGCGGCGCTGGTGGAGGACATACTGCACCCGGGGACCTACAGCCGCAACCTGGAGGGATGCCAGGTAGGCAGCAGGTTGGGGAAGCAGCGGGGAAGGAGGGAGCGGGCGGGATGGGAGCGGCGGCGGGAGCCATGGAGGGTGAGAAGGGTTTGGTTGGGCAGCTCCTTGGACGCATGTCCGGGATGTGCCCTGCTGTGTTGTTTTGGCGCTACCTTTGCATGGGGCGGTTTGAAGCGGCTGCTGCTGCTGCACCACATGAGGTAACACGTGAATTGGCGGCCTCAGTACTCCGCTCCCCTTCCCACCTTCCACCCCCTGTCCACGTGTCTGCCCGCCCCACTCCTTCGGCGGCACTGCCCACTACTTCCACTGTCCTTCACACCATCCATCCATCATACCTTCGCACCATCCATCCTTCGCGCAACTATCCTTCACACTACTGTCCTTCACGCCATGGTAATCCTCGTGTACCTGCTGCCAGGTGGAGATGCGCGCTCTCTCCGAGCTGGTGGCCTCCAAGCTGCCCGTCCTGGCGGCGCACTTCGCCTCCCTGGACTTCCAGATCTCCATGCTGGCCACCGACTGGTACCTGGGACTGTACTCCACCTCCCTGCCTGCGGAGGTGAGGCGGAGGCGGAGGGAGGAAGAGAAGGGAGAGGCACCAGGATCCCAATTCGGGGTTCAGTCGAAGGTGCCTGCTCGCTTACCAACCCCTTTCTTCCTCGCTCCTGCCCCGCCTCCCACCTGCCCCCAGACTGTCATGCGCGTGTGGGATGCGCTGTTTTTCGAGGGCCCCAAGATCCTGTTCCGAGTGGCTCTGGCGCTGCTGACGGTGTACGAGCAGCCCATGCTGACCGTTAAGGACGCAGGTGGGGGCGCATGCGGGGGCTTATGGGACCGATGCCTTGAGGCTTGGGGACTGGGGTGCCATGGGGTGGGGTGCCATGGGGTGGGATGCCATGGGGTGGGATGCCAGGGGTGTGGCGGTGCACTGTTCTTCTAGTGGACTAGTGAAGGAAAGTTGGAGGAACGTCGTATACGGGCGCTTCTGAATGATGGTACGGGCGATGGGTGGATACCGTCCTATAGATGAGACCCACCAGCCAACAATCTGCGGTCATTCCCCTGCTGCCCCTGCTCCTCACCGCTCCTACGCTTCCCACTCCTGCGTCTTCTTCCTTTCTGCGTTCCTCCTTCTGCGCTTGCTGCTCTTCACTCCCCTCCTCCCCGCCCCTGCTCCTCCTGCCTCAGGGGAGCTGATGCTGCGCATGCGCCGAGCGGCCTCCACCATGCACCAGCGCGACGTGCTCATGAACCGCGCGTTCGAGGCTATCGGCTCCCTGCCCATGGCAACCATCGAACGCATCCGCGAGCAGAAGCAGCGCGAGGTGGAGGAGGCGGTGGCCGGCAGGTCCGGAGGCGGCGCCGCCAGCAGTGGCGGGGCCGGGACCCTGACCAGCAGCAGCAGCGGTGGCGCCAATCCTGGCGTGGAGAAGGCGGCGGAGAAGGTCAAGCAGGGCTTTGGTGAGTGGATGAGCCGGCTCACCCGAGATGCCGACCCATGGGTCTCGCGTGCAGCGCCCTGCTCTTAACATTATGTAATGCTGCTGCTCCACCTTTGCAAAAGGCTTCTTGACCGCCCCACTAAGTCATCCCCCTCTTTTCCATTCCCTCCTCCCCTCTTGTCAGGCAAGTTCATGGCGGGTATGAGCAAGCTGGCCAACAACACGGCGGAGCAGCTGGCCAAGATGAACACCCGGGATGAGGCGCAGGGGCCGCAGCAGCTGGGGCAGGGGCAGCCACAACAGCCGCCGCAGCAAGGGGTTGCTCCGAGTGAGCAGCCGTCCGGGAATCCTTTCATTTGATTAGGCGGGGGCGAGTCACAACGAGTCGGGCAGGGTCCAGACCATCACAGGCCATGCTTCCCATACGAGTGTGTAATCTACGCTGCGTGGTCCATAGTCGTTAACTCTTTCGTAAGTACTGGCTTCCTTATAGTGGTAGTATGCTGCATGAAGAGCATTTAGGGCTGAGAGCACACACGCCGAAGGGCGCGTTTCTTGGCTTTTAGCCGAGGTTATCAGAATGTGTGGTGCGCGTGGATAGCGTTGAGGGGACAGTGTAGAGGCTGTGCGTTGGGGGGGCAGCGACGGACCGAATGTATGTATACCGAGTGTGACTGTGTGTTACGGTGGGGAGGGGTGTTGCCCTCTGGGCACAACATGCGTATGTAATCGCTCCAGCAGGTCACGTATTGCCGCATGCAACAGGGGTTAGCTGTGTCGTCGTTCTTTCCATTGCGCCACGAGGAGGGAGGGTGCCTGCATGGACGGTTGGCTGACGTGTGTAGGCTTCATTTTACAGGAAACGAAGGGGGGTCAGTGGAGGTGTGCATCGTGTGTAGTACGTGGCTGGTTGAAGTGTATCGCACATGACCGGTTTTCCACCCATACACAGATATACGGGCTTAGGGCTACAAAGTTTAGGGCTACAAAGTTCTTGCCTTGAGGTGTGTTTCTACCAGAGACGGGATTCTTGTTGACAAGGTCTCGGTAAGCCCTTTGCCCTTACCTGATGCATCAGGATAGGACTGGTGGATGGTCAAGCAAGCGGTACGGGATGGTGTGCAAGTACCGGTAGGCTATCATTAGGAAACACACCGCCGCTGCAATAGCCAGGGTTGAAGGCAACAAGGATAGCTATATGTTAGTTGCGAGGTGCTCCAAGAATTCCAGTACCGGTACGCCATTGTTACCCACGGTGAAGGTGGCCATGCAAAGATGAAGTCGCTTGGCTACTTTGGGAATTGACAGTGTCGGATTCGTCTGAAGAGTACAACCCGTCATTTGGAGCATGACACGCGGAAACAAAAAGAGCAGTGCACGTGCCGGCGCCTGCAAACTTCCGAAAAAGCAGCAGCACGTCGGAAGCAGAACGCTGACAAACAGCGAGTCCGGGGGCAGTTGAGGACGTCTGAAGAGCATGGGGATACTGAAGGTGCCACAGCCGCATGAGGAAGCAGAAACATAAATATTACAGTGTATTGGACTCGGAGAACGAAGTGCCCCCACGTGCCAAAAAGAGGGATGGGGGTATTGGGGAAGGGGCCCCTTCCCCCACACGCCACAAGATGCATTCGGACCCAAACAAAACTACCGGTGCAGAGTACCTCTTTTAACGTAAGGGAGCGGCGCAGTGTGTTGCCAAGGCCACAACAGCAGAACACAGAGCGGTGGGCTGCTGTTAATGTCATGACCATTGAGTGCCCTGCTAGCAACGAACTACCGGTACCTCGTAGCTTGCCCAAGCGCATTTGACGGGCCATGGCTTCTTAGCCGCTAATTGTCAGACTAGCGTTAACACGTTGGCCATACATGTCAAGGATTGCCTGTTTCTTTCATCAGTCCTCTCGTATGCAAGCGTGTACGGAACCGCATGTAGCTATTCGTGTTCCCGACAAAGAATTCGAGGGGTTGCAGCAGTATTTTTTGGGGGTGTTTTTGAAGCCAAATTGGAGCCTTGCACACGGTATAAACGTATCATGACGACGCGAATCCAGTACTGTACGCCTACCTGAATATTGTGCGACCTCATAGGAAATTAGGCAATCCAGGCGCGGTCAACTTCATTAAATATGGCGCAACTGGAAAAGTTCAATGTAACAGAGTAAGCTCGGATAGTGCGCCAACCGGCTGACGACGAATGGCTCGGTCGTATCTCACTATTGCCGCCGCTTCTTCGCAGCCTGTATGGGTTCCCCATACGACTGGATGTGCATGGACTGAACAGTCGACGCACATGCGATGCACGCGACGAGCGCCAACTGGTATACAGTGATGCTGGGGGTGGGGACAAGTGTTGTTGTCATGTACTCTCAAAGTCACGTATTGAAACCTCCGCAGGAAAGCTGGAAGCCATACGTGGAGAAGAAACGGTTGCCTAAAGATAAGGAGAAGCTGAAGGAAATGATTCGCTCTGTAAGTTCAGCTAAAAAGTGTGCGTGCATGTGCGTGTGTGTGTGCGTGATAGGCTGTCCCAGAATAAACTATAACCGGTAAAGAGACGAAGTTGCAGGACAGATGGATTTAGTTGTTGCGTGCTGTTGCACGGTGGTCTACAGGAACCCCGAACTTGCTTATGTCCCATTATTTGCGCCCTTTCGTCTCCCCACTTGTGCCATCCCATCGCACCCCATGTTCTTTCATTTGCTCTCTTTGCGTCTCCACTCGAGACTTTCTTTCTTGCTATCCGCGAACGTATGCCTCCCCTCTTCATACCGTTATGCTCATGTTATGGTACAGGGTGTACCCCCCAACCTGCGGCATTGGGTGTGGATGGAGACTAGTGGGGCCAACAAGAAGAAGGCGGGACATGCAGGTAATAAGTGGCGGCGACAATTGTTGGCAGCAGGACAGAGGGACGAGCGGAAAACAAGGTTTCTTTCTCCTCATGCTTTGCACTGCCGGTTTGCAGGACATGCTTTCTCTCATCCCATCCACCATACCCCTTCCCCTCCCCCTTAGACTCCTACTACTCCCTCTTTGTCAAGGCCGGGGAGGACTCGCCGTACAAAAAAGACATTGAAATGGTGCGACGCGATGGGGCCTGGCTCTCCCACCATTCAACCTCTTCTTCTTTGCAACAGCGCCGCCTGCATGCCATGCTTACCCCTAACAGGACGCCCAACGCACCTTTCCCACGCACCCCTGGCTGGCTAGTGCGGACGGTCGGGCGGCGCTAACACGCGTGCTGCAGGTGCTGAGGGGGTTGGGGCATGCAGGGCTGCGGCGCGCCTGGGCGGAGGGGTCCGGGCGTGGGCTTGCGGCAGTTGCTTGGGAGCCCGGAGATTGACATGGCAAAATGTTCAAAACTGTGTCCTTTCTTTCGCACCCCTACGCCAGTTACCCCATTCCTCCCTGTAATTCGCATTCCTCTCCATGCACGTGCTCCTTCCAGGCCTACAGCATGCACAACACCCGCACGGGCTACATTCGTGCGACCAGCTGCATCGTGGGCCTGATGCTGGTGTCGCTCAACCGCAACGAGGAGGCGGCGTTCTGGCTGCTGGCGGCGCTGGTGGAGGACATACTGCACCCGGGGACGTACAGCCGCAACCTGGAGGGCTGCCAGGTAGGCAGCAAGTTGGAGAAGCAGCGGGGAAGGAGGGAGCGGGCGGGATGGGAGCGGCACCCTGAGCAGCTGGAACCTGATATTGACACACGGATGCGTGGTGACTATTGACAATTGAATTTTCTGGGGTGTGTCTTCCTCTCCCGTTTCGCCTTCCAACCAATTCCGATACCCTTTGTGGAACGTCCCAGGTGGACCTGCGCGCTCTCTCCGAGCTAATTGCATCCAAGCTGCCCAAACTGGCCGCCCACCTCACCTCCCTGGACTTCCAGCTTTCCTCAGTGGCTACCGACTGGTTCCTGGGGCTGTTCTCCAGCTCCCTGCCGGCGGAGGTAAGGGGGAAGAGCGAGGGGACGAATGAGGAAAACGGCGAAGGTATATGCAGGGCTAAACACCTTTCCGAGGAGCTGCCCCTCACTTCGTTGACTACACTTAACATTCCTCCCTTCCATTCCTCTCCTTCCCTCCCATCCTCCCGGCTCCGAACCTTCCTCCCCTGCCCCCAGACTGTCATGCGCGTGTGGGACGCGCTGTTCTTCGAGGGCCCCAAGATCTTGTTCCGAGTGGCGCTGGCGCTGCTGACGTCCTATGAACACAACCTGTGCAAAGATTTGGACTCAGGTGCGAAAAGCCCCTAGCAGGCCTTCTGGTAATGCGGAAGGCCCCTGGAAACGCATGCTTGATGCCCAAGAGGAGGCGTGTGTCAAACGGTTAGGAGGGAAAAGGGGTGATGCAGCCTTTACTCCTCTTCTTCCCCTTGCCGTCGCCGTCCCTTAAGCCATCGTTCACAACCACATATGTGGTTATACCGTCTTTTGGCTTCTCTCTTTCCTTCCCATCACCCCCGTACTTTACCGTTCTTAACCCCGGCGCAGGTGTGCTACTGATGCACATCCGTTGCATCACCGCCAACCTGCACAACCGGGACCTGCTCATGAGTAACGCGTTCTATCGCATTGGCGCACTGCCCACATCCACCATTGAGCGCATTCGCGAGCAGAAGCAGCGCGGGATGGAGGCAGTAGCGGTAGCGGTGGTGGGCAACGCTGGCGGCGACTGTGGCGCCAGCAGCAGCTGTGGCGGTGCCGACCCTGCCATGGAGAAGGCGGTGGCGGCGGAGGTTCAGCAGGGTATCGGTGAGTGGCGGTTCTGGCCGCAGCAACAACAGTACCTTGCTTGCTTGCTTGCTTGCTCCCTTCACCCTGAATGCATGCCCTTCCTCTCAACTCTGGCGCAGTGGCACTAGTGGTTGATGGCGACGGCGATGCTGGGCTGTGACGGCAACAGCACATGTCTCCTTGCACGCGGCAGACCAGCACGTAATATTGCTGTTCCTCACGCCCAGAGGTCCATGGCAGATACGTGCAAGTAGTAGTTGGCCATCCAGCATACGGTGGAGCTGCTCCCCAGACAAGGTCGACGGCCGAGACAAACCCTGAACATGCTCTCCTTTTCCTCGGTACTGTACTGTACTGTAAAGTGAGACGACTACTACCATTACTATGTGGGCGTAAGGACGGTGACTGATGAATGAGTATGGCAGTGTGTGTTGCGGGACACGTCGTAGGCTCCCAATGGAAGGATGATTGCCCAATTCTGCTTGCAGTAAGGGCGGGTTGGCTGACCGAGAGCCCCGGGCGAGCTGCTCGCATGGTTGCCTGCATAGAAACACATAGGACTACATACGTGTGTGGGTTGGTCGGTGTGAGCCTGCACACAGGAGGGTCTGGGGCCCGATCGAAGAAGCCTGTGTGGGGATGGGTCAATAGTCACGTGGGTAGGCACAGTGTTGACGGCATGAGTGGGTGGGGTATCCTGGAATATCTGCGAGCGCAAGGGACGCAAGGGAAGGATACATTTTTACTGAAGTTGTAACCGCTCCGCAGCCGCCTTTACACCCGGAACGGCCTGCTGTACCCCATGCATGGGGCAAGCATGCACGGTAAGAGACATGAGCCTGCCCTACCTTCAGCAGCATTGTAACTAGATTTAACTTAGCCCTTGGCCCGTTATCCTTTTGTTAGGCAAGTTATGGTGTATTGTTCAGCTGTATTGTACAGCAACGACACGGGCTCTTGCAGCAAATCGTGGTTTGGTGTAAAGCAAATGTAAGGGCACCTAGTATATGGCAGTCGATGGTGACGATAGCTGTATGAGGGGGCTTCACCACTGGGTTCGTCATGATGGCTGTGGTTAGGGAAGGGGCCTTATTTTTCACCCTCCCCGTGCTTCTAGTACACCCGACAACGCGTGACGTAATTGTGCTGCCACTTACGGTTAGGGGAGGGGCTGGCCTGCACGGCCTCTCACGCACAGCGCGGATTGGGCGGGGGGGAGGGAGGTGGATGACTAAAGATGATGAGGCGCCTCCTGGTCTGGTCACATGATCGCCATTCATCATACTTCTAGCTCAATATTCGTTGGTGGGCTATGTTTTTCCGCATTGCATTCATTCCAGTGGTAACAATACGTTCCTGTACTGATGAGGAGGGGCTCCGCCCTTTTCCAGCGTTGAGGAAGCTGAACCCCCTTGTTATGGGAAAGGGTTTGCGAGAGGGCAGGTGGGTAGCGGATGGGGAATAAACAACATACCAACCCATAGGAAATTTCAGTAAGGGCAAAGCAAAGGGGATGGGAGGCGGTAGAGTGTCACAAACACAAAACGTTAAAAAAAGGACAGCCGCAGCAGGCTACAGTTCATCGACCGTTACTATGTGCCGCACACCTAGCACTGCCTTCTCTTGCTTTAGCCCAGTATGGATTGCTAAGAAATGAACAGATACCGTTTAGGGATCTGGTAAGCAGATGTTGGGAAAGAGGTCAGGGGCCTGAGGCTACAGTTGGTTGTATAACCGCTTTGCACTTGTGGCATCGCCTATTTTCCTACGCACAATTAGGTTATGTTCTTCACCGCCGTTTTCTCCATGTGTTTTTCGCCGCTGCGGCCCGTTCACAACACAGCGGCGTCTCCCACAATTGCGGTCCCTCCGTATTCCTCCGTCCAATCTGCAGTTAGTACGGTCTCTCCGTCTTCCTGCATCCTTCCGCGCTGCGGTTTCGCCCTGAACATCGATGATCAGCTTCCGTGCCTATTGTACCCGCACATTCCATGCCAGGCGCCTTGGCCGTGTTAAAAGTTTACGAGCTCTGACGTACACTCACGCGAGTTAGCGTGGTCCCTCCGTCTTCCAGCGTCCTTCGGCGCAGCGATTTTGTGCTTACCACAGGTGATCACGTTCCGTACCTCATGCACCCGCATTTTCATTGCCAGGCGCTCGGGCTGCGTCAAATGCATATGAGCGCTGCCGTACAATGACGCTTTTCCTACTAACGGGCTAACAAGTGCGATGGTCTTAGCTACTGTCCTCCAGTGTAACTTCCGCATCCTAACAAGTGCCAGTCGCGAAAATAGGCTTGCGCGGCGTCAGGAAACCTTTGAGTGAAAAGGTCTTCCCCCAGTGGCACTGGGAGCCGTTGGTATCGCGCTTGCCTTCTTTAAAGAGGGCTTTCGCCTTTGTGCTAAGTCAGCAGGCTAAGGGTCTGGCGTTCCTGGGTGGCTGTCGGTGTGTCGCTATTTGGACGGCCTGATGCGCAGATGTCGCTTGGTATGCCTTGGTGGCTTGCTGCAGTCTTCTCCGTGACAGTTTCCTTTCGGCTTCTGTGGTTGCGGGCCGCGATCTTTCTGGTGCTGGTTTGGCAGTATCCGTGTGTCGCATTTCTCTGGGACCCTGGTTGCCGGCCCCTGTTCCAGGTGCTGGGTTGGCAGTGCCTGCATGTCGGACTTTAGGGAGCTGGTTTGGCAGCCTCTCTGTGTTGTTTCTCTGGGACCTTGTTGCCTGTCCCTGTATCTGTTGGGCACGGTTCCCTGCCTTGTGCACAGCATGCCCCCTGGGGTAGGGCGGTCGACGCCCTGTTAGAATGTACGTCTGACGATGGTCTTCGCTACTGTCCTCCAGTGTAACTTCCGCATCCTAACAAGTGCGGATGGAAAGGTATAAACCGCAGAGCAGTGATCGCATCATTCGTACACGTTTCCTTAAATTCCAGTAGTACCCCTGCATACACTACACCAATGGGCTACCGGTCCCCCAGTGTAACCTTTCACATCCTGCTACCGGCGGTGCAACCCTTCATTTCTTCTACGACAAGTTCGGGAACCCATGAGCGAAGCAGTTTATGTTTTTTGAAAGTTCTAGCCAAGGTTTGATTAACGACTTATAGCGCTGCCTGTACGCCCACTACGCCTCCCTCGGCATGCGTCGGATTATGGCTCGCCGATCGGCCGAAGCTCGAAGTGGTCTACCCGCGCATGAGATCATCTAGCGATTAATCCAGCGATGCTTCATAAGTTCTATTGGGGCCCCTAAGCGACCACTACCGACGGCCTTCCTATTGCATTGGATGTAGGTCGTTAGCTTACAACTCATGTCCCACAGCAATGTACGTCGCTTAAGGACGAAGATTGCATGAATATAATAAGAACACTGCATAGTCCTGAACTGTTCGCGGCCGGCTGTTTCCTTTATGGAGTGTACGACGGTGTCGCACGTAGCAATTCATGTTCCCGGCATGGAGATTGTAGGAGGCCACTGTAACAGTATTTGCCCGAAATTA